CTGCTTGCCAAATCCACCGGCCCCCTACTCAGCTCCGGACATTGTGATTGGATGCCACAGATTTTCTCCACTTTCCCATTACAGAACGTCCAATCAGAACCAAGGAGATCCACCTTCCCTTTACAGTGGCCTCATTCTCATTCGCCAGCCCTTTCAAGCCTCCAAGTCACCGTGGAAGTCTCGCTGCTGCCCAAGGAACTTGCTGCACCGCGATGTTGACAGCCGCGTTCCTGTCTCTCTACATCAAAGGAACATGACTGTAGCGAGTCACCCTAACCCTTGCCAGTCCTAGCCTCTCTGCCTCCGTTTCGGGGGTTCGAACCATGCCCGCCTTCGATCTCCCACAGCCCTTTGCGCCCTCAGCCATACGATGAGCGACTATACAGTACTGCCTTATTTTAGTTGCACGGTCGTACAGTGAGGGCCGAACCTGAACCCCAACCCTGAAGCCCCTTTTCCCTTAGACAAACTTGAACTTGAACACACCTCGGGCTCTTAACATGCTGCATCTCGCTCCGTGCGAGTAGCGCGCTCAGTTTAGCAGCCCCTTTGCGGAACTGTGATTATTGCCGTCTCAGGATCTACAGAGCCCATCGTGCTTATTTATGCCCGAGTCCCAATCCCAGGACTGCCTCGGCTGCCTGTCCCTGACCGCGTCTTCTCAGAAACTCGGCCTCTCCTGAGGAGGAAGGTCCCGATCCTCTCTACACTAGTATCTGTTTGCACCTCTCCCCGCTTCGAGGATGCCGATCTTGAAGCAGGTGCCGAAACAAGATTACTGCGAGTTTAGCTGAAGAATACCTTCACCTGTCTTCTGCAGCGAGAGCCAGTTTGCACAGGCAGCTATAGAAGTATCTGCCGTGACCGGGCATGTAAAGCCGCTTATGAAAGCCCGCCCGCGAAGTCATTATTATGAGTAGCTAGGTAAGGACGAAGTTCATAGGAGCGAAGCAACCAAAGCTCTAAATAGGTTTGTGGGTAAAGGCGGTCCTGGGGCAATGAAAGCCTGCCATCCGGCTCATGAGTCGATCCCATACCGAAGCGTGCCATCTACGGTACCTTCAGTTGCGTATACCCGCGAGGTACTTTTGAGGAGTTGTCGTGCTTCGTAAGAGTTTGAGCTAGCGAACTCTTCAAGCCTGTCGAGAATTCAGCGATGCGAGGCGGCGGTCTCCCGTTCCAGATCGCCGCCCTTTTGCAAAGATACCTACCTTAGTGCGCAGTTCTTCGCGTTTTGCAGGCTCACCTCCCCTTTCTTGAGAGTCTACGGCTTGGCGTCAGAGCGAACTGGCACAGTTGTGGTGCCGAAATTACTATACCTATCGCGCGGCCATTCAAGGCAGCCCTGAGGTACTGACGGAACTATGCTCCGCTGTAAGCCGGGAGAGCCGCTCCCACTTGCTACAGCCAAATTGTGATGTATGTATGTATGTACATGTACATACATTGTTCCTACGGTACATACGGTACCTCAGGTACCTTGTTAGGTGCGTGGCTCGTTCTTGTGCTGCTCTCCATGTCTGTCTAGGGGTTTGTAGGCCAAAGATTCGGCAATGGAAAAGCGCCGAGATCCCGTCTTTCCCTTCAACGCTCAACGGTCCGGCTGCTCGCGAGCGCCTCCTTCCTACCATTTCCTCAATGGACACACCGGCATGGATTGGCCGCGCGTGCGCGCATTATCCGACCACCCACACATTACCATCTCCCCCCAGCGTTCGCTCACCTCCAATCATCCGTGCCCCTCCCGTCACTCTCCCGCGCTTGAGTCTAATCCTGGCTTGTCTTGCCTTACCGCTGTCGAGCGTGGATGAAGAGTGGTGCCCTCCCCCCCCTCTCCACAGAGACCAACGCGAAGGGAGATCACCATGTACAGGGTGAGTGGACGGGAAACACCTGCCCATGGCAAGACACCAAGTCACATTATCCGGCACAGGCGCGCCTCGCTGCAGAAAGTGTAAGGGATCCGCCTGGCGCGGTAAGTTCTATGCCCCGGATGGGACGCAATTAGGGAGTGGATGGGCAAGGGAAGGTGGGGGGGAAGAGATCGTGAACAGGGGGTGTCCTAGGGAACATGACAAGCGCGAAAAGGGGGCCAGGGGACTCGGGGAGGCACATCCATACTTCTCTTTCTTCGGCATCTTGCCTGTCTTCCGTACCTAGGTAATGAGGTTGAGAGCGCTATACGCCATGCTCGAGGTTACCGACCTACCTGCAGGGGCTAGGGGGAGGGAGCCGGGGAAGACAGACACCTTGAGCTGTTTTACTGGCCCGGGCGTGCTGCTTAACGGCGGTAAAGCTAGGTGGGCAGGGGCAAAGATGGAAGGAGCGTCGCCAAGTGGCTGGACGCTGCCACCGGGTATGAAGGTGAAGGCCACGGCGATGGGGAGGGACGGCAGTCAGGGGGTCTGTTCGGTGGCACAGTGACTGTATGTAGTACCTACCCTGTACACAGCACAATTGGACGCCCAGGCGACATCGCCATTCGGAACCTCACCTTGGACGAGTTTAGCCCCGAGGCAGGAGCGTGAGTCAGCCCGCCCTGGGTGTGTAAGTCACCGGGAAGCACACCGTGACCGAGACAACGGGAGGAACACGAAACAGCCACGATGCGGCCACCGTCCAAGACCGAAACGGAGAGACTCAAAATTGCGAAGAATGCCTTGCACAGCAATGGCTCGCGTTTTTTGGCTTGTCCGGTCCCAAATGGACGGATCCGCGTCGTAGCAACTTGTGTCGTTGGAAGAACAATGGAGGGCAGCGTCGCATCATGCCGGCCGCTTCTCATGCGGCCCAGGTTGACATAGCCTCTTGCACAGCTTCACCCAAAACACTAACGCAGAAAAAATAAGAAAAGACATGAGACCAAATCAAAGAGAGAGCAGCGTATTGACACTGCGCATCGGTGCAGTCTCCACCTTGCCATGAGGGGAGCCGCCCTGTCTTTGGGAGGAAGCCGAAAACTGAGGTGGACGGTGGGTTCGGTCGCTCCCCCCAGATCTTGGGGAAACCCGTGCAAGTCAGGCAGCACCGGGGGATACGGATAGGTGAGTAGGGCCTCCCAAAGAGAACAAGACGCGATCTACGAGACCAAAATGGCAGAAAGGCGCGCAATTCGAGTGAGCAAAGGGAAGCTACCTAATTTACCTCTAGAAAATAACAGAGAAATAGACAGTACGAACAGATGTCGCTCCGCAATAGCACCTCAATCCTCCTGTAGACCCCTACCTGCTTACCTATTTACCTCTAGTCACCATCAGTCAACGTGTATCTGATCCAAGGCGGTCGTTTATCCACCCGCCTACCTTGCACTCGTGCTGAGTGGTCCGGCACGGCAGGTGTTAGTCAGTACACCGCACCGTCCACGTTCAGGCAACACTGCTGCGGTGTAGTCAAGATTGCTCGTACGCCCCTTTCCACATAACCGGCCGTCACGGATGGAAGAAAAGAAGATAAAGAAGAAGAAGAAGAAATAGAGAAGAAAGAAAGACAAGAAAGAAAAGAAAAGGGAAGGAGAGGCACTATGCAGATGCCAAAAAGCAGCACGCCGGTGCTCATCGGCTTGTTTGGGTTCGGTATAAACATCCACCTCCCCTGACAGGGCTGAGTTCAACAGCCTCCGCACTTTGGTCTTCACCCTAACGTTAACTGATCGCAAAGGCCCGGGGGATCCCGAGACATGTTCCGTATTCTGAGCTCAGGCTGGCTGACGGGGGTTGAAAGGCCACCCCCACCCAAACAGCAGCCAGAATCCGCGGCGTTATGGTGTTATTGTTGTCGCCCACACTTCGGCATAGAACACTGGCAGTATGAACCCCCTACCCCTACCCCCTACCCCGTGCCCGCCCCAGACCAAGCCCCAAGGACCGGTGCCGCGAACTTGCGGAGCGGCACGCACATGCCCCCGGCCCGGGCTGTGGCCGGAGGTGAAACATTCAGAGTGCCGCCAAACAGAGATCGGGGAGGAAAGGGACAAGGGTGTCCTTGGGACGGGGGGAGCCGCATCCATGCCGGCCGAAGAATGCGGGAATGGCTATGTACTACTGTACATGTACATTTTGATGGACGATGCGGTTGTGTGGCATGGCTGCCATTGTTACTTGTTAGGGAACTGGTGATGCTGCTGGCGGTGGCCCAGAACAGCTAACAAGCTCAGCTGCTGTGTTTCAGAGACTGCCCACTGTTGGGAGCTGCGGTAAAAGTCAAGAGTCACCCGGACCGGTAACGCGAAATGCGGAGTTGCTGATTGTTGTGGTTGCTGTTGGGGCCGGAGCTGAGCTTGTGCCGCATCTACTTTTCGACCCCAAATCAACTCGCAACCAACATAATTCGTACCTACCACCTAAGCAAGCCCGGTTCGGTCGCTTCGGTGAAGCAGGTAAGGTACCTGCAGGGCGAAACATGCGCGTCACCGGAAAGAATAGCAGCAGGAGCAGTAGCACCAACATCCACGCATCTAAGGTCCTGGAGTCGGTGTTAGCTGCCGAGCTGAGCTCTCTCGTCACCTCGGCAACCCCACCAGCGCCATCAAACCGTGTCGCACGGGAGGTGAGACCGCAGGCTCTTTGAAACAGTACAGCCCAGCAGGCGAGAGCCTATTATAGCATCTCCCACCCCCTTGCGCGATCCGGGTTTCTGCCGGATGGCACTGTGCTGCTTCGTGATGCTCGCCGAATTCCTCCATCACCGGACGCCGAGAGTCTGCTCGTGACCAACACAGTCATGTCGAGATTCCAGATTTCCCGCTATCGCTATCTGCGGGTGTCTATGATTAGATAGCCGTACCGTTTACATCGGAAGAACCAACCTCGACCCTTAGCTCCCTTTTCCATGACCACCAGACCAAGCCGCCTAGAACCGTAACCCGATGAACCTGGTTAAATGGAAACGCGCTGGGCCAAAAGAAAACGGGTATTTCATCATCAGGACATACTGAACATATATACTACCGTTGGCGACCAAGACTGTACTTAGTCAGGTTGCCTTAGCATCACTGTCATATCTCAGGTGCTCTCAATAGGGACGAAGGTGTAATTGAAATCGAGCAGTCCGTCCAACATCCAGTGCTGAGGGTCCCAGAAATCGTAGTTGCTGTCGTAGTTCATCGGCAGGAGGGAGCTTTGTGTGCCACCCCCTATCGCTGAACCTCCACTAGGTGTTAACGCGCCGTTGGACGTCGGTAGGCCGAGAGTAGAAGGGAGACCGTGAGAGGGAGGCGCCAGAGTGCTGTCCAGATGAGTTGACGAGGCTGAAGACTCATTAGCCGAATCGGGATTCGTGGGTTGCTTCAGAGCTACCAAGAAGTTTCTTAGCCCGCACGAGCTCATTGAGAGAGATACAGGCAAAGACGTGGTGGTCTAGACCAGGAGAAGAAGATTGTTTTTTTGGGGGGGGGGGTTGGGGGTTGGGGGTTTGGGTTTTGAGGGGACAAGTTGTGGGGTATGAAAGACTCACTGTCAAGTGTGCCTCGCCCTCTGGCTTGGTACTCTTCTCTCCAGTGCCAGATCAAATCGAACACGAGGCTCATGCTGTGTCGACACCGGACTTTCAACTGCAGGCTATCATCGATCTCCGGGTCATCGCCCTGAAACGAGGGCGATTTCCCCTCGATTCTGGCCCCGTTCCAAACCTGGACCATCAGCTCTGCCAACCGCCAGTTCAGGTCGTTTTGCACCACACTGGTGGTCCTGATGGCCTGGATGGTCCTGTGGAAAAGCGTTCGCCCACGTTCGAAGTCGACCTGCTTCACAAAGAATGACCGCATGAGCTTGAGCAACGCAAAGCCCGCGGCGACCAGCATCTGTTGTATGTAGTTCGTGGCGTATTTCAAGAGATAATGGTCCCGTAATTGGTATTGATATGATTCATGGCACGTCTCAGGCCCATCCAGGATAAAATCAAGATAGCCCGTGGTCGCACGCCAGAGGGCCATCAAATCGTCGAGATATCCCGGTGTGCGGCTCGAGTCAAAGAAGCCGGCAAGGCGCAGATGCAGGCACGCAGCCTTCAGGTGGAGGTATACGACTGGCGACAAGTTCTGCGCCAGGACGGAAGCTTGAAGTTCGTTGAATTCGCGGCGGTAGACTCGCATCAACATGGCTCGGTGCTCGTCGCCGGCAACGCCTCGTGGATCACTGGCGTTGCTGTACATTTCCTTCGAAACCTTGTCACAGAACCTCTCTATTTGCAGCCTCGCTTCCAGCTCTGGACCAAGCGAGTACGGCCCCTCGACGCCGGGCCGAATCGCCAAAGTCCAGTCATACAAAGTGGAAGCTGGCTGACCGTACCCGGTTCCGATGGTCTGCGCGACGATGTTACAAACCGCCCACGTCTTGATACGGTCATGCAGTCCTTCCTTGTTGAGCTCCACGGCGACTCGCGAGAAGTCATTGATGTGGTTCGGCCGGTGTAGTCCAATGCCGGTGGCCGTCTTCATCATGACTCCGCAGAGGATGTGTGTGGGATCGGACGATGTTGTGCTCGTCGGAAGGGGCCAGGTGCAAAGAAGACAGAGTGCCTTGACGACGAAGTAGCTTTGCGGGACATCTCCGATCGTGGCCCAGAGCAACCTCGTCAAAGGACTCGAGAGCTTGGTCAGGATGCTGGGATCGGGACCAAAGCGTCTGCTGGCAACGGCTATGATGGCCCAGTAAAGCAATGGATGTTGTTGGTAGTATTGGTCTGGCGTCTGAACGGGATTCAGGAAGGGCAGGAACGGATGGTAATAGTTGAAGAATTGACTGAACAACTGGCTCTCTTCGTCCTCGGTAAGCCTGAAGTCCTCGAGTTCGCGGGCAATACGTGGTAGAGCGTAGGAGCCACCACGCTTGAGGTGTAACAGCGAGGACACAGCCTCGTCGGATCCCATCAGCGACGGGTTGCGAGTATGGGTGTAGTGGCTCGCGACGACGGGTGACTGGATCTGCGATTGCATCGCAGAATGCACCGTTTCGTCATCCTCGTCAAGAGTAAACCCCTGGGCCTTGGCCATCTGGATGGCACGGCGAAGCCTCTCGATTTCCTTCTCCATCTCGGCATGCTTGCTACGCTTGCCGATGCGTTTGAAATTAGACTCGATTTTGCACTCAAGCTTGAGTCGATTACACCGAGAACAGCTCTGGAAGGGATCTTGAACTACATCACATCGCAGCTGGAGGAGCAAATATACATGTTAGCCCTGCACAATACGAAGCAGACGACCATAGACAACCGTCCCGGGCGTGGGACGGATCCGGCGAACGAGGAAGAAGTGGGAGCCAGCATATTCGGACGCGGTTCCGGTGGGGTTACGGAGATGCAAAGCGAAGGTGGGAAGGGGGGTGTGACTCAACAAGCGACTCCCTCACCTTTTGCTGGCGGCATTCATTGCAGGCGCGCTTCACGCCGGGCAGGCGACGGCTCTTGGTGTCCGGCGACGCATCTGCCCTGTCGTCGTGGTCCATGTCTTGATCATGGTCGTGGTCATGGTCAATGAGGCTCGCCGGGCTGCTGTCAAAAGTGCTGCGTTTGCGCTTGATAGAGCCGCCGCCGTTGGCACTCTGACTCCGCATGCCAGCCGCAAACTCGGGGCTCTCCATGGCCGGACCGGCACCCCGGGGGTGGGTGCGCAGGCGAAGGACGGTGTAATCGTGCGCGGGTGGGTTCCTGGGCCCCGAGACGGCACGGGACAATATTGGATAGGCTGTTTGCCGCGGCAATTCGCTCCGTGGGAGGTCCGGTCTCGCGGTTGCGATGAGAGAGGATTGAAGGTGAGAAAGCCGATTTACGGAAGGCGGGTGTCTCGAATGACCGTTCGCTGGGCGGGGCTGTTGTCTTGGGCGGGGAAGCATTTGCACAAGATTTTCAGGTAGCAGGGCTAGCTTGTATCAGACGATTGGTCACAGCCATGGAGTTGACCCACTTTAGGCCGGCAGAAACGACTCCACGTGTTATGACTGCGGGTCCATCTGCGTTTGGCGGTCGCCCGCTCTTTTGACAACGAAGACACGGAAGCAAGCCTGGAGGTAACTGACACAGCAATCCGTACATCCAACACAAACAGATCACTTTCAGATGGACCTTTGTTGACGATTGCCCAGTTGCACAGACTCAGTTGGACGCCGCAATTACTACCCCAACACTTGCACGAGTGTATGTAGGCACCCTCATCTTGCATGTGGAAGACGGGGGGCGCTTTTGTCTGTTCGCCGCTCTAGTGTACACTGACGCTCGGCCTGCAATATCTCAGGTCCCAATTTGACCCTCCCCAACCTGTTATAAACAGGTTGTTTTTAGCATTGTTGGGTGTCATGTTCTGCTTATATATTGAAGTAGTAGAACTATTCGCTCTAGGTACTGCAGGTGAGCGTTTAGGGGCCGGCAGTGGTCAGAAACTGCCATTGACCCCAAGCCCCCTTGATGAGTAAAGCGGCTATGGCAAGACTCCTACGCAGATATGGAGGACTCCATGCGTGTTACTCCGTCCTCGTCCATGCTATCTATCCCCTTATTTAGGAGGTGGCTCGAGCTATGCACCAGCCACAGGAATAGTTAGCTGTGGCCCGAGCTTTCAATGACGACAGCGACTCGGTATTGACGAACTTCCTGATTTGTGCTAAAATTTCGCTTTAAACCATGGCATGGCAACTCTGTAACCGACCGACTGCCATTCATCTTTCCCAACTCCAACTAAGAGTCAACAATGGGTGCATCCGGATCAAAAGCAGCACAGAACACCGTGCGTAAATTTCCATCCCGCGCTCCGGGGTCCTCGCCGGCGGCGACTACGAAGCCTGCGACGAGGACAACACCGCGACCGGCCCCGGCCCCCTCGGCAGATGCGCACCTACGATCGCGGCCCCAAGCTTCGTACGCAAAGGATGACGGTTAGTTTATCTACGGTGTTCTTGATCGATCGCAGTATGTAGCAGCGCTAGTGCTAACAGAGCGGCAGAAATCCGCGCGGACTCGATGGATCCGGATCGCCCCGACTTCATCGGCCCAGAGTATGCCGATCGGCTACGGCAAATGGGCATTGCGCAGCCGAACCCAATATTTTCTCCGTCCTCAATAGCATCGCCCTTCCAAGATGTGTCCGGGATTAAGCAATCCTTATCAACGCCGCGCTTCCCCTCATCCGCTAACAACGCAACCCTCGGTGTCCTCGAGACTCGGCGGCGTCTCGAGGCTCAGGCCAAAGACGAACTTGAAAATATGGGCAAATCGACCGATCAGGGAAGGGCGTTCCTAGACATTGGCACAGTCAAGCAGATACTAGTGCTGCGACAGCGCGGCGAGTCGGCAGCGGAGATTGAGTCGCGCTTGAGGCTCAAGCCGGGCATTGTTGCGAGGTTAGGCCCGCAGGGCATGGTAGCTCCTGCGTCATAAACTGCAGGTGCGCATCACGGGAAACAGGTCATGGCTTGCATTACTGGGCGTACTGGATGGCACCAATGGAAACCAACCCGAGGCTCCGTTCTATGTACAGCACCGCTCGGGTACACCCCCGCGAAGACCTTTTCATATCTCACCAGGCACAGTGGCCCCCGTCGATCCTCAGGTCAGCTCCGGTCATGAAGCTGCTAGCGTCGCTGAGCAGGAACACGGCTGCGCCGCGGTATTCCTCCGGATAACTCAGCCGCTTGAGCATGTTGGCATCAGGCCAAGCCGTCCGTCTCTCGGGGACGGCTTCGAAGAGGCTTGCAGTCATGGCGGTAACAATATACCCGGGGGAGATGGTGTTCACTCTGATGCCGTGCTCGCCCCACTCGGCAGCTAGGTTGCGAGCCAGCTGCAGGACCGCGGCTTTGGAAGCATTATACACGCTGGTTCATCGTCAGCCATGTTGAACCCGAGCGAAGAGAAGAACAACTAGGGACGCCGGAAACGCTCACGGGCAAATCAACCCCCTGTTCGCCACCGTTCCGCTCATGCTCCCAATCAACACGAGACTCCCCTTTTGCTTCCGCTTGATCATCTCCCGAGCGACCGCCTGAGCGGTCATGAACACGCCGGTGACGTTCACCCCCAGCATCTTATCTGAATCCTCGGCTGTATACTCCAACGCAGGCGTTTCCTGCTGGATGCCCGCGGCGGCGATCAGCCCGTCGATCCGGCCCTCCTTCTCTGCGATACCGCCGACGATCTTGCCTAGGGCGCTCTGGTCGCGCACATCGACGCGGTGATAGCTCATGCGGGAGCCCAGCTCTGAGGTGGCGCGGCTGGCCACACGCGAGAAGTCGCTATCTTGGGCGGGATCGGGGAGACGGTCGAGCGCGTGCACGACGGCGCCGGCTTCGAGCAGCGCTTCGGCCTGGGTCAGGCCGACACCCCGCGCTCCACCAGAGACGATAATGACCCGGTCTTTGAGGCTGAATTCCGGGAGGAAGGTGCTGCGCTGTTGGTTGCGTTGGATCGGCGAGTGGTGGAAGCCGCGGACGAGGGTGACTGGGGCCGAGCGCACGTGTTGGCGGGCTAACAGGGCGCGAGAGCTCGCTGTCCAGGCTGTCTTTTGGATGAGTAATGAGGCCATGCTAGATGACCTGTTGTGTATGGGCGTTGAGAAGTCAGGTCCCTTGGAGAGGTGCGTAGTCGGCGTGGGCGGCTGTGGAATTTGAGTGGTGGAAGAGTTTCCAGACCTCCGTTATTCTGCAGACGCCCCCGAATGCTCGGTATCTCTTATACTTGATAGACCGATGTTCCACGAAGACCTTGATCAAAAGCTCCGCCGCCAACATAGATTTGACGTGTTCCCCTTATACTTTAACAGAGGAACCGTCAGGATCATGGGCGCAGTGAAGGTAGCACAGCGACTTGGGGAAACAGCCCCTCATCAGATCCCCTCACTCTTTCCGACCCCTCATGACAGGCAATGGAGGTTCCATCCATCCTAGCTCTAATGACGAAGTGCGTCGCTCCTACAATCCAAAGGCTAGACCCAAGCTCCATTGAGTAACCCGCAGGGCCTCATACGGCCAGTGAGACGGGCCCTCGCGGCTAGTCACATCACACTTCCTGTTTTTTATATAGCCCAGAGCCTCTTAATCTATTTGTCCTGCACGCGGGTGCACTTCAAGCGATGGGGTTCTGGGGCATGCAAGAGCCTAGACGCCAGCCGTTGCGGGAGGATTGTCGATCGCGCGTGTGGGGAAGCGACCGGATTTCCTCGATGGGAACTCCGACGGAGGGTCGCGTGAAGCGGGCTCGATGATAATTACCCCTTCCACGGCTTTGGGAGTCTGGGACAATTGAATAAAAAGCAGCCTGGACTGGTTGCACCGATGCTGCTTCGATTTCGCGACGTCGGAGTTGACAAGCCGGACACAACACGAAGACGCTCGCCCTGCTCAGCTCAGCAGCCCATCGTGACCAAGTAACGTCAAGTTCTCGACAAACGCCTCCTATGAGTGCACCACGCCGCTATGACATGCAGCTTGCGAGCGCTGTGCTGTAGTTATCCGTACACGCCATACTGTACTTGTCCTTGTATCAGGTAACCAAGTTGAATGAACAATTGGGCTTTATCAATCGCATTGTTGCAGTCAACGAATCGATACTAGTAGGAAAGTATAGCAAGCTTCGCAGGTCCTCCGCCATTGGCCGCGGGTCGGCTTCCGGACGGCGGCTACTACGCACATGCACCGAGGCGTGCGGACGTGTGGCTAGTCCTCTATGCAGCCTTCCGATTTGGGCGGTTGCTGTCATTCTTCCGAATGAGAGCGTAGAGTTGCCTCAGTCAAGGTCAACCCGCGGCGGGCTGTCCTGGACGCCCAGCCTGGCTTTGACATCCCTATATCATTACGCAGGTGCTTTAACTACCTACTAACCTTAAAGACATTGCTGACAGATTATGCATCCAGTATGCGCCGGCCCTTCGAGGCGCTGGATTACCTACATACGCTGATAGTGAGTGCGAATACCGTGTTTGGGACGTGGTGAAACAGGGTCGGAACGCTGCTTGCTTATATTAGGAGCTTCCTAAGTGAAGAGGTTCGCTTCGGTGCCGGATGAACCTGTTGCTGTTTACGGCAAGCCGATGCTGGTTCATACAATCTTACGAATCCGGTGTTCTACTGTGTAGTACTCCGGACTCGTGGAAGATAACCAAGCCTCCTAGTCAAATGTTTGCTGGATACCCGATACTTCGGAGTATCCCGCATCTCCTCGTTTACGATGGCAAGCCTGACACAACCAGTGATGAGGTCGACAATCATTGAGCACTCGCTATCCTTTTCCAGCTATACCCGGGCCTCGCCGGGCCCGGCGTTTTCGGCCCGGACATTTGGAGATCGGCGATCGGCACTCGTTCGATCTCCGCTCCTGTCTCCGCTCGCCAAGACTTCCGGTCTGAATCCCGGCCTGCCCCTCACGCTCCTCGAACGACAGAGAAGCGAGATGTACCAAGAAATTTGATGGTTATGCGTTGACGGCTTGAGCTGGGAAACCATGCCAGCACATCCGGGGGTTGTCTTCTCTTCTTGCCTCGCATCAACATGATCTTGATGCCATGAAATTCGGATGGCTCATCATGCTCTCGGCTTGTGTTGTCGGGACGGGGAAGCCACCGAAGTTCTACATGTCTATCTCGTCCAGGGTGTTCAGTGACAGTGGCTTGTTGGACCCTACCTTTCGTAGTCCCAAAGACCGGCGTGTATTGTCCGTGTGCGGTTCTGCCATTCTATGGCAAGCGACGTCGGGATTGGCTCCTCTGACAATAACCTCGCAATTGGCGTGAAATAGGTGAGGTAGGTAAGTAACTAGAGAATAGATGGCCCGGGCAGCCGTTGATGTGGACGAGATATCGAGATGAATGGCGGTCTGACATTATGAATGTCGAATCATCTTACTGATAGTACCTTACTGTCCACTACTAGGGTTAGGGCAGTATTCGTAGCCGATTTTTGAGGGTCGGCAACGGGATCATGGGGCTGACTGACCTTTGCAGGAGCACATCGTTCTCGAACGACCGAGAGAACAACAGCTGGGCTCGTTAAACTAACGGTCCGATCTCCGCTTACTACCCCACCGCTTGTTCTCCCCGCGGTCACGCCCGTGGCACCATAGCCAGCGTCTACCGCTTTTGTGAGCAGATTACCTAGGTACTGCGTAGCACCAAGGTTGTTGCCATCACCCCGATACGTTCCGAGTTGTCCGCATTGAGGTGCAGCTAGCAAGTGTCGTACGATGTTCCGCTTTCGAAGCGAGATGTCAAACGGGAAGAAGGGATACCCTGCAAGTACAGTTCGTACCCTGCGAATCATGGTGAGGCTGCGGCGGGGCCCCAATGTTCGTGAGCTCGAAAGGGCGAAAATTGTCTTCCGATTTTGATCCATCAACACCAGAATTTCTCGAGAGCCGCCGCTACCCTGTCGGGCCCGGCCATTGGCGCGTGGCTCTTCGCCCGCGCTGCAGCTGGGATTATGCCACGAGGGGGACGCGTGAGATCACCCGAGAATGGTCGCGAATGCATGGGCATTTCCGGAGCAGCGTCGGCCACGTGAGCCCCCGGGCACTGCGGCTGTAGCCTGATCCGCAAGGCGGAGTTCCCGCTGTTTCATAACCTCAACATCGATATGACGCGATACCCTGAAGGCAACCGCCACGAAATTGCGGAGGTGTACGGCGGTATACCTCGCGCTGCTAACACCTCGGCAGTCCGCCAGCGTGCGGATACACACCGGGCACGCCGGGGCGATTATGGAAATGAAATGGAGGCAAACTTACATCCTTCCTAGCCTAGGTCTGACTCGAAGGTACTGTACAATACCTGGGCGAAGCATGTCACGAAACAGCTCTCTGCGCTTTTTTGGCTAGCTCCAAATACTAGTAGCGCGGCACGGAAGCGGTCCAGGGTTCCTAAATTCTCACACGGCTTTACGAGTCCCTTGGATCGAGCCTCAAATCCTTGGCTCGCGAGGCTGACAGCTGAAAGCGCCATCAGAGACCCGTCAACGTGGACAAGCGGAACATCGACGCGTGGGTCCCGTCAAACGCAACGGTTAGCCGCGCGGGGTCAACCCACAAAACGTAGCCTGACAGTCAGGAAACAGGGGGTCAGATATTTTTGCGCAGTGCCGCCCGGCAGTTTCTTCAGCGCATGGGAACTCTTCTCGGACACTAAAACCCCTGTCGCTCGCGGATATCGTACGAGTTGGGGGCCCCAGACAGACGTTTGACTTGCCGCGGCTTCCTGGGGCAAGGGAAGAAGAGATTTTCCACAGGTCAAGAAGAGATAGGAAGGGAAAGCCGAAATGTTTCCACCCTTTGATTGCCCCAGTTGCTTCATAAACCTTAGAAACCCGGGCCTGTAGCGCGGAGGAACGCCTCGCTTCTTGCTTCCACTTTCACCCACTCGCTCGTTTCGTCTCTTGCTTCTCGTTCCCTATCCCGACACACCGAAGACAGAAACATAGCCGCCCTACCATGGCGCTCACATACCAGCAGTCCAAGCTGGTCAAGGACACCATCCCGGCTCTCCGGGAGCGCGGCGAGCAGATCACAACAACATTCTACCGGAACATGCTGCGGGACCACCCAGAGCTCAACAATGTCTTCAACAGCGTCAACCAGAAAAACGGACGGCAACCACGGGCCCTGACGTCGGTCATCCTCAACTTCGCGTCCAACATCAACCACATCAGCGAGCTGATCCCCAAGTTCGAGCGCATGTGTAACAAGCACTGCTCGCTCGGCATCCGAGCCGAACACTACGAGATCGTCGGCAAGTACCTGCTCAGGGCCTTCGGCGAGGTGCTGGGCGCCGCCATGACGCCGGCCGTATTCGCCGCCTGGGAGAAGGCGTATTGGCTGCTGGCCAAGATGTTGATCGGGCGCGAGTCGCAGCTGTACAAGGATTTCGGTACGTGGACGGGGTGGCGCCAGTTCAAGATCGACAGGGTGGTGCCCGAGTCGGAGGACATATACTCGTTCTACCTGGTGCCGCAGGACGGCAAGAAGCTTCCCAAGTTCTTCCCGGGCCAGTACGTGTCGCTACGGCTCCCCAGCCCGGACGGCTTCATGCAGGCACGACAGTACTCGCTCAGCGAGGCCTGGCGGGAGGACTACTACCGCGTCAGCGTCAAACGGGACGAGGGCGCGCGCTACAAGAACTCGGTTTCCACATCGTACTTCCACCCGGGACTCGTGTCCAACATGCTCATCGACCACATGCCCGCCGGCGCAACAGTCGAGCTGTCCCACCCGGCCGGCGAGTTCTTCCTCGACGTCAACAACACGGGCAACACACCGCTCGTGCTGATCTCGGCCGGCGTGGGTGTCACGCCCATGGTCGCCATCGCCGACACCGTCACCAAGACGCAGCCTGGACGGCCCATTTCGTGGATCCACGGTTCCCGGAGGAGCGTGCCCTTCGAGCAGCACATCATGCAGCTGAAACGGGACAATCCCAACTTTCGCACCAACATCTTCAAGACACAGCTGGCCAGCTGCGACGTCGTTGGCGTGACGTACAACTACGACTTCCGCATGGACCTCGCCAAGGTCGACCCGGAGGACCTGTACCTGCAAAACGGCGGGACCGAGTATTACATTTGCGGTCCGGAGCAATTCATGCTCGAGATGAAGGACTACCTCAAGGCGCAGGGTATCGGGGCGTCGCGCGTCAAGTTCGAGCTCTTCTCCACCGGGGACTTGGCCTTCAAATACCAGTGAAGGAAGCTTCCGAGAAAATGAGCCTTGATGTTTGAGTCCTAATCGCGGCTGTCACACATAGACTTCGATACCCCGGGGCTGGTTCTTCTTGTGAGTCAGGCTGGCTGGCGTATGGTTAACGAGACTATGAAACATTTAGATTTTGAAGAGAGGCAATGCCAAAAAAAAAAGCATCGTCAGCGATGCCGGTTTTGCAACATCACTAGAAGATCCAGGAGAGAAAGACAGGAATTTGCAGTGTTGAGTATGGTGAGCATTGTGCTGACCCGGTGAGTTTGAGAAAAACGACTCGGGTTATCGCGCCCGAGCTTTAAAGCGACTCTACCAGTGAGTCGCCGGGCGAGATCTACGTCTGGAGAAGCCATTTTTTGCACGGCACTAATATGTCAAAAGAAGTCGTACCAGATACCCACGTGGTACCTTACCCAAAGCAACGATAGATCCAAGCCACAAAACTCCGAGGATACAGGTACTAGTATTGATCGTGGCACTTGAGCTACTTGAAGTGAAGCAAGCGCTCGTGAGTCGCATGAGGTCTAGCAGTCTAAGCCACTGCCACGTGCTTAGTTGTCGACCATCAACATCATCAACAATGCACAAAGTTGCCCTGATTCCGGCGATTTTCCAACGGAATTCATGCGTAGGGGCGCAGGGGGCCGTTGAGTTTGATTGCGTGATCCGGAGCTTGTTTATGTAAGGCAGACTCGCGGATGCATTTGCCTATTTTTGGCCAATGGCCCGATCAGGCTTTTGGGGTAACTATCACAGTATGTACATAAAGTTCGATCAAAAATACGGAGTAAACATACGTAATTTGTCGCTATGTGAACCTTCGAGCACTTGAGGAAGACGGTCTAGTACAGTACACGTTCGCACTACAAATGAGGAGTTGGTAATGTGAGGCATCACTCTGCACGTGATTCGGATCTAGTGCGGCATGTAACGTTAATGGCAATCCTGGCAGCATCCACCACTCGGAGCAGGTTCCAAGGCAGCTCGGATATCCTTGGTCCTAGATATCTTGGCTCGAAGTTAGGTAGGTAAGGTACTTATTATCGAGCGACCACACTATGAGATTTTTTGCTAGGAAATCCGAACTATGCTACTATATGTGGTGGATGTAAGTATCTTAGGTTACCTTGTAAACCTTATTAGACCTGACTGATAAAATCTGCACCTGCATGGGGATTGGCCACGCAACGGCGGATCTTCCGGTGCCGAGTGCCGTCACCTGGTGCCCTGGCACGAGACGGGGATACGAGGCCCTTGGCCCAATCATCCCTGGGACCCCATCTCACCCATAGTGAGGTGCCCAAGAAGAGAAACATTTCGCTCAGCCCCATTCTTCTTTCAAATCATCGTGCGAAATCCACTCGTTTTCCCTTCCGTTATCCCGCTCTCGTTTACGACTCTCTACGCTGTTTCTTGCCCCTTTCTTTGTATCACGGGACGCCACGCGGTTTCACCAGGTACTGCGAGTCCACGGACGAACCCTTCATTTCGTTGCCTTGTCACCGCGAATTGCCTTGATTTTGCGCTCTTACCCTGAACGGGTTGATGCAGATCAGTCGGTCATCGCAGAACACACAACACATCAGGTCAGCAGTGAGGAGCAAGGCGCTAGTTAGAATCTTTCCGAGAGCGCCGCATTCCCTTTCGCACCCTCGCTACCCGAGGACTCATCGCGGCTTTCCTTCCTCCATCGCGCTGCGAAACCGGTCACAATGCAGCTGAGCAGAGCGCTCAAGGCTTTTGTCCTGGGCCTTTCGGCGATATCTGTCGCCGAGGCTACATTCATCAAAGTTGATGCCGGCCGCCATGGAGCCGACATCCAACGGAGGCAGGACGATGACGAGAGCGCGACATCTAAACCCGCTGTTACCAGCACCAGCGCGCCTGCAGCGGAGACGACGACATCACGTCCTGCCGAGACAACCACAACCTCAGAAGAGACAAAACCGACTACCACTTCCACCCCGCCAGGGACCACAAGCAAAACTACGGCGGACAATGCACCAACCTCGAAACCCACGATAAGCGACGAGGCACCCCCCAGCACAACGTCTCCCGCCGCTGACTCATCAACCACTGAGGCGCCGTCCTCGAGCTCCGCGGTCGGTGGCGATGATAACCATGACAGCAGTAGCTCAGAGCAGCAGACAACGGTCGTTCAGACAATCACCAAGGTCTTCACGTCGACGGCGCCCGATGGATCACAGATGACTCTGACCAGCGAGACGGTCACGACGGCCACCGCGGGTCTCGCCGGCGGCAACAGCGGCGGCCAGTCCTCGGGCATGTCAACAACGACACGCAACACGGTAATCGGCGTGGTCGTCGGCGTCGGCGGCGCCATCATTCTCGGCGGTCTGGCGCTGGTCGCCTGGCGCATCTGGGGCCGCAAGAAGCACAACGAGGAGAACGACGGCCTGATGGACTACGGGAGCACCGCCGAGAAGCCCGAGTCGGGCGGCTCGATGACCGGCCGCACGCCCTTCCAGAGCACCCTCGAGAGCTACCATGCGCCAACGCCCAATACGGCGGCGAATTTCTAGGTTCTCACCTTCAAATCACGAGCTCGTCATGCCTTGCCTCACTGTCGATAAGCCCTTCGATTTCCCCACCTCACTCTGGGGACACTCGGAGTTCTCTTTTGTCTTTGTCCACGGATCCGTTTCCCTCAATCCCGCTTCTCTGCTCGGAGGATATTCTCATGGCTCGCCAAAAAACAAGTCGGCTGATTACCATCATGCAGACGGTAGGGACTACAAGAAGGAATGTAGAATATGGCAAAAGAACCGGGGCTATGGAGGATGCAGAGGTTTCCGTGGCGTGTAGAGTGTTGAGGTGGCTACTGGACGGAGTGCATTTCACTGGATGTATCAAGCGAAGGAAATCTTCTGTCTTCTCTTGGCTTTTTGCTTTCTTTTATGTCTGATGGCCTTACCTGGATTTGATGCGGTCCGAACGAATCTCGCGCTACGTAGGACTGTTAATTAATACATCGCTAACTATCACTGGAGTTGTGCTTTTCGTGGTTGACTTGGCATTGAGGTAGGCGGCCAGTTTGACTCATCATGTACCTTGTCAGCGCCCTGTGCGCATCCGGAGCTAGGTTCTTATTATATTATCAGGGGCTGCAATGCAGGTACATTGCGATGTCACGTGCAGCAATTTACCGGGAGCATCATGATCTGTCTCAGACTAGTTTCATCTATTGCACTGCAGAAGCAGCCAGGCATGCGAGTTATTAGGTACTGTGTGGTGACTGTGGTCAACCATTTCAGCTGTGTGCGGAACCTGTTCAAGATATTGCCATGACTTTGGGTGGGGGGGTTGCGTTTCTATGTCTTCTTCGATTCCATCTCGATTCTATCTCGATGCGAACATCTGTGTAACTCGGTTCACACTTCTGCTGAACGTTGAATTTATACGACGCCTGTTACGGCCTCATTCCCCCAATCGTTTTGAGTTCGAAGCGACCTCGCCAATCTTTGGGCCAGTAACTCTACAATGCACCTCGAACTTCTCAGTCTGCTCGCGTCCTGGTCCTCTATCGTGACCGCCTCCGTCATCCTTGAGGACGTCGGCCAGAGCGAGTTTAGCATGGGGGTGCTACTCCCACGGCAGCAAAGCCGAACGAACCTGCAGGCTTTTACAGGGGCCTTGGGCGGTGCGACGGCACCCAGTATCACCAACTCGAACGACCCGCAGCGACCATTCGAGGTCGACGGCGACACCTTTGTATGCCATATACTTGCTCTCCTTCCCCGGTAATAGCAGCTCCGTCGCTGATACGGTGTTCGATTCCGGTTTAGACAGACTACGAGAGCGCTGCCAACCGAGCCTGCGATAACCAAAAGAACGTGTGTGCCGACATGGCAAACAACGGAACGGGCTCGTTCAAAGTGGGGGACTGTGACCGGCAGAATGGTGAGTTCGAGTTCCTACATACAAGGTAGCACATGTTGCGGTACAATGCCACCAAAGACTAAGACGAGATGGGCGTTAAGAAAGCTGTAAAAGCGCGGCGTCCTCGGCGACCATCAAGTCTTTTGCACCGCCGGCGCTCGTGAGCTCGACCGCCGAATTCGACATCTTTTGTGACGTATGATGACGATGATCGGGGTTGTGGGGCTTCGAGGTTCTGGGTACTATTTGGGAATAACTATCTGGGGTCTGGTCGTTTGTGCAGAAGAGCAGGTGTTGGCTTTTCCATGAGGAAGATGAGCCCTGAGATGGTATCTTTGGAAATCGCCAGGCGAGGACAATTGAAGTCCTCATACCGACTGGCGGTTTGAGTTATGAAAGTACGGTATTCGGGCATCAGTAAGGCACCGCATGGAGCGGCCAGCCCTGACCAGTGCAGCCAATCGATTGACTCCCTCCCACCTCTAAGCTTCAAGTTTTCTTACCGCGAGCACAGTACCTAACGTACCTAGTCGGGCTTTCCAGCTCCCCGGCCTTCCATCCATAACCGGACTCGAAGGACATTAGAATATGAATTAGGTAGCATGTTAGCAAGAGTCGGTCGTCTTGTCACGGCATATGTATAACAGCAAGGCGGTTTGACTCTTTTCAAGGTTCCGAATTCCGATAGCACGTTCCTAAGCATATTCAGGGTTCTTCCCGACTTGCTTTTGCTCCGGTCCCCACAATGCCCACAGCCCCTGATTCGCACAAACAGGACATGCATGTCTGTCGTGGCCCCTCCACGTTGTCCACGCGGAGGTTGCAGAAAGCTGCGTCGCGACTGCACAATGGATGCCCGTTTTCAAGGCCGTCCTCACTGCATCGACTGGTGTTGCGGGTGACTTATGGCCGGCCCTACTGTAGAATCTAGCCTTCTTTCTTCGCCTGCTCGCGGGCCAAGTACCGGCCATCTGCCCAATTGAGCGGCGAGATTAATCAACGGTAACGTTATACGGAGGTACCTACCAGCCAGAACGTGTGGACCAGTCAGGGAAAATGGACCCTGTTCATTAAAAACAGAACTATTCCCGGCCAGAGAAAATAATTGCCAGTCATTAGTGTACAGGCCACGCCACGGCTCGTCTGTCCCTTCAAGCCAAACCACGGCCGTCCCGCGTCTCCTTGGTGCATCGTGCTGGTCTTGAGGCTCTTCAACCGCCATCACGCTCAAGTCTCTCTCTCCCCTTTAGCAGCAACCGCACGTGCCTCGATGTGTCTCAACGCTCGAAATCGTCGGGTTTTCGTCTTCTTGTCGCTCCTTTGATTCGGTCAGACGTTGAATAGCAGTATTTTAATTTGTTCGCCCCCTTTTTTCCGAACCGATCAGCACACCGACTTCTGCCGCATCCTAGTTTCCAGGCTCAGCCAGGTTGCCAGGAAGCGCGTCGCGTCCCGGTCCACCCCGACGACATCACCGCTCTGGCCGCCCAACCCCGGACATCGTTTGTTCTGGGGTGACGGAGCTCACTTGGCGGCGCGTAGAGTGCGAGAGTGCAAGAGTACGAGAAATCGGTGCAGACGACAAGCGACTCGTCTGCGCTGATCTCGTTCAGGGTGAGCTAGCTTTGATCTGCGCCGCTGCCGAGCCACCCTCGGGTGAGACGCAGCAACCCAACGACGGCGAGGTTAACTTGCGCTCCTCTAGGCCATTGAAAACGTCGTCCGCAAAGCTGTCGCCGCAAACCCCCCTCGTGCACCGGCACAGGACGGTGCCAAGGATTATTACTACCGGGCCCCATACAGATCGGCGACTGCGTCTCCTGCGCTCTCCAGTGCTTCTACAGCCGACGGCGAGGCGTCTCCCCAGCTCCCGCCTCTGCCAACGCCGCGGCTGCCCGAACGAGTCCGCGGGCTGTTGAGGACACCGTCGGACAGTCCTGCCGAGTCCGAGGACGACGGTGCTGAGGATTACGGCGCTAATCGCTGGGGCTCACCGTATCCGCCAAATCTCCGCCAGCTGAGCTCCAGTAGCCCGAGCGAAGACAGCGACGGATCCGAGGACTCGCCAATCCATCGCCTGGAGCTCCAGACCCCGTTCCTGCGGCCGGCACCTCCTCCCGCGCAGGACTTGCACCAGCCAGAGGTACGCCTGCCAGGGATCAGCGCGGCTGCCATCGTCCTCGCGAACCGGGCAAGGCGTATCGCGCACGGCATCACCGAGGGCTGGATCCGCCAGCACACGGCCGGCGGCACCACCGAGCAGGAAAAGCGGCATTGGTTCAGCGACGGCACGGGCGACAGTGAGAACTCTTCATTGAGCGACTCATTCTCCGGCGAGGAAGCTGCTTGGCTGGGCGACGACAGCGTGCGGACGCCAAAGGCAAGCCGCAAAAAGAGCAGCGGCTGGAGCAGGCAGACTTCCCGAAGCGGTCTCGGAAAGCAGTCAAGCAGCGAGACGCTTAGGGCATCACACCCGAGCCGCGAGAAGGGAGCGGCAGCCTCGACAATGGCATCCCCCGACAGTTCACGACCACCACAGGAGGGCGCAGGCGAGTCCACACCCCTGGCTGCCCAGCTGGCGTCCGCTATGGAGAGGCCCCGTACGCCGACAAGAGGTCGCGACGCGGGACCAAACGGGGTCGCCGGTGCTCCGAATGGCAAATCCGGTGCACCCGGTGCGCCCCACGGACCCCTCACGCCGTCAAGGGCTGTCGCGAAGAAGGCGCCGACGGCAACCACGCCGCGCGTCAAGAAGAAGGTGCCATGGAAGGGGAAGAGTGTTATGGTGCTTCTTCCTCGAGATGAAGAGCGTGGCCTGCCGGGCAAGGGCCCAATCCCTCTCACAGAGTCCGACGTCCGCGGCATGCTCCGAAGTTGGCAGCAACTGGGCTACAATATCGACGGATTCGACCTGTACGAGCCAGCCGCCGAAACCGGTCCCTCGGAATATTCCCAAAGTAGGGGCGCTTGGCCGGACCCTGACGACATGGCGCGGGAGCGGAAGGACGGTGGCTGGAGAGTCCTTCTCCCAGACTTGAACGGTATGTACCTTACCTTTGCCTTTCCTGACCCTGCGCCGGCTTGTATTTTCGGGGTTACTGATGGAACGCCTGCAGCGTGGAAAAAGTACATTGACGAGCTCACCGAGGCGAAGCTCCGCGCATTGGGGGTGTCGTTTGGCAATGACGAGCCTCCCCTCCCCTCCGTTTCTCCTGCAGCATCTGCAGCAAGCAAACAAGCGCCATTGGCGCAGTACCCCCCGCTACCCTTCTCCCCGCCGGTACCGACGCCTTCCACATCCAGTAACCAGGGTGTTGCGGGGTTCCCCTTCCCTGCCCCGTTCGTTGCGTCAGCCTCCCAGAGCCCCGGCATCCCGGCGGGCGCCTCGCCCGGGCCGTTCGGTGTTAGGTTCAACCCTCGCGCCTCGATCTCGATCCCGTCTCCGCATGCCTGGTCTCCGCAGTTGATGCTACAGCAGCAACAGCAACAACAAGGCCACCGTGTTGGATCGCCTTCGCTTGCCAACCTCGGCGCCATCATGTCGCCCAGCTCGCCCTTCCCTCCTGACGGGATGCCCGGTGCCGTGCCCGCAGGCCACCAGCGCCACCAGTCGCTGCAGTTCGCTGCGTTGCCTCCCCAGTTCCAGCCGCCGGTTCGAATCTCGCCGCGCTTGCAGGAGCTTCGCGAGGTGGACGAAGAAGCGGAGGTAGAGACTCTACCGACTAAGCCCGAGCATAGCGGCTTCATTCGCCACAATGCTAGTGGCAGCCTGCAAAGGGAGATAGACGAGGCCGAGTATCACTTGGAGGAACAGATGCGGTCGCAGCTGGAGAATGACCAAGACTATAGCCCGGACAACGGCAACGACCAGGCTGGCATGGGTCCAGCGGGCTCTCTCGACTCGGCGGGCGGATCCCTGGTCCAGTTTGGTCCTCAGCCACCGCGGTTCGCGGGTGATGCCGATGGCCTGGTCCTGCATCATCCGCGGCCCCATAGCCGCGGGCACTCGCTGTCCCAGAAATATTTCACGGAAGACGATGCCTCCAAGCAAGGGGCCTTCAGGCCCACCTTGCAGCGAATCAACGCTCAGCCGGCCGAGGAGGACGAGATCGAGACGAACCCAAGCAATCTGGGCACGCCCGTTCAGACTCTGGATTTCTCCAACCTCATGCATCACCGTGGCTTCTCAACCGCCAGCAACCCCTGGACCGACGAGCCTGGCAACGCTGCAGGCGGTGTCCACCAAGCCCGGCCCAGCCATGGCAGCAAATCGTCCTTCTCGAAGTTGAACGTGGAGGCTCCCGAGTTCAAGTTCAACCCTGCGAGTACCTTCAAGCCCGGCGCCTTCGCATTCACGGGCAACACCTTCCAGCCGCTGGCCTTCGGCATGGGATCGAACGCGGCTGATCCGAGCCAGTCCGGCATGCCAGCAAATGCTTCTTCCAAGATCAATGCCACTGCGCCGGTCTTCTCCCCGGGCCAGAGCGAATTCAGTTCCTCCACGTCCAGCCTGAAGTTCCGACCCGATGCTCCTGCTTTCACTCCGCACTCGCTGCCCACTTCTGTCACAAGCCCTGTGATGTCGGGCGGCGAGAGCGGTACTAGCAACCGGGGGGGCCCCATCTTCGGCCACGTCGACCTCAGTGGCGCCGACGTCGTCAAGCCGGTCAAACAATCCAAAGCCATTCCCATCGTTCCGCCAGAAATGCGCGATTCGCCCGCTAGCCGCGGTGCGCAGGAGGATGCTGATGGCCGTCCCCAGGTCGACGTGTCCCGGGTCAAGAGGGCCCGTGCGACTGCGGAGGATGACGACGCCGTGCCGCTGTTCGCCGAGCCCGCGAAAGAGGACACGCCCTTACCCGGGTCTAAGTCGGACGCCACGGCGCAACAAGACGGCGTGCCGGCGGAGGAGAAGTCTTTTGACGAATCGAATCACGGCGCCGCGGACACAACGATGTCGTCAACGATTGTTTCCGAGACAACGGATACCAAGGCAACAGCCAGCCCCTCGGAGGCTTCGCCGGTCCACGGCACCACGAACTGGGCGCCTTTCGAGTTCAAGAGCGCCGTTGACGTGCAGGCCTTCAACGAGGCCCGGCCGTTTGGCGACGACGCCTTCAGGCCTGCCCATAAGAAGTCGCTGTCTGCGACTGCCCGGGCTTTCATCCCCGGTGCACCATGGACGGCTGACACGGCGGCAATGGCTGCGGATACTCCCGCAGATGAACTCACTGATCAACATGCTACGCCAGCGGACGATGTGGTGGACACAGCTGAGCATGAATCGACGGCTCCAGAGGAAGTAGTGATGAAATCTGTTGGCCAGTCGATGGAGGAGGAACCACATCCCCCTCCCGCTCCCGCATCCCCTGAGCTGCCACCTGCTGTGGATGGGCCTTCTACCTCTGAGGACGTTACGCCTTCGCCGCTGCCGCCGCCGCCAAAACGGTCTGGCCTCGCAGCCTCACGTTTCGCCGCTCCGCCTTCTCCTATCAGTGACGACAAGATGCCGAGCGTGGAGGCAGCTGTGTCACCCGTTGAAACCGAGGACCTGTCTATGATCTCGAATCACGATCATGCGGGAGGTGACGAGCCTCTCGAACCAACCATGGCTGACATCGACGAAGTCATGCGCCGGCTGCATGAAAACCCGGATATGGGTGTCAACAGGACCTACCACGACCAGCCGGAGTGGCGCCAGACCAGTCCAACTCGCCGGTCGTCCGAGGCTGCTCCGCCGGAATCGCCGTCGCGCCAGCCTGCGCCGAGCTACTCGCGAAGCGACGCTCCCAGTCCCAGCCAGGCCGATTACCGCCGCCCGGCGTCCGTCGAGCTGGAGGATCCCTTCACAGATCCACCTCGCAGTGCCCAGCTTCCCCAGGGCGCGGTCCACCGTCTCAATGGCAGCGACAGCTTGCCTGCTAGTGACTGGGAAGGTGTCTTTAGCGAAGACGAGCAAACGAAACTCGAGTCGCGGGTCGCCTTCTTCGACGGCCGCGTCAATGAACTTGTTGGGAACCTCCTTGCTGCCCGGCTTAGCCCTCTGGAACGGACTCTGGACAGCATCAACCATGCGCTGCTAGGCGTCGCCAAGCGCACGCCATCCAGCCGGCGGGGAAGACACAGCGTATCGGCCGAGGTGGGCGAAAGCGACGCTGATGACGAGGACGATGAGTTGCCCGTTCCTATGCGGTCCACGAGCCCGCGCCGGGACCGCAAGATGGAGCTGATCCGCGCTGCCGTGCTAGATGCCTTTGCGATGCAGCGTCGGAGCCAGCCAAGCGAAGCATTTCCGCCTGCTGCTGCTGTGCCCGGTGACAGCGCTCTTGTCCTAAAAGCGCTAGAGGACGTAAAAGAGCAGTTCCGCCAGTCACTCCAGCCAGCCTTCCGCAGCGAGGATCTCAAGAGCATCGTGGAAGACGTTGTGGAGCGTCGCATTCCCCCTCCACAGCCCGCCGCGGACAAGGACGAGCAGGTGAATGCGCTCCGAGCGCGGGTCGCTGAGCTCGAACAACGGCTTCGTGCCGAGGAGGCCAAGGTCGAGGCCGAAGCCTCTGCCAGGCGTGCTGCCGAGAACCGTGCAGCGGAAGTTGATCGCGAACTGCAGTCCGCCGCCACTAGGATTGAGGTGGAAATGATGAACAAGAGCGCACAGAACCAGCGCATTGCCGACCTCGAAGATCGGGCTCATCATGCCGAGGGCAAAGCAGAAGAAGAAATCAAGGGGAGGCGGACGGCCGAAGACCGGCTCTCCGAGGTCCAACGCCTGCTTCGGATATCGTCCGAAGAGGAGACGCGGCTGAGGGAGCTTGTCGAGGAGAAGGACCAGAAGATCAGGGCTGTCGAAGCTGCGCAGAGCGAGGCAGTCATGCGTCTCACCGTGCTGGAGGCGAGCCAGGCCAATGCCCACCAGTCCCAGAGCGAATCGCAAAACCGCATCAACGCGCTCGAGGTCGAGGCGCGCGAGGCGCGCAAAGAGGCCCAGCACTGGCGATCGGAGACGGATCGCATCGTAGCTATCATCCATCGGCGCGACAAAGATCTCTCTCAGGCGCTTGACGAAAACAAGGCCTTGCACAAGCTCATCGACACCCTGGGCACGCAGTTGCAGGAGAACGAGCGAGTCCGCGACACGTGGCGTTCCAAGTTCCTCTCGATGCAGGAAGAGATGGCGCAGGCGGCCAAGCAGATCACCGAGGAGAATGCTCGCCGTACCAAGAAGGAGCAGACGCTGCTTGCTCGCCACGAGGTCCTCGAGGCCCGGCTGCAAGCCGAGGCGAGGACCCGTGAGCGTATCGAGACGGAGCTTGAGAGGCTGGAGATGGGCGAGCGCCAGGGCATGAGAGCCGTCGCCGAGTGTAAGAGACTCGAGGGGGTCCTGGCCGAGATGCGCACGGAGAACCACAAGCTGCACCAGAGCGCTCTGCGCTACCAGGCCGAGTTCCAGGAAGCCAGAGAGTCGGCGGCGCGCGAGGTGCAGCGCACGCGCGACGCGATGCAGGCCGAGGTGGACAGCGCAAACCACCAGGTCAACGTTGTGCGCGAGGAGCTCGAGGACCAGATCTCGAGGCTCAGGGCGCAGCTCGACCAGGTCAGGCTGGATGCGGACACGGCCAAGGCCCGCCACGACATGCTGCTGGAGGAGGCGCAGAACTCGAAGCACACCGAGCTCGAGGAGCTTGTGCGCAAGCATCAGAACGAGGTCGAGGACCTGCAGGCGCGGTACGAGCGCCAGCTCAGCAACACGACCGAAGACGCCCAGCGGGCCGAGCAGAATCTCCTGGAGCGCCTGAGCATCTCCACCTCCAAGTCGGAGCATCTGCAAGACAAGGTGGCGCATCTGGAGGAGAAGTTGGAGATCGCCCGGGAGGCCGCGCGGGCTGCCGCCCATGCTGCGAAGTCCGTGGCCAGCGCGGACCCGGAGACGACCATTGCTCAGCCGAAGCCCGCCGCTGCACGCCCGCTCGAGCTCCCCGAGAAGATCTCGCCGCAAGCGTTGCGCGAGTCGATCATGGTGTTGCAGGAGCAGCTGCAGGAGCGCGAGCAGAGGATCGAGGAGCTGGAACTGAAGCTCTCCAAGACGGATCCCGAAGCAGAGGCCAAGATCTCCAAGCGCGACGACGAGATCACCTGGCTGCGCGAGCTTCTTGCCGTCAGGCACTCGGATCTCCAGGACATTATCAGCGCTCTTGGCCGGGACGATTACGACAAGAACGCCGTCAAGGACGCCGCCATCCGGCTCAAGGCGAACCTACAGATGGAGGAGCAAGAGCGCGAACGGGCCATGAACGGCGGATCGGCTATCCGTCTGCCCAACATCGCAGCAACGATCCGCGACGCAGCAACGCCTCGCGTCGCCCAAGCGGTGGGTCCTCTGGCTGCAGCTTGGGGAAACTGGAGGAAGGCGCGCGACCTCGGCAGCGCCCTGTCGTCGCCGGCCCCGGCCAGCGGAAGGGACTCGACACCTTCGCGGACCGGCTCTTCGGCAAACAGCCTTCTTGGCGGCCTCTTGACACCGCCCGCCTCCGGCATACGCCAGACCCCGACGTCCCAGGCCAAGCAGCCGACGGCCTTCTCCAGCACCGGTCGCCGATTCACGGCCCGCGACCTCGCCAACAGGCCGAGGCCACCGCCTTCTGCTCCGGCTCCGGCTCCGGCTTCGGCTTCGGCCTCGGATGATAATGACACAAAGGACAAGGCGCCGGAGAGGCAGGAGACCCCTCCGCCCCCCTCTCGGCGCCTGCTCGCCGGACCAGTCACGCCTCCGATGATGCGCGCGAGCGCGTATGATGACGATGCCCAGGCGGAGGACTTCGATGACGCCGGTTTCTTCGAGGATTGAGCGACGACATGGGACGTGGAAAGAGGAGGCCAGCCTACCAGCATCAACACATTTTTTTTTCCTTTGTCAGTTTCCTTGTAGTCATATTTCAGTGGATCACGGCGTACATGATGTGGCACACGGCCAGCACCGGAAGTGGATGTGTAGCTTAGTTAATGTCTTTTCTTTTTCTCTTCTCAACCCCCTTCTTATTTGATCATTTGCCTCTTCTTCGCTGTTCGTTTTTGCTCTGCAACCAGCAGCACCCGAGACTGGAGATTATTACTACAACTAGAATGATACCCCCCTCTTTGTTGGCAAACCTTTATTTTATTCCCCCTCGTGCGAAAGTCGGCTCTCGAGGGGCCGTATTTGATAATCGGATTTTTGCATGTGTTTAATAGTCCGTTCTGTTAGATAATATGCAAAACTCGCACTTCTTCGAGAAGGGAACCTTAGTATGTCCGTACTGTCCGCATCTAATCAGATACACCGGAGAGGTCGATCGTGCGGGTGTTGCATATCAGGATCGCTTCTTAAGTCTTGCGCGGAAGAACTAGCTTAATCTCAGGCTTTCTGGAGGGATAAATAAGAGCTACGACCGGCAATCCGATATAAGGTTAAGGGAGGAAGCTGGCTCCTGCCTTTCCACTGCACTATGTTTTGGAGGCAATTGTCGAACTTTGGGCGACGTTACACAGATAAATGTGCCCGTGACACGATCGGACCAAGCAAGGCACTGCTGGACTCAGCCGCGGAATGGATTCCAGGACGCATCGCAGAGAGAAATCCTCAGCCGTCACGAACCTGTCACCCAAAAGGGTAGGGAACACAGCGGATGTCTCAGGCAGCGTGAGGGGTTCGATACCTAGTACGGATGACAATAGTTATCACACGCATGTTATGTTACCTAATGGTAAACTTGACTATCAATCAGCGACTCACCAGGTCGCTTCCCAGCCGCTCAAACGCCCTTCTCCTCGGCCCCGGGGTGGGACTCTAAATATTACGGCGATGCGTCCAATCAAGCCCGCCTGCACCGCAGCCAGCAAAAGCATAAAGCCACAAGGTAGTCTATATTAACTAGTAAGGTAGTTACCTACTAGTAGTCGGTGGGTTCCATCTTGCGCAGGAAGGACTTGGAAGCGAGAGAGGCCTGAGCCGGCTCGCTTCCGGGCCCGTCCGCCCGTCCGTCCACAACAAAAGCCCAGATCTCAGATCGACACGCGGATAGCGATCGTTCCCGAGAGAAATAGAATTTTAGAGTGAAGCTTTCTGGCTACTGCAGCCTAAAAATGTCACAATCCGTGGACTGACATCCTGTTTTGGCAGGTGCGAACACGAAGGATGCGGGACGTGGCTTTTTTAAAGCTGCTTGTCAAGCGCCGGCGCCGGGGATGGCTTCAAAAGTTGCTGATCCCGCCCGTCTGGTAGCGAAGCCATCCCTCCACGTGTTGGGTGAGCCCTACATATGTAGACTGCCGCCTCCCTGCCCGTTACAGCAGCAACCTCGTCTCGGGCGCTCCTCCGTTGTGAGAGCCCGTCGGAAGGGTTCGTTTGTCATCATGGAGGCGGGCCTGCGCTGCTGTGCGATGACCATGCTTTTCGCCTTGTGGCTCAACAAGTTCAAGGTCATGTCCAATGTACTGCGTCCCCACCACCTTAGTGTAGGGGTTACAAAAGTCTCCCACTCATTCCAAAGGGCCTGCAGACAAATATTGGCATTTGACCTGATTGGGAACGTAATATTTCGGGATTCTCCGGTTATTGTACTCAGCGCGCAAAATATCCTCAGATCTGGTTTGTCAAGATTGTCATCTAAAATCCCTTTTCATCTTGGATGATCTTGCTCCTCTTCAGAGTCGTAACTACTAAGTACATACCCCATGCAAGCTGGCTGGTGTTGACACTGTATGGACTCCGACTGAAATGAGCTGAAAAGTTCCGCCCAGCGGTACTGTGTGACATACACTATGTACTGTACATTCCTTTGTCCAGTTACACCATCCCGCGAGGGTGGCTTTGCTGCACCGAACTTTTTTCTAGAGCCCTCCCTCCCACTGTCCCACGGTGGGTGTTTGTCTTTTGCATGCAAGAGTTTCTCCTAAGAATGTGAGGCGAGAAGTGACGGACTTCTCGAAGCACATAGTGGCTTGCAGGCGCCTATCACACCGACTCCTGCCGTTCGAGTTGGCAGATCGGTGTAGAATTGGTCCAGTGATGCGACTTTTCAAACTTGGAGTAACCGTCTGTTTCTATGTTCGATAGTTACGCCTGCAGCCGAAATAACGGAAACAGCTGGTGTTCCATGACGGCCCCGGGATTCGAGCATACAGTGCCTACTAGTACTTTAGTGTTAAAAAAAAAAAAAAAAAAAAACGGCAACTATTCCGTACCTTATTCAATCTCAACAGTACAATTACGGGACTCCTCGTGATTTGACGTTGATCCCGTTCGATACTATGCATAACTAGCCGGTACTATCACTAGAATTCGGTGAGAACCACCAGCTATCCTACACTTTCTATGGGTGAGGCAGCACGGGTATCACGGTATCCGAAGGCTCGAGGACATTCACCCATGCGGTGTGACCAGCCTCAGCGGGTGCGGAGTGCAAGAAGGATCGATCACACGAACAAACATGAGCCTAGATTTGCGCAGATGAGTGGACGTCTTGGCGGTACCCTTCAGCAAGGGGGGTCCCAAGCAAGCAAATGTCCACATAACCCCAAACTGATGACTGCGGGAAATGCATGCTTCTGGAGGACGGGAGTCATTGTGGTTGGCTCATGGGTTGCTTGATTGCTTTTCACCTCGTTAAAAATTCCCAAAAGGAGCAAGGACTCGATTTCCTGTCCGCCGCAATGCATGGCATGGAGCAAAAACTGAAGCCAATCCTTGGGGTTACCCTACGTACAGCATTTCCGTGCCATGAACGGGTTGCACCGCGACTTACGCATAGGTGGCAGATCTGGGCTTTCTTTCTGTGCTCTACAGTATGTCAGTACGCGTGGGGGAAAGGTAGGTACCTTCGCTGATGACGGAGCACCTATCGTAGTCAGGAGCCGTTCTGTGGTTTGTTTCCTTGGAGAGCTCCGCTTGAAGTGTTTGATCAGGTCTTCGCACATAGCCTTTGCTTTTTCTACACAGTGCAATGCAGACACTGGAGTACAGTACATCCCCGTCCCTTACCGGTCAATCTCCTCTTCAGGCCCCTGCACCCTCAGCTGAATCTAAATGCTCTCAGATCTCAATGCACGCGGCCAGAAAGGGGTTAGGGCCGGCGGCAGAAGTACTGTGTGTTGCTAGAAACAGTAGGCGAGATTTATTGAGTAGAAGCACCGAGAGGCTGTCGGAATTGCGTTGCAATAGTTATTTTGTATGGTGATGGTCTCGCGGATGTCATGAGAACCCGTAGCACAGACATCAATAAGGTATCCCCCGGCTTCCGGGGTGTGCCATTGCGGATCATCCGAGAGTGGAGTCTATCCACATATGGTAAGGTAAGCAAATTAAGCGGACGGGAGGCGTAAGTGCCTCATGCGCCGCAGCCAGACATGGCCCCATCGTTTCTCGAAATGCCAATCCAATGCAATGGGACGCCGTCATTTGTCCATGCAAGCTTGTGTGTTCCCGATCATACGTCCCTTATTATTACTGACCGCCTGACTATCTTTACTAGTGTAGATACGACCTACCTACATACATACATACAATATGACCGCTGTCACTAACTCAAGGGTTTGCTGCGTTGTAGCATCCATCCGAGAGGTCACGCACGTCAACTTGCACATTCTACTACTAAGTATGTAGTAGTGTACCTTAGTTATTTTTGGACCGACAAAGACAGTTGTGGAGCTTAGTGTACCTAGCAACTCATTAAAGGTGGGCCCCCCAAGCGAGCAGGGATACGGGTAGGTAGTTACTAAGGTAGTCAGGACGAAACCGGCGAAAGCTGGGCCTTTTTTTACGGAGTATACCGGGGCGTCTAATCCGCGACGGTCCCAAACTTCAGTAGCGACATGGGCAGTTCACTTCCCGCTTTGTTACGTCTATCGCTAAGCTCATTCGACGGCCCGGTGTTGGGCAACGTAGGTCAAATCTTTCCCAGGCACGCCAGGGTCCATGCGCGATGTCGACAACGCACCAACGAAGAGTTCCGATCTCTAACCAGCCTCTCGGTGTCGAAGAAGACATGGCCAAGAACTTGTTGGTTGCGGGGCCCGGACTGAAGTGTTAACCGGTGTGGATCTCGATCCCTGTTGCACATCATGCTTTTTTGACATCCATTGAGATCATCAGCCCGCTAAGCTCAGATGAACACCGGAACTCGACACTTCCCTGGGGCAGCGTCTCTGGCTCACGGCATTCAATTTGGAGAATGAACCCCACGCTACCTGTCTACAGCCGTAGAAGTTGTTACGGGAAGCACTTGTGCCACGTTTGGGGCTTGGTGCAATTACTAAAGGCAGTACTAGTATTTAGGAGACATCCCGTGCTTAGAGCACGCGGATGTTCCGTCCGCGGCTCAGGCGGCGTAAAAGGGAACCCGGACATCACGGCCGCGAGAGACAGAGAGCTCTCCTGTTGCGGTACGGCATCCCTCGGCCCGTGTCGACTGCCATTTACACTAAACAGACGGTCCGCTTGATCCCGAAAAGATGCGGGCTCTCGTGCTAGACCTACTGCCACCCCCTACCATCCCGGCTCCCACATCACAAACATCCCAAACATGTGTCCGCTTGGAAGAGCTTCCCCCAGGTGAAGGTCCATATTTCAGACAGGCAGACTATGCCGGATCTGGACGTGTCCGCAGGCCTGGATCTCCAGGGCGGTTCGTTCTTGTTCTAGCGTGTCACCTACGTACACCCCCTGCCTCGGGGAAAAGTAAGCGGGCTGCTGCCACTCCCAACCTAATATCTTAAGGGACTCCGTTGCCGTCCCCATCCCCCGTTACTGGGTAACCCATGCAGAAGGGAGCTCGGACTTGGTCTTGGTGACTTCTTCGGACCACGATGTGAGCCCGAGTCACAGAAGAAGAGAGTTACACATTTGACAGGCAGCAGCACACTTTGCACTCGCCTTTCGAGTTCTTTACTATACTTTCCGTCCAGCCGCGGATTCAATAGGACACTCTCCCAGCAGCTGGGCGCAGATCAAATTCTGGCTGGCAGAGCGAGCGGCAACAGCGACCTTCCAAGTTCCTGCCAGTGGGTAATAGCGGCAGCATCGTTCCTTCCTGGACTTGCTGTTCGAATCAGACGGGACACGGAGCGGCCTAAGTAACGAATTCTCTTCGTGACTGCCTATTCCAGACAGCGGGCGACTGGAAATGGACTGCGGCTTCCGTTCCTAGGTACTACACAGCAGGCACCGTGTCTTGGATCAATCTGTGGACTTGAATGAGCCCCGATCCGCTGCTGGACTGGTCGCATCTTGTGGACCATTCCTTATTCCTCCGTTCGTCTGCACATCTGGCAGGCGTCACAGCACTCAGCACACAGTAGCCGTCTTCTGAGACCCCAATCTCCAAATCGGCAGCAAAAAGGAAGAGCGTGTGGCTCCCTCATCTCGCAGCCTCCCACCTTGTCTTTCAGCCCTCCCGCGCTAGGGCTCCCTGGGCTTGCTGGGATTGACCCAAGGCCCCTTGCCCCCTTCCCGCCCCAAATCGGACTCCCTCCCTTTCTAACCCCACCTGGTGAGTGTGTACAAAGCACAGTAATCGGGGCACGAGGCACGAGGAGGCGCAACTCAAGCAGCCCAAGTACCGGCGCTTGTCTCCTCCACTGCCGCCCAGAGGCGCTTTCATCCCAACGGACAACTTGAACTCAGAAGATTGCCAGCCCCGTCTTCTTCATCCTCACACCCCTCCCCAGACGACCCCCAAACCCCATGCCGCAGAGCCCCGAGCCCGACAACACCAATATCCAATAATCGAGGGCCTCACATTTCGGACAGTGATCGACACTCCACACCTTGTTCGCGACCGAACCCAAACATCTGGGTTTGCGGAACCCAAAGACTGGAGAAGCATTAAAGGGTTGCGGCCCCCGGGATGGCTGTCTGTCTGGCGTTGTGGCTTCAGCCTTTCTGACCGTTACCGCAACGCTTGCTGCCGGCATTATCCAGCCAAAGAGTCGGGAACCCCTCTGGAGGGCTCCAAGTGTCTACAGCAGTCCGCGAGCGTTGTTGTCCGGAATCGTCGTATCAACGACCGAGACCTAACCACCACAAGGCATCTGCCGGGGCTCATCGCGAACGCACTAGACGTAACGGCGGCGACCAAAGGATACGACCGACTGGCATTCTTGTTGGGGAAGCCAATCGTGCCTCGCCTTGCCACTGGATGCTGCTGAAGGGTGCAAGAGTATGGGAGCTTCAAGCGTGGCCTCTCAGAGACCACTCCCACTTCCGGAGTCACACAGTACGCGGTACCCCAGCCATGCTTCTACAACCATGACTACCATCCCAAGTGATAGCGGGTTCGATGTTCAGCTGGTCCCCCCTTCAACAGGCACTGTCCCTAAGCCGCTGTCTCTGTCTTCCTCTTCCGACCCCGCCCCTTCATCCTCCCATAGCACAAACAGCACAGCAGCAGCCACAAGTATTCCAAGGACCAGTTTTCTGACTCGCTCAGGAGCAATACTAGACGGGTTCCCACCGTCAGCCTCCCACAGCACCGGATCGCAGTCGTCGCAAGGCACGCCGCTCTACTACGGCCACATGACGGGCTCGTGGCCAACGCCGGGTTTATCGCAGGCTCCGGCGTACGCGTACCAAAATGCAAACTCCGGAGCCCCTGGCTCAGGTCCGCTGGCCCAGCCTCCGTACGCTCGATCACCGGCATCATACGGATCGGCCCCCTCGCCCTCGCTCCCGCACTTCCCCGGCCACCCCTCTTCCTCGGCTCCCAACGGAGAATCCATATCCGCGCAACAGTCGTACCATGATCCGCAAGGAGGGAACCAAGAGTCCGGGCTTAACCAGTCCATGCTCGGCAACCCAACTTCAAATCCAGCACGACTGGCAGCACCAGGACATAGCACATCAGTGGGGGGTCCGTCAATGGTGCACGAGGGAAGCTCTTACCGCCAGCCGCCTACGCCGACCAGCTATTATCCACCGAACTCGGCGGCGCAACAACAGTCTTTCCCTTCGTATGCCTCACCCGTGACACAGCCTTCACCGACGGCTGCCTCGCCAGCCACTACGTCGGGTCCTCTTTCACGGGGGCCGACCTCGATATCCGGAATGGCCCCGCCGGTACAGTATTCAGGCGGGCGCGCTCACCAGATGCCGTCCATGACATCCTATGCATCATATAACTCAATCTCCGGTCCAGTGCTGAGCAACATGCATCATCCGGGCGCTCCCGTAGCTATGGTTGGCAGCATGCAAGGGCTTCCCGGCTTCAGCCACCATCATGGGCTATCCCCGCATCATCCGCATCAGCTGTATGGCCATCACCCGGGCGGTCCGCCACCGCAGTCGGAGCGCCCGTTCAAATGCAACGAGTGCTCGCAAGCTTTCAATAGGAATCACGATTTGAAGCGGCACCAGCGGATACACCTGGCTATCAAGCCGTTTCCATGTGATGACTGCGATAAGAGGTTCTCTAGAAAAGATGCGCTGAAGGTGCGTCGCGAGACTGTCCGCGGTTTGCTTTTGCGCTCTAGTTGTGCTGATAGACTTCCCAGCGGCATAGACTCGTGAAGGGATGCGGCGGCATTTCGCCTACAGATGGGTCCGGCGTTGCAACAAGCGCCAACGGAGACTCCCCTCACGACGGCGATATTGCCAGAAGCGCCGATCGAGACGGCAGCCCGTCGCAAGGGAAGAAGGAGCCTTAAACCTAGCGCGTCTATCAGTTTTCACTGCCGACGCAGCACCCTTGCTGCGAAGTGCTAGATACTCTACTCTGTCATGACATCAGAATGCCTTCTTGGAACAACATGGTGCACGAGCCGGACGGAACCGCCGCGTCATGTTGCATGGCCTTTGCGGGTTGTCTGTTTTTTTATTCGTTTATTGGCGTCGAGGGCAAGGGACTCCTCCGGGGAAAACAGGACCGGGATATGGCGTCAACTATCAGGGACGAGGTGCAAATCACTAGCCCAAGGAAGAGAAATAGGGAGGTTGACCTCGGGGTCAGGTTACGGAAGGCACGGTCTCCAAGACTAAAGAGGGGGAACGTAGGTGACTAAGCAAAGTGCGCATCCGGGTTCGTTATTCCTTTACTACTAGACTCAGAGGCCCTTTCCCCCTTCTGTTTGGCTTAGTTGATACCATTCCACTTTTGCCTCCAGTTTGCAAGTTCGTTTGGGGTTGGTTCTGGGCAGCTAAACGTTCATCCTGTCTTTGGGGTTCAGGGAATCAACCCATTGGTTCATGTTTTTACCGGTTGGATATTATATGAGGGCACCCAGAGCCCACTAGCAACGGAGAAGTGTGTCGTAGCATGCGGTGGTATACCCAAGTCACCAATTGAAGCAATTGTGCTTTTCCCCGAGTGTATCCTCCATCGGGAGAGTCAAAGGGGAAATAGGGGCCTTCTACGGTGAAAGTAAACAGACGGCACATTGGCCACCTTGAACTCGTTGGATTATCCCTCAGAAGCCGGGGCCATTCCGTTCCCATCCATGGAAGGTTTTGTTGACGTGATCAGACAACCCGAGTCTTAGGACCAGTAAGAATCAGTACAAGCATGGGAGGCATGACATTCGGCTCGCCGGCAGAGGCTAGCTTCGCATCATCATTTGGGTGATTTGGCTTGGGGATTCCAGTCCAAAGCGGACGGTGAAGCAACCGGTTGGTGGTCAATCACAGATCTAAGGGCCAACAGACTGGATCTCGAGCCCAAGATACCTACAGTACCCTGGACCCTTGCCTCTGATAGCTTCAGCTGAGAGCTGCCCGCGGAATCGAGTGAGGCGGGTGGGCGGGTTTCGGTAAGGTGCATTGCGCTGTGCAGTTAGTTTGCATCTTCTCGGGACTCTGCATTCTCAATTCCGCCTGTCTCTGTCGCTATGACCCAGGTGCGGATTCGGACTGTCAGACTGAACCTCACGAGGAGTGTTGATAGTTATTCGTTCTCTCAGAACCCCACGGTCTGCCCTCAAAGCGTCTTTCCTTATGATAGTCCCGTTTCAACGCAGACATTTGTTTCCAACACATCAAAAAAAAAATTTATATCCAAGTGGTGTGTTATGTATACCACCTTTAGGTGTGTGTCTCAGCCACGCAGAAATGAAATTGTGACAGAAGAGGGGATTATTTCAACACCTTTACGGTATACGGCGAGCTGGTGTCCGTACATGGTATTCCCTCACTCGATATCCACATTCGGGCGACAGCAAATGCATACAATACAGTATGCCCTACATACGGGATACATCGAAACCTCTCCTCGGCAAACCTGGAGGAAGATCAAAACTCAGGGGCGGTAACTAGTTCCCCTGTTGTTTGCTATTCTCCTTCCGCTAGTCGATGCAGCTGAACGCAATCTGGGCCACCTTAGGAGTCAGCCATTGGGTATTGACCAAAGTTCCTTAATAAGGCAATGTTTGTCTGTGCCAAAATGTGTTTACCTACGGCACAAGGTCTCTGCTGGGGCCCCACGAGCAGATAATTTAGCGCCGGCGATGCATCATGCTTCGGCGACTCCTGGGGGTTTTCCCCCACGGATGAGAATGGAGGTGTGAGGCATGGTCCTGGAGGGCCAACAGCCGCCCGTTTCCTGATCCGGCGGGCTGAGGTGTAGCAAGCCGCCATGCCACGCGACCCTGCAAGGTGCCTCGAGCCACCCCAGCTTGTCCAGTTTGTCAAGCTGGGGACACGTGCCGGACGGAGACCTCCGTGAGCCAACAACATATATATACACTAGATAGCGTATGCATGTGCCTCTGCATCCTGGAGCACCGCAAGAAGGTGGGGTGAAAGACTGGCTATTCTGGAGGGTGAGCTGCGATGTTGCCGCCCTCTTATTACGCAATCGTAGCTGATCATGCAGAGCCTTGCTCTGGACTGAGACCAAGGTACCATGTCGGCCAGTGAGGAACAATGAGATGCCACACTTCGGTGAAGCATCATTGGTCGAGAACTACGAAGACCGAGGCGCCCACGGGGTGGGGAGTAGGAGTGGTAGACAGAAATCAGAATAGCCCTCAGCAAACTGGCCTCCAGGTGGGGTGATGGATTTGTTGAGTCTCTTTGGTTCATGCGGGGATGCTTCTTCTTGCTTCGTCTGAGGCAAACCCACCTGTCGATCTGGTGTGTCCGGTCCTCTTTCTTCTGCACTCAACGGAAGCAGGGGCGGACCGAGGTTTACGTATTGTGTCCATTGACGATTCTTGGGGACACAGTGCCAATTTGATCAATGCTTTCGGTCTGCTCCATCTGAGTTTGTACAGTACGTACATACTGGTACTGTAGTTCGGTAGGCTAGCAAGCCGAAACACAAGCAGCGCTGAGGTGGCTGATCGGATCAAGTAAGGCTTAACGTCGAAATAGGCCTCGCCGCGAGATAAGATGCACTTACATAAATAACCTAATTCAGATATAGTCGCATGCGGATCTGGCCGTCGTAATATGGGACACCTGCAGTGTTGGAATCGCTGCGGGCCATCCGGCTCGCTTGCTTGCGGAATCTGGGCAGGCAGCAGATCTCCATAGCCGAGGGACTGGGCCATCTCGTGCTTGTCAAGCGAGACGGAAGCTTGGTGCGGCTCCCAACACTCTTCGTCGATACTCATTTGCCATCTTGGAGAGCTCTGCGAGGTCTACAGTCTAGTCTACAGTCTACTAGTAGCAGATAAGGTAGGTCAAAAGTTCCCTACCTACCTGTAGGCTATCCTGAGGAAGCGACGGATAGCTCAGCTGCCGTCAGTGCTCAGTTGTTCTTCAAGGACAGAAACAACGTAGCTTAGGTAGAATACCTGACGTAGAATATGTACCGATGGACGTTAGAGTGCTGTGCCAGTGGGGTGGGGTCTGTTAGTGTCAAGCTGTAAGCGGGTACCGGTACCTCGGTGGCTCGTGCGCTCGTCGCCTTGTGGCGATTCCGAATCGGAAAGCACCAATCGAACGCTTCATGCCTTTCAAATCCGGTAGTAGCTACGGCGCCATTCTCCTCCTTCGCCGTGCATCACAGCGTACCACTCTGAGCCACTCTATTAAGGTTTGCGGTGTAAGGTTGGGATTGCTGACCCGCTCCCCGCCGCACAATTTGAGCAAGTTTCGTAACGTTGAGGCGCGGACGTTCCATGGAATCCATTTCCAGAAAAGTACTTGATCGCGACACTTCCCCGGGAAGGTGTGATCCCGTCTCTTTGCTCGTTTCACCCAAGAATAAGCCAGCTTGGCGACAGTTGCTCCAGAGTCGACCACAGCGCCGTTCTCTTCTTAATCAAACACGAGCTTGTGTCTCGAACCCAAACTTCGGTCTCAAACCATCCCACGCGGCAGCTAAAAGGGCAACGAATACGACGTTTGCATCAGATTTCTCGCCACAGCGGTGCGCGGGGAGCACGGGGAAAGAGCAAGCCGTGGAGCTGTGACAGTCATCCAGTCTTAATTCGACGAGCTTAGTATATACCAGGTACTTAAAAGCCGCCGACGGTTGAGATTCCTGGAGACCTTCCGCGCCACCTCTTATCAATCTGGAATCGAAAACCCACCAAATATGAGCGCACACCCACTGTTTCCTAGACATGGCGATGCCGCGTCCACGGACACACACTCGGGCATGACGATGGACATGGGCGGCGACTCGTCCATGTCGTCATCGCCCATGATGATGTCAGTCTTCCAGAACTCGATGTCCACCGCGCTTTTCTCGTCACGATGGACGCCCCATAGCACAGGCACCTACGCGGGCACGTGCATCTTCCTCATCATCCTAGCCGTCATCTTCCGCGGCCTGCTGGCCTTCAAGTCGTGGCAGGAAACCAGGTGGCTGGACAAGGAGCTCAACCGGCGATACGTCGTCGTCAACGGCAGGGGCACGCTGGCCGAGAACCTCAGCCGGGATTCGCTGGCCAAGGGCGCCATGGTGGTGAGCGAGAACGGCGTGGAGGAAAACGTGTTGCTGGTGAGGAGGCGGACGCCATGTGCGCGCCCGTGGAGGCTGAGCGTCGATCCGTTGCGCGCCGTGATCGATACTGTTATTGCTGGCGTGGGATATCTTCTGTGAGTGGCCTTTACTTCCTCTTACATATGTGCATGGTTTGGATTAAGACTGATTGGTTGGTGCAGGATGTTGGCGGTTATGACCATGAATGTCGGCTACTTCCTATCGGTCCTCGGCGGCACTTTTCTGGGGAGCCTTCTTGTGGGAAGGTTTATCTCATTGAGCGAACATTAATTGCAACCTTCGAGCGCACAGAGGGCACACAGCCGATTCTTTAGCATACGCGTGCGCAATCGGCTTGGAATTATGATGGGTATGACGGGGCTTGGGCGTTTATGGGTACAGGTCGGAAGGGGTTTCTTCTTGGATATCGGGTTTCGCGGCGCGGTAGCTTGATGCCCTGTTTTTGAAGGCTTTTGGAATACCATTCGAAGAATACGTTTTCTTCGCTTCAGAGATCATTCAGATGGTTGGGCACTTTGAATCCGATTGTTGAGAGTGCGACCACTCAACAGCAATCGTGCGTCGTTCCAGCACCAAACATCTCTGTTAGCGACAAGGGCTATGGAAAGTATCGATACTTGCCACGGCGAAAAGCGGCGCTAGAGCGGAAACTTGCTCAAACCCGCGCAGCCGGGAACGACGGACCCCACACAGCGCCAAGCCAAACGGTCCGCCTTCCGGATCCGGATGCGAGGCCGATCTTGGTGTCGGCTTCGAATCTTCGATCCGGCCCGGCGCCGGCAGAACTTGCACTAGCCGACGACGGTGTCGAGCCAGCGGTATCCACATAAACTGCACCCGGGGATCCATGTGGACATAACTACAGTATGTAGGGAGTTAGGGCTTGACGTCGCGCCTGCCCGGCTGAGCCCGCCATGTGCGCCCTTGGCTCAGTCTTATAGCCGATCCTGGCAATAGTATCTGCAGTACATCCCCTCCGTGCAAGTGTGGGCTAGGTAGTATGGGTATGGCGACGGTACGCTTGGCTCTTACGATATGGCCCAGATATAACAGTTCAATGTGCAGTCGTTGCCGGTGGAAAACAACCAAGAGCCTGCGAATACGTCTCAACCCTGATACATTCCTCCCGGCAGAGTCCTATCAAACACCTTCTTTCCGACGCCGTTCTGCCCCGAAGTCAAATCACATAGTTTGGGACGTCGGCTTGTATGAAAAGGGAGGCATTCTCGGCTCATAGTAGGCTCGGTAGCGTATTGATTCGTAAAACCTCCCAGTTGGCCTCCTTCCCAAGGCATTCATTCTTCCGCCGACCTGACGGTCAACCGCGTGGTTCTGAAGGAAACGCACATGCAGCCAACTGCGGCAGCTTTGGTGGCGACATCATGCTCAACTCGTTTCTGGAATCGCCAGCCAGTACTTGACGTGCCGGAGCCAGAAAACAAATGTCCTAGCTGTTGATGTGACCATTTTCGAGTTGGAAAGCACGAAAGGGTTCTGGATCATTTCCGGATTAGCATAGCATAAAACGACAGGAGCCGCTGAACGACGCGGAATGGTCTAGTTATCTACGTATACAACACCTTATATAGCCGGCTTGTTTGGTCTTAACAAATCGGCCTCACCCGACAGGTTGGAACCGACTCATGGACAGTACCTGATCCAACCCGCGGGCACAAAAAGCTGCCGTTTCTCGGGGGGTTGGGTCGGTTTGTATGTATGTTTATTCTTGTATATATAAATATAAACACGTACGCATTCAAAAGAAGGCGTTTCTGGCGACAGAACCCTAGTGGCTTCCGGACACGATGTATCTTTCACAACCTACTCCGCAACATATGTATTATGGCCGGTGTCTGCGCTCCCAAACAAGCCATCGTCTTGTGTGCGAGGTGCAGACGCCCCAGGCCTATCCACCATCTTACTCCCCAAAATCCCTCATGCCATTCCAGCCCCCGAGGTAATTTTCAACAGCGTCGAACTAATAAATCCGTAAGGACATTGATTGCTCTGGGTCCAGACAGAATGCAAATGTGTCTTCCCAAACCAGAAGCCCACTCCAACCCACCCACCCATCCGAAACAGGAAAAATCTCCATGTAAGTGACGCCTGGGTACCGAGCTTTCCAAGAGAGGAATGGGCATGTCAGCGGGAATCCCCGCCGCGATCCCCGTTTCCCGCGCCGGGGCGATCTCGACTTGGGCAAGGAACAGGAGTGATTAGATCGGATCAGACTCAGAAGATGTGATGTCATGCACGACATGCGTGGCATGCGCTGCGCTTATTAGCCACGACGCCATGGCTCTTTGTCTAGCTGCTTATTCGCCGCGCCTGGGCCTTGTCGGAGCCCTGGCAGGCTCGGTTCACTTACACAGGAAGAAATGATGTGAGAGGTTCCAAAAGCCAGGTAGGTAAGAGTTATTTTACAATTGTTGCCTATGCTCTCCTCCCCACCCCAAGAAGTGTGACGCCTCGGCTGTTGTATGGTTCGGTTGCCCAACCGAAATCCATACGAGAATTTCTCCTGGTATGCGGTGCCCCTACCGTGGAGAAGGGTCGATAGGGAGTGTTGAACGAAGCAGACATTTGGATCAGTTTGGCGACCGAGATGATAACTGTTCACCCAGAGCCATGGGATAAGCGGAGAGAGAGCGATTGGTGCCGAAGTCAAGATGGACTCGCTTGGCCAGCGAGCTCTCCGACTCCGACTCCGATCACGCTCGTGATATGATCCCGTTGTTTGATCGTTGAATTCATCTCGCTACCACAAACTGGAAAATCTTCAAACCAATGATGATCCACAGCATAGCACAAGCATACACACGTGCCTCGGAGATCAAGTGTTGCCGGGATGATGTCGCCATGCACCAACCAACCCTCCCGAATCGAATACACCGAGGTTCGTTCACCCTCCATCTGAAGTCTCCAGTCATCACGCACACAATGCGCACCAATTGGCAACCCCCAGGGAGTACCCATCGCCAAGCAAATGATGGGGCAAAATCCACACCAGCTGTCCTCACTCGACAGTGCACTCTGCTTCGGACTATCGACTCTCCTTGGAAGGGGGAGGAGTGAGGCGACGCCAATCGATAGAAAGCCGCGAGTAGACCGTTGAAGAAATTGTAACAATGATAACCTGAGGGATAAACAACCCCGAAAGAACGCCAACCCAGACAAGCCTCGGGAATGCCGAGGCCGTCCCATAGATGTCGACCACGGAAAACGACGGTTCACAAATGCATTAATGTATTGGGGTATTTTTTTTGCGAGCAAAAGCGGAGGTCATGATAGTAGCCGTAGCCGACAAGGTGACGTTTAGGACTGGTGGCCGGCATGCTGCTGAAGGCTGGCAGGGGGCATATACTGGTTTGGCCGCGACTGTTGCACGTAGCTGGAGTACGCCAGCGCCTGCTGGGGATCCATTCCGACGTTGGGCATGTAACTGGGTGGCATATGGCCTTGTGGCAGGCCGGGCCGGCTTGGCTGGGGTGGAAGGTGAGCGCTCGTGGGCTCTTCGGGGGAGTCTACGGCGCTAGCGTCGTCCACACCGTCGCCAGCAGCTGGTTCAGGCGCGTTCAAACATGCCTAAGCCCCATCGTTAGTCTTGCGACTAGATTCTTGAAATATAAGATATGGAAATGCTCCTACCTGAATCAAGTTCTTGCCCTCGGCCTTTGTGACAAGAGGTTGCAGTTTCGGCGTCGTAAACGTGTAGACGAGACCGGTTTCCGACACGACGAGAAGCAAGACTTGAGTGCCTGTCAGGACCGACAGTTCGTAAGCCTAGCATGAAGAGTGCGGATTAGCGGCTGGCTTTCGATTGGAGCGCCGGCGCGTAGACGCGTGGCAAGCTGTTTTTGGAGACCATCTCGGGGGGATCACCGGAGGAGCTCGGATGGCGCAAACAAACCTTCTTCATAATGCCTGCCTTGCGCTTCGAGAACGTGATATGCCGCCGCGACTTATCGCTGATGAACTTGATCTCAATCTTGCGGCGTTCACGACCACCCTTCTCATCATCGTCGTCGTCGTCGTCAGCCGTGCTAGGACGCGCTCGCTTAATGCCGCGACTCTCGACGGCAGCATTGCCATTGCTGACCGAATGCGCGTCGTCGAGCTCGGTAGGCGAGGTCTGGTCGTGTTGGTCCGTGATGTCGGCCATTGTTCCGTTCAGGTATCACGAGATACGAAAAAGGTAACGTGGTGGAGATGCTGTTTTGAGCGTTGTGCCGATGGCCTAGACTTGATCTGGCGTTGAGCGGAGAGGCCGCTTCTGGTCGCAGAAACCTGGTTGGGTGCTGCTGGATTGAGTTTGGTGTGCCCGCCGAGTTGAAGCGAGGAATTCACGTTTAATTTTTAATTTGCTGGGTCCTCCAAGCAGGCTCGCGTGTGGTATGCGCTGGGTCACTGTGCGCTTCGCTGACAGACGGAAAGTGCAAGCAGTGCAACTCGAGTTTCCCCAGGCGGAAAATCTGAATTGAGGCGGCGACTCGAATTGACCGAGTTCGCGCTTTTGGATGGTTTCCTTCCCTGTCAGGAACGAGCAGAACGTCAAGTCAGCTCCTGGTCGCACCTGCACCGAACGGGTTTGGCGAGTCCGGAATGATTGAAAAGAGAATAGCGAGGGTGGCTGCGGGCCGCGACCAGGAAGTTAAAGAAAGGAAGGCGGGGAGTGGCGTCTGAACTCTGAGGAGAGCCTGTACAGTGCGAGACGGAGGAGGTTGGCACAAAGTGGAGACAGAAGAGTGGGGATGTACCAGGCCGGTCCGCTAGCGTATATCTGCCCGGGGAATGGCTGCTGCACGACGATGACAGACGCGGTCCGATTGCGAGCCGATTCCATTGAGGTGAAGCATTCGAGCGTTACCCACGGATACCGCATGGAGTGATTGAAGCTGAAACTGAAGGTTAGAGGTACCAGAAAAAGTCTACCGTAGGCTTTTCAGGCATAGATCCAATGGATATGGACAGCGAGTTTTGTCAGCCTCGATATCAGGTGACTCGAAACTACAGTTACGGATAAACGAGGTGTGAATCTGGTTGGTGTTTCTTCCTCCACTGCAGCCCGCAGGGTGGGATTCCCGAGTGGAGCCCACCCTAGCACAGTCTCAGCAAATAAGAGGAACACTGTGTCAGAGAGCTTCGCTAACCTCCAGCCAGCGGGAGCGGCATCGGAAATTGGCTGGTAAGATTGATCGCGGCCGGATCTGTGCAAACAACCACGTCTTGATGATGAGGTGAAAGCCATGCTGCTCTCACCTGCTTCAAGAGCTTACTTTATTAGGTACCGTCATTTCCTGGTCGGTCAAGTCGTTGGGGGCGGGGGAGGGGGGCGCGGCGCACGCATGGGGAGCACGGGCCTCGTGGGATTTCAACTCAATCCCAAGATTCTTTCAAGGGTAAGGTACGGATAGAATGGGACCGCCTATACCTGTATTCACTACGCGTAATGCTTCCAGCAGGACGCTTATTAGGTCTCGAACGAGAAGTTCCCAGTGGCGGCGCGGATCTGCCATCGGAGCGTTCAGTTCGCCGACGATGCTCGAATCTGCAGGCGACAGTATGCCTTTAAGATGCAGGCAGGCAGCCAATGCAGGGATAACGGACGGGCCGGAGCCACTCCGGGGGTCCTGTCCAATGGAGAGCCCTCCGGATTACTTATCTCACTCAGTTAGCCATGCAGGTGATGCAGCGAAGGGGGGACTATCGATTTCGACGCCTCGTTCTCCACCCCCGCCATCATAAGGGACCGGCCCTTTGAGATTGGCAAGGTTCTAGCTAGCGACCGCGATCGCGCGCAGGTCGCCTGCTCTGAACAACGGCCGTGTGCCTCCTCAGGTTTCTGTTGCAATATCGCCTGCGATTCTGTCCAACAGTGATGGAATTTCGGTTCAACTCGGGGTTTCACTACACGCTTTTCTATGGCCTTGGGATGGTAGTTACTGTAACTACTGTGTGGACGTGTGTTGCATGCCAAACTCGAATGAAGGCTGGCAATTCTCCTGCCCCTGTCAGGTGAAGCGAAGCCACCTTGGCAACGTGTGGGATACGAACACATATTTGAATCACACTGTTCTCTGGGCACCATGACCTGGATTGATGAAGGAGGAACGAGACGAGCATTGGATACTGTGATATTGTCCGGATGGATGAAGGCGGAAAGGGAGACTGTGACTGAACTCCAAGAACGTAAAGCCATATGCAGAAAAAAATGGGCCGACTTAAAAGGGGCACAGATGTGTCAGCTGCATGATACGAAGACGTGCCAGAATACGGAGTAAGCGACGAGCCTATCTGCAATTAACGCAGTGTATAGCTTTCTACAACGAAGCTACTACTGTACACATTACAATTTGAATTGACTGCAATTGCGTGGTGACCCGAGAGCTGGAGAAGAATGGATTTGTGAAGAGAGCTTGGATGTTACTCGTAGGTACGAGGTTCGACAGAGGAACATGGACATACATACCATAGATCTGCGGCAAACCAGATGTTGACTATACGTAAGGTATTTTAAACATGTAGACTTGACCCCAGCTTTCGTGGTTTGTGTTATTATTGATGGATGGCAAGCATTCTCCTTGCTGAGCCCGGTCCGGGAGTGCGCTTTTGGGATGCCATTGCCTGCAGACTTATTACCTTATACTTATAGCCTTATTACCTTATAACCTTTCTTCCTCCCTTTCTTTTTTCCTACCTACCTTTTTTACTTCTTTCTTCTTTTTAGGTTACTTTTCTTTCTTCCTTCCTCCTTTTCTTCTTTATCTTTATATTCTTATCTTCTTGCTTACCTGGGAGGCCACGGGCAGCCACCTGCCTACCCAGGAAGCATCGGAGACATCGAGCATCTTTCACTCTACCTTATCTGTATTCTGTCCTCAGTCTATGTAGGTCTAGGTCCGGGACGAAAAATCTTGGGCGAGTAGGCTTGTAGAGAGGCTCAATGGGGCAACCAATCACCCGTGGCTAACCGAATCTCCTGCACTGTGTGCAAGGGCGAAAAGCGGGGAGAATCGAAGACGGAGGAAGCAAACTTTCTGTATGCAAATGATTTTCATGAACTAGCGAGCTGATGAGAGAAGGATATAGCTAAGGGACGTTGACTATGCAGTGCCACCAATACATGAATAGCTGCTCTACGGACGACAAGAATATCGGACACGGATCGAGCAGGGAGAGGCCTCTGAGACAGAAAAGGTGCGGGCAAGCGCCTAGGGTAGGTATCGGGCGGTCTAACTGGCGCAGCGGTCTTTGTTATTTAAATTTCTTTACGTCCTCAACAATTCATCGAAACTATTCTTGGTGTCCGAGTCTATTACATACATACCTTAGCTTATTAGTGTTGAATGTCTACCTACGCTAGACTTCAAGTTGCTTGAAGTCTGCTGAATGAGGACGAGGGACGGATGCAAATTCGATTGCCCAAAACAGGCATAGGAAGGACAACTTCTTCTTCGGGAGGCAAGCTCTTCTGTGATTCGCCAGTTCCTATTTCACCGCCAATTGTTGTCGTTATCCAGCCTTCCTCTTCGTGAGGGTCGAGGACAGTGAACCTGTGTACGGGTTACCACAGTATCTAAGTGCCTTAGGTACCGGTAATAAACCTGCCATGTAGACATGCCATTTTGTGAAGAATCATCCAAAACAACGCGAGTTACTACAAAGTTCAAAAGAAAACGTTAACGTCTCTAATTCGAGTTCTCCAATATGTCGGTGCTCCAGTGCAGGTACGGACGACCTGTCGGGTCACTTGCAACGAGGCATAACTGACAGAGAGAATGACGCAGCTGAGTGTTTGCATCTTCTCAGTCCAATTGTTAAGAGAGATTCTGCCCTCTCGTCTGTTCATCTTACTCGAACGCAAACGCGCAGAAAGTATGTGGTGGTTATACCATTCCTGTTTTTGTTTCGAAACTGGGTTTTTGCATTGTTTGATGGGTTTCAAATGCGCATTTGTTGAGTAGTAAGGTACCTTATATGTGAGCCCGATTTGTACACCAAATTGAACCACTCCCATGGAGACTTCAAGGAACACCGGAAACAATGGCGATGGATTTTTAATACCGAGCATCTGAACTTTTATCCCCTCTCGCCTCTGCGTGTAAGCGCCCAGAGGCCATGGCGCTTTGAGGTGATTTGGATGGCGCCCAGTGCAACGGGACGCGGGAATTGGCCTGCGTGGTCTGGCACCCTATAGGCCCGTGCGGGGTCCGTCTCCTCCGGCGGTCGCCCACAGGTCGCGGCAGGACCCTGGTCTCCCGACACCATCTGAAACACCCCTAGTCAGGGAGCGTGAATCGAGTCACCGTGCAGCACAGCCTCTGCTACATTTCGCCTCGCACCAGTGGAGCAGAATCGGCTGTTCTTGTCACATTGCCCGACCTTTCACTGGTTGCTTTTGCCTTGGTGCTGAAGAAATCATCGGGTTGAGCAGGGCCTTGCCTGACCCTACGATGGACCCTACTCATCTCGTCTCATTGACGCCCGCTCGTGTGCTATGGTCTTCCCATTCCCTTCTGCCCCAAGACGGCATACCCTCTCCATTCTCGTGATACTGCTCCGAGGCTAGAACCTCGTGATTCTCTTCTCTTCTGCCGTTCTTCGCCTCTGGCAAGGCCCGCTATCTGCCATTTTGGCCTTTTTGAGTCCGTTCTCGATGTCTTGAGACAGCCAGTGCCGTCTTAATCATTTTCTTCTTCAGATACCTTCTTTTAATCACACTTTGCGTTTATACGCTCGATCTTTCCGCGGCGCCGGGTTGCCGGTCGATCTTGCCCATTCACTCATTGCGAGCGGAGCACCGCTCAACGACGCTGGTCGTCATCTGCGTGGAGAGGGATCTTAAAGGGCGGAAGGACAGGAACGTGTGCCTCGAGGGACGGTTGGTAACCAAGCGGGCACCATGAACAAGGTGCATCTGGCCTACGTGGTCTCTGACGGCCTCTTCGTGCTCATGGGCATCTTCATCCTTGCCTTCTCCGTCATTGTCGGCAACATCAGGGACGAAGTACCAACCGATGGGCAACAAGCGGCAAGGAACCTCTTATACCAAGGGTTTCCGTTGACAGGTTGGTAACTCAGGGTTCGATCGGCAGTGATACAGTGTTGCTAACGGTATACACAGCGGGCATCGTCAACGCCGTCTTCATCTTCGTCACCTTTATAATTACATTACCCGGCCTTGCGACGGCGTCTCGCGGCTGGCTCAAAGTTGCGGGCTACATGGCTGTATTCTGTGCTATATTCTCCATGGCTCTAGGCCTCGATCTATGGCTATCGACACTGAGGATCAGGGAAGAATTCGCGCCCCTTTTTTCGGCTCAGTCGGAAGATGTCAGGAGCTTGATGCAGACAGCCGTAAGCTTACACTCACATCCCCCAAGTCTAAGAGAGGGAGGTATGACTGACGGAAAACGAAACAGTTCCAATGCTGCGGCTACTTCAACAGCACAAGTCCGGCGTTCGCCACTGACGCCACTTGTCCCAGCAAGGCAGCCGCCGCCGTTATGCGCGGATGTGCGGCCCCCATCACTGCCTTCTCCGGCGTCTTCCTCGACAACATCTTCACCAGCCTGTTTGGCGTGGTCGGGTTTGATGTCGTCTTCATCATGGCCACTGCCTGTCTGCTCAAGGATCGCAAGGAGCGGGAGCGGTTCCGTCACATTGACGAGAAGAACGGCTTCGGGACAATCTAGGTGCCTGGTCTGCCACCAGTGATCAGGGTAGGGGATGGTGTCTGGTGATCACTGTGAATATCACAGAGAGAGCGTTGAGCTGGCCAGAAAGTACCGATTGGTTTTGGTCCCGTTGCATACATTCACTTGAAAACGGGCGTGGGTTCTTTGACGGGACGTTACATCGACTATTGACGGACCGGACCGCTTTGGCAGATTTGTAGCCATCTTTGTTACATATCTTGATATAGACTCTAGCCTGTTGTATTTGACATCTTTCCCAAAGTGTGGCGAGTCTACGAGCCGATATATATGTCGAGCTAGCACTTTGTTCCTCCACCGTGGTCGATTTGTCTGTCCCACCTAATGTCCTGAGACTTCCCCGCCTTTGCTTCGCCCGTTCAGATATTCAGGATAGGCCCAGAATCACTACTTGTACCACGAAACAAGTTGTGTGTGCACGCACGGAAGGCCATGACATGTTGTGCTGTTCCGAATCCTACATCAATACTAGGGTTTTGAACTAACAGCAAAAAGACTTGATTTATACTGGGGAATCGTCCTGCCTATTACTTCCCGACCCCGACCTCGGTTCAAACACCACCAGGTGTGGCCTTCTCTCTGACGATGAGTCTACTCGTCCAGTCTCAAGGTCGTCTCCGTTTACGGGTGCTGTCCAACCTGCGGAACTCGCCCGCGGAGAGGCCACTGGTCCCGTTGGCCGTTGCCTATTTCCCCATGGTGTTAGACCCCATATCCTATGTGCCACATCTGGAATCCCGCCAGACGTTTTCCGGCCCGTGCTCCTCCTTGCGGTGAACCCAGGAAAACCTGTCGACTTCCGTCGCCGCTTGAAATTCCTCCTGGGCGAGTCCAAGAGCGGATCCGTCTCTTCGGCCCAAGGTTCGCCGGTCAGTGCAGGACTACGTGAATTAGTTGCCCCTCGTCTTGGAAGCATGGATGAGGTGGAGGCTCTGTGGACGGGTAGAGTAGTTGACCGCCGCCTGCTGAATGTGGGGGATGATGGGTCCGGGGTGCTGCGGTCGTCCAGCTCGTCCCAGATTTCGGCTCGTTCTGCCCATCGTGACGGAGTTGTCCTCGTGGAGCGGGCCATGGGTCTCCGAGGCGCAGAAGCGGAAGATGCCATGGAGACCTCGGAGGTAAGATAAGGCCCAAAGGTTTGGTATGTGGCCTGCGTCGGTAGCGCACCCTCTCCTTCTTCAAGGAGAGCAGAGCGGAGCGAAACTTCCTCCTCCTCTTCCTCGTCTGTATCTTCAACCAGACCAAGGCCGGGCGCCAGCGTTGACTGTCCGACCCCCGGCGTATGCTGCTCGTCACTGAGGCGCCATGACAGGGCCAGCACACCAGAGAGAAGGATGACGGTGCCGAGAGCGATAAGGCATGCGCGCAGAGGGTTGATAAGGTCAGTTTGGCGGAAATAGATCAGTCCGTCGAGGATCGCAATTATGTTGTAAATACAGAAGATTAGGGGGTATAAAACGGAGGTCGAGACCAACTTGAGGCCGCGGTGGAGGTAGTAGAGTTGGCTGAGGGCAAGGGTAACCAGGGCGAGGACGAGCATCCACGACTGCCAGTGGATGAACTGATTATCGCCGTCAGCGATCGTCCTGACGATCAGCTCGACAGCGGATTTGGCCACCAGGAGAGAATGCGCAGACAAGGTGCCGCTTATACACCCGTACGAGAAGCCGCGCGCAAGGCGAAACCGTGGGTCCTGCATTAGCGTCGTGAGATGACTGACGAGCTCCGTCGCGACGCCGAGACCGACGACGAACACGGCCTGGAGGGACATCCAAACCACGAATGGCCGCCTCCCCAGAAGCTCAAGTAACTCGCTTAGCGTGTGCGCTGGCGACGGAATCGCCCCAAAGACAGCGATCAAGACAGCGCCGCTGCAGACCAGTAGCGTCCCCCATAAGGACCACTTCGTAAACGGCTCTCCGAGTATGAGCGTGGCGCAGATCGAGTTGAACACCAAGCCTGATGCCTGAAGCGTCGACAGAACTGGTAAGGGGAGCATGGATATCTGGACCGAACTCCCCACTATGTTGGATATCAGGAACATGCCCATCCCCAGCTGCCACCTTCTTCTGCGGTAGGCCGGCCGCCTCACGTCATAAGGAAACTTTTCGTCTTCGAGTATATGCGACTTGCGTTGGAGTGTTAGGCCGAGGCTCTGAACGCTTGTAGACAACAGCCCGACTATGATGCCGAGCTGGCACGTTTCGCTTGCGCATTAGCACCTGTGCCAAAGCGTAGCCGCCGCAAAGAAATGGGGGAAAGTCGCAGGGCTTAAACCTACAGCTATGCTCCCGCCAGGAGAGATGCCGCCTATGAGCCCCATTGCGGTGGCAGCAAAAGGCAAGGCGGTGTGCTATCGTGATCGCATGAGGAGGAGTGATTTCGAGCGTGTGGACGAAGGCGGCGGCGGATCTCTGGTTTTGCTGTACGGTTTGTATCAATGATGGTGTAAACGCTGTCGGCGATTGAGGTCGGCCTGCAGCACTGGGATTGTGGTCGACCGAGTAGACAGGGCACCGGTTCGTAGCCTGGCTGGACTCTCGTTTCCCTGCTGCTACGTCAATCAAGACTGCCAGCTCTCGACCTTTGATTGAGGCCGTGCTGACTGAAGCACGGCTGGGGGTCGCTTGTCCAGGCCACGAGGTCGCGGGCGGCGATCATGAGGCTACGGCTGCCCGCCCGGGGAAGCGGGCTGTAAAGCGGCCTGGAGCGCACCGATTGCGGCACAGGCGTGAGACAGGGACTGTTGTCAAAGGCGTTTCTTCCCTGACGGCAGCGAACCTTTTTGATGGTGGAAAGGCTAGCTGTCAGAGTTGGCGCAGTGAACTCCAGAGACAAATCACAGACACGATACAGACGGAAGTTTTGCCTTCTTCAGGTTTGCCTTGCAGTGGTAGAAGGAGAGGCGGAAGTACTGTCGAAGTGTACGGAATAGAATGGTGGCGCTACCGGCGAGTGCGAGGTGTCAGCCGGATGGCACTGTGCGATCAAGACGGCAACTCGCAGTTGCTGCAGTGGCCGCTTGAAGCTGAGCCACAGTCAGCTAGTGAGTGGCACCGTCGGGTGGCTGATAGCTTTATGGGTGCTTATCTTGCCTTATCACCTTGCTCCAACCTTGATCCTGTCGTCAGTCCGCGCCGTTGCCAAGCCAATTGTAGCAGGTTAATCCATGCGACGGAGCTGCGTCAACGGCGTTGTTGGTTGGCATCCGCCGAACACCCTCCGCACACCAACAACACCAGAACTAGTGTAGGAGCCACCACCCGTCTTCGGATTTCGCCTATAACGTGATCTACCCGATTCCCTCCCGCTTGCGAAGACCGCCTTCTGCCCGACCATCGCTTAGGAGCTTGGTTTATATCCCCCTCCTCCTTCCGCCGACCACCCCTCTCACTGAGTCAGCCCAACCACCAACCGCCAACCTTTCAACATGTCACAAATCCACTCCCTGTCCGACGACCAGGTATGCGATGGCTACAGACTCGGCCTCTGCACCGGCGCTGGTGTGTCCTCGACGCCCTAAAGGGAATTAACTAACGACCCCCTCCAGGTCGGACAGGAGCTCCGGAAGATGACCGCCTTCATCAAGCAAGAAGCGGCGGAGAAGGCGCGCGAGATCGAGATCAAAGCCGACGAGGAGTTCGCCATCGAAAAGTCCAAGCTGGTGCGCCAAGAAACGGACGCCATCGACTCGACATACCAAAAGAAGTTCAAGCAGGCGACCATGTCACAGCAGATCACGCGGTCGACCATGGCCAACAAGACGCGGCTGCGCGTGCTGAGCGCGCGCCAGGAGCTGCTGGACGAGATCTTCGCGGCGGCCGAGAAGCGGCTCGGCGAGGCGAGCGCCGACGAGGAGCGGTACACGACCGTGCTGAAGGGGCTGGTCTTGGAGGGCTTCTATGCCATGAACGAGCCCGAACTGCAGATCCGCGCGCGCAAGGCGGACTATGAGGTTGTGCGGAAGGCGATCGAAAAGGCCGCCGCTGAGTATAAGGAGAAGACTGGCAAGGAGGTGGCGGCCACCATCGACGAGGAGAATGACGTGCCCGACGGGAGGTATGCACAGGCCCACCAGCACCTGATTGTCACTGCGGGCGAACCTATTGCTAACGTGATATGATTGATAATGATACAGCGCGGGTGGTGTGGTGATCGTGGGTGGCAACGGTAAGATCGATATCAACAACACATTTGAGGCCAGGCTGGAGTTGCTCAGGGAGAGCGCTTTGCCCGCCATGAGGAAGGCTCTGTTTGGCGAGAATCCTAATCGCAAGTTCTTCGACTGAGCCACTTCTGCTCATCTCGTCAGAGGGCGTTACTTGCAATCCGACCTCAGGGATATCAGCTCATATACATGACTGGGATTTATGCTTGGGAAAACATTATTGATTATCATGACCGCGAGGTAGAGCCACGCTAAGCCACTGTGCGACGGGGTATCTCAAGGGTCTGTCTGTATGATACAGGTTGAAGAGCGATTCCACCAGCAGTTGAAGCATTCAGATATGCCATGCACCAAGGTCACACAACAACTTCTCCAGCCGCCAAATTATCCTCTAAGGCGTTTTCGGGGGCGGCTGGCTCTTGGAAAGAAACCGCTTCATGAACTGCTGCTGTTTGGGTCTGTCGACTTCGTCCTCTCTAGCATTCATCTCGAAAATGTCTCCCTTGAGAGGAGGCCGTGTTCGTACGGCATGTTGTAGCTTGCGCTCGAAGTCTTTGAGTTGAACTCGGGCCTCCATCCTCGACATGTAGGCGGCGCCCTGCCCATGAATATTGGACCACATGAACCTGATTCTGTGCGCTAGTTCGTCGACTTCAGAATTGTATTGCTTGATAGCCTCCGGACTGGCATCGTCACCGGGTGGTGAGCCGTCGCCAACTGCGACACTCAGCATCTCGGAAAGGGCCAGCAGTTCGAAGTAATCAGTGTTGGTTCGGTCGATGATGAACTCATCGGCCTGGTCAAGACGGTCGATGATGGACCGTATACTGAAGGTCTCTTCTGGCGCGGAGAACGCCCGACGCGTGTCGTCAAACACGAAGACCAGTGCTAGCCTCCGCCGCAGCTCCACCAACTTCGGATGTAGTAAAGGGATGGCGGAAACCGCGTCCCAACGAAGGGTGGCGTCTACGGTGTGGATATACAGGGACTCGCCTACATGACCGCACTAGAGCGTAAAGAAGGTTAGACACTTGTTAGCGCGGAGGCTGGAGATGGTATCTCACGAAATTGTTCCATGACCTCCAAGGTACCGCTAATACCACTCGTAGTAATGCGTCCTGGAAGTCGGTACTAACGGCGTAATCCTCACGTGCAATGTTATCGATGCCGAGGCGGAGAAGGATGGACATGACCCGTGTGAGCACCTTGATATTCAGAGCATGTGCCGTCTCTGCAAGAATCCGGAGAACGGCTTGTAGACGACCGCGATTATGCTCTGGATACGGAGCGCCGTTTTCTGAGCGCCCCCCCGGCTGTGAAGCCGTCCCCAGGGCCCGTCCAGAAGCCCCGAGGTCCCGAAACAGCCCCAAGACAAGGTCCTCGTCGATGAGTCGTTGGATTTGGTCTGGGCAAGTGCCGAGGAGCCGCAAGTATTCGTCTCGAAGCTTCTTGTGCTTCTCATGCGTGACCTGGTTCAACACCCATTGGAATATCTCGTCCGGCAGGCTGCGCATTTTGCTCTGGATATGAAAGGCTAACCCATCTTCGAAAATCTCGGATCTGTGCGCCTCCGATGCGAGCAGAGTCCAAACCCCAGTGGCTTTGGCCTTGGGGAAGGTTTGGTGAACTTCCATCGCAGTAGTGCTGGGCTGACCCTGGCGGTCAAAGAAATACCACTTCTTCCGTTCAACAGTGGCCTCTGTTCGTCTCATCGCGCGCATTAGCCTCGCGCGGTTTCCCTCATCCTGACTTCCTTCGGGGTCAGAGAGGACTTCCAACATTGAGTCGTGAAGGCTGACGGATCCCTCTTTTCCCGTCCTTCGCCCAGATGCAGTTGGGGACTCCTCGGCCAAGATGGCAGCCGTGCGCTGCTCGCTCTCCTCGATGACGTTGTCTGCCTCGGCATGTTTGAGAAGCGCCTTGATGTCAAACTTGTGTCGAGTGTTGATGGTTAAGGGCGAGGAGTGAAACTCGACCGCTCTCCGCTTTGCCTTGGGCGTGGCATAGACATTGTCAGCTTTCCCTGCAGGCCGGGGGGGGAGCGTGCTGCCAGAGGGCTTTGGAAACAGAGACGGAAAATCGTCGTCAGAGGAGCTGAAGCCATCGTCGTCCTCGTCATCCGAAGCTCGAATTACTGCATTGCGGTCTCTGACAGTTGAAGCGGGCGCGGGCGGAGATGAGGAGAAGAGGGCAGGCAGTGGTGATGGCGATGGTGGGGGTGGGGTTGGCGGAACTTCTGCCGTTGAGGTCTTTGGCTGAGGGCTCTTCGAGGATTTTGGTACCGGCTTGAAAAAGGTAGCGATGTTGGCGTTGCGGGACATCCCGAGTCAGTCTCAGCTCAACGCGCGATCACTCTTCCTTGGCTGACGGGTTTGAGATAGAGTTGTCTTGGCACTGCGACGCGTCGTTGATGAAGATGAACCGCGTCGTGAGACAGACCGCGAGTGCGTAATTACATTGTACTTACGTACAGTACTTCGCACAGTAGCTGTAGCGACAACCGTGCTTCGCATCAACGCAGGTTACACACCTCGCATGTGAATTCTAAGATAGGTACAGTAAAATGCGAAACTCCCAAGTACACTGGACGCGGGTTGTGTTCGATCTCGAGTCGACGCGTACTGAAGCCGCTGGCCTGCGTCCTTTCCCATCCCCAAGGGCGCGCGCACTAGAGCGCTACCTACTAATCTATTAGGAACTGTACTTGGTGATAAATACCAATCACTGTTCGATCTACAACTGAATACTCGACAGTAACTAGATGGTGGTCATAACCTCATAGACAGTGGTTTTGACCATGCGCACAAACTTGGATTCCGCATTCCGGGTTACCCTGAAACCCTTCCACGGGTCTCGGATGGGAGCACGGGAAGTCAGACGGCGCATTCATTCTGAGGCTTTTATGGCTCTAACGGGGTAGTAGGGCTGAGAGTTTTCATACTAGTAGTTTTGCTGACGACCGGATGACAATGGTCACAATGCCCGAATACTGCAGCCTGCCTACGGTACCGTGCCGCGAGCTGAGGAGGAGCGCTTGAGGCAAAGGGTCTTACAAGCCGTTCCACAACCTACCTGGATCTCGGTTCGGGTCCAGGTTGAGATCACTTGCAGTGTAACTACTAAAGTTAGTACTAGTACTTCGTAGTAGCTAACCGAAATGTCCGTGGCTCACACAGGGCAGTCATAAAAGGAAGGCATCGCTAATAATATCACTCAGGTCTACCACAGTATTGCGTTCGGAGCACCCTGCATGGCTGGAAATTACCACAGTACACAATATTTCCGATGCTTTCTATTGCAGTCGTCCTAACGCCCGGTAGGGTTGCAGTCCGAACTTGAAGATGGCAGTGTCGGCCACCGGTGTTCAACCAAACCCCGAAAGAAATGGGGCAGATCACTGAAACGCCGGGGGATTACTCAGTTCCTCTTGACGAGATCTCCAACATCCCAAATTGGCTACATCCATTGTTCTCCCCCTTCCAAACCCCGCCTGTTGCATACGCCTCCATATGCTCCCTTGCTGCACAGTAATTAAGGTAGTTGTGTAAAAGAAGGGGGTGGTGTCGGAGTTATTTTGGGCGTGGTGGTGGCGATCAGATAACTTTTAGGTTGCGCTGGTTGCTTGTTGCGCAAGAGGAATTTTGGATCATGGAAGTGGAAACTTTAATTAATACGAGCAAGGGGACTGGGATTGCATGTGACTTAAGACAAACAGTTCCATTTACAATAGGACCTAATTCATCCATGGAGCACCTCACTGGAGTCTGGAGGCGAGAGACAGGGCCGTATTCTGGTAAAATACTTCAGATACATTACTCCGTACGGATACCCAGTCGTGCCAGTTCGAGGCGCTAGAGACCGAGCGTCAGCCCCACTTTCGTGCCGCGAACGCTGAAAATGAGCGCGCTGACCAATTCAGAAACCCCGGATCTCAGGGGCTCCCCCGGTTCTGTAGTCTGGCCTTTCTTGTTCGCGGCCAAGAAACAAGCCTTGCGTCTCGCAAGAGCAACAGCACTTGTCGAAATTCCCCTTCGCTCCTATCCATGCGGACCTTGCCAGAGAGCTCCCAGACTCGCCTTGCGGGTTGCTGACTTTCCAGGCTTGCCCCATGTTGTACAATACATGTACACAGGAGCATGGTCCTCTCGTTTTCTGCTTGCATAATCCCCGACTCTTCCGGCCCGGCCTAGCACCAGCAACGTCCGGAGCCTCCGCGCATCAAAACCTCTCCCTGAACCAGCCAGGAGCGGCACAAGGGTTGCGAAACGCTGCGTTCTGGCCCAATCTCTCCCGTTGCCCTGGAATCTACCGTTCAATTCAACGCACTGCTTCCTTCTGGTTCCGCGGATAGCGAGAAGACTAGGAATAATCGCGACACGTGCCGGCGACGATTGTCAGACCTCGAGCGGAACCGCCCCGGATAACGCGGACATCTCGAATCAATTCTGGGAATAATACGATCCGCGGTCATTTGGCACTTTCCATTACGCTCAGCTTGACCGGCCTGGCGGCAAACTTGGGGTTGATCGGGCACTGCCCGCGATCCCAGCACGATGGCGTCTCCGGAAGGGGAGCCGGGGGAAATCCCAGGACTCAACTCGAGGCAGAGGGCTCGCTGGGCTACGCGAAGATTGACTGTCAAGAGTAGTTCCATGAAGCGGCTCTCGTTGATCGGTAGAGCCCATAACAACAAGGGCACGCCGAACGAGAAGAAGAGGGCTTCTGAAGGGACGGAGGAATCTCAACCGGCAGATAGCCTGCATAAGGACAGCAATAGTGTCGCGGATGAGAATCATGATGGGACCGGACCGAGGAGATTGTACTTCAACCTCCCGTTGCCGCGCGAGCTCCAGGACGACGAGGGACATCCGATACAACAATACTCGCGGAACAAGATTCGGACGGCCAAATACACACCGCTCTCTTTCATCCCAAAGAACCTGTTCTTCCAGTTCCACAATCTCGCCAACATCTTCTTCCTCGTTACCGTTATCCTAGTCGTAAGTGTCCCCGCGCCCTGGTATCCGAGCCGACGGAAGTGTTGACCAAACCCGCCACTTCAGATATTTCCTATTTTCGGCGGAGTCAATCCCGGCCTCAACGCTGTTCCCCTAATATTTATTATTTTCGTTACGGCAGTCAAGGATGCCATCGAGGATTACCGAAGAACGGTTCTCGACAACGAGCTCAACAACGCACCCGTTCATCGGCTGGTGGGCTGCGAGAATGTCAATGTGCGGGAGGACAATGTCTCGTTGTGGCGGAGGTTCAAGAAGGCCAATTCGCGCTTCTTTGGCTCTATATGGCACGCAATTGAATGGTTATGGAAGAGGGATGCAAAAACGGGACGCCAAACCTTTACGACTGCCGACCCCCGCATCTCCATCGAGACGAGGAGCACGCCGTGGGAAGAACCTGACGCCACACCCGGCACATCTGGCCCTGCGCAAGAAGAGATCCAAATGACGCCGGTCCCGTCGCCGGTGCCTCGCAACCCGGATATGCCCGTCTTGTCAGCTGCGGTGGAAAACGAGGCCCGCCTTCTTGACAACCTCAAAGGTAGCCTGATCAACCAGCAGGTGCCCAGTTCAGGCAAGGCGAGGTTCCACAGGGATGCCTGGAAGAACTTGGTCGTTGGCGATTTTGTTCGCATATACAACGATGACGAGCTTCCAGCCGACATCATCATCTTGGCCACGTCGGACCCGGACGGCGCATGCTACATCGAGACGAAGAACTTGGATGGAGAAACGAACCTGAAGGTCCGCTCGGCTCTCCGGTGTGGTCGAGGGATGAAGCACGCCCGCGATTGCGAGCGCGCTCAGTTCGTGATCGAAAGCGAGCCCCCTCAAGCGAACCTCTACAAGTACAATGGCGCGATTAAGTGGCGGCAGGCCGTTCCATGGGACCCGCATGGCGAGCCGAGAGAAATGTCAGAACCCATTGGCATCGATAATATGCTTCTACGGGGTTGCAATCTGCGGAACACGGAATGGGCTCTCGGTGTTGTTGTGTTCACCGGCCACGATACTAAGATCATGATGAACGCCGGCATTACGCCAAGCAAGCGAGCACGCATTGCGAGGGAGTTGAACTTCAACGTCATCTGCAATCTCGGCGTCCTCCTAGCCATGTGCTTGATCGCAGCCATCGCAAACGGCGTCTCCTGGGCCAAGACCGATGCGTCCAGTTACTGGTTCGAGTATGGGTCTTATGGAGGGACGTCTGGTCTGATCGGCTTCATCACGTTTTGGGCTGCTGTCATTGTCTTTCAGAACTTGGTCCCGATCTCGCTGTACATTTCGATCGAAATCGTGAGGACACTGCAAGCCTTCTTTATTTACAGCGATATCGGGATGTACTACGACAAGATCGATCAGCCGTGCATCCCGAAGTCTTGGAACATATCGGATGACGTTGGTCAGATCGAGTACATCTTCTCGGACAAGACGGGCACGCTCACGCAGAACGTCATGGAATTCAAGAAAGCAACGATCAACGGACAGCCTTACGGCGAAGCGTATACGGAAGCTCAAGCCGGCATGAATAAGAGACTGGGTATCGACGTTGAGCAGGAAGCCAAGACCATCCGTGCCGAGATCGCCCAGGCGAAGGTCAGAGCCATCCGTGGGCTTCGGGAACTGCACGACAACCCGTATCTTCACGACGAAGACGTGACTTTCATTGCGCCTGACTTCGTCGAAGACCTCGCCGGCAAAAACGGCCCTGAGCAACAGCAGGCGAACGAACATTTCATGTTGGCGCTTGCCCTCTGCCACACTGTCATCGCTGAGAAGCAACCGGGCGACCCTCCCAAGATGGTCTTCAAGGCGCAATCCCCGGATGAGGCGGCATTGGTAGCTACGGCTCGTGACATGGGCTTCACGGTTCTTGGCTCGTCAAGCAACGGCATCAACGTGAACGTCATGGGTACCGACAGGCATTACCCGGTCCTCAACACCATAGAGTTCAATTCCAGCAGGAAAAGAATGAGCGCCATTGTCAGGATGCCTGATGGCAGGATCGTGCTCTTCTGCAAAGGCGCCGATAGCGTCATCTACTCGCGTCTCAAGAAGGGCGAGCAGGCCGAACTTCGGAGGGAGACGGCTAAACATCTCGAGATGTTCGCTGTCGAGGGTCTTCGGACGCTCTGCATTGCCGAAAAGGAACTCTCGGAGGAGGAGTACCGCGAGTTTAGAAAGGAACACGATCTAGCCGCCACAGCTCTGGAGAATCGTGAGGAGAAGCTTGAGGAGGTTGCGGATAAGATCGAACGAGACCTCATCTTGCTGGGAGGGACCGCTATTGAGGATCGCCTCCAGGATGGCGTTCCGGACACGATCGCGGTGCTGGGCGATGCTGGGATCAAGTTGTGGGTACTCACGGGCGACAAGGTCGAGACAGCAATCAACATTGGCTTCTCGTGCAATTTGCTGAACAACGACTTGGATCTCCTTCACCTGCAGGTCAACGAAGACGAAGCGGCCTTGGCGACCGAAGAAGAATACCTCGCGATGGCTGAAGAGCAGATCAATCTCGGCCTGGCGAAGTTCAACATGACGGGCAGTGATGAGGAATTGAAGAAGGCTAGGAAGGATCATGAACCTCCGGCACCTACTCATGCGCTCGTAATCGACGGCTTCACGCTCCGGTGGGTCCTCAGCGATGCGCTGAAGCAGAAGTTCCTGCTGCTGTGCAAACGATGCAAGTCGGTGCTCTGCTGCCGTGTCAGCCCTGCGCAGAAGGCCGCCGTTGTCGCCATGGTGAAGAACGGGCTCGACGTCATGACTCTCTCTATCGGCGATGGCGCGAACGATGTGGCGATGATCCAGGAGGCAGATGTTGGCGTCGGTATTGCCGGCTTGGAAGGCCGACAGGCGGTCATGTCTTCCGACTATGCCATCGGGCAATTCCGCTTCTTGCAGAGACTAGTGCTGGTACACGGCAGATGGTCGTACCGACGCTTGGCAGAGTCCATCAGCAACTTCTTCTACAAGAACATGATCTGGACGTGGGCCATCTTCTGGTACCAGATCTTCTGCAACTTCGACATCTCGTACATTTACGAATACACCTACATCCTCATGTTCAATCTCTTCTTCACGTCGGTCCCTGTCATCCTCATGGGCGTGTTGGACCAGGATGTAAGCGACACGGTATCGTTGGCGGTCCCGCAGCTCTACCGGCGCGGCATTGAACGAAAGGAGTGGACTCAAACGAAGTTTTGGTTAGTATCTTGTCCTTCCACGCCTTTTCACTGCTCAGATCTTGCGTCCCCGCTGACACGACTCATGCAGGGCGTACATGGTTGACGGCATTTATCAGTCCGTTGCCAGCTTCTTCATTCCGTACATCTTTGTCATACTCACCACCACCGCGGCTGGAAACGGGCTCGATGTCGCCGAGCGCACGCGATTGGGGGCATACATCGCGCATCCCGCCGTCTTCACCATCAACACCTACATCTTGATTAACACCTACCGATGGGACTGGCTGATGCTTCTGGTGGTTGTGATCAGCGACGTCTTCATCTTCTTCTGGACCGGGGTGTACACGGCTAGTACCTATGCTGTCGGCTTCTACCAGACGGCGCCCCAGATCTACCAGGAGCTCACTTTCTGGATGTGCCTGATCGTCACGCCAGCAATCTGCCTCCTTCCTCGCTTGGTGGTCAAGACGATCCAGAAGCAGCGGTTCCCCCGAGACGTGGACATCATTCGGGAGCAGGCCAAGCGGGGTGATTATGGCGACGATGACGCTGCTGCTGCGATCACGGCAGCAACCGAGGGCCTCGAAGGCGGGTCATCGAAGTCGGCTTCGTCCTCCAAGTCCAAGCTGTCCGGTCGAAGCAGAAAGGCCAAGCACGCACAGTACGCCAGCGTAGACGAGGACAGACGGCCGATCTACCCACCCTCTATCGCGACCCACAATACGCGCACGCAGAACGGAAGCGATGGAACGAACTACATCATGCAGAGCCGCGCCTCGGCCGAGCTGCAAGAGGAGTTCGTCGGGGAAGAAGCCGAGCGCGCAGTCACGCGGCCATCGATAGACAGGTGTAGGCCGTCGTACGACAGGATACGACGGTCCGTGGATCGGGTCCGCCCCAGCTTTGAGGCCAGCAGCGATTTCACGTCGGCTGCGCGCCTCAGCAGGATCGAGTCGACGCATTCGGCCCAGGAGCACCCGGCCGGCCAGCGGCGGTTCAATCTGACAACGGTGCGGAAGCGCGGATTGTCTGCTTTCTCGAAGAAGAGCATTGATCCGTGATGAGATGGGGGGCGTGAGGGAGGCGTATGTGTTTGATACCATTTCGTGTAATGCCACTGTGTGGTGTACTGGCTTGAAGCTCCATGCAATCCTTCGTTTCTCTTCGTTTTCCCAATTTCTTTGAGCACTTATCTTGTTAGATATCCCAGATGCGTCACGCAGCGTACATGGGGGAGGCTGCATGATATTACGCATCCGCTCAAGGCCGAAAGGCCGGGGGCACGAGCCGTGGCGGGGGAGGTAGAATTGCGATGACGGTTCAAGGTTACTGTTATGGTTCGGTGGGAGGGAAATGTTGCTGTCCGGGAAGCAAGCGGAGCTCGCCGTAAATGGCTGTCAGTTGTTCAGTTGTTGTTGTTGCCCAACAGCGCTGATCACTCTGTCTCTTGTCTTTCCTTAATGTGTTTCCACGGCAGGCGGCGTGTTGGATGGGATGTGCATGGCGAAGCTGGCGGCGTTTTCCGTTTTCCAAAGCGGTCTGACAGTGCGTTGCGCTTTTACCGATACAAGAGTCATTCTATGTATATACATTAATGGCAATTCAAAAGCGCTTGTTTAGATTCACGAGGGCATTTCGGCGCGTCGTGTGATTTATAAGTATCGGAGGGGTTCGACGCTCCATCGGCCTCAAACCAACCTGCAACTGCAAGTGTTCCTCCGTCGGAGCTCGTCAGGAATCCCGTTGGAGTTTCTGAATGGCGGTTCAGGGCGGCCAAGAAGCTGCGTTGTGAGTTGTGGGTCCGGAAGCCGGTGCAACTGCAACCCCCCTTGCAGACCCCTGAGCCAAACCCAAAAAAAGAAAAGTGGCGTGAGCTTCATGTGACATTGGATGGAAGCTTCCTAGGACATGCTCTTTCCTTTTCGCGAACCGCCGGTTTGTAGCGCTGCCGACGGTCTCAACGATTTCTGCCGCATTGATCGAGGGCTGCGCTGAGCCCGTAGCGGCACATCAATGCCGGTGACAATGGGCATAGGAGCAGTCGAGAGTCTGCTGGAGCAGTCCCGTGGCGCGATCCAGGACCCGGGGTAAGATCGACCGAGTCTCACAGGCGACTATTCCAGCAAAGCTAACGGCTTTTCAGGTCATTAGGGCTCCCAGAGCATGCATGGGCATATATCTGGACGTTTCTGGGTGCCCTGGCGGCCGTATATCTCGTTCTGCGTGAAAACGACAAGCCGATCCGGTACACCGTCCCGTTTCCCAAGAAGCCCGAGAAGGTCGAGATCCTCGATGAGCCCGCTATCAAGGTATGCCATGCTCGCAACCGCCGCTAGCGTCCCCTGCCCCGCTCCCTTGCACAGCTAACGCTTTCTGCCCATGTTTAGGTCTCGGGGTCTACCGCAGTCCAGTGTTATGCGCCCGCAACGGGACAGTTCCTCGGCCTCGTAAACCCCTCGACGCCGAACGCCATTGACCGAGCGGTCGAGCAGGCCCAGGCCGCGCAGACGAAGTGGGCTACCACGACTTTCCGCGAGCGCCGCGCCGTGCTCCGCTCCATCCTGCAGTATGTTTTGGACAACCAAGAAGAGATCTGCCGCGTGGCATGCCTCGACAGTGGCAAGACCATGGTAGATGCGCAGCTGGGCGAAGTCCTGGTGACGGTGGAGAAACTCCAGTGGACCATCAAGCACGGCGAGGAAGCTCTGCGCCCTTCGCGGCGGCCGACAAACTTGCTGATGGCCTACAAGCGCAATACGGTGCACTACGAGCCCCTGGGTGTGGTGGCCGCCCTCGTGAGCTGGAACTACCCCTTTCACAACCTGATCGGCCCTGTCATCAGCGCCCTGTTCTCCGGAAACGGCATCCTGGTCAAAGTCTCGGAACAGACTGCCTGGAGCTCGTCCTACTTCACAAACATTGCGCGGGGAGCGCTTGTCGCCCACGGCCACGACCCGGCCCTCGTGCAGACCATCGTCTGCTGGCCCCAGACAGCAAACCACATCACGTCGCACCCGGGCATCAGCCACGTCACCTTCATCGGCTCCCGCCCCGTGTGCCATAAAGTCGCCGCGTCCGCTGCCAAGGCGCTAATCCCCGTTGTCGCCGAGCTGGGCGGTAAGGACGCCTCCATCGTCCTCGACTCGGTCAGCAAGCGCGACCTGGCGCGCGTCGTCGAGATTCTCATGCGAGGCTCCTTCCAGGCCTCGGGCCAGAACTGCATCGGCATCGAGCGCATCGTCGCCGCGCCGCAGATCTATCCCACACTCGTCTCCCTCCTTGAACCCCGCGTGCGCGCTCTCCGCGTCGGGCCTACCGCCGATGTGGGTGCCATGATCTCCGACAGCTCCTTCGCCCGGCTGGAAGGGCTGGTTGCCGACGCCGTCCAGCACGGGGCGCGCCTCTTGGCGGGCGGGAAGCGCTTCATCCACCCCGACCACCCCAAGGGCCATTATTTCCAGCCCACGCTGCTCGTCGACGTGACATCGGACATGGCCATCGCGAACGAGGAGTGCTTCGCGCCGATCATGGTGCTCATGCGCGCACCGTCGAACTCGGCCGAGGACCTCCTCGCCGTGGCCAATGCGCCGCACTTTGGCCTGGGGAGCTCCGTGTTCGGTGCCGACTCGGATCCGAGGATCGGCAAGATTGTCAGGGGTATCAAGGCCGGCATGGTCGCAGTCAATGACTTTGGCGCCACCTACGCTGTGCAGCTGCCCTTTGGCGGCGTGTCCGGGTCGGGGTATGGCAGGTTTGCAGGTGAGGAAGGACTCAGGGGGCTGTGTAACGTCAAGGCTGTGTGCCAGGATCGGATGGGGTGGTTGGGGGTCAGGACGGCGCTCCCCGGGGCGATGCGGTACCCTATCATGGACCAAGAGCGGAGTTGGAGGTTCACAAAGGGGATGGTGGAGGTTGGGTATGGCATCGGTATTGTCAGAAAGATCGGAGGAGTGCTGGGGATCGTCAAGAACAGCTGAGGGATGTTGTAATAGTGAAGGGTGAAGAAGACTGTGGTACATTATCATGTCGGGTATTACGCCTGGAAAGCACTCGATAGAACTTGGTAACATGCGACTCAACCATATGATAATAGCTAAGACCTTAATCATGTCATTATCTCATCTGTACAAAGACATTTGGCCACTCCATACTTGCTTTGGCTTAGAAGCTAGGGCGTCTTATTTCCGAGGCCCCTCGCGGCGTCTAACTATTTCAGCAGCAGTGGTAAGGATGCGTATGTACCGTATCCGTAGCCGCAGTAGATCGGCAATCAGCAGCAACAACACCAGAAGATGCTCATCAGGTCCACATGTCCAAAGGGGAAACGGCATTCATCACGGATAGTTATTCGACGGATGTACTGTTGACGCATATACACACACACTGAACGCTTAACGCACCCCTCTACCGCTAATACCAGCGTAATGGCCCTCCCTGCTACGGCCACGCCGCACTTGTCTCGTCTCTCTCGGTCTCTCTCTCAGTACCACCACGTAAGGAAGGGTATCCCAGGTCGTCTACTCAGCCACATCAAACACATCCATTCATCCATCCATCTAAAGTGCCCGAAGGACCCACACCGTGTATACAAGGAGAAAAAAAAATAACAAGGAAATCCGGAAAAAGATTCAGCCCTACTCCGTAAAATCGAGCCGTGTACCGTTTCTTCGTTGATTCGCCCGTCCTCAACAGCGTGGGCGTACGCAAATAACCCACCAAGCGTCAGTCCCCATCGTGGAAAGGCGCCCCGTCCTGTATGCTGCCGCAATGTATAGCACGCTATTATGTCCCCTCGTCATTCGTTCTGATTGCTTCCGACACGCGGACAAGCCGAGTCTTGTGAGACCAGGCCGTCTCCTTCAAGTCCCTGGGCCTATATATGGAAGAGATAGCACGGTTTTACCGCAGTGAATGATTCGCGTATCGCAGGGATTTTGAAATCGAAGGGCGTGGTTGACCGGACGTCTAGCGTAAGTAGGTTTCGTATCGCGCCGCAGATCAGGGCTAGGTTGGATTAGGTTCGCCGTGGGAGAGAGCATGATTCCTCACCAAGCGGAAGCTGTATGGGTAAATCGGACGAGCATATCTTTTGCTGTGATCATAAGGCTTTTTTCAAAGACTCATAGTTAACCACTCCCACTCTTGCGGACCGGCACGCTGACTGCCGGGTCCCGCCAGAGATCGAGAGCTTGTGCCGAAGCTGTTGCCAAAGCCCAGGCTGCTACTGCTGGGCTGCATGGAAGAGAATCCGGTGCTAGATCCCATGGAGCCCAACGGCCTGGCCGCCTCATTCGATCCCGTAGAACTCTCGGGACTGTCGATGTCCATATTGCTTGGCGATGGAGCTACGGCGCCCTTGCTGTGGCGGCGCTGACGCTTCGAAGAGACAGCTGCGCTCCGCGGCAAAGACGCGGCGCCCGGACCTGGTGCATTCTTTGGCGGCGCGGCAGCGATTGGGATGACCCCTTTCCCGCCCACCACCCCATTGGATGCACCAGATGGCCCAGCACCGGCATGGTAGCTCGTTGGCGTGCTTGCGGCCGTGTTCCCAGCCGATGCGGAGGCACTTGCAGGACTCGCGCCACCACTGTTGCTGCTAGCTCTGTTTTGTATTGCGGGAGGCGTGCTTGCCTGTACCGGCTGCTGATTGGCACTCGAAGACACGGCCAGCGTGGAGGAGCTCTTCTTCACGCCAGCTCCTGAGGCGCTGGAGCCGGCGTGTTTCCTAGATCGAGTGCTCGTGCCTCCAACGGGGAGGCCCGCTCCGGAGCCGCGGTTCCGCTTCTTGATAACATCCGTCTTCAAGCTCAACGGCCTGACCACTCCATGGAGTTTGAGGAAAAGACCGCAGGCATTGCACAGCGGCTGACCCTCTGGGTTCCGACGCCAGAGCGGCGTTGTCTGCGTAAAGCAATTCGTACATGTCGTGGGCGTATTCGTGCTGCTGCTCTCTCCCTGCTTGCCTGCTGAGCCCTGCAAATTAGTTGTCGAACCGTGCCTCGATGCCGGAGGAGGGGACGACGGGCGACTAGTAGCGACAGAGGAAAGGCCCGACGTAGCGTTCGGCTCAGCCGGCGGCGAATTGGGCGTCGACTGCGCCAACCTGTCGAACGGATTTCCCCTGCTCGCCAGTCCTGGCGTCGACGCGTTCCTCGGCACTTTCCCAAGACGCCCGTTAGCAGTACGGAAAGACTGCGATTGCGACCTGTTCAGGCCTCCACCTTCCCAATCACCAGCTGACTCCACAAAATCGGTGGTGGTGCCACCTATCGTCACCAGCTTCCGCGGAGGACCGGCAGGATACCTTGCCGCTTGCGTACTGAAATTGCCCGGAAGGGACGGATCCCACTGCAGTGATGAGTTGTCGAACCCGCTGTCCTCCATGCCCTGAGACGCAAAATCCTGGGGAATCGGGATGTTGCGATCTGCGAATGCACCCCCGTCCTCGTCATCTGAATCGGCGCCGAACGAAAACATGCTGTCCTTGCCAAGGCCGACACCCGAGGAGCGACCAAGATGCTCCTGCTGGAACACTTGCGCGGGGTCGATATGGCCAAAGGAGCTTGGCGCGGTGAACGCCGAGGCTGGCTCCGAGTCGGTACCACCAGCGGAAAACATCAGGCTACCGCTGCTGGCCGCGTACGGGAGCTGGTGGCCCAACGCATTGCCGATACTGCCATGGGAGGCTCTGTAGGGCTGCTGGCGCGGGTGGCGCATATCCATGGATCCAAAGTAAAAGCCGCCCTCGCCATCGCCCAGCGGATGAGGTGTCGACACAGCGGATTGATAGGCGGACCCGGGCGGGGAATAGAACTCTGCTCCTAAGGCGTTAGGCTGTATCGAGGAGCCGCTGTACATGGTGGAGAATGCATCGTGGGCGCCCATTGGCGAATTTGCGGGAGAGAATGAGAAGTTCTGCTGGAAAGGGCCGGCAGAGGTAAGGATGGGATCGCTGTCCAAGCGGAACGTGTCTAGAGGGAAGGGGATTCCCGGGTGAGTGGACGGCTGCGTCACGGCGCCCGCCTGGTGTACATGGTCGAGGGAGTACTCCTGGAGCTCCGAGTCGGCGTCGAGTCCATTGGCGGCGTAGCTGCCGGTCACAGCGGGAACGCGCGGGGAGAAATCGGCTGGACGCTTTCGGGTCTGGTAGATGTGAGCAAGGTGAGAAGGGGATCACATCACACAAAGGTGACGGATGAAATCCCATGGCAACGACGGGGAGGCGAAGGGGGGCCATGATGGGGCGCAAGAAGTGTCCTCTCAAAAGAAAAGACCAAGGGAAGAAGACTTACACGCTGCCCAGTCTCATCAATGCTGGTTTTGCGAGGGTGACGAGGGATATAGCCGAACTCGTCCCGCACTCTCTGATGGGCGGCAACAGGCACTGACTGGGGAATCAAAAGCTGCGAGGATTCCTTGCGAGTCTTGATGGGAATGGCCGTCGCCGCGGCGTGCGTTGATTTCTCCTCAGCCCGCCGCATGGTTTCTAGGGTCGGGGTCAGCGCCATGCCAGCGGGAGTTCCTACGCTGTCGTTGTTGATGAAGTCGTCCAAGTGCATCGGGTCCGTTTGCAGCGGGGCATTATTCGACGACTTGCGCAATTGTTGCGTGATACCGCTAGGGCCACTGACAGATGCACCTGGGACGTGGTCGCTTCTTCATTCGGCCAACAAAGTCAGTAAGGTATTTAATCCTTCTTCCCCCCTTCCCACGTCCGTGGACAGGCTGCAAACGATCACCTACCTAGATGCGGCAGTAGGCCTTGCGGCTCGCAATTTGAGATGCATCATCCGCCACGTCAAGTTCTCCATGCGCTCCTGGGCCGGAAGGAGCTGCTTGGTCTTTGCGTAGAACTTCCAGATCTGAGTGGCTAGCGGGTCCTGCCTCTGCATCTCCTCCAGAGTCTGGCTTTCGCGCGATGCGCTGTGCTGCTGGAACTGCGGGACGGCGGCGGCGCGCAGCAAGTCAATCTGGGGGCCGCCCGGTTGACTGAGACGAAAATCATGCAACCCATGCAACCCGGCACGCAAACCGATGGAACTTGCCGTCGCCGTCCTGGGAGCTGTCGTCGATGCCGCTGCCGGTCTGGAGCCGGCGACGGTTGTGTACGCTTGGTCGAGTCGATCCGGCTTCCGGCCGCCGAAGGCGGCGTCGGCTGGCCTCCGAGGGAAGCGGAAGTCGTGCTCTGTCATGGTGGGATGCATTGGAGTCAGCGGACTCGACGCCGCGAACGGGCTCGTCGTAGTCGCCGCCATTGCCATGCAATGGAAGAGCTGGCTTCGGATACCGCGAGACTCTCGGCGAAGGGGAAGGGAGTCAACTTGTCAGGAGCACGACGATACGAATACAAGACGCAAGAGAGTGTTGGTTCCGTTGCTTCCCTCGGTTTTTGACCTTTCCCCACGCTCGGGTGGAAGTACAAGAACCCCTGCGCACACCCGCCCGGGGTTGCTTGCGTGTGGGCGTGGACCTGGCCCGAATACCTCCGTACAGGCGCAGACAGCAGCTTTTGCGGCAGCACCCACACCCGACCTTGGTCGCAGACTGCAAGAGTGCGGAAGCGAGCGCCCGTGAAGCCAAGTCGGTTGCAGGATGCAAAAAGAAAAAAAAAAAAAGAGGAACTACACGCCCAGGGCAGGAAGCAATGCAAGACGCAAAAAGGCTTTTATTTTGGCTTCCAGGTTGTCTGCAAAAGTGGCAAATGGTAAGTGGAAAAGGTGCGAGGAAAGGCCGGCTGGCAGGTAACTAATTTACCTTCTGCGTCGTAGCTCAGGTGTGAAGCTCCGCTTCCACAGCCGTGATCTAGCCGGGAACAGCAGAGATGTGGCTCCCGGGCGTCGCTTTCCTGCTGACGACTCGAGCCACTCGACCCCGCCAAGCAGGACGGAGTCAAGGCAGATAGATGGCAGTTGGGCGGTTGAGGAAGACAAAGACGATTTGGTGAGCCCGGAAAGGCCACCGCCGGTTGTTGAAGTCTCACTCTCTCCTTCACCTGGACGGCGGCATGCAGGAGCATGGATGCATCCCACTTCGACAGGGGCTTATCATACGGTGGTAACAATGTATATGTATTGTATGTGTATGCATACCGTAACTTTCCTTGCAGCCCGCTGGAGTTCATACAATAGCTCGAATAGTTAACCTGTGGACGGCCCCCTGCCATTCCTTTACCGCATGCATCCCGATCGCCGTGACAGTGAGACGGCAATGTCGTTAACTGCCACGGAGGATTGGATATGGTCACAATGTCCGCAAACAAGGCACGGTCTCTCTTGCAACGGTTTCTCGGCTAGTTCGCGGGGGTCAGCAAGACGAATTCCACGCTTGCTGGATGTTGCCGCAAACATAGAGAAGCTGGGCCAATGCCAGTGTGGCGTATCAATCGGGGGCTGGAGGGTCACAGTTCGTAAAGCGGTATCCCCTCTCAGGGCGAAAGTAGTAGGTACAATACCTGGGTAACCTAAAACACTTCTCCTCCAGCCAAGACCGGTATTCCAGGCGACCAGCCTTCCGGGGCTGGCAGCAAAGCAGTAACATCTCGCCCGCCTCTGTTATAACTTCACGTCGAAGCTTGAATGCGATCAAGTGCACACGGGTCCAGGCCGTTACGAGATCACTGTGTGTACTATACGGACATTGTACGCTCATGCGTATTGTATAATAAGGTGTGTAACTTGAATTGCCCCACTTCGCCAGCCTCGATGCGGCCACTGCGGCAGGGCGTATGTCCAGTGGAGCCCTTTGAGGATGAGGGACCCCACGCTGCTGTGGAACAATGCGCTCACAAGACTCCTTCCTACTGGCCCCGGGTACAAACAGCTCGGTTGCCCGCTCTTGTAAATACACGGTGGTGTATTTGAGACTGGAGGAGTCTTGCGAATGAAAGCGATCCCGGTGCTGAGAATGTCTTGAATGGACCTATGTAAAAACGGGTTCAAGGCTAGCAGGAGCTCACTACCTAATGTTTTGACACCAAACACCTACCAATAACTGCGTACTAGTACGGGAATAGGACGAGAATTAGAGTGGAGTTAGAAGTGCAGTACGGTAATGTACCTTATTATGCACTGTACATACTACAGTTGCCAACGGAACTACAGTACTTCGTAATACATACCTTACCTACCTGAGGTAGGTAGGTACCAAGCTGGACTGTCTCCTCATCCTTCCTCGAACACTTTCAGACGGCTCAAGCCGAGCGGTCAACTCCCCATTTCAGCCTTGCTAATGAGTCTTTGAATTCAGCACTCCCAACTGTCCCACGACCTCGCTTTGTCTGCGGCAGGCAATATCACAATAGGCACTACTAGTAGTGTGGGCCGCAGCCCAGTGCGGGGAGGTTCATTATGGTTGAGGTGGGAAGGTCTAGGCACGACGCGACCTGTCATGCAGAGCTGGCACTCTGAAAGGAATACATCGCACCGTGATGCTTCATGTTGTCTCTGTAATAGGCACGAATGGTAGGTGTAATCATGTTGTGTAACGCACTCGCATGTGAGAGCCCCCACGCGTGGAAACGAGAAAGCGCCAGCTATCATAAACCGGGCATCATGAGATGCTCACAGTCGTATCCTTCCTGAACTGCTAACAGCCCAACGCAATGAATCAACACACTTGGTCCGTCCGGTTGCATCGTTCATCTTATCTCCACAGTAACGCTAAAACCGGCTTGTCAACATCGACAACGGGGTTAACTAGTGTAGGTACTGAAGTACATAGTAGCAAGAGGTCGACACAATAGCGCCCACGTGCCCGGGCCCACCAAGCCCGCTCGGATCGTCCTTGGCATGTTCCATGAGTCCGTCCGACCCACACAGCATTCACTTTCCCGACCGAGTCGCAGAAAATAATAAGTCCACGAATCTGCCTACTGCGGGAAAGTTTTTGCGATATGGCGACGATTGCGTCAAAGGGCCCGGTGGTCTCCAGAATCGGCTGGTCTGTTATAAACCCATCATCTACACTACAGTATGCTGTTCAACCCGGACCCTTCGGTAGTCAATTATCCAGAACTGGACCCCCGCTAGTCAGTTACTACCCTTAGTTTGCGAATTTAGCCTTCAAGTTCTGCAACAGAGCACGGTCGGCAGCAATCGGAATGGCTTGTGCTTGCAGTCTTCCGAATGCTCCCCCTCCCCATCACTGGACGGTGCAACTTCCGCCTCTCCACAAAAGGATCGCTTCTATTCTTCGCCTGTCGCCGGAATCGGGCCGTAACACGGCTCTTACTGATAAATCGCTGATACTGCAAGCACCCTAGTGTATCCCAGCATGAACCCAAGCATTTCCCTCGCAGTTGTTCGTCCGATCTCGCTGCTTCGTTCGGTCGAGTTTCCGAACTCTCGCAAGCAGCTCGTCGTCATTTGTCGGGCCCTGACAACGAAGTCTGCAAGACACTCCCTTGGCGGGGGATGCCGGCCCGCTGCGAAAATCACATGCAACACCGTACGTACGTAGTTGCGAGATAGTTATACGTTCCATGTTCGGCTAGGTAGCTGGGCCCCTCCGGGAGCGCGATGTGACAAAAGGCGGAAAATAAAGCCAGTGAAGGATGCTGCCGGCATGTCGAGGCACGCCAGGATCGCAAAGCATCAAACATGACCGCCCTCGCCACCGTCGCGCGGTCCAGGCGCCGCAATCCAGAACCTCTCGGCTCTGCTCCAGCTCGAACCCCTCAACCTGCCCATCGATCCGACCTTGACAGGACCCCTGTGGGATTTTATCAGGGCAATCGACCAGCCGCGTTGCTGAGAGCCCCAAGCCGATGTGGGGGTAAATTGTCGAGACCCGCCATGCCGCCGGGAGACGGGACGCTGTGTGGGGGTTCCTGTGGTTCCCGTGCCTCCACGCTTGACAACGCTGATTTGAATCGATTGCTTCGCTGATGACCGATGAATATACCGGATCGTTTGGTGCAAGACCCTAACCCTCTACGACCCTGACCAGGGCCCGTGGAGAGGGTGGGATGTCTGTCCGAGTCCTGATGGATTGATGAAGAGGCTGGCTCCAGCAGCTGGGGTAGAAATGAAAGGAAGCCATGGGCGACGATGGTGACGATGGTCGGATGCTTCAAAAACGATGCCCGCTGGGTCTCACTGGGCCGAGAAGAGGTCGTTGGGTGCGTGGGACGACGGCATCCTATATACCCATAAGGTAACCCAGTCGAGCGCACAACAGGGACTATGTCCTCTCTCGTGCCCCTTATCGACTGAGATGGCCATGACCGCCCAGCCGTTCATCCAGGGCCTATCGATTTGATGCCAGGCGAATTTCGCAATTCTCTGATAAGTCAGGACAACCGGTCTAGCTTCAGGGTTCGAGCTCACGTGCTTAACCTTATCAGCAACATACCTTATATATGGACGTGCATGCATTCTGCCCCGGGCTCTTCCTTCCCGTGCTGCAAGAAGGGTCGCCAGGACGTCATCATGCTTTCTCACACCGAGAACGTGTCACGATACAGGGGTAGCGGAATCTCGGCAGGCCGGAAGATGCAATGGTGCTTATCCCGCCCTCGTCACCCGTCGTCGAGCTTGCGTGCCTCCGCTATAAGGGGGATCGGACACATCGGTTGGCGATGAGACATTCTCTGATGGCTTGTTGACCGTAACGCAGGAGCGGTAGACCAATGAGAATGAAACAGCCCAGTCTGCGGTGATGACACCTCCACACTGACACTCAAAACACCACACAGTGGGTATATCCTTCGCCATGAGTAAACAACTCTGTCATCAGGTTGAGCTAGGTACAGTGCCCATCCTTGCGATCTCCTTCGTCACTTGTTCCTAGACATCATCCCCCCAACGTCATGATCCAAATACAGGAGAAGGATTTTGTCACCTTGGGGGGGAAAAGACTAGCCGCAGCAACCATCGCAAAACGAGCCGTGAACAACCAAGGAGTGTCCAACCGTGCTCTCAGGACCTTCCCACCCCTCCGCCCTCCACCGTCCTCCAGCTCAGAAAGACGCAGCTGGTCAGACTCCTCAGAGCAACGCAGCAATAACCACTACACCGCCCAGCACGGCACCCATAACCTTAATCCCCAACGTACCACTGCTTCCGGTACCAGCACCACCGCCGCCGGCAGCGCCTGAACTACCACCACCAGCACCGGTGCTGGTGGCATCCACGGCGCCAATGACGCTGGTGCTCGTGAGATCGCCACTAACAGCCTGCGCGACAGCGGCCAGGCCGACCGAGGTCGACACCGTGACGCCGGCCGGGTTGGTGACGGTGACGACTTGCGTGATGGTCTGCGTGAGGGTGCTCCATTTCCAGCCGCTGCCCCAAGGGCCCCAGGGCGAGCCGGCTACGCCACCAGCGCCCCAACCGCCGGGCCCGCCGGCCCACGGGTTGCCGTTCCATTCGCAGCCTGTTACCGTGTAGACGCCTCCGGACCAGGTGCGTGTCCTGAGTCATGAAGGTTAGCTTCCAGGTTTCTTGATCTCGGGGGGAAAGCCAAGGAGCCTGTGTGTGCGGGGGGAGGGGGTGGTTGTGGGCAGAGAGTGGGCAGAGAGTGGGCGGAGAGTGAATGTCCTCTTGTCTTGATTTGACTTACCCCCGCTCCCATTCCGTTCGGTCATCATGGCCGTCCCCGTCCCAGTCACCGGGCGGTCCGTTGCCGTAGCGGCCTGGGCCGTGCCAATCACCAGTAAATGCTAAGGCGTCCGTGTCAATAAGCCCGTTCCAAATAGGTAGAGACAGACATCACAGAAGGGAGAAGCAAAAAAGTTATTTACCGGGCGCGGTGACGGTGTGCACGCCGGTGGAACCGACGGCGCTACACGATGTCCATCTCGAACACAGCGAGCTGGAGAGAGAACTGTAGGATACGTGGGCGGTAGGGGTGGCCTGGCAGGCCGAGCTCAGGCACCTCGATACGGAGGCGGCTTGGGTCGCCTGGCAATAGCTGGTAGGCGCTGGCCAAGTCGTGGCGGACGACCAGTAGGAGGCAAAACATTCGTGCTGTTGACAAATGTTAGAAGATTGCGCCTTCAGTTATGCCATGAAAAAGAAGGGTGGAACGTACAGCGCAGTCCGGGGCGCCGGCCCACCATTGGGCGCAAGCAACCCCGGCGGAAGCGACGACGAATAATATAGTAGTAGTAGATGACGCCTTCATGATCGGGTGGGAGATACAGTTAAGGCGCAAATGGACATTCAAAAAAAGAGAGACAAGAGAGTTCTCGAGGGCTGCAATATCGGTAGGGTTGAATATCGACAACTATCGCACGAGATGAGGTAGATGTTGATGAAAAGCGGAGGTTGCGGGTCCTGCTTTGGCCAGGCCGCCACGTATATATACGTAGATGTATAGATAGGTAGGTGTATGATGTCAACGCCTACGGCCTGCGGGAGGTCCGACCGTAACCGTACGGTGTAGCCCTACGATTCTGGGGTTCTACCATAGCAATCCGGGGAGCCTCCGATGACCAGGGTAGGTCTACCTAGACGGGCATTCGGGCCAGGCGGCGCGCCGACACCGTGTGGGTTGCCGCGCGGCCCTTACATCATGGTCTAGCCTGCCATACGCTGTGCGTGAACACCACTTACACGGAGAGGTGGCGGTTGCACCACAGGAGTCCGGACGACGCCAAGAGGCAGCCGCGGAGCGATCCCTGGACGGCCGCGTAAGGCATGTCTTGGAAAAGAACCATTAAGCAGCCGTCTGAGTCGGTGCATATTAAGCCCGTGACCTGAGTTTGCAAGCCGTCCGTTCCGCTATGCCCAACAGCTCGGGACCGAAGACGACATCGGGAGGTGAGCTGAGGCGGGGTTGAGGGCGCGGAAGCGTTGTATGCACAACTGGATGTAGAACAGGTCAGCCAGTGCTTGGAAGCCAAAGAAGCCGGCCTCTGGAGTTGCCGAAAATCAGACTTCTTTCTGCATCAGACGCGTAGTGTTCCTCCATCCTTGGGACATCCTCGACTTGTCTGGTCCTCAGGGAGACTGGAGTTCGGGCGTGGTGGCTTGGGGAAGGTCCGACGAACCAACCACAGCCATTCTTAAAAAGGCTCGTACAGTCTTTGGGAGTACAAGCATCGTCAGCATCTCGCTTGCCTCGTTCATCAGTTCTCAATAAGCCCATTTTGCCGTGCTTCAAGTCTGACACCGCTTGGGATGGTGAGCTTGTTTTCGGGGCCTTGCACGTTGTCTGAAGTTCGCGTATGGATCCGTAGGGCTGAGTTTTTGTGGATACGGGGCTAGCGCAGCCCCACCCGCCCCGTCACTTGGGGCCTGGGGCTGGAGCTGGGCCTTCTCAGCTCGACCCGTCATTTTCCGCACATAGGTCAGCATCCCGAACCTTCCCGCCGTGAATTCTCACGACCTTGAGCTTCCAGTCCGTGTTGTTGTCATTCTGGATACCGATCCGAGCCACGTGGGGCACATTGGCCATACATATACGTTGTTTGCGCATGTCAGGATACCGCCTTCTATACCGGGCAGGACCATCCACGAAAACAACAAGGAAACAGTATCCGATTCAAACTGTATCTTCTCTTTCCTCATCCCCTAGTGCCGACATTATCAATTTCTGCTGGACGCAGTCCCGTCGTCTGAGACACTGTATCTTGCGCCTTCTCAACAGAGTTCTATAAGGTACATTATCCTATCCTATTCGCCCTTGACCGGTTGGGGGAGGGCGTCACTGAGAGAAACACGTTGGCACAACACGCAAGTGGGAGGACGATGGTACGCCACTGAACACACCCCCAAAGCTCTTCATTCCACATACGGAAGCCAAGCATCCGTCGCCAGTATTACCACAAAGACCCAATAGCTCTATGGCCGGGTCGAAGGCTGTGGTCCAAGAAGGAACCAACCCAAAGAAACAAGAGAGAGAGAAAAACAAACAAAGGAAAATAAACATGCCTATGTACTGGATACAGGCTCAGTCTCGCTCTCCCGCCCCGACTCGACCCATGAACCACTAAGAATTAGAATGCGCGCTTTGCCCAGTGTCGATTAAGCCAAGATTCCCTCCCTCCAGCCAAACACCTCGTCTAAAAACCCCTTATGATGCAACTGTAACATCGTGTCACCGGCCGACGTAGACCAGTTCTGCTTGCATATGCTAGCTCTTTTCTAGACCAAGTGAATGCCGCCCTCAGCCGTGGCATAAATAAAATGGAATCGGTGGTTTGTGTCTCGAGAGCGCGGGGAAACCCCATCCTGCACTCAGACAGCTTTGATAATTCTTCCCTTCTCAACGGACGCCGATCGGAGGTCGAGGACCCAGACTGGTCTGGCTGCTGTGAGCCGAAGGTTCCGAGCCGAGGGTGGCAGAATCACCACTGGCCGCGCTGGCGCTCGCACTGCCGGTCAGACTTCGCGAACTGTTGTTCTTGGGTGGGTGTAGGGCGCTCACCCCAGCGTGCTGCTCGACCTGCTGTGGCGCAACAGTATTGCCGTGACCCGGAGGGTATCGGGGCATAGGTTGCCGGACGCCCTCCGGCGGTGACGGCCGTCCGTTCATCTGCGGGCCGGGATACCCATTCGGCGGCGACGGACGTCCGCTCGGGACGCCGCGAACAGATGGGCTGTACGGGTTCCCTGGCGACTGGCTCGCTCGCCGGGGCCCGCTACCGTTCATTCCCGTCGGTGCCGGCCCCTGATTGTACTGGAACTCGTCAAGGCGGGCAGCCGTCAAAGAATTCGCTCTCGACCCGGCATGCATGGCCCCCCGATCGACGGTGCCGTATCGGTTTGAAGTGAAGCCCAACAGAGGGTCGTCCATAATGTCCTCGTGCAGCGAAGGGATTGTGCTAGTCATAATTTGACTCGACCGATTCCTCCCGAAACTTGGCCGGAAGAATTTGCTGCGAGACGAAGCTGTCTCCTGTTCGGGGTTCTTGCGAAACTGTGCGGGATTGGTGCTCGGTGTTTTCCGGTTCTTCCTAGAGGTAACGCTCATCATGTCGAAGTTATCGGGGTCGATCATCGGCCCTACGCGGATGGGACCAGGATCGAAATAATCATCGTCCTCATCCTCGTCGTCGTCGTACATACCTCCGCCACCCCGCACGGACGGGGCCGGTCCCGGTCCCCTTCTAGGCCCTGGACCGGCGCCAGCAGCGGCTCGTCTTAGCCTCATCTCTTGTTCCCTCAAGGCCAGCTCACGTTGTCGCAACTGCAACTCCTTCTCCCTAAGCGCGAGGTCGTGTGGGCTTGATTGCGGATAGCCAGCCTCACTGCCTTCGGGGATGTCGTCGTAGAGCACTAGATGACTGAACTCTTCCAGATCTGCGCCTTCCATAGAACCTCTCCTTGACGGCACACGCCCGTTCGGCGGTGGCCGTGGATACCCGTTTGGTGGGCCTCCGTTCATGGCGGGCGGCGGACGACGCATACCGGGCCCCGGTGGCCCGATCGAGGACGAACCCCTAGGCCGCGGCCTGCCAGGAGGCATACCGTTCCCGTTTGGCACCCCATTAGGTCCTGGCCGGGGAGGGCCTTGGGCTGACATCCGCGGGAGCGGTGAAGGCGTGGTGGACGGTGACCCCGGCGGTGGTGGTGCTGCCACCGAGGTGTCGATCTTCGGCCGGCTACGGTTAACCAGATTAAGGTTATGGAGAACTGCGTAGAGCGTCTCGACCCGTGGCACGCCAACGCCGGCTTCCTGGGACAACTTTATGGGCGAGCCCAGATAGGTCTCGACTTCCATCGGCCGTCTCGCCGTGTAATCCTGCCACATGATGTTCTCAGTGGTCGAGCGTGCGAACTCGTCGATGGTGTTCTGCTTGAAATCTGAGGGGAACTTGCAGCCCTGGGCTTCCGCCAGCGCAAGCAGTTCATCTATAATGTCTGACACAAGCTTGGACACGCCGACTTTCTCCAAAAGAGCAGCGTAATTCGGCGTCTCGAAGATGACCGTTAGAGGGTGAAAAGCAATTGGGCTACAACAAGTCAGTCTCCAGCCATTCACATCGAATCGCGGGACAAGGAGGCAGCCCATACCCAATTACCCGCTCATATTGCTGCTGACGGATGTTGGGCGACACCTTGCAGTCGACTTGGCCAGTGTTCAGTGTCATTGCCAGAGCCTGCGCCATATCGTCTTGTATTGAGGGCGGAATGTTGGGATTCTTGTTAGCATGGCCGACCCACAGCTCGGTCGAGCCCTTATGTTCAAACTCGCTTCCGCCGAGCTGGGCGAGCTCAGCACCACAGACAAGAGAAAGGACGACGTTTGTCGGAAACCGCTCCTCAATGGCGGACTCGAGGCCCAGCGCATGCGTCGTATTAATGATGATACATGTGTGTTGCGGAGTGACGACCGAATCAATCACCGAGGCCAGGTCGTAGACGTCGGGAAGCGCTTTGATACAAAGGATAACATAGTCGAATGCGCCTTCTCGGCGAGAGGCAGCCTCTTCCGGTGTCCGGACGACTACGTTCAGTCAGGCGTTTAGCACATGAAGCGCAGGTGGAGTCAGAGATCATAAGACGATCAAATTACATACCATGTCGCGGCTTGAACCGTTCATTACCATAGATCGACGACCTGGGGACGCAATGTCGTTAGCACCAGCAGTTGAGAGACGAGGTTCAGTCGAGGAGAGCCGCGGCGCATACTTGAATGATATCCCGTATTGCGAGACATGCTCGAACCCAGTCTTCCAGACGAGCGTGACATCGCAGGCATTGGTTGCTTGAAGTCTCCACGACAAGAAGGCGGAAACGGAGTTGCCGCCCACTGTGACAACATTCAGCATTAGCTCACTATCCGACATGTCTGATAGCGCGAGCGAGGGCGCATATGCAGCGATTCCTCGGCCGTCTCAAGAGCAGAAAAAAAAACGAAGGTGGTGGTGGGGAGATGGATCTGGAAAAGAATTGGGATGACGGTTCGAGAGTTCGTCAATGCGAAGCCCACTTCTTTTTTGGCTTCCCGCCCCCAGAACCTAGGTCGCACTAGGCTGCGGGCGGCAAGGACAACACAAAGATGACAGAAGGGGCGGAGACTTGGTACAGGACTGGTTGGCATGGCTTACCGGATAAGATCTTGAGTCGGGGCGTCATGGGCGCCATGGTTGAGGCCCGATCCGGGATAGTGGACCGAACAAGTTTCCAAGCTGCAAGACGAGCGAGTAAGTGATCTTCGGTGCAAAGCGCTCGACCGAAACGGGCAATAGTGTAGTGCGCTGTCCCACTGTGCGACCAAGTTGGCGGCCGCTTCTCAGCTTTCCCGGCTTGGATCTTTCTTTTTTGCGTTTTGTTCCTCTTGTCGTCCTGGGCCTGAACTTTCCAACCCCCACGAACCGCAGATCACGATCTCAGGATAAGTGTGCGCCGGAACTCACTCAGGGGGCCCGCAGATCGGAGGCTTGAAAGAGCGAATGAGGTTGCTATCACACACGCCAACCCATTAGAAGGTTCCGGTACTGGCTCAACGAACGGTCGAGCTTTACCCAGAGGTCGCAGCTGCAGAAATCGTGCGGCGTCGCAGTGGTGCCGAGCAATCTAACTCTAGGACCAGCGCATCCGTTGCAAGCGTTCGCGGCTAACGGTCAGCGGCGCAGTGCAGTAAAACGAGCGTGAAGCCTTGACCAGATGATTAGTCGTGCGGCGGCCAAAGGCCTGGGGTTTCCTCCTGGGATTTGACAAGTTGGTTTCAGGGTGTCCGGCGTATGGGGCGCTAGTCGACGGGAGGTGCGTGGAGAAGGTCTGTAGGTCTCTACCGCGTGCTGCAATCTCACAGGTCCGACACCAGTGCTATTTCGTGGCGTTCCGGGCTGGCGATTGCCGTGCTGTCGGCTGGTGCGGGATGCTGGCGTGGGCTAACGAGCGGACGACGCAACGTGCGCGCTTCGGTCAGGTCGGGCTCCCGAATGCCAAGGCGAGCTGCCGTGGATGCCGGAAAACGACAGGGCAGTGATTAGAGAAGATTGTCTCTGCAGAAAAGCACGACAAGCGCCCTGGTTCCAGAGTTGAAAGAGATGTCAGGATCAAGGAAGCTGCGGAAATACCACAGGCATAGAAAAATGAATGCCCTTGTCAATGCGAGCGAGGTGGCAGCCAGGAAGACGTTGGCTGTGGTGTGCGTTCCGCTCCGCTCACCTGTCAAGAGTTGGGTCTAGGCGTTGGTCGTTACTGCTGGAATGCCGGACATTGCTTGTGGCAGGTGGAACAGGCAAAAAGGTTAGGTTCGGGGAGCGGACAGTTCGGGTTACAGCGTGACAGAAGCCGGAAGGAAAGCACGTTGCAAGCGGGCACCCAAGCTAAGGTTGAGGTGGGCAGTGCCAGTGCTGCGGTGTCCCCCGAGAAGCCAGGGCATCGGGGAAACACCTAACATCGAACAACAGAATACGGTAACCTGAATAAAGGCAGGCCCTAGGTTCCATGTGAAACTGAATTTGCTAGGTATACGTGTCTCAGGGCAACGGACAGGCGCATACGTGGACAGTGGACACGGAGCATCCGAATCGAATCACTCCACTGCCTTATTACCAGAGCTGCATACAGCCATACACCGACATGACCGATTCTATGAGTTTTCTACACAGGGATATCCATCGGGATCTTTGGTGGAATGGACAGGAGCCTCCTGGAACATCGGGTTTCCAATTTCTGCCCGTATCGCTAAAATCCGACCTACAATCCAGGCTAGGCAGCATCCCCACTTATTGTCCTGTCTTTGGATCGCTCATCCGCGGTCCGATCTAACTGAGAGAACTTCCACCCTCATCAGTTCTGGGCAATTTCCAATGGTGGGCCAGAAAGGGATGCGCGTGCTGCCAGCGAACACGGGCTTCGCCCCCATGTCGCAGCTCGGTGTGGCTTGGACATTGAAATCCACAGTTGCAGCTGCATCAATCTTGGAGTGAATGAGATCGCAGAAGTCTAACGCCAGGGCTACTACCTATCTTCAAAAGGCATGGGCCTCGTTCAACTTGCGAACACCATGATATACATACTACAACAGTACCTGGTAGGGACTGTGGTGGTATGAGGCACTCCATTCAGACCTGATATGGATCCTTGTATTGTAGTGCCATTGGTCCAGTGTGATTGGCAGCCCTACCGTTCCTGTGACTTCAGGTCGTTTATCAGCGCATCCCTTTCCCTACCTGATTGATGAAGCCGTCCTCCGGTGCCAGGATCCGTTAGTATTTACAGGAGGAGATGCCGTTTGTCGAAGAACATAACGACACCATGATAGAGTGGACCTGCATGCTCGCTGGCCAGTTTCCACCTAGCTTGGAATCGGGTAACAGGTGTAAATAAACTGAAGGATCTCCAAGAGTACACCACATGCCACAGACATTGCGTGCTGTAACTTAGGCAGTCGGCTCGACTACTGTACATGAAAAGCATCAACAATGTATGTATAGATGCATACCACCCGGGCTGTATCCCACCAACCTGGACTGTATGCCTTGCATCGTGTACAGACGAAATCAGAAATCACGCCCATGTCGAGCTGGACAATCACGCTGTCTGCTGACGAGGCGGCTTGGCGCGACGCGCAGCTTGCGGGGATTATATTTTTCGATGACGCATAATGTGGGGTCCTGTCTTGGAGCCAACCACACACGCCTTTCCTATTCGAGCTCAATCGCCCCGCTTGTGCCTGGCGAACCGGCAACCACCAGGATTGGGGAAAAAGAACTCAGCACCTCAGAAGGCAGGAAAGAAAGATAGGAGCTCACTTCATGTCAAAACTGGTCTCCGTGTGGAACACCTTAACCAATTTTACAAACAATTACTTGTCCGATCACAAACTGTGAGAACTTCTGCTGAAAGCACGCAGTATCCAAAGCTCGACGTCCATCAACGACCGAACGCCCACCTTGGCCAAAGTGTATTGTCGGGCGGTATCGGTGATGCAACGTTTATTACAGCGAGATACCCGCCTCCCATTGGTACGGAGCTTTTGGCGCGTAATTACAAGCAGTGTTCCCTAGATCTTTTGCTCCGCGTTGGCTCGGGTCTGGCTGTCTTGAACTTGAAACCTTCCGGCCGACGCTTCCGGCGCAATTCATCAACTCTTTTGGTAAACCAATGGCGTGTCAGATGCGCCTGACACCGCCATACCAATCACCAACTTTACTACGACGTAGGCGGTGCCAATCATCAATGCCACCCTTAAGCAAGATTCTCTGTCATGATCTGGGACTCGGTTTTAGACGGACCATGTCTATAAAAGCGCTATAAAAGTGGACGCCCAACCTGCGGGATATGTAAGTGACAGGGGTCCCGTCCTGGAAACTTTGCGTCCTTCCAAGGAAACGGGAATTGAACACCGGTCAGGAAGAACTTCGATGCTACCTCATCAGATATGTTTGTGAGTGCCCGCCATCGATTCAATATTTGACAGCGCTAATAATAAGCTCATATCTGCAGTAGTCAGGGGCAAACACGACTATTTCTGGCAATCGCAACTTTGATGTTTGGACGACAAGGACCGTCTGCTTGTCTCACGACGACTCGGTGACGACTCGACTCCCCAGGGTACGCCTGCCGGCAGGTTCCGTGAGCGGTCTGATAGGGTCCGCCAGGCACCAGATCACATCGCCGTCGCCAACCGTTCACGATCTGCAGATATGTCTGGTACGTACTGTCGTGCCAGATGAAGGCGAGGAAGAAGCAGAGGACGGGACCATTGTTGGCCCGACGCAATATCCTCGTTCCGGCTGTCCCACCGGAAGCTGAAATGTTGCGTTACCTATCTAAGGGTAACCTCAAAGTTTTAATCGGTCTGCATGGTAGCGGACAGAGCAGGGACCTTGTGAAAGCGATAGTCTTGTCCAAACGAAGCAGATGGCATTGTCGGACGAATGAACAATAATAAAGCTGACAATGGTGGCATGGTCTAGCTCGCCTACCCAAGGCAACATGAGCATCCGTACCGCCTTCGGTATGCGTACCGGCAGGTTGATGGGCCCGAGACGGGTGATATACACATGTACGTGACGGACTCCGGGATTTGCATTTGCACCTTCCAAGTGAGGAGTGCTTGAGGATATGGAAGCCATTCAGCTTGCAGATCCGACACGGGAACCACATATCGTGAGGTGCCACGAAGACGGGAAGTCTCCTGCAAGGAACGCCACAGTGGCTCGCTGCGGCTACGATGTCGACCATCGCCATAGAGGGATACCGCATTGGATCATCAACCAGCCCGGCTACTGAGTCGCCATGCCCCATTTGATTGCAGTTCCGCGTCCTCTCTGTCACCCGCGGATTTCACCATGAAGCCCGTCAATCACCACTACTTCCGCTCGACACTCCGAGGCCGGGCCGGTGTGATGTGACTTCTCGAGCGAGGGGGTGGATTCGATAGGCACCCTGTGAGACATGGCGTCTATCGAGATCAGACTAAGAGAATGCGGGAGAGGGAGCTCCCGGGCCAGGATCTGCTCGTGCCACAGGTAGTGTTTAGCGTACGCCGAGCTTCCCAGCTTCTCCCTTACCCGGGCTATGTTTTCAGCCACCAGCCGCCGTGCAGCATTGATTCCGGATTTGAAAAGGTTGTCTAACTTGCGGCTCTAGCTACCTACCTACGTACATATGGATTGTATTTAGATCTACAGGATATGCAGAGGAGTTGGGCAAGAGAGAGCATCTCCACTTACACCTTTGCCAGCGGCCATATGGCGTACTGCAATACCCGCAGCTACACTTGCAATGGTGCTACTGCGTGGCTCAGTTCCAATAAAATATGGACTGCATACTTCGTATATGCATAGCAAGTGGCCAAGGTATGACAACTTCCATGTAGAAGTAACTACCTACCTAGGTAGACAATTGTTCTCGGACCAGCTCCAGCGGGTGTTTGCATTGTACGTACACAGTATTGTATCTGCTCTTACTTGGCCGACTTGATCTTTATGCTGTTAGAGGCGCCCCACTGATAACCACAACTTCCCACGCCCCACATGTCTAGTAAAGATGAATTCAACTCAAGTCGAACATCCAGCAGTACCAGGGAGTTTAGGGCTTATTTCTATGAACCTCTTGCGGCAGGACAATTGGCCGTTCTGAGTGCGGGATAGAAATCTTGGGTCAGCTGACCCTGAACGTGGTCAGGCGCCAGTCAACAACCAAGGGTGAGTGCCATCCGTACAAAAAAGGCCGTACATCACCGACTTCACCGCGAAAGTTTTTGCAGGATACCGAGAAAATAATCAAAGGATGTAAGATAAGGAGAAGATCAGGAGGAAAGCGGAAAACACAATATGATAATGAAGCAGATAGTAAAGACGGAGCCGTAAGACGACGGAATGACAGCTACCTAATAAAAGGAACCTTGGAAGTTTGTGCTACCTCCCATAAGTACTGTGCAAGCCTGGTAGTCGGCCTCATTGCTTGGTGTACCGTGCACGTTCCTTTTTGGCGCCCCTCCCATTCTTGCAGCGCCCCTGCAGCCCTCCCCCACCAAGACATTTCCAGCCGCCGCAAGCCAAGCGTCGGCTTGGATTGGTGTGTCTACACCAACCACAAACTCCTTCAACAGCCGCGTCAACCCTAGGCGCAGACAACATCCCTCTCATCCACGGTGCTCGCGATCGCATCATCCCTGTCCGCCCGTGCTCTTCATCGTCTCGGAACGGACGGTGTTGGGCTCTTCCTCCACTCCTGTCCGGTGCCCAACACACTTCGACTATCGCTGTCTCTCAGACCGCAGAGATGGATGACTACGGGTCGGAGTCCGACAGCGACTACACTAGTTATTGGCGGGATTGGGTGCGTTTGATTTATAAGATTCTTCCCGTTTCCCAACGCAGTAGCAATGCTCTCTGTGGTTTGTTGTGTCTAACGCGCTTTGCAGTTTATCTCGTCCCGGGGCAATGAGTATTTCTGCGAGATTGACGAAGAGTATCTGACGGATCGCTTCAACCTGACGGGCCTCAACACCGAAGTCCAGTACTACCAGTATGCCCTTGATCTGGTGACCGACGTGTTCGATCTCGATTGCGACGATGAGATGCGCGAGACCATCGAAAAGTCGGCCCGGCATCTGTACGGTCTCGTACACGCCCGCTACATTGTCACGACCAGGGGGCTTGCAAAAATGGTGTGTTCCTCTAACCAGTCCTCCTCCTCCTCCTCCTCCTCCTCCTCCTCCTCCTCCTCCTCCTCCTCCTCCTCCTCCTCCTCCTCCTCCTCCTCCTCCTCCTCCTCCTCCTCCTCCTCCTCCTCACCGCCGCTATACTTTCTGATCTTGTCATTAACCGCATTCATGCAAAACAACAACAGCTCGAGAAATACAAAAAGGCAGATTTCGGCAAGTGCCCCCGCGTCATGTGCAACTCGCATCCTCTACTACCCATGGGCCTCTCCGACATACCGAATCTCAAGCCAGTGAAGCTCTACTGCGCCCGCTGCGAGGACATATACAACCCCAAATCCTCGCGCCACGCCTCCATCGATGGCGCCTACTTCGGCACCTCCTTTCACAACATCCTCTTCCAGGTCTACCCGGCCCTGATCCCGCCCAAGTCGACGGAGCGCTACGTGCCCCGCGTCTACGGATTCAAGGTGCACGCCGCCGCCGCCCTCGTGCGCTGGCAGAACCTCATGCGCGAGGACATGCGCCGGCGGCTGCGCAAGATGGAGGTGGAGAGCGGGTTCAAGGACGGAGAGGATGAGGACCTCGATGAGGCGGAGGATGACGATGGAGAAGAGGACGAGGAGCTCCAGCAGCAGATTGCTGAGTATAGGGGGGCCAATCAGCATCACGGCACGTCGTTCACTGGGGGCGAACCACATGTGGGAAGCGTTGCTTGACGCTGCTTTGCGGACGGTATGTTTGGCCTGGGGAACGTCGGTTAGGGCTCTGGATGATGTCACGTGTCGAACTGCTTAGCTCACGTATGAGCCAAGGATAAGGTGTGTTGGGCATGAGAGGGCATGCTGTTGGCGGATCATGTATTCGTTCTTTCTCTTATACTTGTAAAGGGTTAACTGTGGTTGGCGCATTTGCACTTCTGGCGTTTTGAAGTGGCAGGGGAAAGGGGCGGGTACAGGGAGCGGAAGGAGGACATCTCGGATAGCCTGGAGACGGAGGAGGAAGAAGAAGATCGTGCCGATAACGTTGGTTGGCTGCCCGTTGGCCTAACTCTAATGTCAATACAAGGACACGACTAACCTATTACATGGCAACATTGCATTAGGCACTAGAATCTGAACCCGAGTAGACTGTATTACCTAGGTTCCTTTAATCTCGTCACTCATTTTTTTGATTATCCGCATGTACGCTTTAACATCCCATCCTGTTGAGGGCCGCCCTTCCCCTTCCGGTCCCGGCTCCGATCCTCCCATCCTCCCGAACCAAATTTTGAACCGAAGCTCCCCAATGCGCAGATTCTTGATAAGCACAACCTGAGATCGAGATCCCTAACGCCCAGAAAACACAAAGCCTACAGTTCTACAGGTTTCAGAGCAACGATCGCGCGGCCTACGCTACGGAAACGAACAAAGTCCGCCAAGCCAAACTTTGTTGTACTCAAAACGCCACCCAATGAAGTGATGCTCTAGATCCTGTTGTCCGCAGCAGCGCCCGTATACGCGGTATCACGCTCGTGCGGAGCCGGCCCCTTGCGCGCCGACACAGACGGGGTCGGGCTGCTGCGCGAGCTGCCCTGACCGAACGCGTCAACGCCAGTAAACCCCTCCTCTTCATCACCCCCGCGGTGATATTGGCCGCGGAAGTGATCCGTGGCATAGCTGAAGCTGCCCACACCAGCCCAGAAGGCCTTGTCGTGGCTGCGAGGGCCCCATGCCCACCCAGCGCCGTTGGAGATGGGTAGGTGATAGTAGCGGAAGGCGAACACCGAGGTGATGATGCCGATCAGGTAGCCAAACATGATGTCGAACCCGTGGTGCCGGAAGTCCCACCAGCGCGAGCCCGCAATGAAGACGGAGGCGAAGAAGGGCACGACTGCGAGGCAGAGGAGGTAGATAGGTGGCGCGGCGGCCTGCCGCCGCACTGCGGTGACCGTCTTGTTGTGCCGCGCAATGCCTTGGTTTCCCAGCGTCGCGTCCAAGGTGGTCGACGGCGTCGGCCCGCCAGCGTTGCGGGTAGGAAGCTCGTACGTGTCTGGCCCAGAGACCTTTATACCGGGAGTTCGCGTGCGCGAGGGGAAAGCGGCGAAGGCAGAAGCGTCGGCGAACCCGGCCGGGGCGAGGAAAGGGATCGTGATGGCAAACTTGCTCGCAATGAAGAGCGAGAGGTAGATGAGGCCTATCCAAATGTTAGTCACGGTGTGGATAGCAAAAAAATAACCCGGAATGGAGACGGCGCATACCTGCAGCTGATGAGCTCGAGTGCCCACTTGGGTAGCTCCTGAAGCCGTCATCCAGCTGGTGCTTGTCCGGGTTCTTGCAAATGTTTGGGCTTACGAGCTGCCCGCTAGTGGTCGCCGTTCTCAAGCCCCCAATGATGTATTTGGCCAGGTTGTCGAGATCGGGCTGGCATCGGGACAGCAGGTCCGGCCGAGGTTTTCCGAAGAGGTTCTTCATGCCGTTCGTGATGAACCAAGCCCCGATTATGGACAAGGCGAGGCCCAGCAGGCCCATATGGAGCTCCCACAACTTTCGCTTCCAGATCAGAGACTTGGGGGTTCCAACGGGGACTGTCGCGCCGGGGACGAAGACGAGGCACACGACGATGATGATGCCAATCGGGACGAGGATCGCGACAATCACGAGTAGCCATACGGGGACCGTCTCCTTAACTGTGAACGGAAAGCTACCGAACTGTCAGCGCGCCCGGCTCAAATCTGAGGGGGGGGGGCCAAAGAGCACGAGGGGTCTCCAGCATACGCGATGTTGCGGTCGTCCAGCGAGAACGGCCGCTTGTTTGGAGTGATGTCGCCTAGGATATAGCCGATGACGCCGAAGGCGATCAGGACGACCCAGTCGAACACATACGAGAGCGCCAGCACCCATGAGATCCTCCCCTTCCTGCGTACATGGCCGCCGGCGAGTTCGAGGTTCTCCATCGCACTGGGAGTTTCGAATGTCGCTGCGGGTGAAATCGAGCCGGGACGGATCAGAGGGCGGATTGAGTCGTCGGGCATTGGGAAGCCCACTAGACGGGAGTGCGAGGAGGAGGAAGAGTGAAACAATGCCGGGCCAGACCGTGAAGGGAAGGAGGGCGCGCTAGCATCGCAAGGCACCAAGGGTCCTCGAAATCAAATCTAAACGCAGGTTTGCCGCAGGCCAACCGAAAATGAAATGGAAATGGTCCAAAATGCGTCATCTATGATCGGCCGGCTCCCTCGAACGAATCTCTGCTGGAAAAATTAGGTAACGGCTCTGTACCCCGTGGATTCCAGACGTCGAGCAGAGCCAGGGATGGCCTACGTCTTTGCCGCCGTGTGTCGTAACGTTGTTGAGCTCAGCCACAAAATGGATCGTGATGACTGCACCTGAGTGGTTGGCCAAAAGGGGGCGATCGACGCCGGAAGTTGTCTTTGGGCCACAATGGAAATGCGACTGTCTGTTTCGTCGAGACGAGCGGAAATCCAACAAATGAATTTGACCCTCTCCTTCCTCCTGAACTCACTCCCAGGTTGAAAGATGCCGCCTTCTGATAACTTAATCGGAAATCGAAGATCTAGACTGCAGACAGTGCGAACAATCACAATACTGTGTGATGACAGATCCCCCTGGACCCACGGTTTGTGGTCTCACATGTTTTCATGCTCATCTCTTGTCTTGTTGAGCCCTGAGCCAATTCGCTTGATCCATGTGCTTTTTCAGTTCGTTCACCACGCCAAATTCATTCAACGGAATACGGGTAAGAACCTGGAATCGCAGTCATCACGAAGGGTCGGTAGCATAAGGCTTCGAGGTGCAGCCAAGTTGTCCTGCGAGGTTCAGGCGTTGCCCAAATCGGGCAAGTGCTCACATGCTTGAGCTGCATTGACGCCGGCTGACCCGTACATAAAATGCGAGGGTCCGTTACTATGTACGTACTAGTCACAGTTTCCGATGACAAGACATGTCGTACTCCGTAGAGATGATCAATAAAGCGGAAGTGTGCCAGGAAGACAAGATGTGAAGGAATTCGTATTCTCCTTCACGTGTCTGAAATTGGAGCCTTGCGGTGATACTGCTTAGACTGAATTGGACTCTTGTCTAGCTCCTGTTGACAGTTAGGATGTATGCTGGGCCAACTTGAACCTTGCCGGCCTGGTCGTCTTTCTGTACGTACGACTGCCATCTGCTCGAGGCCCAGTTCGAATTGCGACCGGTAATGAGAAGGCTATGTCTACAGAGTCGGCGCAGGTGTGCCCCGTGAGTTGCAGACTTTCAGTCAGCCGGCGCCACCACGCGAGTCCATGTCATGGTAGCCAATGCCCAAGCCGACCCTATCCCAGAGAAGCTGTGCGCAATGCGTTTGCTTGTCAGGAACGTCGGCCAACAAATCATGGTTGTCTTGGTCTACATAATGTACAAGGTCTACTCGCCACAGTCCACCAGCACATCGGCCGCCTTCATTAAGCGGTGTTCTTGTCCCTCCGCTTGCCCATGTTCCGCACCCGAGGGGTGACAACCCACTTGTTGACATTGCTCTTGATGCGCGTCTTGAAGCCGCCCTTGGCTGGCTGGCCCCAGGGACTGACCGGGTGCCTATTACCCTTCGACTTGCCACGACCACCGCCGTGGGGATGGTCGTCTGATCACAGGTCAGTGGCGGGGCGAGGAATGGTTGGGAGCAAGAGGAAAAGGACGGGGGTAGAAAAGACGGGATTCTCCCAGACATACTCGCGTTCATAGCCACGCCCCTCACCGTGGGCCTGATATTCAACCACCGACTCCTTCCCGCCTTGCCCAGTTGCCTGTACTGGTGCATGATGTTGCTGGCAACGCCAATCGTTGCACAGGCATCCTTGCTGACTTTGCGGATTTCGCCACTCTGCAACCGGACAATGACATGCTTGCCTGTCATCACCTTGGTGCCATCGTCCCGCGTCTCCTCCTCTTTTGAGATGATGGTCGCATATGTGCCAGCGCTACGGCAGAAAACTGCACCGCCCTGTGGGCGGGAGCCGACATTGTACACGACCGTGCCGACTGGGATCATGTGCATGGGCAGGCAGTTCCCTCGCCAGGCCGTCCTCGCGGCCAGAATACCAGGATCGACAACACCTCCCATGCTATCAAGCAGATCCTGGGGGATGCCAGCTCGGTAGCTCTGCACCACGTCTCCAGCACGCATGCCCTCGGCCGCCACAATGTAGCTCTTCTTGCCAGTCGCCTGCTCGGTCAACAGGGCGATATGGGCACTCCGGCCCGGGTCGTACTCGATACGCTCAACCGTGTGCGGCCCCGGCGTCCAACGATCAAAGTCGACAATACGGATCCTCCGTTTAGCGCCACCTCCACGATGTCTGATGGTGATGCGGCCGGTATTGTTCCTACCACCCTTCCCGTGGCCCTTCTTCGGGAAGGTGAGGGGTAGATACGGCCTGCCCTTCCATAGGTGGTCGTTAATGGGCCGTTTTAGATGTCGAAGACCGGGTGTCCGGGGCTTGTAGGTTCGCATTTTGACAGCTTGCAACTCGGTGGACGGGGCGCCGAAGCCGGCGTCGTCTTCGCCAGACACATTGTTGCTCTCGCTTTGCGCTGCGCTCGCGTATCGCCTGATAGCCTCGAGACGTAGTGAACTCTGGAACATAGAAGTGAGGGAAGCCGCCCGCCCCACAACCAGGGGGCGGAGCCGTGGCTGCAGCATCGTTGAGGGACCTTGGAAAGCACAAGCTCAACTAAGACCCGAAAGACTGGCGCTGACAAGTGTCAATGTCAGGGCATTGAGGCAAGATTGGTGCCTTGGGGGGGTTGCAGTAAGAACGCGCAGCCAATTGGCTGCAATAATTAAGCAAGGGCCGTACTGCTTACACCGGCGGGATGGTAACTACGGTGATGATGTTGAGGTGGTTGTGCGGCTTGGGAAATTTGATTCCTGTGGTCCGTGCATGACAAATTCCGGTGGCAGAAGTTGTGGCTATCTGGTCGGATGGCTGAGGCTGGAGGCCGGCCACGTGGAGCCAGAGCTTCCCCACCCGAAGCGCGAAAAACGCGGGTTGCGGCTCGAGGACAGGGAGCCGAGCAGCCGTTTTAGCTTGGACCAATCAGAGGACCGTTGCCTGGTCGTTGCGTCTGTTGACTGTGGGTTGGCGAAGACAAGCACCAAGCGCGTTCCCGGTACGTACCGTGTACCTTCTTCTCGCCTTATAACGCAGGCACATGCTCATCCCAAGTCCACCAACATATTCCTCCTTCGCCACTCCATCATCTTCCCATAAAGCACTTGTCAGTGGCAATCTGAATCCGGCACTGTGACCGTGACCTTTTATCCACGACATTTACATTGTCCTCCTTCAGCGACCTTTCAGCCACCTTTCGCTGTTCAATTTTCTCATCGGCGCGTTTGTTGCACACAGGGTGGGACCCACCTGCACGTCACGGAGCGGCAGCCACAGTCGCGCCAAGTACCAGGTACTTCTACCCAAGCCCATCGCGTCTGATTTGACCCTGCCCCATCCCACACGTAAAGGGCACGTCAAGCTTCCTTTTCCCGTCTGAGCCCTTGACCCCATCAACCTCCACCAACACTTAAAAACACAGGAACGTCTTCTGCACATCAACATCCCGCCCTCGTTGGCAACCGAAACCGACCCTCTTAGAGCTACCAGCTAAAAGACGCATCATATCACCGTCGTCGTCTTTTAATTCTGCATCTTTGGTAGGTTTGACTCCCAGCCACCCGTCGCGTTGACGAAGGCTTCATTGCCTCAGCACCTGTCAATGACGCGTCATAGCTAACCTGGGGACAGCTTCACGCAGCATCCGTTTGTGTACTTGTTTCGTACCTGAAAGGCCAAGATGCCGGTTGTAAGTGTGCCATCCACAAATGCCTCGCATTCCTACCCGCGCCACACATCGAGCCCACTCGGCCTCGATGACAGAGATCAGTACCAATACTAACCCAATGCCTCAGAGGACGAGAAATCCACGTTCGGTGACGAACGAAAACGATGAAAACAGCAATGCCACAGCCCGCGTTACCCGGGCAAAGTCCGCGGCTACTCTGACTGTTGACGAGCTTGCCATTCCCACCAAGGCGTTGCAGACAAAGAAGGGTGCCACTAATGCCAATCCCACGCGCAAGCGTGCTGCCCTCGGAGACGTGAGCAATGTGACCAAAGTTGAGCCCACGGAGGGCAAGAAGCCGGTGGGGAGGACCGGCCTCGTATCCAAGGCGGCACAGCCCACTGGTATTCAGAAGAAGACGACCACAACGCGGTCCACCACAACATCCAAGGAAGTCAACAAGAAGACAGAGACAAAGCGTTCAGGGCCCGGCTCTATTGTCGCGCAGAAGCGCAAGACCCTGAGCACAACTACCACCAACACTGTGGTCAAAGATGAGAACTCTGAGGAAGGCGAACCGATTCGCAAGAAGGCTCACACACTTGATGCTGAGAAGAAGACAAAGACCGAAGTGAAAACGGATGAGCCTGCACGCAAGGACGCTGTGCTGGTGGAAGCTCCGGTAGCCAGCGAGGTCGAGGAGCCTGGTTTACCTGAAGCCATCCAGGCCCTCGACAGCGAAGACCTCGACGACCCGCTGATGGTCGCCGAATATGCCAATGACATCTTCGAGTACCTGCGCGATCTCGAGGTCAAATCAGTACCCAACCCGCAGTACATGTCTCACCAAGACGAACTCGAATGGAAGACGCGAGGTATCTTGATTGACTGGCTGGTTGAGGTCCACACCCGCTTCCACCTGCTCCCTGAGACACTGTTCCTCGCCGTCAACATCGTCGACCGCTTCCTTTCTGAGAAGGTGGTGCAGCTCGACCGTCTTCAGCTTGTCGGTATCACCGCCATGTTCATTGCTTCCAAGTACGAGGAAGTTCTCTCGCCCCACATCGCCAACTTCCGTCACATTGCGGATGATGGTTTTACCGAGAACGAGATCCTGAGCGCGGAACGTTTCGTCCTCGCCACGCTGAATTACGATCTCAGTTACCCCAACCCTATGAACTTCCTCCGCCGTATCTCGAAGGCTGACAACTACGACATCCACTCGCGCACCGTCGGCAAGTATCTTATGGAGATTAGCTTGTTGGACCATCGCCTCCTGGCCTACCGCCCCAGCCATGTGGCTGCTGCGGCGATGTACACTGCGCGAATGATCCTGAACCGCGGTCCTTGGGATGCGACGCTTGTGCACTATGCCGGGTACACTGAGGAAGAGATTCAGCCCGTGTTCCTCTTGATGGTCGACTACATGTCTCGGCCTGTCATCCACGAAGCCTTCTTTAAGAAGTACGCTAGCAAGAAGTTCTTGAAGGGTATGTTGCTATTATTCCCACAGGTACCTTGTGTTCTGCAAGGCATGTGCTAACGTGTTGCCCCGCAGCATCCATCACGTCGCGCCAGTGGGCAAAGAAGAACGCAAGCCTGTACGGCATCGTGGATAATCACCTGCCCTTGGATGAGGTCTCGTAGAGGCTTCACACTGGCTACGTTTTGCGACGACATCCTACTTCATCCTGGGGGGAAGGGTTGAAAGGCAAGCGTCACGTCACTTCCCCTACAGCCATGTCGGTTATGTTTGTGTTTGGGCTTTGTTTTACTTTCTCCCCCCACCGCGTTTTATCCTTTTGCCATTATTGCATTAATACCGCGACGGCGCTGGGTGGTTGCAGGCAGGCGGGATGGCGTTCTCTTTTTGGAGGGTTGGTTGTGGTTTTCGCCCGCCCAGCATGGGTGACATTTCGGTTCTCACGGACCTGTTGCAGGCTTTGAATGCCGCACTGCTGTTACTGGGATACTGGTTTGTTCCCTTGAGTCCCTGTGGGACGAGTCCGGGCTTCCCGATACTCTTTTTTGCTGCATTGCATAATAGGGGCTGTCGGCGGCGGGTTGGGAGACAATGGGACAAGGGGGACCGGGTGAAGCCAGTGTTTGTATTCGGGAGCCGTCTGGTTTTCTGGGAAGACGGGGACCCGGCGAAAACTTGTTGTGTTGTGTTGTGTTGTGTACATAGATAACTGTTGGTTTGGCTTTGGGTGATGACGGTATTTAGGCATCGGAATGGCAGCATTGCATTTGTCCCCCAAGGCGTTCTACTCTCGGTCTTTTAAGTGGTGTCTCCTCCTGAAAGGACTTTGATCACGGTCCAGGGGACCTGGCCAGCATCCATCACATACCGAAGGACATTGACTCTTCCTAGTAAGCTTGAGTTCACTTAGGACATGCATGAGGAGCTTGAGGGGCACGAAATCGCAAACAAAGATAATGACGACCATGAATTATGGGTACAAAAAAAAGGGTATCTATTCCCTGACCGCTGCCCATTAATGAACCGACTAAGCCCCCTCGATGTGGTTGCCCTAGTTACCAGACTGCCAGCTCCTTCCCGCCCAGGTGCACATCATACATGACCAACCGGGGATTATGTGGAAGGGAACGCTACAAAGTTCCCAGATCCAACGGAGCTCCTAAAACCAAATGAACACAGAAAAAGGTCGTCGTGGTCTTGTCGTTATCAGAGCCTGTCAAAGCTTCCCTCTCGATTCCCAAGATTATTGCCCTTCCCAAAGGCTTCCATGGTGTCCACCGAGTCGGAGGACGGGGAGCCGAGTGCCAACCAGCCAGCCCACCCTTATTAGTTGAAGAAGGATGGAGATTTTATGCGGGTTATGTGGGTACGTAAGCGGCTGGCTCTTTCCTGGCTTGGTTGTTGACGGGTCCATTGTATGGGATTTGTGGAAGGGCACTTTCCTTGCTTCTGAGTTCTCCTCCTCGGCTTATCAGCATCTCAGGTCGGAGAGCAGATGACGAAATGTTTGGGATCGACAAAGCCGGCGAAACAAGAGAGAATCCCGAAATTCGTTCAAGAGGTGTTGATATCTTGAGGGCATGGTCGTAGTGATGCCAGCTCAAAGTGACAGAGGCCACATAATAAGCCATTTGCCCTGGGTGAACTGTCCAGTTTGTTGTTGGTTGGGAAAATTGATGGATGCGGGTGGTACCAAGTGGTAAAGCATCGGCAACAGTTATTTGGGTAGCTTTGTGATCTGCGACGCAGGTTCTGCCTGCCTTGCTTGCTCTTAAATGCAGTCTCTCGATGGTAAATGATTGGCAGACAGGCTGGTCATCAGAAACAAAGTAGTTGCGCAACACACGTCGATGGTCAGGAGCCAACAGTATTAGAGTGTCGCAAAGGGAGGACAAGGCGACGGGGGGTGCAACCTGTGAGTCACATTCTGCTTGCGCCTGAAGCTGAAGCCCAAACTCCTTCAGAAGGCGGCTCCGACGGGGACGCACTCAGGCGTGCGATGAATTCCTGGTTCGACAAAGACGTGGTCCACAGCATCGCGGCACGAACGCTTCAGTTGACGCATAGTCTGTCTGGCGGCTTTAGCCTTCGCGAGAATGAGCCGCTTGAAGAGAGCGCGATGGTGGTGACGCTGTTGCTTCATGGCGTCGCTTGGGAAGTATGTCGGAATGAGCGAGGTGTCCGAAATGATGGACATATCGTCTGGGATGTCTCCTCCGGTATAGCTGATGTGCCGCTTCTGGCGCCGAGGAAGGCTCCAGAAAGGCATGTTCATGGCCTCCATGCTGTTATCCTCATCTTCGCCAACGTCCTCGTTGGCCCGGGAAGAATGGTAGATCGTGGTCGGATCGCTGAGGGCTTTGCGATGTGTTGCGACGCCTTGGCGCTTGCCAGCCAGGGCGTACAGGGGTTCTTTGTCGATATTGGCTGCAGCCTTCTCTGGGCTGGCTGGATCCGCCGCGGTAGAGGGTGAGCTCTGCCCCTTGGCAATTCCGCCCTCGTTGGTTTGCTCGGCTTCGCAAGGACATGATGCTGGCGGTTCCAACACGGTCTTGAACCTTCTCATCGACCGACCAACCGAAATACACTGGGAGTCGTCAAACCTGATGTTTTCAGCGTCGACCTTGTCGGTGCTCTCGAAAGCAAGATTGTCCTCAGAATCCCCAAGAGGGTCGACCAGTCTCGTCCGAAATGCGCAAGGGTCCTCTCGCGCACGTGGCCGCCGGTCTTCGACAGCGACAACGGAACGGTCCAGGAGGCAGTCCCCCAAAATCGGCTCGTTGTCCATCTTTGACTGAGGGTTCGGCAGCAAAATGTACTTGGCGAACCGGCCGTCAAGAGGGGTGGACGGCTTGCAGAAAGGCAGCAAGGCAAGCATGGCTGCCGCCGCGATAGCTGTAAGAGCTGTGTGGTTCTTGAACGTCAGCGATTTGATGACGTTGCTTTGGTATTCTTTTGCGGCTTTCCGTAAGTGATGATAATAGAAAGCAGCAGCGGACAGCAGAGAACAGAGAATGAAGAATCGCAAGGTTGGGGTGCGGAAACCTCGTGGTCAATAGAGCAGATTCGGGAAGAAATGCGAACTGAAAGATCGATCCTGTTCTGAAGTTTGTGTTTTGATGATGGTGGCGGTATTTTCATGAACAGCATTGTGTTCACATTGAACATGTGGTGTCGTGGAGAGGTGATAACAAGTAAGTGTGTGTAAGTCACAGCCAGCACAACAACGGCACACAGAATCATGGGTGAGCAAGCAAGCCGAGGCCAAGGGTCATGAGAAGAGAGATGGCAAAGAAAACATTGGACCGAAAATGACTCTGCTGTTTCTCCTATTTCTTTCTTCTCCTGCCCTCGCCATGGATAACAAATGAAACAGGTTCTCACCTCTGTCTTGACGGCTCCCCGGCGGCCCTTTTCTCTGCGGCCGTTCAACCCTCCCCGTGCGCTTTCTCCACCCCATCAGCACTTGACGAGCACTGCGTCGCAGTCGACTCTGCTTCGGGGCCGTCGCGGGCCAAATCGACATCGATACCGACATCGACACCGACGTCGCCATCGCCATCGTCATGCCGTCCATGATGGACTCACACTTCCCATCACCACCGTTGATATCGTCATCGATGCCGAGGTCCATGGCGGAGCGATTTGCGTCGTAGAATGCCACGTACAGAAAGAAGCCGATGAGGAGTCCTCATGGATATAGCACGAAAGGAAGAAAAGGCGGCTGTCGTCCGGACCAAGAAAGAGTAACATCATAATAAGAACCGTATGTGGCCAGACAACACTCGTCGTCTTATGTCACTCGGGCTTCCACGATAAGCAGGGTCCAAACGATCCAGCCTTCGTGCCCGACCGGACTCCGCTGTCAGATGCTCGGGTGGTCGGTATGGCAGGGCAAGCAGGAGCCGAGGCGAACGACGCGTGTGGTGCTGGTCCATACAGCAGCAAGAGAGGACGAGCGTTGTCCTCCCCAGCCATTTGCGCCCATTCCCCCATGTCCCCGTTATTAGTATCCCCATATCGAATCAGCAGGCGAGGCATGACGTGGCTTGGCGCAGAGCTGGGCCTGCCACGTCGCCAGCAACTTGTGCAAGGGCTACTACCTTACTGAGCCGCCCAAAAATCCACAAGGGAATACGGTCAAGATGGCTGACGTTGATCTGACAATGTCTGTGGCGGGCCGGTCGAGTCTGGCCTGCTTCAGAGCGGCAATCAGTCCTGTGCCAAGTATCCGTAAAAGCAAGGAGGCATCGGTGAGGCGGAATGAGCAGGAATGACAGAACCCTAACCCCCGACAATCAACTCAGTTGAACCCTCTTGAAACCTGCATGATGATTCACTACACCTATCTATCTATGCATACCTATGCGTGCATGCATGCATGTAATACATACAAGTTAAGAGATCTTTATACCTCTGCATCATATTTAGTTTCTTCTACATATGAGTCCATGTACAATACACATAACAGAGCGTCTGCCTGGGCGCAGTGTCCGGACTGCTTCGACCGGAAGGGTCCAAGTGGCAGCAGCGAACGAGACAGACATGTTGAGACTTGAGCCAGCACACTTGTTCGATTGAACTAGCTACCTAAGACAGGTTCACAGATTCTGTCTTGATTCCAAGATTCGTAAGGAATCCATCATTACTGCGTGATATTCCTGAAGCTCTCGGCCACTCCGTTAACGCCATTTTGCCATTAAACACACAAAGAAACCGTCTTTCCATCATAGCCATACCAGCATCATCACCCTACTCCTAGAACCCTGTCTCTTCAAGATAAAGATAATATGCCGTGTCTAAATAGGGTAGTCGGAAGAAGGGCTAGTAAGAAAGTTTGGTTCTTTCCCCGGCCTCATCCGGCAAGAAAGGAAGCCACCGAGCAGCAAAACAGTAGCAAGCAAGCAAGCCCGTCCACAGGCGAGCCCGATCAGAAAAGCTTTAGAAAGACATGATGCGCTCCTCAAAACTGCAGAACGTAGCCGCCGGCCTGGGTTCGAGGATATGTGGGGGCCGCTCTTCCTCGTCGCCCGATTCGAGCATCGACTTCTGGCGGAAGACAATGCTGTTGATGGTGCTGACCGGCGAGCTGGTCTGGGACGTGTAAGATGCTCGGTCGCTGCTACTGGCCCGCGACGAAACCGACGACGATGTCGACGACCGACGGAACGACGTCCGGAGCTTGTGGGGCGAGAAGCGCGCCGCGATGGACTGGAAACGGGGAGACTGCATGTTGTCGGTTGGCGTGGGTGACGGAGCTGAGGTTGATGTGGTTGCTTCGCGTGGACGAGATGAGGTCTAGTTCTACCTCAAATGTTCGAGAAGGGTATCGTGTAAACAGCAGGCACAGCCTGGTATATGGGAGAAGCGAAGTGTGTGTGTGTGCGATTGTATGCGCTTCTCGGAGACCCGTCCGTAGAAAGCGAGATGATGGTTGTGTGAGTGAACGACTTTTTCTTCCTTTTTTTAAAAGACGGGACGATCTATGCCTGGAGGTAGATCAAGGGGCAGGAGATATGCCAATGGTTGGTGGTCTGCGTCCCTGCGGCAGCGCGGGTCTAGAAGCCCAGGAGGAGCTTGAGCTGGAGAGAATGAATGAAATGCGGTCTATGGGCCGAGGAGGACAAGCACACTCACTCTATTAAGTACACGGTAGAAGTCTTGTCTCGTGTCAAACGAAACCAGGTATGCTTGTGGGGGAGGGTGATCTCGGGGAGTCTTCTGCCAGGGGTCGGACCCTGTGCTTGGCCAAACAGGGGGGCGAGAGTTGAAGTCGAGCCGGAGGTGAACTTGGGACCGTAGCAAGGGCTTCAAAGGGGGAAACACAAAATCATGCAGGAGCAGGCACTGCCTAGCTCGGATGGGACGCACGACTTGTGGTAAGGTAGGAACGATAACGAGTGTGTTGCAGCACATCCGTCATGCGTAGCCGGGACGGAACGGGGCAGTGTTCCCTTAAAATGCCAGAGCCGTCCGTGTATGCGTTCAAACACCAAAGTGGCAAAACCCTGAGAAAGTCAATAACTACTAGTATCGACAGTCAGGGGAGAGACATCATCATTCTTGAGCATCAGTGGAAATGCGATCGCTGGCGCAGCCTGCTGCTCACTTGCACATCAAGCCTCGCTCAGCTGAAGATCCTCAACCATCAGACCTGCCATTATGAGGAAGGCCGCAGCACTGTCCTCTCATCACGCTGGCGAGGTTCCGGGGAAAAGGGTAGTTGTGGAGCCAAGCCAGCGATGAAACAACCAGCTCTTGCGTCAGGCGATGACACACAGCTCTGCGTGGGGTTCTGGAGATGTCGGTCCCCCATTCTCTAAGGTACCTTAGGTATAGAGCACGCTGTAAGCTGCAGTGCTAGAACCTCGCAATGGACTTGGTTGCGGCCATATGGCTCGACCGTGAGAATCGGTAGTGTCCATGTTGAAGAAGTTGTCGATCTAACACCTCGTGGACATGATATCAACAGTGTGCTCTGCTACGACTTGGGTGAATGTATGATCGTCGTCAGAGGCGGGTGCAGCCCCACACAGCTCTGCGGCAGGAGTGGGGCACCGAGCGTGACCAAGGGTTGCTCTCATCAGGGACGTCCCGTCCGTTGACTGTTTCAGGTCGGTCACCTTCGCCAACACCAGATGAGTACTACAGTACCAAGGTATCCTGAGGTTGCAGAACTCTCCTCGAGGGAAAACCCAGTTGATACCGATGGTTCTCTTCTCGAAGTCTAAATCGTTGCCGGTCGTGGCGACTTATGCACGTAGTTTTTGAGAACGGACTGTTTGTCACAGACAATATGAAACACTGCATCATATTTCCGCTGCTGTTGGTGGTTTGCATCAGATTCGTTCGGCCTGGATTGTGCTGGCGGCCGCTTGGGATTCCCACATTGTGCAGGGATTCCCGCATTGGATTGCTTGTGATGATGGCAGTGTTCGGTGTTCACGAGTCGTGGCACCATTCCCCGAAGCCAGCCACGGCAGCCCTGCCCAGGGACGCTTATTATCCTGTATTGGTACGATGTACTTACAAGTAATACATTCGAAAAGTTTTGATTGTTGAACTGAACTCTGTTGGCTCCCTGGAACAGATCTAGACTTCAGGAGGAAGGAAAGAGAGTACTACCTTAGTAATAATAGTCTAAGTATCTAGCGCTTCCAAATCCCCTTCCAACAAAGCCCACATCTTGTCTACCATCTTTGGGACGTACGTGGTGCTGTACATACTAAGGTAGTAACTGGCCCCAACTCCTCTTCCAACACAACATAGAAGGAAAAACAAGAAGAACAGGACAGGAAGAGCAGAAGCAAAGATTGTCCAGAGTGAAGCCGCTGCCCCCAAAGAGCGCCAATCTTTTTGCAAAGAACCTGGCCCACCACCAACCAGAAGCCCACACCATGAAGCAGTAAGTGATGCATTCTCCATTATCATCGCTCATGCGCCTGAAAACCCCAGTGAGTGCCTGACACCAAACGCCATTCCAATTCCCAGCCCACTCTCAAGATTACCTCCAAGATCGACCCTCCTCTCAGGTTCACCTGCCCCACCCACCGCCCTTCTTCATGGTGGTTGCGCTCCTCCTGATACTTTCGACCCACACCGAGTTATCCAACACATCCCTGACGACGGCAGGATCCACCGAACTGCCCCGTCTCCCGAGGTTCGTAGCCTCGTCAGCATCGTCACCGGCCACCTCCCCCGGGCCCGATAGCTCGAAGCTGAAGGCACTGGACTGCGACAGGTGACCGGCAGCAGAGGCAGCGGGCTTGGATGCCCGTGGTCCCGCAAGCGGATGCCCGTACGAAGTGTCGTACGACGACAGATCCGCACCAAGCCCCGCCCAGCTGCGGTGTTGCGGCGAGCGAGCCCGGCTGGTCGACGGCGAGAGCAAACTGCTGGACGCGGAGCCGAGCACGGGAGCGGCTGCGGTCGACTGGGCTCTGCTGCGACCTGCCGTCGTCTGCTCCCGCTGCCGCCGTTCTTCTTCCTCGTGGCCGTCGTTGTCCACCAGAATCTCCGGAACGTCGAGTTGGGGAATCGCCGTCATGCGTCCGGCGCGCTTGGTCTCCATGTGCCGCTTGAATTGCCGTGAATAGTAGACCGTGTCGAAAAAGCCCAGTACGATCCGTCTGCGGACCTCTTCCTCGACACGCTGAAGGCGCAGTTTGCGACGCAAGAACTCCTCGAGCCTGAAGCAAGAATACATTTGTTAGCTCAGCTTGCTGCAGCCACACATCGGATCAGGAGGCACGACACATACCGTAAACTCTTGCTGTCGTTGATGATGTTGTAGTGCGCCAGGAGCATCAGCACCGTCGTGAACGAGATGCCCCTCTCGGGATCCGCCGAGACCATGACCTCTTCAAAGAAGATGTTGAAGCGGCGCCGACGCTCGCGGACTTTGGCAACGTCGATCCTCGACAAACGCTCATTCAGCTTCTTGAGGTCGATGCCCGTCTGGTACTGGCTCTTGCTGACGATCGACGCATGCCTGATGCTGGCCGCATCGTTTTCATTGCGCACGTCCTCGAGGATCGCGCGCACCGAATCGTCATTGTCGTAGATGCGCATCTCGAACACGCCGGAAAGCTCTCCGAGGAGCCGCGGGAAGGCCTCCTTGCTGATGAAGCCGGTCCCCGACGGATCAACGCTGCGCCAGGCCTCCTTGAATCGCCGGATCTCGTCCCGGTCCACGACGGCCAGCCCGTTGGTCCGCTGGTACACGTACGAGAAACTCTCGTAGATGAGCGACACAAACAGACTGACAAAGATGTACATGCTGATGATGTTCCACGCGATGAACAGCACCCGCGCCCAGGCGGTGCTGCCGCAGTCGCTGTCGTAGAAGGTGGGGCCCTCCACGCAGAGCGGCGGCTTGATCTGGGCGAAGTCCTCCATCACCTCGTTCCAGCCCTCTCCGCAGCTGAAGCGGAACAGGAGGATGAGGGCGTGCGGCACGGTGCGGAGATTGATGTTGGCGTCCTCGCCGCTGCCGAACCGCGTCAGGCTGAACGTCTGCGTGAGCGCGATGGCGAAGACCAGGAAGAACACGAGCCAGGTGGCCAGCAGGCTGCCGATCGTCGTGAGACTGGCAGCGGCCGTCTTGAAGAGCGTGTCGAGCGCATCGTTCCGCGGAATGAGCAAGAGGACGAGCGCCACCAAGAAGAACTTGTGCAGTTGAATGTATGTAGCCGAATTCTGGTCCGAGAGGAAGAGGATCGACGTCGCAAACGCGCCGGTGACGGCCACGAGCGAGAACATATCCCAGGAGCTCTTGCGGAACCGCGTCCAGCCAAGGCCGACGATGCGCACGACAATGTTCGTGATATAGATCAGCGTGAAGAGGAGGAAGAGGATGTCCTTGGCGTGCGTCCACCAGGCAGGCTCATTGCTGTATTCGGTCAGGAGGAGGATCAGGTGGAGAACAAGCACGGTCGTGATGGCCGTGTACCACTTGCCACGCTTCTCGATGGCTCGCTTGTGGCACCACAGCTTCCACTTGTTTTTCTTGTCGTCGTATGCGCTCTTGGACGGCGAGATCTGCCGGAGGAGCTTGCGTAGCTCGAGCCAAGACCGCTGCTCGGCGGTCAGGAACGCCACCCCCGTCTGCTCCGTGTAGTTCCTCATGAAGACCGAGATAAAGAGAGTGAGGACGAAGACGGTAGCCAGGAGGTTGAACACGACGAAGAACAAGGCGTTCCCTTGGGCACGGTAAGGCGGGCTATCCTCCGGCTGGAGGCCTTTACCCGTGATGGCCTGGGCTGCGAAGGACACGTCGACCCAGCCTTCCTGGCTCACGATCTGGAAGAGGATGAACAGGCTCGATCCGAAATCGTCAAAGTTGAAGAACGGGTTTGCGGCAACCCGCGGAGCCAGCACGGGCCAGTCGTTGTTGAAAGGCGTGCTGTTGTACTCGCCGATACAGTCTGTCAGGTTCACAATGCTCGATCCGTCGTTGCATGATACTAGCTTCCCATTGAAGAGATTCAGGCCGTAGATGGCAAAGGGAATCAGCAGGGAAATCGAGACGAAGGCCGCCTGGTTAATGCAAGTGTTAGCACCCTCTAGAGAGGCCTCTGGGAACTGCCGCAAAGTGGGCTTCGCAAACGTGGACAACGACTTACGCTTAGGATCTTTGGGCCGCCGACAATCATAAGGGAGTGGAACGTCTCTCTCGCACTGTCGCTGACGTTAAGCAAGCGCAGCGCCCTCAACGCTTTGAAAGCGCCAACGGCCCGAGAAACCTCCCGCGCATTGGACAAGAGCGTGATGACGTTGATCCACAGGCTCACCAGCACGATGGCGTCGATTATCCCCCAGGTGCTGCGGAAGTAAGCGTTGGGCGTCCAGAAGAAGCCGTCGGCAATGATCTTGATGAGCGCCTCGAGCGTGAACACAAACGCGAAGGCCATGTCGGTCCAGACCACCCAGTCCCGCATGCCGGGGTCTCGACCGTTGAAATGCTCCTTCTGGTACAAGGGCGTTGTGATGCAAGCCAGGATGACCATGGCGACGATGGCGGCATAGATGACGGCCGAGAATGTGTACCACGCATACTTGTTGGGCTGGACGCCGTCGAAGCGTTCGGTGCCTCGACCAGGACCCACGAGCTTCTGGCACAGACGCCTCAGGGGGTTCCGCGGCTTAAAGATGAAAAGCGACGTGTTGTAGTTTGGATGGCGCATCAGGTACTCTCTCTGCGCCTTGCGGCGAGCAGCGGTAGTGCTCACTGCTTGGCGAGCCAGCTCGCCAGGATCTAGCGTAACGATAGGCCCTCCGAAGCGAACGTTGGAGTAGAACGGGTTGGGTTCCCGATTGCGAAAGGGAAAAATCAGCTTCTCCCACGCTGTGGCCAAGAAGCCGCTTCTGCCTTTTGCCCCCGGCTGCTGCGGAGATGTGCCGTCCGTGGACTGCTCCTGGAGAGGACCCAAAGCCTCGTCAATGAATTCGCGCACGAATCCCTCTTTGAAGAGCATGTCCACCGCGCCCGTTGTCTGGTCGAGCGGATCCGCGCGATCTCGCGACCTGCCGAAGCCAAAGACCTTGGAGAGGGCAAGGTTGGACGACGTACCCAGCTCTCTGCGCTGCAGGAATGCCTTGACCTGCTCCAGGCGCTTCATGTCCTCGCCCACGTCGAAGTTCTCCTGGATGACGGCAATGAACATATTGATGAGAATAAAGTAGGAGAGAATGAACCAGCCGATGATGAATATCGCGCCTACCCATGCCGTGTTGAGATGGGTGGTGTAAGCGGTGACGTTGTAGAGAATATCGGTCCAGTTCTCGCTGGACAGAACCTGGTACATGCCGAGGAAGGAGTTATAGATGGTATTGAAGGGGATCCTGATCGACTCGTCGTCTGAATCGGCCGCAGGCAGCTGGCCTCGGAACAGCTGCGCAGCAAAGATAGCCATCAAAAACGTCATGAGGAAGACGAACAGCATCAGATTGCCAATGCCGGTAACGTTTCCCAGCACAAGCTGGATGAGCTTCCTCGTCATGGGAATGGCAAGAACCACGCGGTAGACACGGAGAATCTGGAAGATGGTGAGCCAGTTATAGACCTCGCCCGAGTTGCGGATCGGCGGGAAAAGGATGACGGTTGTAGTCACGGCGAGTCCAAGGTCAACCAGGTTCCGGGGACTGCGGTGGAACCGCCGGAAGTTTGCCACAAGCCGCAGCGCAATCTCGATGTCGAGGAAGCTGGTAACCAGGACCTCGGAGGCGTTGATAAACCGCTCCCGGCTGTCTGACATGGTGGCGCTTCGTAGACTCTGGCAGAAGAGCCCGTAAATGATGATCAGAACCCAGACCCAAGACACCTTGCTGGAAACCCGCTGCAACGTCGACTGTTTCCGAGGAGCACGCTCCATATTGGCGTGGAAGAGAGGCGGCTCCTCTTCAGCCGTGAAAGCACTGGCCTTGGACTCTTCTCTGATGACTTGGAAGGACGATGTGATGACAGCAATCAGCAAGTTGGTCATCCAGAGCATCATGATCATGATCCCGGCCCCGAAGAACAAGGCAGCCGGTAGGAAGTCGGAGCGAATGGTGTAGTACATCAGATCCGAGAACGTGTTGGCGCTCATGATGACGAAGACCAGCTCAAGTGAGTGGCCAATGTCATCAAAATTGACCGTTCCGTTGTACGGGTTGTCCTGCATGAGGCAGATCGATCCCCTAGGACATACGAAGCCCTTGGCACTCTGCGCGCCCGGTACGAGAAACTCCCTGGAGAGGTTCCCCGTCGGTGCGGCCACCCAGGGTTCGGCCTCGCCTGTCGTCGCATTTAAATGCCCCCCGCAGAACGACTCGCTCGGGGTGTAAGCGGCACTGAAGTTTGTGGGATCCTCCGGATCGATCCAGGTGCATTGGCGACTCAGGCTCGACTTAAAGCTCTGAACTCCAATGATGGCAAAGAGCAGCCAGAAGAAGCCCATCAGAAAGGAGACTCGAACGAGGAGCGGAGCAGACTTCTTCAAACTCCTGAGAATGATCTGCCACTCGAGGTAAGCATACACAGCCGCAAAGTACTTCAAGGGGCGCAAAAGAAGGGAAGAGAGGCAGACTCACAGCGTTGCCCTTTGTGAGAGCTAGCAGCCTGATGATCCTCAGGCAGCTGAGCATCCGGAATACGTACATCGAATGCCTGTGCTCCATGCCGGCTATGCCGAGGAAGAACGATATCCAAAACGAAACGACGGCGATGAAGTCGAGCCTATTGAAGCTGTGGCGCAGGAATGCCCTGCGCGCAAGATGGAGCCGCTGCTGCTCCTCCAGCGTGGCTTGGCCAACGAGCCCATGGCCATGCATGGTAAACGATCTTGCAAACGTAGGCACGAACTGCTCTTCCTGAGGCGGGTGCCGGACTGACTTCTGCCGCTGGGGTTTGAAGATGTTCCGATATTGCTCGGCTACCCTTTCCCTGAGTCTCCGCTTGCTCCCGACCGGTATATAGTCATCAGCATTGACAATGAAGCCCGACACGATGATCCTGGCTATGATTTCGAGAGTGAATACAACGAAGAGGCCGAATATAGCCCAGTCTATCCGGGTACTACCCCAGCGTTCGGGTCTTCCGTTTCCCTCGACGAAGACGTCCGGCGCGGCCTCCACAGCCAGGAGAACCGTCTGGGCAATAATGAGAATCAAGATTATCGGCTCGGTGCATGGGTTGACCAAGATATCGCAGAGCCGCTTTCGTATTGGGTTGTCGGGGGAAAATACGCCTAAGGAATTTCCCCTCAGGGGGTTCGGAAGCGGGCCACGCCGCCGGAGCTTGGGAGCCGGCGACTGGGACGGGAAGTAGTCAGAAGCGGGCTTTTTCTCGGCCGGTGTTTCGAACAACTGCGAAGGGTACGACGTGTCAACGAGCATGGGCCCAGCCCCGTCAGTCGGCAGACGTCTGTGAGGACTCGGCGAGCGTGACCGATTTTGCCGGTTGGCCTGATCAACGAGGTCTCCTTCTCCGCTGATGGCAACGACACGTTGGGACATGGCCCTCATGATCGAGCTCGCCCTATACAAGGCCGAGCTCGTCGAGGGCGACCGGGACCGGCGCCGGTCTACAGGTGACAGATGGTCCCCGTAGCTGCGATGCCGATCCGAGGCCAGGCCCGGTTCCAGGTCAAAACCAAGCATCTGGGCGCTGCGCGCGCGTGAAGGCGTATTGCCGAGGTCGGACACAGTCTGGAAACTATTCCGCGGGGACGGATCGCCATCTGGGGGCTCCAGGCGGCCGATGGCCTGTGCTGCGGGCTTGAGGGGCACTCGGTCCGACTCTAGAGAATCGGTGTCGGCGCGGTCCTCATAGTAGGCGTGGGGTGTTTGATACGGGTCGCTGGCTGAGGGCATATATTGCCCACTCCCAGAGGCGGGTCGTTGCGGGTGTATGTCCGGGGGAAGGGCGAACTGCAAGGCCATGCGGTCGATGGGCGAAGTGCCGCCACTGACGCCGCCTGGGTCGTCGCCAGGCGGATAGGGATGCTCCCAATATGACGAAAAGCCCGGCAGGTTCGCCGACATGGTGACGGGCGACGCCGCCTCTCCCCCTCCATTGTGCGCCCCTGAGAGGTGGTGCAATCCCGTCTGGGCCGTCCCGCCGCCCGCCCGCCCCGCCTCCGCCTCCCCGGGCCGCTGGAGCTCTTGTAGTGGTATCGACTGTGGGGGAGGCGCCAAGGGACCGGAGGTTCGACGGGGAGACTGCTCCGGGTTCTCGCCCATGTTTGCCGGGGATCAGACGAAAGCCGGACTGCTCGATATTGTAGGTTGGTTCCCGGCGCGCAGTGCGCCAACACGGTCGCAGCGTGTTCTAGCCCAGTCCCGAACCAGGCATTCTGCGGGCCCAGGCAAAAGCCTAATTGTGCAATGACGAGCCTTGAATTGGAGCGCCGGGGTCGACGGCGTGAGGGTGGAAGTCGTTGGTGAAGCTTGTGCGAGTCTTCTCGGAATTCGGTTCTAGTCGCGATAGTTTGCGGAGGATACCCAATGGCAATTGGCAACAGTTCGAACTCGAGGTTAGGCACTGGGCGGCGTGGGCACAGCGGCAGCAAAAAGGGACAAGAAGCACGTTGCTCTACTAGGGAAGCTCTGCCAAGCTGGTCAACAACTGCGCCGCAAAATACGAATCTGTCCAACACCTAGTTACACTACTGTCCGAGAATACGGTAACTAGTATGGTATGTAAGGGGAGGCAGCCAAGGCCGTTCCTTGACTTTCAACCCATCCCAGAATGGAAAGCTGGGACTTGGAGTTGCAGCGATCCTTACAGTGCGATGTAGCACGGTGATCCTGCAGTGGCATGGCTTCAATTCCATGTGGCATCCAACAAGATGGAACTGAAGCAGGCATGAACCCCTGCTCAGAACAACTGTAGCAAGGGGCTCTAATCATTTTTCAGTTGTTTATGTATCGATAGTCCGTTGGCGATGGGGCACACGTATTCAATGATGAGCAGAGGCTTGATATCGACGGCGCGGCTTACTCCCGTCATTCGGCCGGGTCCCAAACACGCGGAACGGAACAAATCCCGGTTGACGTGCAGACAGTGTCGCTTTGGAAGTTTACACGGGTCGCTCAGCCCCCACTCTGGACTTCTGAAACGCTCTGCCTAACCACTGTGTCCGGCAACCGAGCCCCGGGTCCTGATCGGCGAAGCTGTCATGCGCGCCAAGATCAGCCATAAACTGGAGTCGACTGCACAGTACCTAGATATCGAGGGAAACCGAGGGATCCGATAGCTGAAGGAACACGCACATCGTCAAGGTTTGTGAATGTTGCATCTCAGTACCTACGCGGGTAGGTACTTGTACATTACCTTACCTAAGGTAGGTTATGTAAGCTAAAGGTGTAGGTAATACCAAAGTATGCCAGTGTAACAATATAGAAGGCTCTCCGGCCAACACAAACCCCCATAGCCTAATATCTAATCCCCAAATCGTTGAAATGGCCTAGGAATGAGCCAACGACGGTCTTATTGCACTTTATTGTCCCGAGTGCTCATGAAGAGATACGAACAGCACCTCCAGTGTAAGGTCTCATGTATCTATGTAATTATCGAGGGCTTGTGGTAATCGGTGCAACATGCCAGGGTGCCAATGGAAGGGACCGCCCCAGTCGCGTTCCTAGCCGTGCCGCGGTATGTGGTCATGGTAATTAATTCAACCAAGACGCGCGACCTTGCGCATCTTTCGTCTGAAATCTATCATCGCAAGACCTTTTTTCCCAGCAACGGTTCTCACCCGAGCATTACCAGGTTTTATTTGTTCCATCGCATTCCCCGCAGGCGCCAGAATTCTGCCATGAAGACTTAATTTTCCTACGCATGCCTGCCAACCACGAACTCTAACCCTCCATCACACGTCTCACTCCTACGCGCAGCACCCGTTGCACTCGCGCATCGCAATACAAGGCCGAAAACGAACGAGAAAGAGTCAACCGAAGATGCCCGCAACTAGAAAGCGCCCCCTAGGGGAGCTTGACTCCGGCAACGACCAGCAGCCTAATCAGCCATCCATGCTACATCGCATTAGGAATATGTGGCAGTTCGCCAATTTGGTCCAGTTTATCGTCCTCTTCGGACAAGCTCTCAAACTCGACGATAGCTTGGATATTGAGGTGCGTGTCGCACCTATTTTGCTTGCCGCCAATGTGGCGCCATCGCAACGCAACGGGACATCGTTTGCTCACATTCGATCTGCGCTAGGATCTGGAAGCAGAATGCCTTAAGCCAGGGTCCATGGTTCTGCAGGATATCGGCCTTGGGCTTCTCAAGTTCTTGTCTTCGCACCGGGGGCTGACGTATGTACCGATCACCCGGCTGACTTGCGGTTAACCTCTTCTCACGGCGCTTTACTGACTCCGTCTTAGCCACGAGTTGTTTGACGAATATACAAGAAGGCAGTTTCTCGCTAAAGCGCCGGAGAAGAATCCATTCGGGACCGCAGAGATGCCAGCAAAATTTGCGGATTTTGACGTATTCACCAAGGTATGTTGCCGTCACTATTGGAGATACACTGCCGCTTCATGCTGACGGATCGCCGTACCCAGATTCGCGTGTTACATCAGATGACGCAGTTGATCATGATGAATCCAGAACGGCTGCGAGAAAAAACCGAAGAGCAGAAGGATATAGACCAGACAAACTGGGTACGTTAACAAGCCCACACACGGTTGGCCATGCAGATGAACAGTTCGATGCTGACATGTCCACAGCGGATCGAGCCCTATGGATGGGACCGGCAAGATCGCACCTACTTCGTTTTGGATGACAACCGCCTCTACCGCCTCACTGATGCCCCACCGCCTGCCCCGAAGCCAAAGAAGAATACGAAGAAGGCCAGAGCAGCACAACGCGCTAGCAAGAGACGGCGCGTGTCGTCCGAAGCAGCAAGCGGCAGTGACGATGCTGGAGATGAGGCGTCAGAAGCCGGGGCAGTAGCCGAGCCAGAAGATGACGGGCTGGGGGGTATGAAATGGGAATGTGTGGCTGTCACGCTCGATGACGTCCGCGGGTTCTTGTCGACGATCCAGAAGACAAAGGACGCGAACGAAAAGATCCTGCGCGACCAGATTCAAGATCACTTGTTGCCAATCCTTGAGAAGCAGGAAGAATCTAGGAAGCGCAAGCAGCTTCAACGGGAAAAGGAATTGCTCAACCTGGAGAAGATGGCGCATGCGAAAAGATCGAGCCGCATCGCTAGCAAACTGGAACAGCAAAAGATGGAGGAGCGCGCTCGTGAAGAGGAGCGAAAGCGGCGCGAGGAAGAAGCGGCGAGGAGAAAAGAGGAGCAGAGACGACTAAAGATGGAGCGCGAGAGGGATCACCGGCTGATGTCCAGGGAACAGCGGCTCAAGGAACGGGAGGCTCGTCGTCGGCTTCACCAAGAGGAACTGGCCCAGCTGTCGGAGGATAGCAGAAGGGACACCGACAGTGCCGCTGCCCGCATGTCGGAGCGGCGGCGCCTCGCGGAGATTGAGAGGAATAAGAAGGCTTTGCAAGAGCTGGAAGAGGAAGAAGATGATTGGATATTCGACTGCGTTTGCGGGGTTTACGGCCAGGTTGACGATGGAACGCACAGCGTGGCGTGCGAAAGGTGCAATACATGGCAGCACAGCAAATGCCTGGGCATCAACGAACAGGAGGCGGATCAAGATGACTTCCACTTTGTCTGCAGCTCTTGTCGTCGGCGCGAAGAGGAGGCAAACGATCCGCACTCCCGAGTCATCAAGATCAAGGTTAATCGCCATCAGCAGTCGGAATCGCCTCCCAGAGAGCAAGCAGCCGCAGAGATCGCAACACCGCCCAAAGAGGCCCAAGCTCAGTTGGTGGTTGAACTTCAGTCCGGGCAATCTCTATGCGGACCTGACGGTGTCGAGCCATTGCAAGCTCGCCCCAGCCCCAGCGTCCAGGAAGCCGACGCAGCTCCATCAGTCGAGCGTACCACGTCCAACCCACTACAGGAGACAACCAAGAATAACTTGGCGAAAGATGGTGTGCGTGCGATCACGCTGGTTCAACAATCGTCAGTCGATGAGGGGAATAAACCCTCTTCGTCAGAGCAACCAATTCTGACACCCCAAGATGGACAGTCGATCAACTCCGGCGTTCAGAAGTCGGCCGCGCTCGACACAACCGCCATCGTGACTGGTGATGACGACGCGCAGCCGGGATTGGTCGCTAAATCGGCTCAGTCGATGGGTGCTCTTTCAACGTTGGCCGGAAGCGGGAGTGGCGGATCGTCCCCATCAAAGCAACCGCCTTCCCGGCCCCCTCCAACAAAGACATCTGCATCAGTTCCCGCCACCTCGAACAGCCAAGCATCCCCGCCTCCTGCGGAGAATATTAGGGGCATGACATCGTCTACCCCGATTGCTTTGCCACATCTCATAGCGGCCCAGCCGCGGGAGGCCAGATCCGATACTGCGACAGGGTCTTCGCCACTGCCGCCTCCTAGCGGCGGTCTGTCTCCCACGAAGCACTCGCCGCCCGTAGCTAAACCGCAACGGGAGGTCAATGGGGCACTACCGGCGTCAGGAGTACACCCGTTCCGTCCAGTAGCGGCTCTATCGCCCTCGCCGCGGCAGCAGATATTGACGCCTCCGGTCAAATCCGCGGAACCAGCAAGAGTCGCGCTGTCTCAGCAGCAGGCCCAGGGTATGCAGGCGGCCAAACTCGCTCCGGCGACTTCGCCCCGGCTTAATGCTCAGTCGACTTGACGAGAGGTTCTCAAAATTATGAGATCCGCGTTGGTGATGATGGTTGATAATTGCGTCTAGGTTAGACGCTCAGAGACCACACGTTGGCACACGTAGTTGGGTTCGGTACATCATGAGCGGCTCGGGAGGGAATTGGACTGGCACACTTGAGCATCAGCAGCGTGGCATGTAGACTACGGATATAAATGGCTAGACGACCGCAGCGAATTTGTCACAGGAGGCATTCAGCGATGATATAATGAAGCGAGTTGAGTCCCCGAACCGGCATCTGCCATCAGCCACCAGCCATCATCATCTCACTGCGTGCAGTCCATCCCCACCGGCGGTAGGTGTAACGAAAGTGTAACCCACCCCTTTCGTTGGATGTTCACCTTTGAGGGCCAACGGCCACCTGCCCACTGCACTGTGTAGAGATGTTCAAGGTTGGCTGCCGTCCTCATCGATGAGCTAGCCTCATGATGGACGACCGCTCGCCAGCACAGAGTGTACATGTCCAGTACATGTACATTCCATACCCAGGAGCATCAGTAGCTCGCGCCTTTGCCAAAGCCGCCTCCATGCGTGGCGGTCTTGTCTACAAGCGAGCAGCTCGGAATTGTTGATACTAGTACCTGAGGTCCTCGGCGCTTGCTTGACATCTGGAAGTACCTATGTAATGACAAGTGAGGTGTCATTTAGCTTTAGCTAGAGTCTCTTCGGCAGCTTAGACCCGACAGGCTGCACGAACCGGTGGTCTAAGCTTGAGACAAACTGTTTAGGCTTACATGGTAAACGACATGGGTTTCTCGGCGGTCCATCTAAACCTTCTTGAAGACAGATGCGAAACAGAGACACACCTTGACCGGCGGAAGGAGCGGAAAGGTCTGCGATTGGACCGGCTGCTCGGAAGGTTGCAGATTTAAGGTAGAGGGTAGGTATTTCTGCAAGGGCTGAACCAGACCGCCAGGTACCGGTATGCGATGCCGTTCTGTTGGAATGGGGCAGTCGAGAGTGACGAGCAAGTCAACACCCAGGTAGCGCACTTAGAGAGAGCGCAACGAGTTGTCCAGCGAATGCAACCCTTTGCTAAGGTCTAGTGTCCTAAAGAAGATGCTGCTTGCTGGCACAGCCGTCCCTTTTTTTATCCTGCGGAGGAAATCAGTGAACGCCATCCCTTGGTTCCTTGGAATGCCACTTTCTCTGGCAAACAACCCCAAAGTAGCAATCACGCGTTCAAGGCCAGCCAGCCAAACCCAGCCGCAAGAGAAATTAGAAGCAATTGGCGGTACCGCCGTCCACAATCCCAGATCCCCGTGTATTGTACCCTTGGCTTCTGATGTTCAGATGCGCAGCTGCAAAGAGCTATGAGCAATATGGGCCCCTTGGTGCTCCCCTTGTTCCCTAATTAGAGCGACCGCCTTTCTGTATCCGTGTATCTTGCTGTTCAAACAGTCATGGGCTAATGCAGCCACCCGTAGCGGGTTGCAGGACGGCTGGCCAACCAGATGCCGGCTGCACCCAGACCCTGCATGCACGATGCGGCTTGGGCATTGACAGACAGAGCCGGGCAAGAAGCGCGCTGGCCTATCCAGCATCCGCCGGCCTTTCCTGCGCTTCCTCCTGGGTTTACGGACGGCTCGTGGCCCCAAGGCACACATGTTGGTGTGCGTCGCCTCAGCGTCATAGCGTGAGCGTGCAGTACTAACGCTTCAGACGACAGGAAGGTTCCGGTTGGGCTTGGCTTGTCAAAGGAACGTAGGTACCTCAGTTAGAGCCACTTCGGCATGTGCCGGGGTGTAGCGATGGCGTAAGCGCAGCCCAGGACCGTTTCCGGGAGGACCCCCCCCCCCCCCCCCCCCCCCCCAAAAAACCTCTCCAACATTCCAGTGAGCCTCGGGTACTTCACACAATCAGCCCACCTCGCTCACGGGGCCGTGTAACGTAGGGGAAAGCTTAACGAGTCCTCGTCACTTTTCGAGAAGGAATGGTTCGGTTCTCTGCGCGAACAGGTGGAGCAACGACCCAATAGAAGGCGGCTGAGGGGGGGTGAGGATGTGTGTAGATGCCATATCAAACTACCCGTGGCCCTAGGTACCTTAGTTTGCTGCGGCGGGGTGCTCAACTGGGCGACTGCCCGGGAGCAAGCATGTCTATCGTCCCAGGAACGGCGGCTTGCTGCCTCCGGCAAGCGCAAGGGCCCCACGCAACAGCTTCGGGGTCTCCTGAGCCCGACCGAACACGGACGGATTGCCAACAGGCGGTGCAAAGTGTGGGTTGTCATCCGGGACCGCCATCCAGACTCTCTCAGAGAGGCCTTTGCACTGCTGACCCGGCCAGCTTCCGAATGCGTCAACCCGGCATGGCCTTCCACCCCAAATCGCAACCGCCCCAGATCGGTAATAAAGAAAATACAAATACAAGGCCGGCCCCTCCTTCCCTCTTCCCCAGGCCCTTCAAGAAACTTTGCTTGAGACAAAGCCCGTCTGCCACGTTCATTGAGGCACCAGAAGCATACACCATCAATACCGGCTTTCCCCCGGCTGCCACTCTAGTGTCCCATACCCTGTCACCCACAGGCACAGAACAAAGAAAAAGAAGATTCACCGGCACAACATCGCTTCTGGAAGGCAACGTCGATTCACCGAAGAACAGGACCGTACAGCAGCGTCCACGAAGAGTATCAAGGGGAAGATAGCCCGCCGCTAGTCGGAGTCAGAGCGAGGGAACCTGGTTCAGAAGACTTGGGTCTGCGCTGCAAAAAGGTCCAGCATCCCCGCGGGAGTCTAACGACCGATTTGTTGAAAAGCACCCAAACCGACCATCGCATATCTGCACACTATCGGGGCCAGCTGAAAGCCCAGCCGCCTCCTGACACCGCTAGGTGCACAGACAGACCAGCAGCCCGTTGCCGCTGCTATTGCCGTTGCCGATCCACACACGAAGTCCTCCTAGAGAGCTGGTCTCCCCGAGCCTTTTCTGACAGCAAGGCCGATTCTTCCGCGCCCACTTGGCAGCTTCGCTCACCGTCCAGGACGACTTCCGTATGCAGAGCATGTCGCTTCTGTTGTAACCAGAGCCATTGCCCAATCTGAAAGTCCAAGCCCGACAGAAGCACCCCATTGCTTTCGCTGCCCGACTTTTCGACCCAAAGTGACGCTTGTCGGGCAAGATTCTTGGAGAGCCTCATCCATACAGCATCACCCAAGGAGGGGCTTAGAGCCGTACAATTGCCCGCGGGTGACTTGGCTCAGGCCATCACGGGAGCAGAAGAGTGGACTCCAGCATGGACCGCAATACGCCACCGTCGCCGCCCCGGACCAGAGCAGAACCGCTACCGATGGGATTCCATGAGTTGCTGCAACACAACGCGGCCGAGTCCATCCATGCGCACTCGCAACCAGCATCGAGATACGGAACACCGGTACCGCAGCCGCATCACTCCCAAGGCATCGACGCGTCGATGGTGTACCATCATCGCGGAGGAGGTGGCGACCTCGTAGGGAACTAATCGCATATCGTACGGATTGAGTGTGGCTGACGTGTGCTCACAGCCGGGATATCACCCACAGGCAGCGCACCTGCAAGACAACAGCCCCTATGGCCCTATTCCAGAGGTGAGTTGCCACGTTGCCCTCCGGATAGGAATAGGAATCGGAGATACTAACAAGGATGCCCGAGCTTCACAGCCCTACAGCACTCCCGCAACTTCACCGCCAACGCCGTCGCGGGGTGCCGGTGTCGTGACCACCCGGCGCCGCGCCAAGGTCATGGGTCCGCAAAGCATCCGCATCCAGAAGTCGACGCCCAAGAGGAAGAAAGAACGGTCCAAACCGCCAAAGAACATGCCGGTGCTGGATAGGCCGATGAGCGAGCTGACCAAGAACTCGTCGATACCCGTTGCCGACATCGAGACGTATGTCCACCGGTCGTCCGAGGAACGGCGACAGGAAACAGAGTCGGGCAAGGAACCCGGCCGGATCAAGAGACCGATGAATGCCTTCATGCTGTACCGCAAGGCGTACCAGCAGCGCGCCAAGGAATGGGCGTCCCAACACAACCATCAGATCGTGTCCCGAGTCTGCGGCATGAGCTGGCCGCTGGAGCCCGAGCACATCCGGCAACAGTTCAAATCGTGGGCTGATATCGAGCGTGACAACCACCAGAAGGCCCACCCCGACTACAAATTCACGCCGTCCAAGCCGCAGAAGCCAGCCCCTAAGTTCCAGGCAGGGTTCGACGAAAACGATGACGGGTCCGACTTGGAGGACTATGATTGGGCCAGCAGAGGAGGTACCCGGATGCGGTCGGCAACCCACACGCCCGGCGCCGACAGCGATTATGTCCCCAGCCGCTCGGTGTATGCGGCAGCGCACCAGAACCAGCACCAACACCAGCTCGCGGGAATGCAGGCGATGGGCATGATGCACCATACCCGATCGGCAGCCTTTGACTTCAACCCGGGCAAGCCAATGCCAGCCGCATATGACCACCGGGACTTGGCAGGCCAGTATTATGAGACGCAGTTCCGCAACCCGCAGCAGAGGCACTTGCACCACGGCGTGGTTGAGGACGTGCTTGTGCACCGGACGCCGTCTCCTAGCCTGGCATTCCAGCAGCCGCACGACGCGCAGCATTCGCATTACGACCTCAGCCAGTACCACCACAACAAAGTTGAGCAGCCGGCCCAACCCCAACTGCAGGTCCATCAGCAGCAGCAGCAGCAGCAGCACCTCCGCCAGTTCGAGCACCGGATAGACCCGTCGCTGGTGCCGCAGGACGAAATCTTGTTCGATGCGGCCAACTTCAACAGCATACCCAGCATGTTTGACGGCGGCCTCGGAGGAGCGCAGCAGTCATGGCAGACTGCACAGCTGGGGGCGGGCAACGAGGCGGACAGCCAGTTCTCTCACGCCTTCCTGGGCCTCGATGAGACACTATCTCTCGAACAGCATGCCCAGTTTCCGAGAGGCGCTGATGAGTGGCAGATCGAGCCGCTTCCCGAAGCGGCCCACTTCGACACGAGCTGGGTTGAACCGAAGGCCGAGCATTGAGCCTGGTCGAGACGAAGTCGAGAAGAATGGATAGGGGGCAGACTGGGAACGAGAGTCTCCGGAACAGAGATAGGCCGGAAAAGAACATAGTGTATCCATACATTGCACCGTAGAGGCCTCAACTTTGAGGCTTCTTTGGCACTGGCGTTGAGGGTGGTGGGGGGAGGGTGCGGGTTGGATCATAGGGTTGGTGTTTGGGTGAGAGCCGGCAGGGTTTCTGGACAATACATCTAGGTTGCTTCATCGGGAGAGAGAACGGAAGAGCATTGGGGATCTGAGATACACAACACAGGGAAATACTTAACTTAGCGTCCATAATAGAGAATATCGTCCAGTGTAAGATCCTGCTTCTAGAATATCTCTTTGTCTTCGTTGCGTGCCGATGCCTGGTTGCTCTTTCGCTAGCATCCTGCTGGACCCGGAGGGCGCAAACAATGGCTTTGTGCAAACCGAGTTGTTGCGTGCAAGATGGTTCGTCGATTTGATTCGGCCTACGGCTGATGCATCTCCTTGGTGTGCAATCACGATGGGTTGAATGTCTTCCGCGAAAGAAAACAACTGCTGCGAGAAGCAGATCAACCTGACAACAGTTTGAATGAGGTGGAGGTTCCAAAGTCCATGAACAGCTTTGCGAACAGGAAGGTCAGCGAGGCGACTAATGTTAATAATGCTGGGGTAACTGCATAACTCGCGTAGTAGCATAATAAGACGGTCTCGGCCCCTGCAGCTTCCAAGCTTTCCCGGTCCAGGAATCGGCCTTCGTTACAAAGAGCTCTTTGAGACTGTGAGACGGACATCTCAACCCGCCAGAATGACATTCCTCTCGAGAGTCATCACCGCATTTGGCGGTCTTCTGCTTACCCATGCGTAAGGGAAACAGTCCTGTCATCGTCATGTCACTTGCGCTAACGGACTTTCCCAGGTGCTACTCTGCGCGAGAACACACCGCGCTACAGTCCCTTCGAGCTGCCACCGCCTCCTCGCTTACGTCGTCACCGACGGTGTCCAGCTCCCTGCCTTTGGACATTATACTGGAAACACTCATATCCACTCTCATCATCCTCGTCGGACTGGTCTTGGGAACCCGCCCTCTGCGCCCAATCGAGTGGCGCGTCTGGGCAGGCAAGATTGAGCGGGAGGGCGAGGCGGGGTTTACAGACGGCTCTGGAGTGGTAGACAGGGACTACATGGGAAACCCTTTCAGCGTGTTTGAGTCGCGGCCAAACTTTGTGGACATCCGGAAGCAGCGGAAGGAATTCGCCGAGTGGGTGCAAAAGGGCGGTGCGGAGGCAACACGGTACTACGCTGGCGGTACGCAGTAATAGGACTCGATATCGCTTGCTATCCAAGAGAAAACGACGTTACTTCAGCTTGGTACAGACTAGTAGGAGATCATCATTCTGAGCATGAGTCCTCCCAGGAGATCCCCGTCCGCACTGACATTGGCATCACACGTCGCTCCTTCCCGACATGGATCCCGAAGCGTGTGGATCAGGTTCCCGTGGCAATCGCTACCCAGCCGCCCCTACCCTGATAGGTCGATGGCTCATGCTTCAATTGAGCGGCTGCCTGAATTCTAGGTTGAGCTGTCGCCGGACCAGCTCTCGGAGGTTCTTCCGGTAGCCACGTGGTTCTGATGTTCCCCGGCTCCGTCAGTTATCTCGAGGCTCTACCCCGTTCTTTTTGCCCAGGGAGGAATAAGGCAGGACAATGGACTCTCTGTTACATTCTACGCAGTCTTACATGGAACACGTGTGTCATCTCAGACTTCCTCGAGCTTGAAAGAACCCCCTCATCATCAACGCCAGACCAGTGATCAGGCGCAGTCAACGAGTGATTGATTACGACCCCAGGACGGGGCTTAGGCATCGGCCATGCCGGCCAACGGCAGCGCCCGCAGCGTGTATTCTACCGCATCCCATCTGTTGTCCCCGCGGAGTACAGATTCATCGTCTCCAACCCCAGTGCGGTCCCGGTCCGCATCCTCATCACGCACGAACACCTCTCAGCTCTCACCACGCCTGCCATCGTCATCACTCTACCCGTCTTCTCGGCCCTCCAATGGTACCGATTCTCGCAGCTCAGCCACTCGCCGTAAGAGATCTAGGGCCGCCAAGGGTGCTATTCGTCCCCGTAACATCGCTCGATGTTCAAGCTCTCCGGTGGGGGCCTTAGTGCGGAGGAGACATGCCTACGGAGATTCAAGCATCGCTTCCACACCTCCCAGCCTCTCGCCCTCTTCCCGCCGGTCCCATCCAGTACTTCCCTTTGCACAAGGGGTTGCAAGGCCACCCAGGCCATCGTTCCTAAGAGCGGCGCCGTCAAGTCGACATGGGTTCCCGCTCCATGCGCCTTCCTTGTTCACCGAGGCGAACGAGGGATATCTGAGGTCGGTGCCGCGGGAAAGTCATGACAATCATGGAGGCGAACAGAGCAGTAGCAACCACGGCCACGATAGGCTGAACGAGATCATCATGGCCATCGACGTTGACAAAGACGGAAAAATCGGCTGTGCTTACTACGTTGCAATGGATGAAGAGCTGGTGCTTGAGGAAGAGGTTTCCATGGGCGGCATTGAGGCTGTGGACACAATTATGCTCCAAGTTCAGCCGACGTCAATCATCATACCCAACCGGTCACCCGGAGATCTGATCGATTTCCTCGAGCGAGATGCGCAGAGATTCGATGATAGCGAGGGATCAGGCGGTGAACAAGGATCGTATATTCTCCGACACGTTGTCTCTGTGCAGTTCGATTATGAAGCAGGCAAGGAAGCACTGGCAAGACTTGATCTCGAGCCGTCCACCCCCGGCGCTGTCGAGATCCTGTCGCTGGAAGAGGAGCATTCGCGAGCCGTTGGCCCTTCCATTCATGGCAGGCTCATGCGCATCGCCGAAAAGATCAATCTCGAAAGCTGTCTTTCGGTCGGCTGCGCTGGCGCTGTTTTACAAGATCTCGAACGTCGCAGGACCGCCGAGGACCTACCAGATGGTGAAGAGGGCACTATACCATTTGTTGTGAGGTCTGTCAGGATGAACACATCGGCAGATGCAATGCTCATGAGCGCAGATTCCCTGATATCCCTGCAAATTCTTCAGTCGGAACTGCACCCCAACCCGCACACTCGCTCTTCAAACAGCTCCGAGCCAAAAGCAAAGGAGGCCCTCTCAATCACGGGTCTTCTTCAAGCGTTGGCCTCCAGCGCACAAGGGAAAAGGAGGCTCCGTCAAATGCTCCTCCGGCCGAGCACCGATATCGACATGATTCGGGAGCGACACAGGAGTATTGCGGTTTTGCTGCGCGCGGAGAACAGCGAGACTGTGAAGAACATGCGGAAGCAGCTCAGGAAACTAAAAAACACAAAAACACTCCTACTTCATGTGAAGAAGGGAGTGGACCGAATACGCGGCCAGCTATCCATCCGAGTCGGGGACTGGAAAGCATTGCTGAGGTTCTCGATGGTCTCCGCCCAGTTGCGGCAGGCAACCGATGCATTGAAGGGCGCTTCGGAGATCGCAATCTTCTCTAGGGTAAGAATCAAGTCTTGATGTTCATAAACGAGCTCGCAGAGGCACTGACAGAAACAGATATGTAACGATATCGACGTGAAAGGATTCTTGCACCTTGGCGATATCATCCTGAGAACTATTGACTTCCAAACATCCAAGGAGAGTGGCCGTACAGAGATACTACCTGAAGCAAGCGAGTATCTTGATGGGCTGAGGCAAGAGTTTGCAGATGTCCTTCATGTGCTTCCCGATCTAAAGGAGTCTGTGGTGCAAGACGTCCCCAGGGACGCGGGCAAACATATCCGGCATTGCACGGTCATGCCACAGCTGGGATTCCTAATCGCCGTTGCGCTCCATCCGGAGACGGGAGAAGGAGTCTACCACGGCCAACATCACATCAAGGGCGAGTGGAAGATGTGTTTTGTCAGCGAAGATGTCGCGTACTACAAGAACCATCTTATGTTGGATCTTGACTCCCAGTATGGTGATTTACCTTCACGCATCGCCGGTTTGTCTCAGCACGATGCCCCTTTAGCGGATGAGAGCCACCAGCTGACGACCAAGCTAGATGAAGAGATTGAAGTCATCATGGCACTCGCAGCTGCCGTTTTAGAACATGAAGAGGCAATCTTACAGGCCTCTGAACTGTTTGGTGAGCTCGACAGCCTGCTTGCACTTGCCTTGGCAGCGGAAAAGTACAACTGGACAGCTCCTACTATGACGGCCTCCAATGCGATTGACATTGTCGATGGGCGTCACCCGCTCCAAGAACTCCTCGCACCTTCGTATATCCCAAACTCCTGCTACCTGGCCGGCGGGTGTGGTACTGACGGCGTAGACGAGGAGGATCCCACGGCAACAAATTGCAACGGAAAAGGGGCAGCTCCCTCCATGCTCATCCTGACGGGTCCAAACAATTCGGGCAAGAGCGTCTACATGAAGCAGGTCGCTCTGATCGTGTACTTGTCGCACACCGGCAGTTATGTCCCAGCCACCCGTGCCACAATCGGAGTGACCGACCGCATCCTCACCCGCATCGCCACCCGGGAGACGGTAGTCAGCGACGAGAGTGCATTCATGGTGGACTTGAAGCAAGCCGCGTTCTCGATGAACTTCGCAACACGACGCAGCCTGCTCCTGATTGACGAATTCGGCAAAGGCACCACGGCGGAGAGTGGCTCAGCCCTCTTTGCAGCGTACCTCACCTACTTACTGGATCTTGGTGTCGACCGTCCAAAGGTGCTAGCTGGGACACATTTCCACGACATATTTGAGAATGGTCTGCTCAGGAGCGAAGGGAACGTAGCCCTTGGGCATCTGGATGTCAGACTCGAGGCGCAAGCTGAGGACCCAGAGGACCAGATCACATTTCTTTTCCACCTCCTGCCAGGGCGAGGCCCATCCAGTCTAGGGGTACTGTGCGCGGCAATTAATGATGTTCCAAGCGATGTCATAAAACGCGCGGAGGCCATTGTGGCCTTGCAGGACAACAACGAAAGCCTTGTGGAGGTCTGTTCCGATCTGTCTGAGGAGGATAGGGAGAGGTTGGGCCAAGCGGAACTCGTGGCCAGGAAATTTTTGGCATTACAAGTGCCCGGCAAGGCTCGTGAGCAGGGTCAAGATGGCTCAATTCGAGATTTGTTGCAATCTGTGCTGCCAGTGGAAGAGCTTGGGACGCCGGCTCTATGATAATGGATGTCGATATCGCTCGGGATTTGCGGGACAGGAGGCCATGATAACTCGGTCGCTGAGAGATAGATTTGCTTCAATAATGACAGAATGACACACAGGTTCTATATATATTCCATATTCCCGTTTAGAATCCGCCCTGCCTTTCACCATTATCCGGGATATCAGATTACGACTAAGACAATACCAACGCCACCCCAAACACACATATGGCCCTTCGTTGACCCACGACATATATCATTACACAATATAGATCCATCGTTCTCTTCGTTTCCCAACCCTAGCCTCCACGCCGCTTGATCTCAAATGTATCACCTCAAAGCCAGCGCCAGCATACCGACAACCAGGGGTAGCCCCAAGAGAGAGAATAACGGCTGAACCACGTGCCCAGCAGAGGATGAGCTCCCAAACGGGTCGGTATCGAAGCCAGACCCAGAGTCAGAGGCCGGAGACCGAGAAGTAGAGGGCTGGGCGGCCGCTGACGGCGCTAGAACCAATGTCGGCGCGGCAGTGGTATCTTCGGCTGCGGATGTCGACCTAGTCTCGCTACCGTTGTCCGTGACCGAGGTGCTCGCCGGCGTGTTTTGTTCCGTGGTCTTAGAAGACAACGAAAGTTCGGAGGTTGTCGAAGAGCTTGGCGTGGACGTCGGTAGCGTAGGCGTTGGCGCCCGCTCAGTTGTCGAGCTCTTCGTAGTCGTGAGAGGAGTCAGCTTCGAGATGTAGCTACTCGCCAAGCTCTCGGCCGCCTTGACCTTGGAGCTGGGAATATCGCGGTCGTTGCGCTCACAACCATCCTCTATGGGCTTCAGGAAGCTGTCCTCGAAATTTCGAAGGTCCGCTTTGCAGTTGAAGTACATGCAGGAAATGACGGAGTCCAGCAGGAGTTCTCTTGCCTCCCGGCACATGCATTTAGCGCTGTTGGTTTTGCAGCCGGATGACGCTATGCAGCCTTCAACACACGACGGGAACTCGAAGGTTGTGGCCCCGGCCGGACTCACAACGTACATGAGGAGGTATATGCCCACGACGGCAAGCCTGATATGTGTCGTGAAGATCATTGCCTCTGCGCTAGTAAAAGCACGAACTCTCGTGGGGTGAGATGGACGGCCAGATGGCGAGAGTCGAGGAAGTGGTTGTGACACACTCTCGGGGGCTGCTATCTTATACATAATAAAAGCATCACACTAACACACACACCTGTTCATGTCGAGCAAAGCCTCATCCATCACTTGGGGAAGCTCACATCTGAAACGTGACTGAGTGTGCAGGACTGGGCAAACAACGATCCCCAGGTCCTTAATTGAACCCAGCCCGATGAGACCAATCAATGGGGAGCATCAATGGGCTGACTTCCCCACGTTATCTCGAGGCCCTGACAGCCACTCAACCAATCACTCCAGTTACCGAACAACCGGGACATGTTGACGCCCGAGCTCGGGCTTTATTAACGTCAACTCGGGCCCTTGCTTCGGATCAAAAGCGGGCGGAACTTTCTGCATCACCCCGCCCACCCTTGACTCCGCATGTGCTCCAGTACTACTATTTATAAAGTATAGTACCGTGTGTATCCCAGCTTCAAGTTACGGTATGTTTTTTTTTCTTTCTTTTTTTCCTTTTCTTTCTTTTTTTCCGTTTCTTTTTATTTTTTTTTATTTTTTTTATTTATTTTTTTTACACCAAGTGGATTGTATCGGGGAAGCTGGGCTTTTACGTACCTAGGTAAGTACATACATGTACTTGTACACCGTAGGTACAGGTAGTTCTACCCCTCCTCCGATTCCTCCCCCCTCCGTACAAGGCTGGCCTTTAAAATTACTTTCCAACACTTACCGGTATGCATCCAAGCTTGAGAACCCTACTAAGAATTTAATAGTCCGACGACTCCCCCCAGCTGATAGTTATTGTGTATTCGACCTCCGGCCACGTGCAAAGGTGCAACGCAACAGCTTGACCCCTCCGCCAGCAGGTGGGGCCGGGTCTCCTGATAACGTTAGCCGATTGCGATAAGCCCAAAAATCCAAATTTGTGGATGGTGCCTTTGGCCCGGGTGCGGGACAGAGAGGCCTTCAATCCAATACACCACGCGAATTCCAAAGCCCAGTTGACTGTACAGCAAAGCAATGGCACCAACGAAGCCCAAAAATAAGTCGCAGAAGGACAAGGCGAGAGAACGAGCCCGAGCGAAGGCGGCCGCTTCGCAGAACTCAAGCGTAAACGCACGAGAGCTCCTCAACCAAGCCACCGCGTGCCTCGAGGAAGGAGACGCCGAGACTGCGGCAAGGATAGCGCGTAATGCCTACAAGCATATTGGGGAGGATGGGAGGCAGGCTGGTGCCGCGCTGTCACTCCTCGGCCAAATACATGTCGAGTTAGGGGAAGTCGACGCTGCTCGCGCCTTCTTCGCCGCGGCAGTGAAAGTGGATGAGGACGGTTCGCTCCCGGAAGACCTCGGCGGCGGGCCTGAGAAGTTTTTATGGTTAGCGCAGCTCAGCGAGGAGGGCGGCCACGACAGTGTCTCATGGTTTGAGCGCGGTGCCACTACCTTGCGATCCCAAATACAGACACTCTCCGAGTCGCTTGGCTCACGGCCCTTGACGCGCGACGCACAGGAGGCAGTCATAGCTGAGAAGCGGAAGAGACTGGCTGAAACGTTGTGTGCCGTGGTGGAGGTCTACATGACGGATCTTAGCTGGGAGGAGGACGCAGAACAGCGGTGCGAGGCTCTTATCACCGAGGCGACCATGCTCGCGCCCGAATCCGCCGAGACATGGCAGACAGTGGCCAATGTTCGCATCTCTCAGGCCAGGACAGAAGAGGCCCAGGAAGCTTTGAAGCGGAGTTTAGGACTGTGGACCGACCTCGCGCCAGAAGATCCTGCAGTGCCGGCCTTCCCCTCCAGGGTCAGCCTGGTCAGACTGTTAATCGAGGTCGAGATGGAGAAGCAGGCAATGGAAGTCACCGAGCGCCTAATAGCGGAGGACGACCGAAGCGTGGAGGTCTTGTATCTCGGTGGATATGCCAGGTACATATTAGGCAACAAGTTGAAGAGCCAGGGGCAAGCTTCCGGTACCGAGGCCTGGAAAGCCTTCTGGAAGTCCGCCAGGAAATGGCTTGCGCAGTGCTTGAAAGTCTTCCGGCGAGAAGAATACGAAGATGAAAGGTTAGGGGAGCACGCCCAGGATTTGCTCAACTCAATCAAAAGCGAGCTGGGCGAGGCAGCCGAAGATGCCGAAGATGAAGACGCGTGGGAAGATACGGATGAAGAAGAGTGGGGGGGTGTCGACGACGACGAGGATGATACAGAGATGCAATAGTCACGACGGCCTCATACTTTCGCACGGGTGTGTGGGAAGTCATCAAACGATTACGGACTGCTTTACGACAGCCAGCTCTGCGGTTTATCTCACGGTTTGGCGGGGACTATGCATGTCAGGCTTTAAAGGTATAGCATATGTCAAGACACGGCATACCACTCTTCTGAGCTTTCCGTTTTGCAGCATATGGATGCAGGGAGCTGCGCGCGTCACATCCGAGCCTTCACAGACCTCGTCGTGTCTGAGCCAGTCACACTCAGCTATCTCCAACCTTGAGCTTTTGTACATCCTCCGTCGGCACTCCGTCCTCATCGCCTTCCTCCTGGGACGCGGTTGCAAGACCCCGTTCCCAAAGCTGCTTGCCAGTAAGCTTGGGCGGCTCTTTTATTCTGGCCTTCTTCAATTCTGCCGCCCTTTCCTCCTCTTCCCTGATCCGAGCCTCCTCCATCTCCTTCAGAAAGCCTTCTCGCCACTTCAGGAACGTCTCCCGGGTGACCGGTGTGCCATGGAACTTCTTGTTCTCCTCGCGCTCGGCAGCCAGGATGGCCTCCTCGTGCACCTTGGCGGCGGCTTCTTTGCGCTCGGCCACTAATTGCTCGGCAGCTTCCTTCACTGCAGACACCAGGGTGAATACCATGGCCATGCCCAAGTTTTCCTCGACTGTCGCCTCCAGGTCTTGGAGAAGCTGATCCTTATCTTCAGCAATGTTCAGGTATTGGTGGGGCGTCGAGTTCTGCGGTGCGGATAATTCCAAGAGCGGCGCCTTGTCCGGGTAGTCCTCGGGATACCGCACGGTCAGCAGCATGACCGGTGGTTCCGCTTCATCTTCATCGTCGCCGATGTCGAGGGTGATCGATATCCTGTACTCGGTCTCTGATATGTCTGTGTTACAGCGACGGGTTAGCCCCTCACCCGTGCGAAATCTAGAGAAAAAGAAGAAGTGTAATTAATTGACTGTAGAGTACAGTACCTGTAATTTCATCTGGGAATATGGAGTTGAGCACCTCCCGCTCTTCGATTTGCTCTTCACGTCCCATGTCCAGCTTGTTTTTGAGATTAACCGATAGAAGACTTGACTCTGACTTGACGGATCCGAGGCTAGATTGAACTGCCAGTGCGAAACCTCAGATGGAGGGGCACCGAAGACCGAACAGTGTGGGACAGGTGCGGTTTGTTACATGGTGGGGTGACCGCATCCCTGCCTCTGCATGTCTCACCGCCCGGCAGAAGCAGGGGTCTGATCCGACCGTCGACAAAAAAATTGGATTGACAGGTCGATGGTCCTGCAGCTGGAAATCGGATCTACCTAGCACAGTCGAGCATCAGCCAGGATCACTCACACAATGGCACCTAAACCATCAGCACCTGCCGCGGGGGCGAAGCGAAAGGCGTCGTCGAGTGACCAAAGTGACAAAAGTAACAGACGCAGCGAATACCGAGCTACCAAGAAGGCGAGAACCGTCAGCGGGCCGAAGCATCGGAAATCCGAAGAAGGCGTGCCTTCACGCAGCGATGGTACTGACTTATCGGGGAAGCCGGGTGAGCGAGGCCGTCTCTTTATACTTGGTACACATGAAACTTCCTGCTGATCTTCTTTCAGCGGCCCAGAGTTCCCGCGAGGCGCACGCAAAGCAAAAGCAGCTAGCACAGGAGCGCAAGGCCGCGAAGCCATTGGCGGACGAGGTTCACCGGACGAAGAAGCTGTGGGAAAAGCTGCGACGCAAGTCCCACGTTCCCAAGGAGGAGCGTCAACAGCTCGTCGAGGAACTGTACAGCATCATAACCGGCCGGATCAAGGACTTCGTCCTGAAGCATGACGCTGTCCGTGCCGTCCAGACCGCCATCAAATACTCAACCCCGGAGCAGCGGAAGCAAATTGCGAAGGAGCTGCAAGGCGCGTATGCGCAGCTCGCTGAAAGCAGATACGCCAAGTTTCTTATCGGCAAGCTTCTCGTTCAAAACGACGAGGAGATCAGAGACTTGATCATTCCCGAGTTCTACGGGAAGGTGCGGAAGCTCATCAATCACCCGGAAGCCTCTTGGATCCTAGACGACATCTACCGCGGAGTGGCAACAAAAGAGCAAAAGGCGCGTATGCTGCGAGAGTGGTACGGGCCCGAGTTTGCCCTGTTCGCCCCCGGTGCCGGCGAGGAAGTTACGGCAGACCTCCGCAAGATCCTTGACGATGAACCCAGCAAACGAGGCCCCGTGATGAAGTACCTCTTCAGCATGACCAACGGTCTCATTCAGAAGAAGATGACTGGATTCACGATGCTCCACGATGCCATGCTGCAATACTTCCTCAGCCTCAAGCCCGAGAGCGAGGAGCTCAAGGAGTTCGTCGAGACTGTGAAGGACGATGAAAATGGCGACCTGCTCAAGAACATGGCCTTCACCAAGTCGGGAGCTCGTCTGGCGTGCTTGCTTCTGGCTTATGGAAGCGCAAAGGACCGCAAACAGATTCTCAAGATGTACAAGGACACATTCCAGCTCATGTGCGGCGACCCGCACGGCCACATGATCCTCCTGGCGGCATACGATGTCATCGATGACACTGTGTTGACGTCCAAGACGATCTTCCCGGAGATTCTTGGGAAGAATGAGGAGAAAGGCATCGAGAACATCGTCTTCCTTGCCAACGACCTCAACGCGCGCATCACGATCTGCTACCTGTTCGAAGGACAGTCGAAATCCTTGTTTCCAGCCAGCCATGCGTATGATCTGGAGCTCCTGGCCGAAATCCACGAGATCCGGAAGAAGACGAGCAAAAAGGATGCCGACATCCGCCGCAAAGAATTGGTGGCAGCAATGTCCCCGCTGTTGCTTGCGGCGGTGGCGACGTCGCCAGCGGAACTCATCGCCACTTCATTCGGATGTCAGTTCGTTACCGACGTCTTGCTGTCGGCGACGGGAGACAAGACCGCTGCGCTGGAGGCCGTGGCCTCGACTGCTGCTGGGGATCCCACGCCGACGCAGTCCGAGAACGCCGATCCGCTTTACCCCCCTCCCCCACATATCTCCCTGACGCCGCACGGAGGCAGAATGTTCAAGACGCTCATTGCTGGAGGTCGGTTTGACAAGGCGGCCGGTGCCGTCAAGCGGGTTGATCCGCCGCTCAATTTCGCCGACATCCTCTATCCGGTCATCAAGGAACATATCCTTCAGTGGGCCACTGGGCCGAGTTCCTTCACAGTGCTGGGACTTCTGGAAGCTCCTGATTTCTCCTCCAAGAAGGAGCTACTCAAGAAGCTACGTTCTGGGAAGAAGACGCTCGAGGCGGCGGCAGCTGGGGAGGCAGCTGAAGAGAGCGCGAAGACGGATACCAAGAAGTCAAAGTCGAAGAACAAGGGCGCGCATAGGGGGAACGGAACGTCTGGCGGGAACCAAGGAGCAAAGCTGCTGCTCGAAAAGTTGAAGACGTAGGACATTGGTCGGTGTATTTCAAATGACGCGCGAGTAGTACAGCTATCGAAGAATTCAAGTGAATCGGATGGTACTGTAGAAACCAGCCGCCTGCCAGTAGGTAGCTTGGTTGGGGATACGACGGCAGAATTGTATTTGCCTTCGCTGCCAGGTGCCGTGTACTATGATTCCTAGGTACTAGTAGTAGGTGGTCTCTATTCGCGCGAGGCGGCAGACACCACTGCAGCAACCCAGTGGTCGGTTGTACTTGTACAATATTGAAGCAACAAGCCGGAGGAGGCCATGCTGGATGTTGTCCAACTTCAAACGCTCCCGTCTCTTCGCTCGTCGCCCGTCCCTCGTACCAGGTCGCTCTTTAACCACACTGCAGCCTTGTATCGGGAAGGGCTGTCGGTCATTGAACGTTCTTCCTCCTGTTTCTGTCCAACGGCTTCTCCCCCCTGATAACACCAGGACCACGGGATCTACAAAAATAATTAGACTCCAGGACTTCCGGAGATTTCGAAGCTTCGAGCAGTGGGTTGTCACCCATCGCACGCGGGGCTGGGCCAGGCTCGAGGGCTGTGCCGCTATGGATTCGACTGAGACAGCAATCGACACGACAAGTAGAGTATGTGAGACCCAGAGCGGATACATCTGGTACATTTGTACCTGGAAACACCCCTACTATAGCGGTTGCTGCCGTGTTGATCCGTGCAAGCAAGATCCCATCGGTTGCCCCATCGGTTGGCCTGCTTCGGCGCGCGGCCATCCGGTAGCAACCACCGATTCGGCCTCAACTTCAAGGCCACGCACGACGAGCAGGACATCTCCGATCAGAACAACACCGGGTCTGACGCGCACAGAAACTGCCGCAGCATCCTCCTCCCCATCCCCTTCGTCAACGCCAACTCCAGGCGCAGGCGCAGGGACAACAGCCACCATCTCCTCCACATCAACCGCGGTCAACGCAAACAATAGCAGTAGCGGAATAACGCTGTCTGTCGGCGCCCTTGTCGGAATCGTGGTCGCTTGTGCCGCTGTGGCCGTCATTGCGGCTCTCAGCACCTGCATGTGGTGGTGGGGCCGGTGCCGACAACGGAGAGATAGCATCGCTCCGTCGCTACTAGTAGTAAGCGGGCCGGTCAAGGAGCCCAACCCTTCAGCGCTGGAACCCGTTTTCGACTCGTCTGTGGCTCACAGCATGCCGAGAGGGGTGTCTGACCCAGCGAGCGGTATGGCGCCCTGTTCAAGCCAGCATCACGGCAATACCCAAGGCACTTCCAACCCATCGCACTGGGGGCCAATGGTGGTGGTGGTAAAAGAGGACAGTATGATGAGCTCCCCTCCAGCACGCGGCCTGCACCTGAGCAACCCGAGCAGCGATGCTCACAGCAGCCACGCCAGCTCCCTCGCGCCTGGCAATTCATGGGGAGTGGGAGTGAGTTTAGCGTCAAGTCCATCCGAGCTTGGCTCGGCGGTGGTCCGTCGAGAGATGGAAGGGGGGCAGGCAACGCAGAGTGAGGCGGTTGAGATTGACTCCCGGCCCATTGTGAATGAGGCAGTGGAGTCGCCCAGGGCGACGCTCAGTTCGACACAGCGGGAGCGTGACACCGGCACGTACGCAAACAGCTGGACGAGATTTCAGAATCTGCAGTTGTGAGATCAAAAGTCTGAACTGGTCTCTTGTGTCAAGACGATGCTCCGAGCAAGCTGGTTTGGATTAGTCAGGCGTGAGCCATTACATTAGAAAGAAAGGGTATATTTTCTTATTCCGATGGAGATCAAGAAGATGAAAACAGCAAATGAGAACAAGCACTGACCCAAGTCCGTCTAAGCCATTGTACGCCGTGCCATGCGGAGATGCCCGCTTTCTGCCACCCGTCTCAGATTCCCGAGAGATATATGCGTTGTTATGCACGAATTCCACCTAGCCACCAATCTTGCCCCCGACCGAATCATCTCCCCTGGGGTATATTGTGCGCCTATTGCCCATTCTAAACCGGGCCAGGGCCAACTTCCTCAAGTGCTCATGAGCTTAGCCATCTCGTCCAGAAGCTCTTGAAGATCCTCGTCACTGATCTTGTCGGCTAGCGAGGGTATTAAAGTCTTGCACTCGTCTGCGCTGTCACAACAGAGGGAACCTGACAAAAAAAAGCAATCAGGTCAGCCTACGCACGTTTGACAGGAGAACAAACAAACACCGGGGTGACGAGAGAGAAAGGGAGAGAAAGAGAGAGAGAGAGAGAGAGGTAGAGGTCAAAAAAAAGGCCCACCGATCTGCGCCCTCTCGTATTTCGTGAGCTCTTTGTGCGCACTGAGTAGCCGTTCCACGGCCTCGACATTTTCCTTTTGTTTGAAACGCGCAAACGCGTCGAGGTAGTCGAGTGTCTTGTTCAGGACGTCGGTCTCGTTCCGGTCTTTTCGGTCTTTTCGCCGCTTCGTCATCAGCGCGTTGATGACCAGCGATGCCTCGGACAGCGTCAAAGTGTCCACGTCCTCGAACTCGCCGAGCTTAAGCATCGTGCCGGCTTCCTCCTCGCCCGCCGGTGGCGGCTTGGATCGTGCTGTGGGTGCATGATTTTGGTCCGACATCGCGTTGTTCGTGGCAAATGAACGCGCGGTTTTTGGCGTGCTTATGCTTCTATGAACAAGCTACCTGTGTTGTGTAGGTAGAGTGTTGTTGCGGTAACTGGCGAGTGTGGTTGAGGGAAGATTTGGCTTCCACGTGCGATGTTGCTTCTCAGCGATGCTTAATCAAGGTAGGTAGGAGTAACCTCACAGTGCGGCGCCAAGAGGATGTGACAGTTAAGAGACTGTGCTGCCGCCAGGGGGACAACTCTACGAGCCAAGTTCATGTGGGGTTGATAGCCAAGCCCGTTGACTGCGGGGCTCTGCGGCTCAAAAGATCATCGTGGGGGGCCCAGCCTAACAGCCTTATTAACACGCCTGAGTCTGGAAGGTTGACTTCAACAAAACTGTCCTGGCAATCAGTTCCGCCTGTATTGATCCCCGTATCACCTGCCTAGCGGGCGCAGCCTTAGATCTATGAACAACGTTGTTTTCCCTGTGACGCATAGCATAGACGGCGAGGTATACATTACCTAAGTGCATGACTTCTGCGATGGGGATAACACCCTTGGCTTTGATAAATACGGCGATATGCCACCACTCCACGCTGGAAGAATGCATGCTACCTCTAGCCTGTCTTTGCTATCTTGTCCTGTGCATGCTTTTCCTGGAGACAGCATCTACCGCATGGATCTCATGCCCGACTGAGGTCTTAACAAGGGACCTCCGCCTTAGCCACTGCTCCCAAGTCTTTGCTTGGTTGCCGACATTTCAATTCGTCGTTTCGCCCCTGCTCATGAGCCTGCCTGTTCCTGAACCCAGCTTTGGTCTGCTTCCGATCCCCAATTCTTGCCATTATCGACGCTGCCTCCAAAGGCTTCGCAACAAGCCCCGACAAAAGGCCGACCAGGAACCTTGTGCCATAGCCATACGCCCCTGGGTTCAAGGTTGCCGCAGATAGACAAGGATCCTCCTCAACCTTCACTGCTCTACAGGCATCCTCCTGACATGTTAGCTGCCCGTCTCTACAAGGCAGAAAAAACGAATAGCTAGATATATGCGTTAGCGACACGGAAAATATCAGGGTCTGTTTGGGTAGCGGGGATTTTACATTATTAGTCGCCGCGATCGCAATGCTGTCCTCGAACGGATGCCAACTCATGTGCAGGATTTTCTTGTTGAAGTCGATCTGGTCCGCGTCCGTCTCTTTGCGCATCCTCTGACCCTGACCTGGTGCGGCTGGGCTGCCCCCTCGTGAGCCGTTCTTCTTTCCGTTAGCGGTCGGGCTCGTTGATGAATTGATCGGCGTCGGCACGCCGACTTTCTTCGCCTTGAAAGCCGACTTGTCCGCCTGCAACACGACTTCCACTTCCTTCTCTGGATCTGACGGGTAGATCATGAAGTTGTTGTTGTAGCTTCCCGTCATGACGTTCTTGCCATCACCAGAGAACACCACCTCGAATTTGTCAAAGATGCTATCGTTCTCGTACGTATCGCACAGCCTTGGCCTCAGGTGCTCGTGGATGGGAATTGTCTTGATGGGTTGCCTCTCCATATTCACGTCCCAGATCTTGACCGTCAGGTAGTCGCGCGAAAGGATGTAGCGGCCGTCGTGGGAGAAGCGGACATCTGAGATGGACGAGATGATTTCGGAGAAGAATGACCTCGACGACGGATCTTCCTCCTGTTCGAACACTGTAGGCAGAGAGCTTGTTAGTTGGAGGTTGGGTGGGCGGATTGAACGGAAATACCCACTCTTGGCATGCTGGTCGCACAGAGCGCTCTCCCGCATGTCCGCCAGCTTGATAGTCCCCTTGGAGCTGGCGTACATGAACCAGTTGCAGCTCAAGGGGTGGAACTCGGCCGCCGTAATGACCTCCGTCAACTCTTCCATGTTCGCCGGCTTGATGTCCACAATGTTGAAGCTTTGGTCCTGGATGTTCAGGTTCCACAGATTGATCCGCAGGTCATCACTGCTAATAAAAGTCTCTCCGTCACTGTTCACTGAGATGCTGTTGATGTGATAGGCGTGGGCGTTGGCATAGGTCCGCCGGGGCACAGCGGCAACGACGGTATCATGGTGTGTCAGCCTCGGGAGCTTCAGTTCACTGGCGCTGCGGAATCGAACGTTCGGCATCGGTCGCGGGGCTCCGCCTCCGCCGGCTATGTTTGCCGGTGTAAGATCATGGGAGAGATTGTTCTCCGCCACAACCTTGAGCGATTTCTCAAACACCTTCCATAGTTTGATCGTCTTATCGTTTGTCGACAGGAGATAGTGGGAAGCGTTCTGTCGACGACACCATTTGATCTTGTTGATCTTCTCTTCGATCTCAAGGGACTTGAGGTAGTCAAACTCTGGCTCGTGCGATTGGAACTCGGTATGAAACTTGTATTCGCAGGTCTTTTTCTGTCCAGGGAGTAAGCCAGGGCCGCCGCGGAAAAGGGAACTGGGGGCTCAGGCTCGGGCCCGGGACTAACTGTCTCGTTGCGCTCAAACAGGACAACACGTCCGCCTTTGTCGCCTGTTGCTAGATAGTTGCCGGTGTGATCGAACTCGACAGTGGAGATGATATCAGCTGTGGGCAAACCGCAGTTAGCAAAATCCGATTCGTATGCAGCAACACTCCAAGGCACAGTGACGTTGGATGCTAGGAGGATATCTGATCGTTTCTGACGTAGTGCCATACCCTCTGTTATGTCCTCCACATCACCCTTGTCACCAAAGCATCTAGAATCCGCTGGTTAGTCTGTCGAAGAGACGAGGTGCCATGCATGACCGGGGGGACGTGCAACGGCTCGCGTGCCGAGCACGCGAGCAGTGGCACCCGTTCTCCCGATGCGAGGGTCATACAAAACGACAGGTTGCCGCGGGAAGAATGGGTCAGGGGAAAGGGTGCGTACTGGGTGAACTTCCATGTCGGTACGTTCGCTTCTGTGTCCACCATTTTGATAATCTGAAGGAGCGGCCGATGAGCGGCCCGACTGCTGTCGGTGGATAAGGCGGGCAACGATGTTGCCGGAGCGAGCAGTGAAAGTTGTATGTCCGGGAGTGACGAAAAGGCCCCCGCGGTTCAGATCCGTGTCAAGGCGGGGTTCAAGGACTGTACCGGGGTCCTGGGAGCTGGGCAAAGCTAGCACGATGCTGCCCGTGGGGTAGGGGAATGTGGGTGTCGGGAGAGGCTGCGGCCGAATTGGGGGAGGGTTTGGAGGCTGATGCGAGAGTCGTTGGGAAACAGGGCGCAAGCGACTGTGCCACCTAGACAGACGTTTCCGCAATACCGACCAAAAGAGAAGGCAGAACGAGACTACTAGTATCCCGATCCTTGCAGTAGACTGCGTTGCAAACTCGCGGAGATGACCTCTAAAGCACTGCGTGTGTAGGGCGTACAACCAACTCGGAGATATGGCCGGTAGCTGGAATAAGTAGCGATGGAAACAGGTTGAGCGAGCTTTGAATGACAGAAGTTGGCGTTGGTGTAATGGAGGGTGATGGTGCGTTGTGCCCAAATCGGGCGAAACTGCTTTTGGGGCGGGCCAACCTCAGGCTAGCTTCCTTTCGTAATAATGGGCAAAATCAATCTAGAGCCCGCACGGGCACAGGTGACAGCCAGGTGCGGGTACAAGTATATACATGTATGTATGTATGGGCTGTAATATACGGCATACTCCATACAATTCATTACACTATCAGCCCTGAATTACTTCTATTTGGGACAGCTAGTGTGTACCATACCGTATGAGCGATAAATACTTGCCTCACAACCTAGTAACCCCAATACATGCAAGGACTCGACCGATCTGTCTGTTACTTCTTGTCGCTATTGTGAGCCCCCCCTCGATTCACATCGTGATAAATCACCACCTTGCTGGCCTTCCCCAACAGATGCGTAATCTCATAGCCTATTCCACGCCGCTAGGGAGTGAGATCGCGTCATTGCATCGGTTGTGACCCAACTCTACATGAGGCGATCAGATTAGTGGGCAGCAACGCTCCGGTCTAGATCTCAGCGAAAGCTCATCACACACCCATTGTCTAGTCACATCCGACGTCACCTCCGCTCGTTGACGGCCGAGTCGAGGGTGCTACTCCTGGGCCCTACATGCCCGATCAGCTGCAATCGGTCCTGAGTCGTACTTACAGTTTTGCATGCAGAGTTGACGAGAATGGAAGACGAGGCTTCAAGACAACAAGGTCCTGACTCAAAGGGCAAAGGAAAGGATGATGCCAGATCGAATACGGACCATGGCCTAGACCATGGCGCTGCAGAAAAGAAAGATCCAGGGACATCGCTGCCTTGGATGGCACAGTCAGCAGCCTCCTTTCTGCTATCAGGACCGCCCGGTGCCGTACTTGGAGGCGGGGACGGAAAGGCCGAATCGTCGCGCGCTGGCGAGGCTCTAGCAAGAGCGGGGGAGAGTTCAATTCAGATGCGGTCCAACATCGCCGCCGGCGAGTCCCTGAAAATGGGCCAGACTCAGGAGCACATTGCCCGAGAAGAAGCGTCGTTCGCCGCTTTCCTGGACAGTGGAAACGCACCAATGTTGTCAGAACCAAATGACGACCTAGAAGGCGCTTGGCGGTCGGCCGTCCCTAGTGCTCCAACATCTGGGACCGCAGGGGCAGCGGAACCGTTCACGCGTTCGGTCGCAGAACAGCAGGCGAAGGACGGCGCGGATGTTGTCGCCTTGCTGTCGAGTGACGGCGGCCTCGAGCAGGTGTTTGACAATGCCAACGAACCTGCATCCCAAGGCGATCTAGCGGCGTTGCGCAAGGCGTTGTTCGGTCAAGAGACAGACCAAGGGGAGACCTCGATCCCATGGGACAATGTGCTCAACTTCATCCCGGAGTATCTCCAGTCCCAGACGGCACCGCGGATCACGCCAGCAGACAGTCTCGCCATGCACCTTGGTACTACGGATGCGAACGAGGCGTGGCAGTTATGGGTGACTCAGTGGTCTCGTGTCCTGACGAGCTATCAAGACGAGGTTTGGGGCGATCTGAGCGCGCTCGTTGACGAGGCTCGTGCCGAGGTTCGTCAGATAGAGGAGGTGGAACCAGGCGAACCCCTCCCTGAGCCGAAGGCACTGCTACGGCTACGAGCCATCCTCGGCCACCTACGAGGCGCTCATTAGAATCTAGACGAGACTCTATTTGCCTTCTAATTGCTTCATGGGTGACCTGCCAGCGCACCCCACATCAAGTCACGTACTGTTTGTATTTGATACAGACAAGACATCGGGATGCCCCGCTTGCGTTACATTTTTCACCCCGCCCATGCCCACCAGACCCAAGAGCAGGATGTCTCCGCCGGTTGCTGGGCCAGCGAGTGGATGACATCATCGGGCTGACTTCCGCCCCATGGTTGGTCAACGGACAGCTGCACGACCTAAGCTCTCGGTGGTTTAACCAAGCTGAGTCCGTTGCAGTGCTGTGTTGTCCGAATCCATAACTGGAGCTTTTGCGGGATATATATATATGTACCTAGTAGTTAGGTATGTATGCACCTACATGCCCGCCTTTTGCCGGACGCAATGTTTCGGTGCCACAGGACGACAGTTAAACGCCGCGTCCTTCCTCATCCTGCGTCTTGTGTATATACGCCGTCGTTCCGGCCAATGCAGCTTAATTGACGTGCGTTGCTTTTGTCATTCATATGCTTTTTGTCCTCCACATCGCGATTGCGTGAGAATCGACTGAGTGGTTGGGCGACATTGCCGAGCGATAATGAGGATCAGACGACCGCTCCCCTTTGCGTCGCCGCCCAGTCTGCTCCTCTTAATACTCGCGTGGACGGCTGCAGTCTCCGGCAACCTGCAGCCCTTCCGACCGGTCGAGACAGCGGCTGCCATCGCAAAGCGCCAGGGATGTCTACCAGATTTCTTTAGCTGCGCAGACCAAGGTGCCGCCTTCAGCAATGTCTGCTGCCAAAATGGCCAGAGATGCCAGCTGGACGCCAATAACAACCCAGCTTGCTGCCCTGGAGGGTGAGTACAGAACACATTCGCCCCACTCACCCGCCCTTTTCTCTTCCCCGAGGTGTGTGCTGCCATGCTGACAAGGGATCCAGCGCTGTGTGCACCGGCACCGCACCCGCAAGCTTCGTGACGCCCAGCCCGGCCACCGCCACGGCCGTCTCCTACGTCTCGAACCCCTATTTTTCCTTCCCCTACATCGCCACCTACTTCGCCAACCCGGGCTATTGCTCTGCTGCCGTCAGCCAGTGCAGCGCCAACTATGCGGCTTGCACCTCCCAGCTGGGAGGGCCGAGCGCCGGCGGCGGTTATGCTGTCACCATTGTTGTTCCGGGCGGAGGAGGGACGACCGTCACCGCTGGGGCGAGCGCTACCGTTGGTGTCGCAAGTGCTACGAGTATCTGTGAGCAGACTTTCCGTTTCCCCCTTCTTGCTAAGACATCTGGCTGGTAGCTGGCATTATGCTGAACCTTCCACCGCTTTCAGGCAGCAGTCTGTCCAGCGCGGCCTGCAGTGGCCTTCAGGCTAGCATGTGCACTTTATCTGGGACCTCGGCCAGCGGATTTTACTTCGGCACGGAATCGGGGAATTTCGCGGCCAGGCCAACGGCAGCAGCTGGATGTGCCGGGTTAGTCGGTGCCGTTGCGGCCGGAGTCGCCGGCCTGGGTATCATCATGTGAAGGGAGCTGGGCAGAGTCGCTTGCCCTGTTGATAACCCGCTTTGCTGCACGGAGTTTATGGGTGCTCCGGACGGTCAGAGTAACCAACCCAGCGTTCTAATGCCCATCTGTTTTGCTGCTCCCAATGCTAGTCGAAAATGCATCCCCGATCTCAAACCGTATTTGTCATATGGCACGCTATTGCTATCGCTAGCTATACGACATTCGGATACATTAATGTAGTAGCGGATAGCTAGTGCTATAGCGTAGGTTAGGTTACTGTTCGAAATAACTTTGCATGATTACCGCCATCGGATGCCGTCACCCTTTGCCTCCCAATCTATTCGAGTATCCCTTCGTCCAAACAGATCAGAATATCTACCCAAAAAGGAGCATGTACAAAGTGAGTCGAGTACCTGCCCACCGATACACCCATTTTGCGCGCCGACGCTAAACATCCAAACCAGATGATATGCAAAACACACCAAGACGCCCTGAACTGTACAATCGCAGGAACATGGAGATTACCTGCCGTACCCAGTCTCGTCATGAACTGAACCACCGTGGCTAAGCCGATTTCCGGCGGAGCAACGTAGTTTTGCCCGCTTATCGGTACCAAATTCCCATTAAGCGTAGGAGCTAGACAAGAGTGAACGGAAAAGAAAATAGAGCGGATCATCCACCCATACCGTACCGCCTGAAAGTGGGCGTTGGAATCGGTATAGGGGATCATGCGATCGGGGGGTGATCGACGGTGATAGTCGAATGAGGTATCGAGCCGTCTTAACGTCTCTCGTTAACCACCTCAGCAGAACTGCCGAGTAGGTCCACGTCACGATCAACTCTGTTGATGTTACCTTGGTTGACAAACCCATAGCCGGGCTCGCTGTCACCATGGCCGTCTTGTAGATCGACCTGGATGAAGTCGTCTGTGAGCCCTGCTGACGAGTTCGATAGCCGTTCCTGTGACGGAGTGCGCTCAAATGGCAATCTGGCCAAAGAGGGTGCAAGGGTCGATGGGCGGCCCGACTGCGGTTGCTGCGATTGCTGCGGTTGCTGTGGTGGTGAATCGCGATTTTGGGAGCCATTCCAGGAAATTCGTTTGGAACTCTTCCGTGGGACCTCCGGAACTGGCAGGTCGCTGTCCAAGCCAGACTGTGAGGCTTCTTGTATCGTATCTTTAGCTTCTTTTTCGGAGCTTACGTCCGCCAATAGCGTCCCGACTTGCGGCGTGTTTGTGGCGCCGACTTCGTCCATATCATCGTCGATGGAGCTCCTCTTACTGTTGAGGGGCTCCCGCTCTGGCGATGTCACGTTGGCTGGACGGGTGCCCTTCTTCTTCTGCTTCTTCTGCCGTTCCTCATCCTCGTCGTCCGACTCAATAGGCCCGTTACGCAGCACACCCATCGCCACCGGTATTCCTTGAGGAGGAGCTTCGTCCTCGAAATCAACGCCCCTAGTGCGCATTGCAGGCGGCATCCGCGAACTTCTGACAACCTCGAACCCTTTCCCCTTGTCCTTCCCTTTCTTACCGAACATGCTCCGGAACCAGCCAGCGGCGGAGGCCATAGGCGACGTTGGGTCGGCAGGTCCAGTTCCAAGCTTACGGTTGGGTGCACCCGACTTTAGCCTCTCGCCTCGAACTCTGTAGTAGAAATCAACCTCGCGGGTTGAGTAGTCGGCTTGTGGGGCGAAAGGAACAACGACATAGGGAGCGGGCGTGCCGTCCCTCGATATCTGGGTGCCAAGATCCGCAGGGTCGCCGACGGTACCGGTTCCGGCCATGCTGTGGCGCTTTTGCGTGCCCTCTCCGGTCCGCCATGGCCCAGCCGTCCTAGAGGTGGGTGATGATGAGGTATCCATGGTTGACCGGCGCTGTCTCGGCGGGCGATAGTAAGGATCTGGCGTCTGCAAACCAAAGCCGCCCGGGTGGCGCATGGCTTGTTTGGGAGAGGGCAGGTAGGAGAGCGTGCTGGCGTCGCCGGGGGTGGTTGGTGTGAAGGAGCTCGCACCGCTGTCGAGGTTGCGCGGTGGCATGTCAAGGCTCAAGCTGTCTAGAACAGACGAGCTCCTCTGGCGGCGGTGCATGAGCATCCCAATGCTCCCACCTGATTCGCTCCGAAGACGGCCGCCCGGCATGATGTACCCAGTTCTAGAGACCTCATCAGCATCCAGCATTGCCGAGGTAGACAGCTGGCTGTGCCTGGACGGCCCGTTCTCCCGCCGCGACATGCGTCGCGACAACTGCCGCATCCCAAAGATCTTGGACAGACCACCCCTGGACTGCCCTCGGACATCGTCCCCGCCAGCGCCGAGCATACGGGCAACGACCTCAACAAACGTCTGCACGGCATTGAGGAGGAAGCCAAGGACGAGCACAGCGGCGTGTGTGACAAGGATGGCATAGCCGATCCAGCCTTTAGGGCCGTCCGTCACTCCCAGGGATGGGATGAAGGCCACCATTAGGAGGACCGTGACGAGGCGGATGCCTGAAAAGAGCGTGTGGTAGGCGTTCATGGAGGTGGGAGAGTGGAATGGCCGAAAGGCATGAAGCGTCAGGATCTGTATCACCTCACAGATAGCGAGCAGGACAACCTGGGCTATCCCAGCAGGCTGGACGGCGCCAATGGCGATCCCGCGAACAAAAGTGAGGAGCACCGGAATTAGCGTGAACGCGGCAGCCTCGTCAGAGTAGGTATTGTAAAGCGGGCCATAGTAGAGGAGTGTTGGCAGATCGTCGAACAGAAACGCCCTCGGCTTCGTAGTCGCGATGAGGTAAAGCAGCCAACCGGCGAAAACGATGATGATGACCAACGTGAGAACCGCCAATACGACCGTGTAGGCCGGTGAGCCGCTGGCCACAACCAGCTGGAAGGTCGACAGGGCTACGATCGGGAGCAGGAAATAGTTGAAAACTATCCTGATGACATTTCCAATCGTGAAGGGGAAGTTCTTGGACCGGAGGTCTTCCTCTGGTATCTTCTTCACAAAGCGGTACAGCCATTGGGCCAGGAACCCGGCCTGAACGAGCACAATCATGCCAGCGATGATGGCCAGAAGCCAGACCATCATGCCGGCCCAGATGTCGTCGACGTTGCCCATCCCGGCCAGCTGGGCGAGTGTTTGTAGACCGTAAGGACCGTCGGTCACGTAGATGCCATCGCGCACGCTGATCCATCCCGGTTCGTCGCTCACGAAGCTCTGGTTGAACATGAGGGTTGCCCATGACCCCTGGCTGACGATGGGCTGATAGAATCCCGGGTAGCTGAGCGTTAGACCGCCGGTGAGAACGACAAATTGTATGTACTGCAGACAGTCTCCAAAGCCGGGGGTGACGAGGCGAAGAAGGTCAGGATCCCGGCCATAGTTGGAGCTCCAATGGAAGATGTCAGCGGCGCCCCACGGGCTGTAAATGGCGGCGAAGACAGTGGCGGCGCCCACGAAAATCAGCACGAGCAGCGGCAGATATCTCAGCGTCCAAGCTAGGTCACCCAAATCTGGCGTCACCGAGGTTGAGACGCAGCCTATGTTGGTGCCTCTGGTGTCCCCGTAAATGATGATGAAGGTGGCCGTGAATGACGTAAAGGCGTAGGAGGAATAGAAGTCATGGCTCATGGACACGGACGGCAGTATGTACGGAAGCAGGCTGGGACATGGTGCAGGTCAGCATCGCTAGTCCAATCTGGGTTATGTGGAATGGAACGAGTAGTTCCGGGAGCACTACTACTACTAGTAGTAAGTAGCTGGCAAGCTTACCTTGAGTTGGCCTCCACGAAGACTGGCGCAAGGGGGCACGAGCCATTCACGAGCGATGTGTTGCAAAAGTTTGTATTCTGGCTCCAAGGCTGGTAGTTGAGCACCTCAATCTTGCTATAGAGCGTCGTAAGCTTCGGGTTGGGCACGTTTGGCTCTGGTTCATCCATGATCTTCCCGTCGGTCTTGCTTGGGTCCTTCCAGTCCGGACTCCCCGCCGGCGGCAGCGTAACGTTGGTGAAAGAGCCCGTCACATTCCCCCACATGGTCACACGGAGCGTGTGCTTGGGATCTGTCGCGTCAAACACGGCATCAACCCACTGGGGCACCCATTGCAGCGGCGTCGGGTCGTTGTTGATGTAGGACTCAGACAGGCAGTTTTCGAAGGACACGGCAGCAGCTGCAACGGGCCGCAGCAACGCGGTCAGCACCAGCATCGGCCAGACGAATGCAGCCACCGCCGGAGACCGGGGACGGCAAGATCGGGTGTGTTGTCGTCCAGTAGCATTGGTCAACTCAGCAGCGCATTCTCTCTTCGCGGTAGCAGCGGGCGCGGAAGCTCTAACGCAGTGGGCATAGCCAGAAGACCGGTGGCGCCCTCGGCGGTTGCGCCGGTGGGCACCGCATGGCTCGGGTTCGGAGTCGGAGAACTGCGGACCAGAAACATGGACTGTCGGCATGATGGAGTTTTGGGCCGGAGATGGCAAAGGCGTCGGCGGCCGGCGGACTCGAAACTGCCGGGTAGGCGGAACGAGCGACGGTTGTAGGTGCGACGGGGCGCCAAAGCGTTGGGGCAACAGCACAAAGGCAGCAGCGGCCTACTTGCTGTGCATCTTGGACGAAGCCCCGTGAACCGCAGCGCCTTTCCAGAAACGCTTGCTGGCGAGACCACGAGACGATGGCGGAGAACGAGTGGGATTTGTTTTGGAGGAGGCCTCGATCTCGTATATCAGAAAAGCAGCAAGAGGATGATGGATTGGGGATGGGCGGTGACAGCATGGATGCAGCCCCGTTGCGCTGGCCCACTTGTGGACAGGCTGATCGGCAGTGCCCCCACTGCGCTGGTTGGCTGCAGCATATGGGCTGACTTATTACTACCTAGGCGGTTGACGCACAGGGTTTGTGGCATTCATGCTGCAGAAGCTTCCAGGTTCTGTGAACGGTTACCGAGCCTCGCTGCCAATTCCACCGGTTGATCCAACACGAGCAATTGACGGAACGGAGGCCAGTGCGACATGCCGTTGGACATCTCCGCCGTCATAACCATCATATCCGGAGACTGTTATAGCTACTAAACAAGGAACACGATCTCATCGTGCCAAGTCGTCTCTGTGTCGCGAAAGCCATCGGCCCAATCAGATGCCGTCATCTGTTACGGTATCTGTGTGATTCGGGTCGACCCAACATCCAGTGCCTCTGACGCATGCAGACATGCACAGTACACTAGCAATCTTCAGCGGCACTTTGGAATCTTTGGTACATAGCTTCAACAAGGCGTGTATGCGGCGTGGGAGGAACAGAGCTAGGTCTGTTCCAAGCTTGACCCCAAGCTCGCTGCTCGACTAACAACCAGCAACGGCAAGCTGATACTACTAGTACCTGGTAGCTACTGTAGGTAGTATTTACCAACCTTGCTGGAGGCATTGGACCAACTACTTCAGCTCAAAACCAACTCTTCAACTGCGGCGATGCTGTTTTGCTATGACCGGATGTCTCTATTATCTGAAGTTTAGGGCTTATACGAAACCTTGCTAGGGACGTTCCCACATCAGCTAGCCCAGTACTTGCGTTGAGTTCTCCCTAGCCCACATCTCGAGATGCAGCTAACTCGTATGAGTCGTATTGCATGTGCACTGTATATAGTTGGGGCTATGCTTGTGAGCTGTCAGCAACGAGCTACATGTGCAATAGGTGGGTGTCGACCTCCACAAATCACGCCCCAGTGGGTGCATATGTCCTCAATACGCTATACGTGTAGCCAAGTAAGCAAGTGCGAATAAAGCGAGGGAAAGCCATCCCTCGCCCCTGGCCAAATACAGCAAGCTTCCCTGGGTTTCCATCCCCATCTGCCACAAACGCGGCGCCGGCTTCGCTCACGTTGCCACTGCACGCCCGTGGCTAATGTGGGCTAGGAGAGGTTCAACTAGCTTGGCCTTCTCCTCGGGACTGGTCAAATCCTCAAACGCGCCTCTCAGCTTCCCATCAACGAACCAAGTGTCGAACCGAGAGACTTTGGTAAGCAGCTGTGCCACTCGGTCTACGTTTGCCCTTACTGTTATCAAGAGTGTACATGTCTGTAGTTCGTGTGGAATCGTCTCGAGGGGTAGCTGCTCTGTCTTCGTTCTCCTCGACTTCCTCTGTGGGTTCTGTGTCCCGAGACGTTGTTGCTTGATGAGCTGCGCCCTTGCATCATCTATTGCCGAACCTGGCCACTGCGTCTCTTCATCAGGCCTAGTATCTCTTTCACGGCCGGCGTTGATGCCAGCAGGGCCCCCAAACATGAAATTCCCTTCTTCGGACCACAAACGATGTGCTGCAGCCGAAGCCGAAGTTCTTATGCGCGGGTTCCGACTGACGGGCTCTGACAGCAGCTGGTTGCCGTCAAGTCTAACTCGATCATGGTGCCCTTGCCGCCTGTTGTTCCTATCGAACGATATCTGAGCTTGCACCAGGCCGTCTGAGCGCCTCGCGGGTCGTTGGGCTCGGCGTTCCCCTGAGCTAACTGCGTCGTAGTCGTATTCACGGGGGGAGGACGTCGGCGGGCTCTGCAGGACGTGATTCCGGCGCGACCGGGTTCGGCGGTTCGAGGACCAAGCGGAGCTGGCGGATGCTCGGTGTTGTACGTGGCCAAGAACATCTCGCAGAGACTTGCCTTCAGAAGCCGGATGGTCAAGGACTTGGTGGCTGGGCTGAAATTCCAGTCTGTCACCCGCGCCCGAAGCCCTCGTGGCCAGCGCCGAGGTTCCATCGGTGTCAATGGCCGAGCCGTGCACGGGAAGTTGTAATGGAGCTTGTTGGCGAACCTCCTGTTTCCGCTCGTTGGCCAGCGGGTCGCCTCTCCGGTTGGAGCTGGTTAGCCTGGCGATGGACCATGGGTTTAGGCCTTCTTTTGAAGATTGGCCCTTGATAGCTTCGCTCATGTCATCTTCGGGCCCAGAAGCCGGGACCTCGTCGGCTCCCCGTTGTGGGCTTTGTTCCGCATCAAGGTCACCACTGTTGTCGCCACCGTCCATATCTTCAAGGCTCGAGTACATGTCAACTTTCCACGATGAAACCGTATTCTTAGAGTGTCAGTTGAGCTAGGTGATAGGTACCTAGGGTGAGCTCACCAGTGGCGCTAAAGGACGGCTAGGAGGATTAGCGGACACGGCAGAGGGTGTCTCACACGGTGACCGTTCACAGCCGGCTACGACCGCGGGTACAGATGGACGAGGCGAGTCGCAAGGCTCAGGGACAGGGTAGACAAGCGAGAGAAAGGATTCAAACTGATCAAGAATGCGTTGTTCGTCCTTGAACAGAACATCGTCCTTCGACGGCTCGACGTTGACATCGTAAGTGCCTGGTGGACAGCGGATATTCAACCTGATGAAGGGTTCCCTGGGCACGTCGTCTGAGCGAGACGGGTTGAGAGAGACTCCCATTCTCTTCTTGAAAATGGAGACGAGCTTCTTAGCCGTACCACGCTTTGCAGAAACCGGTCTGGAGTCCACAGAGAGGAAGGCACCTTTGTTAATCTTGTCAGGGTCAGCGCCGGGCCTTGGCAGGAGCGCTTCGCACACCAGCGTGTTGGTAGGGTCCGCGTCTGATTGTGACTCTACGCCAGGAAACGTCCTGAAGGTGCACTGAGACGCGAGTGCGGTGCCGAATAGTTGCATGGCCGCCTCTGTGACACTTCCGCCCGGCACAGGGGCGTAAGACCACGACAGATTTGGACTCTTCAGCACTGTGAATCTCAGCCTCAGCCATGGTCTTGTAAGGGCATAAGACTGTAGTAGTTCCTGCATCTTGGCGAGGTTCCTTGCCGCTTCCTTGACGGCAACCCGTAGTCTAACGGGAAGGCCCTTGAACAGCCCCGTAACGCAGACAATGGTGCCTACTGGAGCAGCAGCATGGCGTTGTGTGCCGATGCCACCCCCTTTTGCGAGGGAGACCACGGCAGCGACGGGCTCGGATGAGACTCTGCTGATCACTGAAACATCCCCCAGGCGGTTGGCACTTGCCAGCGCAACTCCGCGGAATCCAAGCGTGTTCCCACCAAGGTCATTCAGTTCATCAAGGGACCTAAGCTTGCTCGTGTGGCCTGGGCGGCCAAGAAAGTCCAGGTCATCCGGGTGAATACCACGGCCATTATCCCTCACCTCAAGTTTGTCGACCGTGTTTTGGGAGACTAGGATTTCGATGCAGGTGGCTCCGGAATCAATGGCGTTCTCGATGAGTTCCTTAAGCAGGAGCACCGGGCTGGTGATGACAAGGGATGACCCAAGCCGGCGGACGCTATCCTCAGGAAGAGGAGAGATTGGCATGCTGAACTTCGAAACACAATGTCGCAGTAAGAACACCTGAGAGAAAACAACACACTGGAGGATGCTGGAGACGATGAAATCACGCATTCACCATGGCGAGGATTGAGGTACGATCAGAGAGATGTAAACAAATGCTCTGAGTTGGAGAATACCTTACCAACTCCGTCAAAGCACCGGCTGTCCGAGGTGAAGTTCGCACCCCCAGTCACCATGTGACATCCGAGTCTCCTGATATGGAGGACCATGACTTGTCCCACGAAGGGGAGGAAACCAGGTAGGGAAGGAGCTCCCCAGGTGATTGACGTTCAGGGGTTGCAAAAGCCGCTGACTCAGCGATCTGGAAGCATCAAGTTCAGTTGGAAGCTTCGCTCAACATCAACATGGAAAGTGGGGCAGTGTTTTCATCCATTGGAATGCCCCTCACTGTTTGTACTCCGTACCCGGACCTCATTTAGAAGCTATCAACACCCATCATCACCCTGGGAAGTTGAACCCCAACCTCAGCCGGACACACGCTGCACTCTTTTTTAAGCTACTAAGTAGTACCTAGACAACATGCACACCAAAGGCCCCGCCCCGCAGCACCACGATGGCAGCAACCTGCGCATTGGCATCGTCCATGCCCGTTGGAATGACACTATCATTGAGCCTCTGCTCGCCGGCACAAAGGCCAAGCTTCTCGAGTGCGGAGTGAAGGAGGCGAATATTGTGGTGCAGTCGGTCCCTGGCTCATGGGAGCTACCGATTGCCGTTCAGCGGTGCGTCTTCACTCCGCCATTTCCTCCTCCCCATGAACATCATCATACATCACTCCGGCCCGTTGTCCCTTTGGCTTGTTGGCTCGCTTATTATCCCTCCGACGCACACTCTGGAACCACACCAGACCTCCAAACGTGATCGTTTCCACACTAACAACCTTTGTACGATGGACCAAAACAACAGCCTCTATGCGGCCTCCCAAGTACAGTCTTCGTCGGCTGGCAGTGGCGGCTCGGCAGGGGACTTGCTGGGCAGCTCGACCACCGACCTGACAACTCTGTCGGCCACGGCAGCTTCGACGGGGCCATTCGACGCAATCATTGCCATTGGCGTGCTGATTAAGGGCGAGACAATGCATTTTGAATATATTGCTGGAAGCGTCTCGGACGGGTTAATGCGTGTGTCTCTGGACACCGGCATACCTGTCATCTTTGGCGTTCTTACTGTTTTGAATGATGAGCAGGCCAAGGCTAGGGCGGGCATCACCCCGGGAAGTCACAACCATGGCGAGGACTGGGGCCTGGCGGCTGTTGAGATGGGCGCGAAACGGAAGGCCTGGGCAGCCGGCATCATCGAATAGAGTGGGATTCCACCTGGCGTCGAATGTTAAAGCAGTTTCTTCCCTGGGAATTCAAGAATTACTGTGAGGGGGGCTTCACCCTCCAGGGTTACCCAAGAAAAGGACCGGCTCTTGTATATTGGTATTACCACCTAGATTAGCGCGTGTTATGTCTATCATGCATCCTCTGGCGGGCCGACCAGCAGAACAGGATACCAGGCTCGTCTCCGCCACAGCCATCGGATATCGTCCTGTGCGACTGGCGCCCCTGACCACGTACAGAATATACAAACGCGAAGAGACCCTTGCTTCGGCTATACCCAAAAAATCCCACTCCCCCCCTCCAAAAAAAGAAAGTCCGTACATCCCTTCATTGCCCTCGAAACCCTCTCGTCCGACATTAGTGTTATCGACTTGACATTATCAGTTGATGAGTGCTCCAATATCGTCACTGATCGACTTTTTGGATTTCCATAGCGACTTCTTCTTCTCGCGCTTCGCTTTCATGGCTTCCCAGCCTTCTTCGTCATCGTCATCCGAGGTGCTACCCGACTTGGGCGCTGAGTGGCTGGATTGTGGGATGGCTCCGGACATAGTCGAAGAGGTCCGTAAATGCGACGGTCCGGTCGTTTGAGGGGGCGGTACGTGCGACACAGGACGGTACCGACCCGGAAGGCCGATGTTGCTGCGCTCCGACGGTGCAATAGACGGCGCATAACCCCCGCCTATAATACGAATCGAAGGTGCGAACCCGCCAGGCTGTGGCGGTTGTATCCAAGACGCGGAACTGGGTTGAACCATGCTCATGGTGCGCATCTGTGCCTCGCCACGACCATAGGGCACATCAAGCATTGACTCATTACCAACGAATGAGCGCCGCATTTCAGGCCCTCCCAAGCCCTGCATACTCGCGCTCGGAGTCAGACCGCCCACGGTACTAAGACTCCCAACGGATGGCGACGTCAAGTGCCCACGAGCCGTAGCCGAAGGATTGGAATTCTGGCCAGCCATCATGTTCATGAACTGCATCTGCATCTGCATGAACTGCTGCATCTGCTGGGTCATCTGGAGCTGGGCCTGGTCGCCCGGTGACAGCGCTGGCGGATTTGGATGCGCGGAATACATCAAGTGTGAAGGGATACCGGCGATCGGGTCAAAACCAGCCGTTCCAGGTAACGAGCCTGATCCATCCAGGTGCGGGCTGCCTCTCCTCATCGCGCGGTTACGCTCCTCATTGGCAATCACTCCAATGAGACCGCCTGGAGGGGCTGCTGCATGCCCCGGGGCAGCGGCGCCGCCCCCGAGAGAAAAGCTCTCCCGCACAGAATTGCGGACGAGGCCTGCGCCGACGAAGGGGTCTCTTGGCAGGTTCCTAGCGAAGGCGGGAAGCTGCGGGTTACCCGCGCCAGGCGTATCTCCAATGGCCGACATTGGCCGCTGAAAACTCGGCTGCTGGGAGGCCCGCAGGTTGGGGTTCGATGCCATGGGACTCAGACGGTTTGGTGGACGCGCCCTATTTGGGAAACCGTGTGCGGCGAGGATGGCTAGCGGGATTTCCTCGTCTTCGTCAGAATTCTCGGATGTATTGGCTGTGCCGGCCGGAGGGTTGGCAGTAGGCAGATCCGGAGTGCTGAATGACATCTGCAAACTCGGCCTCGAGGACGGACCGCTAGCAGATTCTCCAGTGACCTTCATCATCTGCTGCCGATACACTGCCATGTGAGCTTCCTGCTTCCGCCTCTGCTTCGCCTGCTGCTTGGCTTTCTCGGCTTCATCCTCGTCGTCCTCGTAGTTCACCTCGTCCTCGTCCGCATTCTTTGTACCGCCGCCTGCGAGCAATTCCCGTTCCCTGTCTTGGCGCTCCTTGTCCTTCCGATATCTCTCAAACTCAGCCGGGGTCATGACTTTGCTACTTCCTGCGGGGTTGCTGTGTTGCCGGGCGGTTTGGCGGTTGCCGTACTTGAACGACTGCATGTTGCCTGAGTCAAACAGGGTGTCGTCGTCTTCATTCCTCCGATACCCGGAACCCGATTGGTTGTCTGCCGACGCGGACTCGCCCCCTTCAGTTATGAACATGGTCACAGTGGACAACGAATCTTTCAGCAGTCTCGCTTCCTCGTCCTCCCCGTCCTCTTGCTCACTGCTGTGCTTTTCCGGTGCGAGCAATGGTCTTCTGGGTCCTACTTCTGGCGACGTACCCGGCCTCTGCCTTTCGAGCAGAGGTGAAGTGTGGCGAGGAGGTGGAGGAGGGGAGTGTTCCTGTTTCTTGGGCGAAAGCGTGGGGCTGGAGTGTCCGATAAGCTGGTCGTGGGAGTGCTGACTGCCCCACGAGTGCGGAGAAGGCTCAACTTTCGCTGCGTTGTCAATTTGAATCGGAGTTGGCTGGATCGTACGGGCTCCCGTAAGAGATCTAGGGGCGGCCGCGTGGGCCGTATACTGGTCGTTCCTCAGAGTTGCCGCACTCGCTCGCTTGTCGTTTCCCAGCACCAACTTGCCAAAATCCCCGCCTAAATCCAAGTTTAAATCATCATCCAGCCTAGGAGGAGTCACCGTGGCCGAGGTCGAGGAGGTAGGTGCTCTTGGCCGCCCGTTCGTAGGCGTTTGCATTCGGGCCACAGGAGGGCTCGGTGGTGGCGACTCGTCTATCCTGGGCGCAGTAGGAAGAGACTTCTTTTGTCCACCAAACGAGAAGGTACGTCCGGCAGCGTTCAGAAATCCGCGCGACGACTTCGGAATCGGAGGCACTGGGATGTCAGTTGACGACTTCCTCTGAGCACCGCGCCATTCATCGGAACCCCCAGTATCGGCAGAGGACGGAGCGGTCGAGGCATTGCTATGACGGGACGAGTTGTCGGTCAGAGTAGTCTTGGTTGTATTCGAAGACCCGCTCCCGCTGCAGGCTGTCAGTAAGCAGTATCCAAGACCGGCACGGCCCTACCGAAAGCAGCATGGCACTCACCGGTTCGACTTGATATCCGCAAATAGGTTATCGTCGAGTGTCACGTCAGAGCCGGTCGACTTGTGGTAGGCATGGGTCGCCGCGGCAAGCCTCACGCCGCCATCAAATGCCTTACTCCCAACAACGTCGGTGCGCTCGAGGACGCGAAAGGAGGGACCAGTCACCGCAGCATTTTCCAGGTTGTCAGCGGTCGATTTCCGCCTGCCGAACGCAACCGAAAATCTAGGCATGTAGAACACGGCCCGGCCAGGCTACTCCCTGGAAAGACTATGTGTCGAGAAACCGGCCACAAGGACAGGTTTCGCAGAGGCGGAAACGGGCTGTCTGTTGTAATGCGAGACAGCGGCCAGAATACGCTTCAAGAGGGTGGATTGTCAAACCCTACAGCTGTTGCCTGGGTCTCTCTCTCGGGATGAAACTCTAACTATGCGGAAGAAAGAGATTGGGTCAGCTGGAAGGTGGTCAGATGAATGTTTATTCCAACAGAAGCATTAGCAAGAGTGGGGCAGCCCGTCATCCGGTAGGGGATGATGAGATTGGCACTTCCCAACCTGGGATTGCCCAGCGGCTCAGCCGATTGCAAAGGGCCAAGTAGGAGGCAGGATGTGTGGCCGATTTGCAGAGCCCGATCTGGGGATTTCCTGAAGTGCGCAGTCGTCGTCTGCAACACGATTGCAGGTTGCCGAGCGACTGTCGCCAACCAGGAATTCCTGTACATACACGGCATTCCTCGGAAGCGCCGAAAACAGTGTCCAGTTCCACACAACCAATGGCTCGGGACACCGAGACAAGGAGAAATTTTGTTGCTGATGAGGTGAAAGCCCGCAAGGGGCGAAAGATTTGCACTTACCAAGCTAGGTGGGAGGAGCCAGACACAACGTCTGCTACCGATTGACGGGACTCTGTAGAAGCCCAGTTGATGTGTTTCTGATCCGGAAACTAGTCGTGACAGCGCCGTGGGAGAGTGTGACACCCCAACGTGCGGGAAATCGCCGGAAGCAGAGCACCCGTATCAAAAGGTGCAACGTGGTGGTGTACGTGCAATGAAACCGGGGCGGCAGGACCGGAGTAACGCCTAGAGTCTCGCAAGACGCCGAGAGCACGGGAGAGAGAAGGGTTTGTCTTTACAGGATATGGAAGAGACAAATGTGACAAGTTGAAGGCGACGAGATTTGGGGACGGTGACTGCGATGGCAATGGCGATGGGGAGGGAAGGAAGACGCCGACGACGAGGACGACGCAGGTGGGATCACCCAGGAACGAGAAGAGACAGCTCGGCGGTTGGCTGCGAATTATTTTTATTTTCCTTGGCCTAGCGTCGCACCTGAGCACAACACGACCCGGTGGGGAGTGGGGGGAGAGCCTGGAAAAGGCGCTATCCAAAGACGGAAGAGACAAAGCAATTGGCGAGAATCGCGCCTTCTTGTTGGTAGGTAGCGGGTCCCCCGGGCTTCCGTACCCCTGTTGCCCAGCTTCCATCATCGGCGCCAGTCCGCAACCTCAGCACCGAATGGACATAGCAAAAACCACGACAACCTCAGCAGAGGCCTCGGCGTCGCTAACTCCTATATACCACAGCGAGACACGCATGGTTTGCACGCGATATGCTCAGCAGAGCAGAAAGAGGCCTCGCGATGCCCGTTTACCTACTAACCTACCTACCTGGATACCTCAGTCTGTTAGATGTCAGAGGCCGAGGAAGTTGTCAACCGTGCCGTCAGGGGCAGGTCGCCTAGAGTATAGGTACGTAACGTTATACGTATAACATACAATCATACATATAATATTGTATTGTACTATAGGGCGGCAGCGCCGCGACTCGGACAAGGCCTGCACCAAGGATCGGCGAGGTCCACCCCTTCTTACCTTTGCCGGAGACGGTAATCTTGTATTAAACGATAGTGTTACTCTAAGCGACGTCACGAACGGCAGTTTCGGGGGCCCTTTGGTATGTAGGGTCGGTACTGTATGGGTGGCTCTGATGGTGGTTCTGGGAACCAGAGAAGTGTGTCATAACCTTGACGTAGCCTGCCCTTGGGGGAATCATTGTTTTGGTTGTGGAAAGACGTTGGTCGAAATGCGATAAACATTCTATCGAAACACTGCCCAGTGGGCGGTTGAACCGGCTCGGCCCAGGGGAAAGCTGGATGCGACGGGAGTCCAGATCGGAAAAGATCCCGTCGCAGGCCCACCTCAGCCCCCGAAACCGAAGCCAGAACCAGCTCAAATGTTGCTGTTGGGTCATTCATGCATCTTCTGAGGCAATTCGCTTCCCATCGAGCTTCCGATCAGTTTCTAGTCTACATGGAGCCATTTCACGATGCATGGACTGCGTATATACCTACTACGTGAAGTACGGATAGGTACCTACTCGTAGTTCGTTGATTGCTCTGTACTGTACCGTTGGGCGAAGAGGCACCTCAGGCTAGGTACCTTGCTCTGGCGCAGGTCATCCTTGGCTTCGTGCTTCACAGGGCCGCATGCATGTGAGGCGGAATACCTATGGAGGAACCACAGGGGATTCTTCATGTTCCCAACTGGTCAAGCACCAGCTGGGCCTTGCGAGATCCAGGTTACACCACTTGTTGGATCCGGTACATCCCTATGAGAAATGGCTTGGAATATGATTGTACACTGATTGTTTTCTCAGTCGGGTTCACGTATTCTCCGCCCCGCTGTTGGGTTGTCATGCTCGTGGAGTTTTGGCCAAATTCAATTATGGAACTGTGGAGTTTAAGTTTGTTTGAAGGTCACCAGAGCTGAACTCGTATAGGATTAACGACAAGCAAAAGTGAAGCAAAAGTGAAAATACGAGTGGATCGGCTCCCACCCAGCGTGCCGTTTGCAGGGTCATGTTTGTCATGATTTGGTGGTGGCCTGGATGCGAGTATGGATATATCCATAATGCGTACGGATTACTGACCTCATACCGTTACATATATAATGCGAGAGGCTATGAAGTACCTACGGAACGACTCTGCGTGGTATACAAAGGGATCCCGCTCAATACATACAGCACTGTGTTGTACATCCTTGGGACAGTAGAGTTGTTGGCTGAAGGGAAGTCTTCATGGATGGGCAGTGCCCTGTTTCAACCGCCCGCTGTTTCAAAACGCTAAATGTGTCAGAGCCGGCTGATGCGGGTGGCGGGGAGGGGCCCCGATGATCGCCGTGCGCCGTGCGCCGTCGAAAGCGGAGCTCTGCCGGGACCCGTCACGTTGGGAGGAAGGAAGGATGCACGAAGACGGGAACGGGGAACGGGGGACGATAGATGTGAAGCTGCCTGCATCGTCTCCGGGTATGCATCGGGACCCGCCAGCGCCAAGTCCGCCTCGAGGTTTCAAGGGCGAAAAGGTGCCCGGGCGAGTCGCAACGCTGCGTCAAGTTATCAACATGGCTGACTCGGGGACGGGCAAAAATGGTACAGCTTAGTGCTAAGGTAGTAGAAGTTCTGCAAGATTTGCTACACAGTACGGATCCGTAGAGTTCGGACCGACGGCGCCAACGACTGATAAATGACGACAGCAGGTTTATCCAAAGCCAAGCGGATCTTCTGTTTGACGCATGGTTCTGACGCTTCCGGCAATTTTTGAGTTTATACTACAGACTACTAGTACCTAGGAAGCAGCTCAATTAATTACCTACTCTGCAAGCTCAAAGACGCCTTCTATCAGCCACAGATGATTTACGAATCCCGACGCAACCCCCCCTCGCCCGTTTCCTTTCGGCAGGCAACGCGCGCGGATCCAGAGCTCGCAGCCATGAGTTCGCCCACCGTGCCGCGGGGCGCGTTCCTCCTTCTCCAGGACGAGCCGCCTCTCGCGCCCAAGGGCCATGGCGCGCTGGCGTCTTTGATTCGGCACCGCGGGCGCGAGGAGGAGGAAGCGGCCGGCGACGGGGGCGAGGACGAGCTGTCGTTGCGCCGGGGTGAGCGCCGCATGAGCGCCATCCTCAACAGCTCGCACATGCGCAGCATGCGCCTGATCGGGAACAGTAACCCGCGCTACCGCTGGGAGCGTTACTGGAAGACCGAGGCCGAGCTAGCTGCCATGCCCAAGCACATCCGCAAATACTATGAGCGTGTCAACTACCTGGTCCAGCAGTACTTGTACATCGACAAGCTGCTGGACTCCTCTCTGCCCCACGACCTGCTCAACGAGTACAACAACATGCCGGCATCGGCCTTCCGGGGCGTCGAGATTCCCGCCACCATCATGGAGACGTCGTGTGCGGCCGCCGGAGAACCCGCGCGCAAGGTCAGACGGACGCCCAAGGCCATCTATCGCCCGACCGAAACCACGCCTCTGATCTCAGCCGGCGGCGGGGCGGCTAACTGTGGCGCCATCACCGACGGCGGCGGGGACAACGACTACGACGACGCGGACGGGGACGGGGACGGGGACCTCGAGGCGGGCCCTGTTGAACCCGAGATCCCCTGGCTTGAGGACGACGTGGTCGACAGCGACGCGCCCATCGTCACGCTTGCCATCTACATCAACTTTGCTGCCAACGCGATTCTGCTGGCCGGCAAGATCGCCGTCATCATCTCGGTGCCGTCTGTCTCGGTGCTGGCCAGCTTGGTCGATGCACTGCTCGACTTCCTGTCGACCGTCATCGTGTGGGTCACCACGCTGCTGATCCGCAAACAGGACCAGTACCGCTACCCCGTCGGCAGGAGGAGGTTGGAGCCGCTGGGCGTGCTCGTCTTCTCCGTCATCATGATCACCTCGTTCGTCCAAGTCGCGCTCGAGGCCATCCAGCGGCTTGCCTCGCCCGACCACGGAATCATCAAACTCGGAATCCCGGCCATATCCATCATGCTTGGCACCATCGTGGTCAAGGGCCTGTGCTGGCTGTGGTGCCGTCTCGTCAACAACTCGAGCGTCCAAGCCTTGGCTGCCGATGCGAGCACCGATGTCATATTCAACGCCGGGTCCATAGCCTTCCCCATAGTTGGTTTCTATGCCGGGATATGGTGGCTTGATGCGCTCGGTGGCCTGATCCTGTCCCTGATCGTCATCTTCAACTGGTCGCAAACCTCGTTCGAGCACATCCGGCACCTCTCTGGCTTCTCGGCCACCGCCGACCAAAGAAACATCCGTGCGTCACATCCTCAAACCTTGCCGTTCTTGCACCCCCTCCTCCCTACCTTGTACCTTGTACCTATCTGACTGCACAGTGTATATGACTGACTGGCCGCATGCAGTGCTCTACCTGACGATGCGATTTGCCAAGACCATCAAGCAGATCCAGGGGCTGCAGGCCTACCACGCCGGCGACAAGCTGATCGTCGAGGTGGACATAGTCCTGGACGCCAGCACCCCGCTCAAAGACAGCCACGACCTGAGTGAGAGTCTGCAATACGTGCTCGAATCGGTGCCCATCGTCGACAGAGCCTTCGTGCACGTCGACTATGCCACCTACAATCTGCCGACTCACATGGATCAGCAGAACACATAGCACCTTGGGACTGCTATGACTGTACATGCTGTAACTAAACCAGTTTTGGACATGCGTTGGGCTGGAATGTCGTGGCCAGCCTGATGGTGAGCGGCAACGGATTTCTTCAGGGCTCATGAGGTCGCGCACTGAGCGCTGGAACGAATTCCCCTACGCTGTGAGTTTATGGCATTGCGCGCCACCGCATTTGCTGAGGAGATGGGGGCACGCTGTTTTGCACAGAGAAAAACCAATGAGGCATCAGGGGCTGCCAAAATCAGCCGAGGAAAACCAAAAGAAGGAGGCAGGCACGGTAGGCAGACACGATAGGCAGCCGTGATGGCCCCATGCACCGTCGACATAGGCGAGGACGGTCAACGCATATCCCCGTCTGGTTCCAGATAGCCTGGCAAGAAAAGATCCTGAGAGAGATGGGCTTCGTGTTCTCTGTCCAACAGGCGGCAATCTTCGACCCGCCAAGGGCTAGAGTCCTAGACCACAATCATAGCGGGGAAAGAAATCGACCAAATAAATGTATTACCGAATGTTTCCTAATGTCTACTTATATCTATATAGAATGTTGGAAAGCTACCTGGCGCATTACACTGCTAATCTAAAAAAAAGGACCTGCTGGGTTTCGGGAAAAGGAATATGAAACTCGCAAGCGCACATCAATACGGAATGCCGTTCGTCAGGAGCTGGAACTGGTCGTAAATGCCGGTCGAGTAGCTCCCGTAGCTCCGCTTGATGAGCCCCTTCATGAACTCGGCGGCCTCGCGCTCCGTCTTCTCCAGGACGAAGCGCTCCTTGAAGTACTTGACGCTTTCCGGCTTGAAGCAGGGCAGGCCGCTGTCCATCATGAGCAAGACGATCTGCGACAGCTTCTCGGTGTACTGCCGCGAGGCGAGGAACGCCTTGACGCAGAGCTCCTCGAACCACTTGAAGGCTTGGTGGTCCGGGCTGCCGCCCATCACGGCCACCATCTCCGACGTGAGCTTGAACGGGGCCCGCTCGAACTTGATGCCGCCGGGCGCGATGTCGAAGCAGAAGCCGAAGTCGATGTGGAGGATGTGCCCGGCATCGTCGATCATGATGTTGCCGTTGTGCCGATCCTTGAACTGGAGTAGGAACGAGATGACCGAGTAGGCGGCCATGCTCTTGACGAAGTTGTTCCGCGCCTGCTGGAAGCGCAGCGAGTCCTCGTTGCCGTACTTGGAGACGAAGTAGTCGTACAGCCCATTGACGGCCTCGCGGCCGAGCATGTCACGCGAGATGGAGTTGGGGAGGACGTCGATGACGCCGCAACCGGGCGCCGTCGCCGTGACGCGGTACGGGAACACATAGACGTCGAGACCGACACTGTGGAAGATGCCGCGGAAGGCCGCAATCATCTGCAGCGCGAGCACGTCTTGGCGACAGTCATCGCCCACCTTGAAGATGGCTGACTGCCAGACCTCGACCGTGTCGGTTGTCTGCGCCGCGTCGGGCCCGTTCTTGTGGCCCTTGCGGCCCTTGCTGCCGTCCTCGAGCAGCTCCTCCTCGGCTTCCTCGAGCCCGCTCTTGTTCTTCTTGATGCGGAACGTGGCCATGAACGGTGCCTTGGCGTGGCTCTGCAGCGGTTTGCCCGACTGGCGATCGATGCCGATGACCACCCCGTCGGGGTTGCTTGGCAGATACACGCCGACGTCGACCTTGATCTTCCGGAGCTCCTCCTCGATCTTTTGCTTCTTCTCGGGCTTGGGGCGCTTAATCAGGGGCTTGAGCTTCCCCGAGATGCTCGTTACCTCATCGAAGAAGGCAAACTCGCGCTCATAGAAGTCGCGGTCGACGGCGGAGAAGCTGTCAATCATGTGGCCCATGACCTTGTCGAGCGTTGGCTTGATGGCATCAGGCTGATAATGGGCAGGCAGTGTCAGCATCTATCACCAGCTCGCGGGTATCGCCAAGGAGACGATCGGCTTACAATCTGGGAATCGTCGTCCTTGTAGGCGTTTGCCTTCATGTTCCAGATGATCTGGTGAGCGAAAAGCTGCGAGAACTGGGCCGTCTCGAGGATGTATCGCTCGACATAGCCCAGCGCGTCGTATCGAAGCGTCTGGACGATCTGAGGGACGTAAAAGAACGTCACGTCGATTGAGTGGCTCTCCAATGCTCTCATGGCATATTGGATCAGATAAGGATGGTTGCGGTATGCCGGCAAGAACAGCGTCACGGCCGTGATTGGGTTGACCGGCGCCCAGAAGAGCAAGTACTAGGTAGTCAGCCCAGTCAGCGCGAGAAGGAGGCGAGAAGTATGGTCAGCGTCACGGGTTCGGGATTCGCGGGGCCTTACCTTGAGCTGGAAGCTGACATCGTCGGGTAGCGCGCCGTCGATGAGGATAGGGAGAGCCTCGGCTTCCCGGGCGGCTTTAGCAGGGAAGTTCAACAAGAGCCAGCGGACCTCCTTCTGAACCCGCGGATACGGGAATCTGCTTGCCAGGTGCACAGCCAAGGACGGGCTCTCGGCCCAAGCCGTCCGGACCAGGGGCTGGATCGCGGCCTGTAGAATCACCCCCCCGAGGGTAAGCAATCGGTCAGGTACATACAAAATGACGGCAATGGGGAAGGAAAAGGGGCGTATGCCGTACCTCAAACGGGCTCTCCTTCCCTCCATAGTGGAAGTTCGATTGAGATCTTGCCCCATCGACCGGACGAACCCACACCTGCAGCCTCAGCTGTTCGCTTTCCAAGAGCAAAACAAGCAGCTTCTCCCTGGGAGCAAGCGGCTTGGCTGAGCCCACAGGTTGCGCACCGATGCTGGCTGTTTCGCGCAAGGCTGTCATGACATCCTCGACCAAACGGATCTCGGTCTTGAGCTGCAGAATATTACTTCCGAAGGACCAGCGCGGCGGAGCGTTGAACCAGCCAAGACCCGCAGACAGTATCTGATCCTTGAGACGGTGTTGCGCCACGGCACCCATTGTCGAGCTCGTCTTGAGGACCTTGAGGCCAAAGAGTATCGCTTGGAACCGGATTTCTCTGGCCATGGGATGGGGCGTCGCGTTCTTGATCGCCTCCAGCGTGACGTCAAGCAGTCGGAGGAAAAGGTGATGCGTGTCGGGGCTTCCGAGGCGCGTCGCATTGTAGTGGCTGCTCAGGAACTGGAGGAGATTGGAGTGAGGCGCCAGCAGGTTGTGGACGAGCTGCTTACGCTTCGCAAGAGCCGCGCTGTCGCTGGGGGCAAACTCTTGCCGGAGAAGGAAGGGGTCGGGACTGGTGATGGAGGGGCTGAATAGACCCTGCCGTTTGTGTATGCTGGATTCCCAGCGCTGCACAATCTCGGCCAGGATGCGCGGCTCCATCCGCGGGTTTTCGTTCATGACGCCGAGCCAGAGGGAGATGCCGAGCTTGATCGACTGCTTTGTGAACATGGCAAACGGTATACTGACGAGATAGCGGACGATGGGGCACTCGTCATGGTCGCTCCGGCACAGGAGGGCGGCAGCGCGCCGGAGAATCTCTCTCACGTCCGCGAGCGACGCCGTCTTCCCGCCGAGGATGCGCTGCTCGATGTGGGAGAGCGCCGTCAATGCATCGCCGCTCTCACCGCCGGGCGCCGCGAGAAACGACGCCCGGGAGTCTAGGCGCATGAAGCTGAGCCATTCTCGGCTCTGGTCAGGGAGAGCCTCCGAGTAGCGATACTCCTGCCGCGTCGTGTACTGGGCCATGAAGTTGGACGCCGTGTTGATGGGGCAGTCCCCGAGCATGTCCAACGACGACAGTCTCTGATCCGTCGCCGGGATCGTCGACCCGATCTCGACAGCGAACGACCGGCCTAGAGACATGTGGCCGAAGCTGCTCTCGTCGTCGAACTCGGACAGGTATGTCTGCAAGAGGCCTTTCACGTCCGCCGGTGCAATATTGATGGCCCGCGTCAGCCAGAGCTTCGCCTTCTTGTGCAGGTTCTCCAGCGTCAGCTGCCGGAACTGGTAGTCGTCCGAGAGCTCGACCACAACCTCTCCCCTTTGCGACCGGAAGGTGGTTCTCGGCTCGTACCGGTCCGTCTCTGCTTCCAGGCAGCTCGTCCACATCAGCGAGAGAAGCTCGAGCAGCGTGAAGAGAGACGATCGCTGGCACAGGGCAGAAGGGACCAACTCGACCAGGCGGTCCGCGCAGACGAACGCGGCCTGCTGCACCCGCTCAATGCGGTGGCAGCAAGCACAGAATATCCTCGCAAGCTGTGCTGCCGCATACGGAGCGGAGAAGGCAGGGTTGGCAGCGTTCACGGCTTTGTACAAGTACCGGTCCATCACCGCGTTCGTGACAGCGTCCATGGTGCGGCTCAGATCGCCTCGCCGCATGCTGGGCTCAAGGAAATATGACAATGCCTTGGTGCAGTCACCGGCGTCCGCCCGCAGGCTCTCGACTAGACAGGCAGCTTGGAGGAAAATAGTCTTGCGGTAGCTGAGTCCCCTGATTTCGCCGCTTCGCGTCGGTATCAGTTCCGCGAGCAGCTTCTTCTGCAGGGACTCCCGTTCGGAGCTCTCGCCTCTGCGGAGGATCGGGTTCAGATCGATGTCACTCTCGTTTTCCTCCCCCCGGTTCTCCGAGACCAGCGGCGGAGAGTGGATGGCCATGATGCGGAGGTACTTGAGGTTCTGCTTCCCCCGGTCCGTGGACGGAGTGAACCCGTGGACGACGATGTTGAACCATGCATCGCGGATCATCGCGCGGGTGTCGTCGTCGGAGGCCTCGTCGAACGTCTGAGGGTTGCAAGACATGAAGAGGGCAAGCGGGGGAAGCAATTGGGCGATCTCTCGCGCAGCCAGTTCTACGTCCGATTCCTTGGCATGCCGGCTCTGGCTGGCGTGGACATCCCCTTGCGATATGATGCCATCCAGCAAGTGTTCCAGGTAGATGTTCAATAGCAGGGACTCTCGCTGGATATGAGCAGAGATATGATTTCGTGCCTTCATAACCTGGGTCCCCGGGGTTAGCATAGTGAACGCGACATGCAAGCAGATACCTCATGAAATCCAACTTACGGCTTGCAAGATCCCATCTTTGTTGTCCGCCACGGCATCATGCACAACGGCGGTGTACCTCTTGAGGAGATAGCGGAACTCGGACTGCCCACCGCTGAGGGACAGGGAGGCAGCGCCAGTGATGATCCGCCCATCAAGAGGGCTGCTAAGCTTGACGATCTTCTGCGCGAGCATTGACTGTGCGAGGCCCGTGATCTTCTCGTCTTTTGCGGCGCTCGCGATCTCGCAGATGGCTTGCACCACGTTACCCTGGGCCACGGACGACTCCTCTTCGCCGGATACCTGCAGGGAGATGGAGCTGCCGGTTGAGTGCCGGTTCCCGTAGACGTGCGAGGGATCTTGTCCATCGGGCGCGCCGGCGCCGTCACCAAGTTGCCGGTCACTCGCCGAGCCGAGTACATTGCCGAGAGTGTAGAGAGTGGTGATCACGTCATCCTTGGAAAGCATCTGCAACACAAAGGCGAGGGACTTAGAGGCCACCGCAACCATCTGACTCTTGGCACCGCTCTGGACTATGAAGCGCGGGAGTAGCCGGCTCACGTTGATGGCGTACGAGGGAGAGACCCTGCAGAGCAAGGCCAGGGACTTGAGGACGGCAGGGCCAAGTTCCTCGTCGGCCATGCCAGCGGCATCGGCCAGTGCGTCCTCGAGCCAGGCCATCAGGACTTCGCCGTCGGCGGCATCGTCGTTCAGAGTGCACGCGTTGAGATAGCTGATCAGGGCACAGGCCTTGACGGAGAAAGCCAGCCGCTGTTTGGCCGGCGAGAGACTGTCAAAGTCGGCGCTCGATTCCAGGTCGTTCATCTGGTCGATGGCGACGGAAGCATACAGCTCGACCGAGCGGAAGTCTGCCTCAGCACTACGGGCAGTCAGCGGTCGACGCAAGCCATTTCCCGACATGATGATGTCGAGAACATGGGACTCGCGAAGGCCGTCCTCTTCGGCAACCAGCAGCGACGAGGCAGCCACCAGCAGCCTCATGAAGCTCCGCTGGAGCAGCATGGCCCCCAGCGGGCGGTCGATGTCCTCATAATGGCGCACCCATCGTTTCCACTCTTTGACCTGGCGGTCGTGCGAGTGGGCGTTCCGAATGGTCGAGAAGGCTGCCTCGACGGCGACGAGAAAGGGTTGCGAGAGCAGGTCCCGCACACGCATCACCAGACCGAGACGACCCCCTGATTTCCAGAAATCTGCCTGGGCACAAGCGGCATCCAAGAAGCCCAAGAGGGCAACAGCAATGGTGGCAGTGTGGATGGCATCCTCCACAGCCTCTGGGTCCTCATCATTGACCTGCGAGACGCTCTCGGTGGCGTGTACACACGCACTAAGGAAAGCGGCAATGCTGTCGGACACGGTCTGCTGCACATCTGTGTGGTGTTTTCCCAAAGAGAGTAGGGCAGCGGTGACATGGAAGCTCAAGGACTCGGTCGGAGACGGCTCGATTCTGCGAAAGAAGGGCGAAGGATCAAAGGCTTGGATATGGACGTCCGTGATATAGGGGACTAGATGTCGGGCCAGCTTCTGGGCGCTCTGGTGGCTCCTTAGGGACGGCGCTGCTCTGCAGAGCGAGAGGAGGATCTCGTACTCGCGGATCGTCTACGTGCGCATGGACAGAGTCAGCCATCGGAGAGGCAAGCACCAACACAGCAACTACAGCGCGATCGCCAGGGGTTGGCTACCATGGGAATGTGACAGGCCTCGGACCGGCGCAGCGATGATGCGTTGTTGTTGCCATTTACGGCAGATACCGGGCCTTGACGGCTCGAGACAGCTTTGCATAGTTTGTCAAGGTCGGACTTATCAAACGAGGTCGTCGGACTCGTCGTTGCGAGCGCTGCAAGCCGCTGGAGCGCCTCTCGTCTTATGTCGCGAGCCATGGCGTCGCCAACGGTGAAGATGGTTTTGGGGTGGGCCGGGAGAATTCAAACCGTCGACGATCAGAAATCTCATCTAGACTAAGTACTTCGTAAGCATCTGCATGAGCGTCCCCCGGTTTGTGTCAGCGTCGTCCTCGTCTTGGAGAGTGAGCCAACGTCGGGTCGCAACATGCACGGCGCAGCGTAGCACAGAAGTGGCAGTCGTGAACTTGTGCCCAGAAATGATGCCGAGACTCTGCTGCGATGATCCCTGCATCCAACCAAACTGGCTTGAGCGGTAAGTACCGCACTGCCAAATTGCCCGATTCGGCTGCAGCGGGCACAGGGGCGTTGCTGAGTCATCAGTATCCCATGTGGCCCTAGCTCTCTCTGGCCCCAGCCGCAGCTCAGCAGGCTGCAGGGCTGACGCGCGCCTGGTTGACCGTGTGAGCTTCCACTTGAACATCCCCCAACGACTTGCACCCCCACTCTTCAGCACGTCAAGTTCGTCGACGAGCCACCACCTCACCAGCTCGAGAATCGCACGTTAGTCACATCATCAGACACACACCCGAGCTCGACAGAAGGAATCATGGCCATGTTTAGCCAGAACCCGGTCTTGAACGGACCCAACTACTCGTTCAACAACGGCCCCGTCTCCAGTGCGCCGGAGGGCGCCCGGCAGCATCGCTTCGATCCGTGCGTCCCCGATCCCCGTTGATGCACATGTCGCGAGTTGTCTCTTTGCCGAGGTGAACCCAACTGACGATTCAACCTAGCTACACCGACAACGGCGGGTCAACCCTCGCCATCGCAGGCGCCGACTTCACCGTCATGGCCGGCGACACACGGCTTACCTCGGGCTACAGCATCAACTCGCGACACCACCCTAAGCTGTTCAAGATCGGCGGGACCACGTCAGACCAGAAGGATGCCAACATCGTCCTCTCGGTCGTGGGTTTTGCGGCCGACGGAGAGGCTCTCAAGGAGCGGCTCGACGCCATCTGCAAGATGTACCGCTATCGCCACGGCAAGCCGATGAGCGTCAAGGCCTGCGCCCAGCGGTTGTCGACGATCCTATATCAGAAGCGCTTCTTCCCATACTACGCATACGCCATCTTGGGCGGGCTGGATGAGGAGGGTAAGGGTGCCGTGTACTCGTACGATCCAGTCGGCAGTTACGAGCGGGAGCAATGCCGGGCCGGTGGCGCGGCCGCGAGCCTCATCATGCCGTTCTTGGACAACCAGGTCAATTTCAAGAATCAGTATATCCCAAACAGCGGCGAGGGCCACGCGCTCCAGGAGCGTGAGCGGCGGCCGCTGACGAGAGACGAGGTCGAGATGCTGGTCAAGGATGCGTTTGACGGGGCGGTGGAGCGGCATATCGAGGTGGGCGATGGCCTGCAGATGATGGTAATCACGAAGAATGGAATTGAGGAGGTCTTGCTGCCGCTAAAGAAGGACTAAACGAGCCTCCGCCGGGCCATGTACTGTACATCATACACCAGGCCTCATGTGATCAAATAGGACAGCTGCGGATACGGAACCCATTTCATGTTCGCAAGTTACCTTGGGCAAAACAGCTCATGGGTCCATCAGTGTTTATGTTCCGTGAGGGACAACCCGCAAAGTACCGGGGCCGCGCTGTCGTCAATTCACACAGTTCAGGCCTATCCGGCAGCCATTCGTGTCTCGATCCAGATTCCCAGGGACAGAAAAATCGCATGGAGTAATAACTACCCCAGCAAGACGAACGAACGTAAGTACTGGTATGTACTATCGAAATGGGAGTTTCAGCCTCAACGCTTGGCATATCCGACATGCGCTGCGGCGGGTTGTATGTAGAGGTATAGTGCATACAATCATAAGTGTGCGACAGTCATAATGTGCCATATTCTCCATGCTCCGTCTGTGGTACTACTAAATACTAGGTAGCAGAGTCTTCACTGATTTCCGTTCTTTGCGTCGTTCAATACTAGTACGGTACTGTGTATTCCAGCGCCAAGGCATTGGAGAGCGTCTCGGACAGCATTGACCCGGGATCCCTGGATCCAGAACCACTCTACACCTAGGTACCTAGGTATTGTACGGATGATACAGTGATGGGCATCACCGCAGGAACCAGGTGGAGTGCACATCACCCACCGCGCTGCTTACAATAGGACCAAACTCATACCAAGCGGGCATAGAGATTTATTACCTTTTGAATTCTGAGACAGTAGTGTATGACTCGGTGTGTGAAAAGCACCCTGTACACTATGGCATGCAGGCTGCCAGACCTAATTCAGTATGACGTCAGTACGTAAAGTAAGCTCGTCCTACGGCCCACTCGAGCAGTTCCCACGTCCACAGCCCTGGAACAACAAAGATTCATTAAATCCATACTCCTTACAGCTATCATCATGGCAGCAGCATGCGCCTCCGGAATGCGTGGCCAACACCAATGGCTACCAAGGCAGCGCACATCATCACGCCTCGCCCGTCAACGCCCGGACTTTGTTCGTTCCTGATGAGGAGCTTGCATTCGCACCCTTGACATCCCTGATGGGAGGAAAAGTCCAATGACGACAATCATACCCCCATTGTTCGGAACCTGGACATCTCCGATTCCACAACAAGCCTTCCTCCTTTGCTACAAGTAGTTTGTCCTCGGCCCGAGTGCCATTAGCCGTCGCCTCGTTATGGCAGCGGTTGCTCATAAGATGATGAGAACGACCGGGAGGATGATCGCCAAAAAATTGGGCTTTGCTCTATGTAACCCATATCTAGCAATTAATACTGTAAGTACGGATCCGTACACGTATGTATTATGTAGGTAGGTGGCAAACCGGAAGACCCTACCGTTTATCCTTGCCTGTTCCAGCTTCCATGACGGTGGGTTTGTCGCCCCCTTCCCCATTGACGTCCGCCAGCCGCCTGGATCCTGCAGTCCACCGACGCTATACAGACGCAGATGTGGCAGAGAACACATCGCACTATCGTATTCAGCATTCTCTCACGGCGAGCAGGGGGAAGAAGAAGGGCCATGGCATTGCCTCAGTCAGTGCCTGTTCCTGTAACGTCTCTCCCGTATCCCTCTCGAGTATTCTCTCGGGCCTTCGTACGGAGTCTGCCTTCCCTCAACGTCGGGAAGATCAACTAAAATGGCCCACCACAGTCGAGGCAAGATCTAAAGCTCTGGGCCAACCAATCCCGTGCGGTAAACACGGGAGCAACGGGTGGTGTTTCCGGGGGGGTTCTTTTTCCATCCAGTTCCAGACACGCAGAATACTGACCTACGAGCCTACTCTCTAATGCAACAAGGTACGGTTGCTCGTTGCTTCCGCACCTCACTGGTCAACTCTTCAAGGACCGACCCACCATTCACCCCAACTTACATGTGTACTGTACATCGGCCCCCCCTGCCCTGGTAACTCCTTGGTTCTTCCTTTGCCCCCCTCGTCCTGGTTCGAGTCTGGCCATCCGCCGACCCCGTTGAAAAGATCCGGGCGATACACAACTTGAAAGCACTTTTCTGCGGCCATCTTGATCTGACTCGAGAGATGACTCGCCGGTAGTGAAAAGGAACAATACAAGCATCCGGCCAATAGCTTCTAGGCCAGCGGCAGTAAGGCATATCGACCGGTCCGCCACAAATACCACCCGACGCCATCACGCGCCCGGCCGGGCCTGGACGGCTGCTACCGACCAGCCGACTGTATGTGGAAGGAGGCTCAACCTTGACTAAGCTCTGGATCAACGCACTGCCGGGTCTTGCCACACTAAATCCGGGCTTCTGGTTTGTTCAACACCAGTCAGTCAGTCCATGGCCCCAGTATCCGACCCGCTTAAGCTCGGAGGTCCCGCAGGTTCAACCGTTCCGAATCTTACGAAGTTGCTCCGGTAGTTCCTCCCATCATCCATACATACCCATACATACCTTACTAGCTTAGGTCAGCCCGTGGCGAAAGAGTTCCCCGTGTGGCTTTGCGAGGGGATGCACTACGCTCTGCTCCTCTTCTACCTCTCTGACCCGACCCTCGTCTGATCTGATCCCTTTTACCATCAGCTTTGTGAACCCTCTGAACCCTTCCCCCTCGGCGTGCATCCCGCTTATCCACGCCCAGGCCGGGACCTTCTCCTGTTGGCCCCTTCCCGAACACCTTCCACCGGCCTCGACTCCTGGTTGCCCCAAGGTCCGGCCCGCCCAGACGAACGCGGGAAGCCATATTCTCTCTTTTTTTTTTTTTTTTTTTGGTGTTCCATGGGAGATCACACGACACATTCCGGTGCCCCGGCAGAGGTCCTTCCGCATCCGCAAGACGCCCCCGCTGGTGCGACGCCAGCATCGGCACAATACCCGTACCCGTACCCGTCTGCGTCCGTGGGGCCCACCTACCAGCGACACCAGGAGCAGCCGGCGGGTTCGCAGCATGCCTTCATGTCCCAGCTCGACATGACGCAACAACAGAGGACGGCGCCCTTCGATATGAACGCTATGGCGAACGCTCTGCCGCAGCAGCAGCAGCCATACCGAGCACAGTACCACGGTCTCAGCCACGACGCGCCAAGATACAGTCCAGCTACGACCATGGGCATGTTCTCCCCAGGGACGCCGGCCCAGAATTATGCGGCGCAGTTCGGAGCGGCCGGCATGATGAGCACGGTCACGGCCCAGCAGTACTACGTCCCGCAGCATGCCGCGCGCATGGCCCAGTTCTACCCGACTGCCATGTCGCCTCAGCCGCCGTCTGCTCTGCCGCCGAGGACCGACTTGGGCTACTATCCAAGCCCCCTTGTCCTGAACCAGCCGCCGCACGCCGCTTTGCAGTACTATTACACTCCCGCCGTTCCTGCGCAGGGCCACATTCCCCTCGGACAGTACGGAGTTCCCAATCTCCAGCAACAGCCAGATCCTAGGACCCGGCAACCGCAGCAAGGAAGCCAAGGAGTGGCCCCCGCGGCACCATCCGACCAGCCAGGCAATGGTATGTTTAAGCACCGTTATCGTGCTGCCCCCTCACGCCTGCATAGGACTGACTGACCGTTCCGTAGCGTCGCCAACCTCAGGCCGTCCTAACCTTGTTCGCGGACCGCCGAGGAAACCAAGGCAGAGTGGTAAGTCTGTGCAACTTCGATCTGAGTCCTGACTTGGGGCCCACGGAAAGCAAGGAGGGCTGACTCATTTTTTCTTCTTTGCGCTAGGACACGCTGTCTGGATTGGGAACCTGCCTCCGCAGACAGACCTGATGAGCCTGGTGCACCACGTGTGCAAGGAGACGGCGGGGCTGGAGTCTCTGTTCTTGATCTCCAAGAGCAACTGCGCCTTCGCCAACTTCAAGGACGAGCAATCCTGCGCTGCCGCCCAACGGAAGCTCCACGACTCCAAGTTCTCGACGGTTCGGCTGGTGTGCCGGCTGCGGAAGAGCACGGTCGAGGGCCCGGCCGGCGTCACGGCCCCCACGGGACCAGCAGCATCGGCGTCGCAGCCGGGCGCCACACAGGAGGTGAGTGTGGATGCCTACGGTGGTGGTGGTGGTGGTGATGGCGGAGGCGATGAGCCCGAGCACGAGGAGAAGGCGGTCGAGGCACCTCCGGCACCGGCGGCGACCAATCCCGAGACGAATCCCGAGACGAGAGCCACGAGCACCCCGGCAGCGGGCGGGTCACCGCAAAGGGATAGGTTCTTCATCCTCAAGAGCTTAACTGTGGAAGACCTCGAGTTGAGCGTGCAGACCAATGTCTGGGCTACGCAGTCGCACAACGAGGAGACGCTGAATTCGGCTTTCAAGGTGGGTTACTAGTACTAACTTACATACTCGCCTTACATAACACCATGTCATTTGTCACTCAAAAACAGAACAAGAGAAAGAAACCGAGCTAACAACTTCACTCTTGAAGCAGACCTCGGACAACGTCTACCTTGTATTTTCGGCAAACAAGTCGGGCGAGTATTTCGGCTACGCCCGCATGATGTCGCCCATCAACGAGGATCCCGCCGCCGCCATCGAATTCGCGCCCAGCGCGCAGTCGGCCAGCGAAGTCGACCTACCCAAGGCCATCCCGACCGAGCCGACCGAGTTTGCGCCCAGGGGCCGCATCATCGACGACTCGGCCCGTGGCACAATCTTCTGGGAGGCCGAGCGCGCCGATAAAGGCGGCGGCCCGGGCAGTGACGCACAAGATGACGGCGCTTCGTCGGTGGCGGGCGACACGGCCAGCGTCCGGAGCAGCCAGGAGCTGGAGGGCAGCGGCGGGGCCGAGCCCAGGGCTTGGGGCAAGCCGTTCCGGCTCGAGTGGCTGTCCACGGCGAGACTCCCCTTCTACCGGACGAGGGGGTTGCGGAACCCGTGGAATTCGAACAGGGAAGTTAAAATCGCGAGGGACGGCACCGAGCTCGAGCCCTCGGTCGGGAGGAGGCTGATAGGGCTCTTCAATCGGGCCCAGACTCAGAGCCCAGCATTGGCTATGATTCCGAACCTGGTCCCGCCCATGGCCCCAATGGGTGCTAGGATGCCGGCCGCTGTCACCGTCGGCTATCCGCCGATGCTCTAGCGATGTCGGTCCCTTTGAGGATCAACAGCTCATCTGCATTGCCTTGCTTATCTCTCGGCCCGTAGTGTATTAGCCGCCTACTGTAACTCTACTTTCACGCCATACAATGGACCGCGCAGCGAGTTTAGCCGTCATACCTTGGTGACTTGAATTCTCTTCAGAATTCCCGTCTTTGTCCTGATCTTTGCACTGACTAAACAAACTACTAGCATCTGTGAATTCATAAGGAATTCCTATTACCGTATGTAGACACCTGTAGGACACCCCAAACCCACAAGCCAAAGTTTATTGTTCAGCCAAATCCCACACTAGTGAAACAAATGGGCTGCCCACCAACCTGAACTGACTCTATAAGTCTACACAGTAGAGACGCCTAGCTTGGTGTATTAGCTACGTGGTACGGGCAACTGCAGTTCTGGTGTAGCCATGACGTCATTGATAGGCGAGAGATCTTCAGACTTCCGGAGGGTCCAGTTCCACCGTTCATCGCCATTCCGCCCCACCTTCCATCCCGAGCCGCCCCTCCAAGTTTCTAGAAAGGACCGGCAACTTCCGGCAGCACATGGGATGGTGGTAAGGAGCCCATCTCCTATTGTTTTCAAGTTTGTTTACTTTGCTTCACCAGTCAAAAGTGAGACACAACACTTCGTGATGGGAAAGTGCGGCGCATGCCGATGACTCTGGAAGTTTCGGGGGGCTTCATGACGCTTCATCACAACGCTTGAGGCTACCATTCCATCAAATGCAGCTGCCAATCGCACCTACAGCCTCCTTCTGGCATGTTCACCAGAACTCCAGAACTGTCAGAGAGACAGCGACACCGCCTCCAATGCTGATGGCTCCGGAAGCTTGTGGAAGGGACTATAGTGTCTGCCCATGTGTATATAAGGCTCGGGACCGATCCCGAGCTTCGCACCGCTCTCCCCATCCGTAGACAATCAGAACAGAATCAACACATGACATCTTGCAGACCACTCGCGCGAACACTCGCACGGCTCTCACGGCTTCCTCAGACAAGATCACTTCACACGAAACCCTTCAAGCCACACCGGTCACTCTCAACCACACCCAAAATGTCGCTCTTCCCTCGCGGCTTCTACGACTCGGACCCCAGCTTCACGCCGCTCTTCCGCCTCCTGGACGAGTTCGACAACTACACGCGTGAAGCTCGCGGCAACGGCGAGCGCCCCCGTAACCGCGGTCGCCACAGCCACGTCAGCACCTTCAACCCCAAATTCGACGTGCGTGAGACCGACAACGCCTATGAGCTGCACGGCGAGCTCCCCGGCATCGACCGCGACAAGATCAACATCGAGTTCACCGACGACCAGACGCTCGTGATCCGCGGCCGCAGCGAGCGCACCTACACCGCCGGCAATCCGTCCGCCGGCCTGGTCGAGGGCGGCAAGCAGTCCACCATCACCGAGAAAGGAGAGGAGCACGCTGCGGCCGCCAAGGAGGCCAACGCCAACGGTAACGGTGGCGAGGAACAGGGCCATGAGAAGGCCAACAACAACAACAAGGCCTTCGAGAAGTGGTGGGTACAGGAGCGCTCCGTCGGCGAGTTTGCCCGCACCTTCAGCTTCCCCAGCCGCATCGACCAGGACGCTGTCTCGGCTAGCCTCAACAACGGTGTCCTGAGCCTGGTGGTGCCCAAGGCCAGGAAGCAGGAGACCCGTCGCATCGCCATCAACTAAAAGCTCGGGGTCCAATGATATTGTTGTTTTGGGGAATCACTGGTAATGGAGGAGGAGAATTTCGTGGCATTTGCCTGTTTTCTTCGTTGACTTGGCGGTTGAGTTTGGGAGGAGCATCGAGTTTGAGGAACTGCATTGGGCCGCATCTGTGTGTACTTGATCAAGGTGGACTTTTGCTGGCACTTGATGGCATGAGCGTTGACTTTCCACTAGTTAGCTTTTCACCAATAAGAAGAGCTGATAATCAAGAGTCTCTTCCACCTTCCTCCCGTATGTTGGTGAAGCGTGAGGTGTTGTACTAAGGTGTAGGTTCCGGTCATGATCAAGAATTGGAAACCCAGGCTCAGATTTAGGCTGAAGAGTTTTCTTAATTAATCGGCAGAGATATACATGACTACATGGAAAGTCAGACCCGCAACTTAGAAAGAATTACTGAACGAGGTGTAAGCCACAAACCGTTGTTGCCTCTGACGAACGCGTCACCATAGCTTCGCCGCTTCGTGCCATTGACATATTCCTCTGTCTTTTCGAGCGCGATGTTCATGTATCCATCCACCGATTGAAGCTCTCCTGAGTCAAAGTAAAATGGAAGTCAGTTAGGCATCATTTCTTGTCGGCTTTCACGATGCACTTCGGAGGTAGGAGAGGTATGGGTGAGGCACTAACCCTTGTAGATAACGCCCGAGTTGAGCTTAACGGTGACCGGGTTGCCGATGATTTCGCTCAGGAAACCGGATGGGTCCTTGCCCTCGCTCTGGGTGTTTGCTCCGTTCTCCATAGCTGGTAGATAGCTAAGAAAGGTATGGACTGTATCTGGCCGTTTCTCGTTTGGCTGCGCCTTGTGGCTGGCAGGAGAGAACCTACGGAAATTGGAAAGAGGCCCACAAACATTATGAGTGAAGTGACGGTTGATGGAGAACCGAAGTCCTTGGCGTTTAAGGTTGAGGGGCCCACTTCTGGGGGTGTAGCATTGTGGAACGCACGGGCCAGCATTGACTCAGGTGGAGCATCACTACTAACTACCGTACCCTTAGCAGCAGGCAAGGCAACGCAACTTTGCTTGTGGGCATGCGATTGTTAGGTCAAATGGCTTCCAACGACTCACATGGGCGCGATGTCATTCATCCCATAGCGGGAAGGAGCGCCATGAGACTCCGTGTGAGTCAATCTTACCAGAAATAGTTGGATAAATACCTACGTATAGATGAATACTTGCGTGGTGGTATGCGCTCTATGTTGTATACATCACCTTAGCAGTCTCCCTCAATCACGCCAATGGTCTTCGGCTTCGACAGTAGCACACACCCGGGACAAACACACTCTGCGAACGGCTACGGCTCCCACTGCAGCGTTTCAAAACCAAACCACGCCACGTTTGCTATTCTTTCTTCTCCTCCAACACTGTCAGTTCTGCGCTGCTCTCCTTGGCGTCGAGCTTCTCCTCAACCCAACCGCTAGCGTCCGTCTCCATCATGGGCGGTTCCGCTTTCTCTTCGCGGCCAGATGGGCTATACACCCCTCGGATGCCCAGTGAAGTATATCGGCGCGTAGTCTCTGCTTGCCATGCCGTGTTGCGTGAACTCTTCATTTGCGTGGCCACGCCAATTGAGGGGCCGGGAAAGAACGACCACGGCGATATCGACGTCCTCGTCGCTCTCGAGAGGCGGGTGGTATTCCCAAAGACACCGGAGGACTCAGTACCTAAGACACCGCACGAGTTGATGGAAGCCATTAGGGGCCTCCTCCGTGCCGAGTATGCCATCGTCCAGCCGACGGGGGAATCAGCTAATCTGGCGATACGGTGGCCTTCGGACATGGAGCACCTCCTTCCCAACACTCAAGCGTCAAAAGATAAATACATACAGGTCGACGTCCGTATCTGCCCGGGCATCGACCAGCTCTGCTGGGTAAGTTCTGCGCCGAGAGTATGTGGGAACGGGGACCTCTGACACGCAACGTCTATGATCCAGACCCTTTACAAGCATGCCCATGGCGATATCTGGAATCTCATCGGCAGCACCATCCGACCATTCGGCCTTACGGTCGACGAGGAAGCGCTCTGGCTGCGGATACCCGAGATCGAAAAGCTCGACCGCAGGAAGGCCAGGGTGTACCTTACCCGTGATCCCGTCGAGATTCTGCATTTCCTGGGCATGAAGGTCGAGGGATTCTGGTCCGAGCCCTTTGAGTCAGTCGACGCCCTCTTCGACTACGCTACAACCTGCCGGCTCTTCTGGGTCCGAGATACCCCGGATGGTGAGGCGGAGGATGAGGCAAACGAGGTTGGCGTTGCTGGCGGAGAACAGGGACGGAGAAGGCTCACGGCGAACGACCGTCGGCGGTTAAGGGGCCGCCCGGTCTACCGGCGCTGGCTCGACGAGTTCATCCCTGGCCTCCGTGCACAGAGGAAATTCATTCGCAGGGGCCCCGGCACATCGGTTGAGGAGATGCGCGCCACGGTTCGGAGCGAGGCTTTTGCGCGCTTCTTCGTCGAGCCGGAGTACAAACGCCGACTGAGAGAGTGGCGGCTGAAGAGGGAAGGCGCGCAGGCGAAGTCCCTGATCAAGCAAGTGGTCCCCAGCGAACTTGATTCCCAATTCAGATCGATCTTGGTGTCGGCGATGAGGAAGATCCTCATGCAAGGCGACACTTCCTTTGGCATGGCTGCGCCTCCAGATGTGAAGGACGCTGATGGATTCTACGACATGCAAATCATCCGTAGCTTCGTGGAGAAGAACTGGGAACCGGTGGGCGAGGCTGCATGGGAGATACAACTACAGAAGGCGCAAGAAGCGATGCGCCTGAAAGCTTGTACCCGGAACACAGAAGTGTAGATGCGCGTAGAGGGAGGGATTGACTACCTAACCGCATTGCATTGGGATATGTGGCTGGCGGATTTCACTCGACCATGATAGCATGATTACGGATGGGGGATGCGGATTTCACTCGGCGGCAATGAATTGATCGAAAAGCGCATACGCTCAACGCAATAAGATCTGGGCCCAGTGTCTCCTACAATGCGAATGCAGACATGATAGCCATCCTGTCTAGTTCCGAGGCTCGGTACTTCGTCCCGTTATCCCACACACCATCCCGTCCAGTAAAAGGTGCAATTCTCATGGCAAGAGGTTGGCCCAGCAATGCAGCCGGAAACGCCTTGCTTCCGCCATGGTTCGGATATGTCAACGCCGAAACTCCCATGCCCCACAGCTCCCATCTCTAAGCAATCCAACAACAAAGCATCCTCCAACCTACTCTCTAGAGCTTCTCATCACGAGTTATGCTCTCATCTTCATCTAGCTCATACCCCATCTCATGTGCAGCCCGTGCCTTCTCCTTAGCCTGTCTGACGGATCTCCACAAGTTGAACACGGCCTTGTCCTCTGGCCGCTCGACAAAGGGTTTGCGAAGGCCCTTCTTGGCCAGTCGTCTCCTATGTTGCCGCTTCTGCTCCCAGCTGTAGCGAGACGTGTCTACCGTACCGATATCAGTTCCCGTTGCAGCGTCCCACATATCGGCCAACCAGTCCTCCACTTCGGGGCGAAGGTGGTGCGCCAACTCTCTGCCTCGTCCGCCAGTCATCCACTGGTCTAGCTTCACGGGAATGGCGTAGCCCCAGAGCGGATCATCCGAGGACCAGTCGCATGCCATGCCGGGGTAACAGTATTCCGGTTTGCAGTACTGGAAGCACATCAAGGATTCTGCAATGTACCAAAGCGAAAGCAAGAACAGGCCAAGACCGAGAAACGTAAACCGAAACCTTGGCCGCCGTTGCCAGAGGCGGGGAAGGGGCAGATGGACGTAGGTAACGGCCGTATCCTTCATGGCCTTTGACCCATGGCAACTCGGACACGACGGGGATGATCCATCGGGCCTGTCGCCGTGAGCCTCATGGGGCAAATGCCCCTTGATATCGGCCTGCGAAACTTTGGTTTCAAGCTGCTCAATCCCTTGCTTTGCCGTCCGGATGCCGAGAAGGCCAGTCTGGAGAGAACGATTCAGGCGGTCGTACGCTTCGAGCTCCTTCTCCCTGGGGCCCGCTTCGTTGTCGCTGTTCTCAGTCTTCACTACACCCGAGCCGAAGGCCGCGACAAGGGGATCTTGATGGCCGAACAGCTCAGCGATGTCGTCCAGCGTTGAATCATCAATATGGTTTGCCCGCTGGATTTCCAGAAGGTCGTCTTTGACGGTTGGCGGCCTGGCTGAGTTGACCAGCGGGCGGCGACCTCGGGAGAACGATCTGGCACGCCGGCGGGCAGAGAGCGACGATGAACGGCCAGGAGCTCTGTCACTTGCAGCTGACTGTGCACGCTTATGATTCCGCCGCTCCGCCCCATCCTTCCCCTGTCTAAAAAGCGGGGGGGCCGGAGGCTTAGAATTCTCGCTCTCATCCGCCGGCACGCCACCTAAAGAGGTCGCTTGGTGTTCGGTGGCTTTGTCCTCAGAAGCTGTCCTCGTGGCGGGCTCGTCCGGGTTCTCAACCTTGACGGTGGCTGGCGTCTCGACGAAGGCCCCTATAACCTTGGGAGTAGGCAGCGTCAAAGGATCGGGTTTGGTGGGTTTGGGTGTCTCCTCAGGCGTCTCCTCCGGCTCTGGCGACGGTGCCCGAAGCGAGCCCTTCTCCGACTGGTTCTTAACCGGTGCGAAGAGCTTCATTTCGCCCTCTATGCGCTCTGTGGGGTCCGCTTCTGAATTCACGAAGCTTCTCCGCTTCGAAAGCCGCGACTCGACCGATGAACGCCTCTGAAGCCCGACGAACGCGACGGTTCTAGCGTCGCGCTTAGCGCCGCCGTCCCACTCTTTCTGAGTCCCCCCTTCCGTTACGTCCTGGTTGCGAGTCACAGGATTGGCTTCGCTATCTACAACCGTTTGTACTTCCGGCGCGTCGCTCGCGCTTGTGTGAGCCGCCAAGCGGCGCAAGACATCGCGTGGCTCATCCTTCGATTGTGAACTACTGCGGTGAGTCTCCTGGTCTTCGCCTGTCTCTTGGCCGTTACGTGTATCTGCTGCATCGCCCGAGGAGTGACCCGGGCGGGTCGGGCCATCTTGAGCTCGCACCGCATTCGCTAACTCGTCGCTGTGCTGTCTCCGCAACCTGTCGCCGAGGGAAGAGGATGTCCGCATTGGCTCCTTGCTAGACCTCCGCGCAATATCTGGCGATGGTGAACGTGACGTCCCGATGTTCCTTTCCCGAAACTCATCCAGCCTAGCCGTGGCGAGCGCTCTCCTAGATAAGGTCTCGATCTCACGCGACCTAAGCTCGTCCATCAACGCGCTTGCTCGGCTGACCGACCGGGCCCGTGAAACTGTATTCTCAGTTTCTGTTGCCGCTTGTCGAGTGTCCTTGTCAAAATCCTCGTCTGACTCTAGAGGCACGTTGGGCACTTTCAGGGCGGCTTCGCTCTCCAGGGCGCGGAGGCTGTCTATGAGATTCCGCGGCCGGTGCGGAGGGCTTCCAGTAAAGCGATCGTTGACCTCGGCCTCCAAAGCTCGTATTTCATCAATCTTGGTGTTGCTGCGCTTGATAGCTACAGGGGGGCTGTCCGACACCTGTAAGTCGCCAGCTGTAAAGTCCGCATCGGCTTCCCAAGCAAAACTCTTGTTCGGAGTCTGGGGGCCAGGAACAGCTGTTTCAGCTCTCGCGAGTGAAGAGGTGCTTCGCCGTAGCAGCTCCTCGCGAGAACCCTGGTCGGGTTGTGTTCCGTCGGCCGAGTCCCGAGCTGGAGCTGTATCGCCTAATTCCCATCTCCCAGATAGTCGTCGCAAAAGCGATGGGCTACTTGTTGCTTTAGCGAGTCGAGGTGAGGCACCTCCGTCAAAGCTGCCCCCACTGGATTTCCGTACTAGACCCCTTCCCGTCTCGACAATCCTATTGCCGAGTTTCGATCTGGAGAATAAGCCGTTGCTCCGGCGAACTGGCTCCTCTGAAACTGGCTGATCGAGCGCATATTGACGCAGCTTCTCGTCGAAGGTGCTATCGGAAAGATCGCTCTGTTGTGATTGGACACCGTTGTCGGCAGGGCCATCGTCATGAACGGCCCCGGTATGCTTCTCGTTAAGGCCTGCACTTTGCTGGGAGTTGAACGAGCCAGTATTCCGCTTCTTGGTAAGCTTCCGACCGGTGGAAGATCGCCACAACCGCGGAGCTGGACTGGGTGATCCTTGAGCTGCCTCCTCTTCCTCGGCCATTCGATAGGCATCAGAAAGAGTGAATGGACGGCGTTGAGCGGCGGGGCGAGGAATCCGTGTGTTCGACGACGCAGCGTTGGTGTCAGAGACCGAGCCAGAGCTCGTCGGGCGAGCCGTATCTTCCTCGGGCCGGGGTCGCGAAAACAAGCTTCTTCTGCGAGACGCGCTGGTTATGGTAAGCGGAGAGGTGAAGCGGATATTCGTCTCTGCGCCTCTGCTGTCAGGCCTGGGCCCGGTCCTTTGGGTCTTATCGCGATCCATCAGATGTTGCTGTCCGCGCTGTCTCGAGGGAAGTTGTCAGAGGTTGCAAGGAGAGCTAACAATGAATGCAAGCCACGTCGCATTGCGGAGACAGACGTGCTGGACTAGGTGGTCGCTGCTTTTAAGCTAGTGGAATCCGCTTTCATTTTTTGAGTCGTAATGTACGGGAACTGAACACATCAGAGAAAGTGACGTGCGTGCCCCGCGGTTGATGGTGCGAAATGCAATGTGTTGCAGGTGTGTTGGAGCCCGATACCACGACAGCAGGGTCCACGATACGCTCCAACGCAGCGCGCCAAGTCGGTGTGGAGCGGTGGACTTGGCGGAGGCGGCCGGTTCCAGCCCGAGTGGGGCCGCTAGCGGCTAAGCAGCCCAGCGGTCACAGTATGTCATACTGTAATAAGTGCAAGTGCTAAGATATCCGTACTGTACGTACCTTGCATGTCCAGGGCGATTTCGTGGTCTCCAACTTTCTCAGCAATCTAACTATCTCATCAAGTGCTCATGTAAACTGTCTCGGACTGTAAACCTGGAAGGGACCCTGGGCAACTTTAGACTCTTGTCTTCGAGGTAAATAAGTCCAAAAATACAAGAAAAGAGGGCCTGGAGGGGTGAGTGAAGCTCGCAGGATTTTCTTATAGTACTACCGGTATGCCGGGAATTTTGAGGCCTCCGGGGCCGCGCACAGGGGCCCTACATAAAGGCCGGTATGCCGGACGACGGGAGTTGAGATAAAATAAATCGGCCAACTCTTAGCTGGAACCAAACAAGGTGCCATACCTAACCAGCGGTTATTAGGGCGAGATTCAATTTGACTGCAGTCATACGATACCTCGATACTTTCCATGGATGTTCCATTGAACCTCGTCCGCCCTCTTGGGCCGTGGTACGTACATGTACATACGCATCCCGAACCCGGGCCATCCGAGCCAGAAGTCAACGAGGTTGCTGCTCTACGCGGTGGCTGACAACCGCGCCAGCGAAATATACTCGTCGATAAGACACGCGCTTGGATTCTACAAATGCGTTGTAAACACATGCCGGTACTCGATCCCACTGGCAAGCCTCGGGGGTCAATCCGTCCGTGATGTGCTCGAGACCGCCGTTGCCAATGTCGTTCTCGTCATCCCATCCTTGAGTGTCGGCATAGTTGGCGAGCATACCAACAAGCCACACTTCGTCCAACGGCCGTCCATCGACCTTGAGCACCATATCGAATTCCTCGAGAAGCCGAATACGGACCCCGCTGCTCGCGACATGAGTCTCCTTAGGATGCTTGAAGACCAGCACGATCGATGCTTTCCCGATACAGAGCGTCGACCGCCATGGAAGCTGACCGTCGTCGTCTGGGGAGCTATATCGGAGCCAAGTTCCCTTGTGCTCGATGCCATGTTGGCGGTGCACCATTCGATAGCAGACGGACGGAGCACTAGGTTGTTTCATGTCCATCTCCTCAACGAGCTCAGCCACCCGTCGCCCCGACCGTCGCAACTTTCTGGCCGCATTTTGGACACAGCCGGTGTTCGCGGGCTCCTTCCACCCCAGGAAGAACTCGTCAAGTTCACATTGTCCTGGAAGTTTATGCTCCAGACTCTGTGGCGCGAGCTTGGGCCCGCGTGGTTTCGAAAGGATCAGCATGGGGCGCCGTGGACTGGGAAGACCATCACCCGTGAGCCATGCCGAACGCGACTACGACTCGTCACCGTTCCGACGGTCGGCGTGGGGCATGTTCTCGCCGCCTGCAGAGCGAAGCAGACCACACTTACCCCGTTGCTGCACGCTCTGGTTCTGGCTTCTCTAGCCAAGCATATCCCCGGAGAAAAGGCGCAGGCGTTCCGAAGTTCGACTCCCATTGACCTGCGGCGCTTCATTGAAGCCGGTCCTCAGACCAGCGGCGGCACAGGTTCATTTGGCGATTTCGTTACAGTTCAGTCCCATTACTTTGACGCGCCGGCCCTTACGGCCATGCGTGAGGGACCTCTGGAGGCGGAGATCTGGAGGGTAGCGGCAGACTTGCGGCGCAGCATGAAAGAGCACCTGGACCGAGTCCCGCACGACGACATTATGGGGTTGCTTGGTTACGTGAGCGACTGGCAGCAGTTCTGGATGAGCAAAGTGGGCAAGCAGCGCCAAGACACATGGGAGGTCTCCAACATCGGCTCGATGCCGGGCGGCCACGAGCGAAGCGAAGAGGCGACGGTGGGCTGGAAGATACAGCGTTCCATCATGTCCCAGGGTGCCACCGTCGCTGGGGCGGTCATCGGCATCAGCGTTGCCGGCGTAACGGGCGGGGAACTCAACATCTCTCTAGGGTGGCAGGAGGGAATTGTCGAGACGGAAATTGTAGATGACCTGGCGGAGGACCTCCAACGCTGGCTTGATCGGTTAGGCCGCGGCCAAAACCTGGGAGATTGGCAGTAGTGAAGCTGTTTTATAAAGTGACTTCAACAACCTATGACAGATAATGTATAATTACTGGTCAGCCTTAACCCCTGACTGTATGGTACTCTTTCCTTGATGCGAACAAGCTCAGCCGTTCTGGGGTAGCAGCATGTTTGGTCGTGCGTGTCCCAGATTTACCAATGGCTGATGAAGCATCAGAAGTCGGAACCCGAAACAGAACTTACAGAAGCGGAAAGGTGGGGCCCCACGGCGGGTTGACCCACACCGAAGATTATCCGTCGGCTGCAGGACCCGTTCCCGTCACGTCCACGGGAGTCTTGAGATTTTCGGGACGGAGCTCTCGTCCAAGCAGCAGCAGTCAGTTTCTCCCTGCCCGACGGCGCAACACAATGTCGGTACCATTCGTGAGGAGGGCACCGACGTGTCTGGGGTGCATACGAAGACTAGCACAGCCGTTCGGGAGCGGCAATGGAAGCAGCAACGCCGTTTCGCTTGTGCAGTCCCGCACAAAGTCGAACCACCTTCGACCGAAAGACCAGGGCGTTGTCGTCCGCTTGCTCGAAGACATACCGAAGTTCGGTCGCAAACGTGCGAGGGCGCTTTCCCTTGTGTGGCGGTTGCATCTGAGGAAGCTGACCTAAGCTTTCCAGACTCCATCTTCCGGGTCGAACGAGGGCGCATGCGCAATGAGTGGTATCCGCACAAGAAAGCAGAGTACATGACGATCTCGCGCTTTTATGAGCTAGGTCTGACCCGCGATGACATTGGCGAGCGGGACACCACCTTCGGCACCGTCATGGCAGCCGAGCCAGACCCAATTGCAGAGCCCGTGGTGCCAACGATGACTGTTCTCACCACTCCGGTACGTGTGCACTCGCTCGTATATCTGTCTCTGTTTCCCCAGGCTGGCGCTGACAACACACCGACAACAGCCCGAAAAGGCCCACACCCTTCTAACCACTGTGATTCCCGAGACACTCACTTTCCGCCGCAAACCGATCCCGGTACCGACCCCGACACCGGCCGGCGCCGCCCCGGCCCCATCCATCTCCCCCCTCGTTGCGTCCGCAAACGCTGATTCTGCGCCGGAGCCGAATGCGCCGAATGCTCCTCTCGCCATCTATGGTTCCGTGTCCGCCACCGATATCGTGGGCCACATCAAGACCCTGCTGGCTGGGGATGCTGATGGCAGCCGCATTGTGCTGGAACCTGAAAACATCCGCTTCTTGGGCCTGGCAGAGGAGGCCGACAGAGTCAAGGCGCTAGGCCGCTGGGAGGTTGAGATATCGATTGGCGGTACTGACCTGGAACCCGTACGCAAGATGGTTGAAATTCTACCCCTGAGCGAAGGGTCGGGCGAGGATGATTCACAGTCCGCTTCGTGAGAGCGAAGCAGGTCCCTGGCTTGGGATCACTTGCAACGAGCAGTGCTGGCGTTGAACGACTGAGTTCAGTCGTATGTACAAAGGTTACACATGTTTCATTATCTGTATACAGAATTGTTTTCTGGGATGTCAGATGAGACGGGTATTTGCCCACGACGGGCACATGACCTGGTCTCCAGCGCAAGCCTTGCTAAATTGAGGTGCGTACGTAGGTACTTCTCACGGCGGAACCGGCCTTTCATGTACCTAAGCCTTCTCCCAGCTACGGGCACACAAGCGCTCGAATGTCCATGCATCTGCGCCGTGCTGAGAGACTGCTGTTCGACCTTGCTCCCAGCCATCGTTCGGGCATTCCTAGCTGAGCCCATGAGATTGAGAACCCATGTGACCAGGCTTGATAGGTGTCTCTCGTCACGGTGTTTAGGAGACGGCCTTCCCACGCCTATCGTCGCCGCTGTTACGGTTGGGGTGCGGTTACTCTTCTAGGGCCCCATGAGGGAGTCGATATCGTTGCCAACTTTACCGCTAGTTGCCCGCGCTCCGTCTGCGGCGTTCGTAGAAGTCCGCTGCGAGTCGTGGCGTGCATGCTGAGACGTGGGGCTTGTTGGCGTCGGTGTGTCTGCGGGCACGGCACGCAGTGAGTTAGTCTCGCTGTTGGCGGCGCTGTCCCGGCCTCTGGAAATACCAATCGCAAATGGCAGGGCTTTCTTAGAGCCTGTGCTGGATCGGCGGCTCTCGAGGCTCTTGGACAGCGTTTTGCTGACCCCTTCAATGCCAGAGGCCACGCCGCTGCGGCCTCCCGCCCCTCCCCCCTTCGGCCCTGCTCGCCCATGCGTGTGCCGCTCGGCCATGGCTTCGACGTTGTTTGCCGCGACTGTGCTCTTAGCAAGGCCCGGCGTGGAGGGCGCCCCCGACTTATCCTCAGCGGCGTCAATCAGGTACCAGCGGAGGCCGTCGGAAAGGTCAAAAGGGTTGTCGTTATCATCGTCGTTGACCGAGCCGGACTCAGTGCCGCCATCGGCCCCCTTCCTGCCCAGTCCCGGCGGGTTCTGGAGCGACTTGGACAGATCCACAACACGTTCTTGAATCCGCGAGATCCGCGCTACGAGCCACTCCCGGCTACTCAGTCGATGTGCCTCCTGCTCGCGCAAGAAATAGTGCGGGAAGCCTACGTTGAATGCCGCCCACGCCCCGGTCGTCTGGTTTCTCGTCGGGAGGAAGAGGGCAAGATCGCCCTCCTTGAAGTGTTTGTACGCGATCTTCTCGTGCGCTTCCTTTTGCAGGGCATGCGCCTTCTCGCGGTATGCGCGCGCGTCTCGCTGCAACTTGCGGGCCATGTGCTCGACATCCCTCACGCGCCGATACACAACTTCGCAAAAGGTATCCATGTCGAACGACCCCAGGGAGGAGATATAGGCATCATACTTCTCCAACTCGGCCTCCGCATCGGGACAGTTCACCCAGTTGAGGAGATCAAGATCCAGACTGCTGACAACCGCAGCGCGGCTGCCAATGGTGCCTGACCGGCGGAGCGACGAACTGGGATCCGAGTCGTTTGCGTTTTGGGACGACCGCTCCGACCTAGGGACCTTTTGAATCACCATGCTGCCGCCTTGCCGAGTCACCGAAAAGCCGAGTCGTTCGAGCAAGTGCATGAGACGCTCGTTGTGCGAGTACAGGCGCTGCGTGAGGTCTCTGGCGTGCTCTGAGCGAGTATCGAACCGAACCGTAAGGCCTGTCAGCTTTGCCTGCGATTCCTGCAGTCTCTCCTTCAGCTGCCGGGCCTTCTTCTCCTCTTCCTCCAACTCCTTCCGCAAAGATTCGGAGCCGTTCTCCCCGTCGGCAACCTTAGCACGCAGTTGGCTGAGCTGCTCGCGTGTATCCGCTAGCTCGGCCTCCAGAACGAGGGCTCTGGCCTGCTCCTTAGCAAGAGCTTCGCCAAGACGAACTGATTTCGCCTCCTCGTCCGACAGCCGTTCCGCCGCTGCGGCTTTATCTGCGCTCAGCGACTCGACGTCACGTTGCGCCGAATCGAGTGCTAAGCGGAGTGAGGACATGTCGCCATCGAGGCTTCGCACCCTCGCCAGTGCATTGCTGGCTTCCGTGGAGACTCTCTCAATGAGCTCGGAGAGTCCATCGGGGACAGTTTGGCCCGGCGAGAACTTGTGCCAAAGATCCCGTAGCGCCTGTAGCTGCGTGTCCGCTACCTCGCTGAGCGCATCGACCTTCTTGCTGTACCCTTGGACCTCGTCTTGCATCACCCGGAGCTGCCGTTCTTGCGCTTCCATAGTCTCACGCTGCAAGCGTGTTTCTGCGCTCAGGGTGTCGACTTGGCCTCTAATTCTGAGGGCCTCCTGGTCCTTCTCCTTCTTCAGCCTTTCAATTTCAAGCCGCAGGGCGTCAACGGTCTCGTCATATGTAGCCTTTTCGTTCTCCCTGGACTCGCCAAAATGTTCCATCTCGTCCTCTGTATCCTCCAACCGCGCTTGTAGACGCTTGATCTCGTCCTCGAGCGACTTCCGCTCTTCCGTGAACTCCCTCTTGAGCGCCTCCAGATTCTCCAGAAGGTCTTTCTTGGTGGAGTTGGCTTCGTCCATCTGGCCCTTGATATTATTGTTCAAGGCCATCTGCCCATCAAGGTCCTTCTCGAGATCCGCCGAGCGCTCCTTCTCCGCGCCCAGCTCAGCCTCCAGTTGCTGGATTCGGAGTATGAGTGCATCGGGCCCTTCCACTGATCTTCTCCGGTCTTCCGACGCCTGTGGAGACTTGACTGAGATAGTCGAGTCACCGCGGTCGGAGAGCTGCTGGTTGGGCATCTGGAAGACGTTGTTCAAGTTCGGCCGGGATGCCTGGGTCTGCCGATGGAGCAGGTCCTCGAGTCGCCGCACACGGCTCTCGGCCGTCTTCAGCTTGCTCTCCAGTTTGGATTTGTCGTCTTGGAGAGACCGGAGGAGGTCATCATCACCCCTGATTAACAACCCACTCCGTCCCAGAGCGGCCTCGTGGATGCTGCCGTTCTTGAAAGCCTTTATGCGCTTCGATTGCTGCCTGGTGGGGTTGTTCATCTCTGCGATCATCTTTCCGATGTCCTCGATGATCTCCGGATCAGCCTTCTTAGTCTGCAAGAACCCGTGGAACTCCTCGAGGTCCCTCCTCGTCATGGCCGGCCACCGCTCCTCGTCGCCGAGGAGGTTCACTTCCAAGCCAGGAACGTTGTTTTCCAAGCTGGGATTCTCGGGCCCGTAAGCGCTCCCAACCGACTTGTACCATCTCCTCCGCCGCTTGGCTTCCTCCTCCTGGAACAGGGCCACCTCATTCGCAAGGGTCGACGAGTCTTCCTTCATCTTGTCGTACCATTCGCGGCGCCTGATGGCCTCTGCCATGAAAGACGCATACATGTAAGGGACCTGCTGGATCAACCGCAAATAGTCGAACGTGGCAAGTTCCTCTTCCTGGGTCATGGAATTGATCTGCGACTTGACGTTATGGCTCAAAGCCGTGATATCCGTAATATTGCGCATGAACGCGATCGACTCTGCGGCCATCGAGTTCCGTGCCTGCGTTGCGTAGCGAAGAAGGTCGTCCATTTCCATGGCCCGCTTGCTCATGCTCGGCAACAGACGCTCCGTGTGGTTGGCAGCGATCTTGGAAGCCTGCAGCAGAACATCCCGGGATGAGCTTCCGTATTCGAGCGTTGTCTGGTAGTCCGTGTTGATCTTTTTGGCCAACGCCTCAATGTCGTGAAGGAGCTGCTCAGATTCGCCGCTGTGGGACATGGCAGAGCGTTCCACCGTCCTTTCAAATTCGCGAAACAGGCCCTCGGCATCCTGGAAGAGGCGGGTGGCAGCCTTTTCTAGGTCTGCGACCCGGTTGTTAAACTTGCGCAGTGCTGCAGGCGCAAGGCGGCCTGCTCTCGACGCTGTCTCCAGGTCTACCAAGTCTTCGAGCGTTACCTGACGCTGTGTGCGCCTGGCGGCATCGACGACATCGCGACCGGTCATGAACCGGACCATAGCGGGCGACGCGGGGATGCTCCGCGCAAGAGACAGATACTGCTCCCATCCGGCCGTCAGCGCGCCATAATCGGCCTGTGCCGCCGGGAGCCACTTTTGGAGCTCCGCGTACTTGGGCTCCAGCCCCTTGATGACGGACTCCAAGTTGGTCACTGCGGCATCAAGGCACCGCAACATGACGTCCAGCTCGCTATACCGTTCCGACGCTGCGGCAGCCATCTGCCGACAGTCCTCAACCAGCTTGAGAGCCCATGCCCACCGAGTCTTAAACAACTCCTGCCATGACTGTACGGACCTCGTGTCCTCGATCGAATTCGGTGGGTTCGGTACGTTGTATCGTTTCGGGACCGGAAGCTCAGACTTGGGGGGTGGGGAAGCTCCTGACGAGAGTGCCTGTACCAGCCGGTTGTCGTAGATGCATATTTCCTTCTGTCGCTTGCTGTCAGACCCCCAACTTCATTGCACGGGCCGGCGGGGGATCTTAGGGCACCTACCTCAGTCTGCAGGGTCTGTAACCTCAGCGGTTTCCCCTGCGGGGTCAGGGTAATGATACACTGAGCCGGTATAGAAGTCTGCCGGGCGACCGAGGCTTTGAGGTCATCAACTCTACGAAAACTGTCAACAACGGAATTGGCTTTGCTAAGAAGCCAGGGAGATGCTAACGAGGAGAGTTGCGTAGCGTCTATTTGCAGGCGTTTGCCCGTATGGGCCACCAACACCTGTGTTGCCATGTCCGAGCATGCCTCGGAGAATCAAGTAGTGTTCGGATGGGCAAGGATTGAGCCAGCATCCGAGGAAAAACAAAGGCTGAGAGGGCTCAGAGTACGTCGATCTGCGTCTTCGTCCGCGTCTTCCGTCGTCGAAGCGGCACCATGGACAGTTCGCCCTGCTTCAGCGCCCGGCCCAGTCATACAGGAATAAGTAAATAAGTAGGTAAGGATGGGGACAGAAGAGCTGAAGGGTGGGGGTTCTAGATGGATATTAGGAGGTGGTCGGCGAGAACACGACCCTAAAGGACAGGCGAGTCGTGACGCTCCGGTCTACTGTCGGGTCTCTGCAGTGTTGAGTCCGTGGAGGCACATGGACACACGAAATGACCACACGTAGGCCGCCTAGTCCGCCTAGTCCGCCGCAGCATGTATCCACACTGTGCAGTGACTCGGTGGTACAGGCATCTGCCACCTGCCCAGGTGCCAGTGGCTATGAGCAGAGGCCCCCATCAGTGTGCCACGAAGCGCAGAGGATCGCCTAGTATGCACAACAGATGGATACATGTTAATTCCATATACTGTAAATCAATCGACAACACCAGTGGGTAGGTAGGTAAAGTAACCACTACTACTTCACTTCGGAGTTTTTGTACATACCTAGGTAATCCTCCCTTCGACTGCTCCTCGTTTTGGGACCAGCGATTCGTGGGTTCCCGGGTTCACGGCCACGTACTCTCACTGTGTCACTGATCTTGATTATTGTACACGCACTGTACTGTGCGAGATTCCGGCGGCAAAGCTCCAACCAAGCTCACACCAGGTCCGCGCATCTGCTGCCGCATGCTCTGCATTATTGCATAGGTGCGGAATCTTGATAACTTTGGCCTGTGTTTCGACGCCAACTTGAAGAGCTGATACCAAGGACCTTTCCTTCAACCTCTACTGAATCTGCCCGTCTTTCGACTATAGTACTACAGCAAGGTGTTCAGTGCAGCATGGCTTCACCCACAACTCCCACTTCTCTCCTCTTCACGGAAACCGAGAGCGATATTTTAGCTCTCTACGACGAACTTCTACGGCTTCAACTCGAGCTCGCCCTTCTTCAGTCACGGCAGGATCATCATGCAGAAGGTAACATCCCCCAAGTCATTCGCTTTGGCCTGCCATCAGACACATACCATACCTGGTACTAACAGTTTCCTAGAGACTGATGCCTCGCAAGGCACTGAGCACGCGTTGGCTGACGAGCAGGCACGGCTTTTAGAGGCAAGAGCAACCCTAGCTCTGCGCAACAGTGTTGTGGAAACTGTGATGGCAGTCCAGCCGACTCTGAATGCGGTCCATCATGCCACCCATGCCTCACCTGTTGAACGGTAAATACAGATCCATCAATCATCCTGACGATCGACGATCCATAAGTTGGAGTGCTGACAGTCTGGAACGTCAAGCGACCTGTTGCCCCACACTGAACAGCGAGATGCAGCTGCAGCCAGAGCAGCCAGATTGTGTTCAGAGTTGGAGACAGCTAGGGATCGTCTGGCGCAGCTTGAAGTTGAGAATCTCCGTACCGCTCAGCGCAACAGGAAGCTGGCCTCAGAAGTCCTGCGACTGGCTGGGAAAACCGACCGTCAGGACTCGAACGGCCCTACCCATGGACGGTTTAGAGGGGAAATAGCCGTTCTGGAAGGCCAGGTAAAGTCCAGCCGCCACAGATGGAAAATAATGAAGGGTGCGGCGAGCACGATTGTAGCCGGAAGTGGAATCGACTGGGTCCGGGACGAGCGCCTAAGAGACCTGGTGCTCGACCCGCCACAGTGACAGCAAGTCAAGAACATCTACCTACCTGTAGACTTTCCACATCCTTCGCTATGCGAAGGAAGACCTACCATCATCCAAAAGACTTCGGGCGCGTTGTTGGACAGCTACATACGTAGTCAGCTGGCAGGATGAGATCTTCGTTACCTCTAGGCCTAGTAGGTAGGTTACCCCGCATATCATCGCGTCAAGCTCCATCACAGAAGAAAGCCAATTTCGTCAGTACGACTTGACGGAGGGGCTGCCTTGGAGATGACAACATATCACGTGCAAGGGTTCGGGCTGAGACAGCGTATAATGTGTAAACAGCGAACGCGTCGCGGTTCGGCGTGTTGGCTCGCTCGGACCTTACTCTGAAGGGAAAGGTAAGGTACATTATTAGGTTGCCGGCAAGAGGGAGAAAGCCGGAGAGGTGCTACTTGTCTGGGGTGTCGCGTTGTGTGACACCGCACGCGGAAAGGGTGTGATTGACGAGCCAACCCAAATAAGGGAGAGCGGCACGGACGTGCCATACCACCTAGAGAAACTATGTGAGCAGCCTTGATTTGTATGCAGTACAGACCAGGTATACATATTTGGTGAGAAGAAGGCGCTTTGGTACTGGCAAAGAGAACGAATGCGCCAAAACCCTCTGTCTAATGCCAGAGCGGAAGTGCCGGCTCCTAACTCCACCCCTTTCCTTCAACTCCTACACGTCCCACTAGGTAGCGGTCACTGGGTACTTAGTAACTACTAGTACTAGTAGTATCGTAAAGCACTGTAGGTCCTCCTGTTAGAAACACCTTGGTATTAGTGGTATTTGAGGTCCTGCGAGAATTTCAAGAGACAAAGTACAGGACCTCTTTCTGCGTGACGCGGTAGTCTGCTAGCACTACCTTATTAGTAAACAGCAGACAGAGACATGCATGCTAGTACTAATGGCCTTCACCCGAGACTCTATCACGTAGAGAAAGCCTCGTCCTACTACGCGTCCGTTCACGCGTAGATCGGATATTAGTACTAGTGCTAGTAGTTATTATGCGACTCCGTTAACAGATCTGGACAGCGCAGCCGGGTCTCGCTGCTCGCAAGCCTAATAAAGAACCCACGAATCTACTAGAAACTCAGCGAGGAGAGTCAGCGATACTTGGAGTTCTGACAGGTAAAACATTGAGCTTCTGAGACAACACCTAATAGCGTTTTTTGACAGGATCTGTTGCTCCCCTGACTGCCCGGCAGGTCTCAGCTTGAACCTGTGGGAGTGTTGGCGTGCTCAGGATCCGTACTGGGTACACCGGCGCACCATCCAGCTATGCAATGGTGTTTGTATAGAGTACTTTGCGGTGATCCGTGCGCTGCAGTAAAGACCAGGCAATCGGACAGAAGTGCGATGGTGCCGCGCGCCCCCTCAAATTTCGCGGGCAAAAAATCAGCCCTTGCTGCCGCAGCTTTTTTTGTTATGAGCCCAAGCCTGGAAAGAGGGACCCGCCCCCTCATTCAATCAGCCGCCCATAGTAAAATACGAGCGAGAGCGTCCCCCCATCGCCCTCTGCAAATCTCCCTCCTTCTCTCCCATACAAAACCACACCGCAGTCGGACAGCATCATATCCGGCCTCCACATAGCCAACCCAGTGAGTACTTTACACCTCTGCAATTTTCAGCGCATTTTCGAGTACACGTCTTCCGGTCCCAATTGGCGTTACCGTTTTCCATTGGTGCGCATTTTGGTCAGCGCCCAGTTCCAGGCTGCTTTCAAGCCTCTGCCGTCACTTGTCCAGAAGTCTGGTCCTCGCCATCGTGCGCTCTCCACTTAGAGCTCGCCTCCCAAGCTCATTCCTCACCTTGAGCTCCCAGACCGCGGAATCAACGCAATTGATCGCGTCAATTGCTAACCGGCCGCACAGACTATCAAAACACCACAACCCACATTCCGTTCGCCAACATCAGTATGTTTCTCAAGTTCCCAATTGGCGTCTTCTAAGCTTCGGGCGGCCCTTTTACCCTTGTTGTCGGTCGCAATTCGCATTTGCGACTTGACGACGCCAAGCAATGCACGGCGTGCCCACAGAGCTGTCGCGCGTCGTTTTATCAGCCCCTTTTGTTGTTTTTACCGATTTCAGGGGCCGCGCGTGCGCAACGCGCAACACGCGCGCATCATCGCGACGTCATGCCCCGCCAATGCACTTCTAACCCGGCGCTTGACTCTGCATTGGTTTTAGAAACATGGTTACTAACTCACCGTTCTCCAGTCCATCACCATGCCTAAGCAAGCTAAGGGCAAGTCGGGCAAGGTGGAGAAGCAGCGGCGCGCTAAGAAGGGTAAGTGATATGTCGTCGCAAGCCATATCCTCTTCCAGGTCCTCTTGAAGCGTGCATGATGCGTCTCCTATCAACCGATCGTGGTCAGAAGCTTACAGTCATCCCAGATCCCAACGCTCCCAAGAGAGGCCTCTCAGCGTACATGTTCTTTGCCAATGAGCAAAGGGAGAACGTCCGCGAAGAAAATCCTGGAGTCTCGTTTGGCCAAGTCGGCAAGATATTGGGAGAGCGGTGGAAGGCCCTCAGCGAGAAGCAGAGGGCTCCGTATGAGGCCAAAGCTGCCGCTGACAAGAAGCGATATGAGGACGAAAAGCAAGCATACAACGTAAGTCTTGCCGATCTTGCACTTCTGCCATAGTTCTTGCCATCTAACAATCTGGAGCAGGCCCAGGCCGAGGCGGACGAAGAAGAGTCCTCGTAGTCTCACTATCTTTCCAAATCATTGCTTTGGGCAGCCAATCTTGATGAGATGACAGGCAATCGGCTAGGGCAATGTCATCGGCAGGAGGCTTCCTTATCCTTGTATCTTTTGGGACGGACGGTGTTGCTTAGGGGCACGGCAAATGGGCTTTCAGTGCTTTCTCTTTTTATCTTTTCTATTTTTCCCTTCGGGCAGGGTTCGAGCGAGGGTGGGTTGCTATGATCTGAGGCAACCGGAAGGCAGAGCTCCTTTGGCATGGATGATGATACTCCATTCTAGCAGGTGGTTTGCAGCGGCTGCAGCGCGAACTTCACGGCATGTATAACAGAAACCTTTTCCCCGCATCCGGTCACTCAGGGCCTTTGTGCCTAGTCTGAAAGTGTCCCCCATGACAAGCTACATGATCTACCTAGCCACACTTGTATGTGTCACTGGCTTCATTTGTCCCAAATCCGTTCCGGGCCATCCATACCTTAGGTACGTTGTGAGGTTTTTCGCCCTCCAGTCTCCTGGCCGCTGTATTCGACTCTACCGGCCGCTCCATAACAGCATATTCAAGTTCGCTACCCGACTGCATAGCCTAGGGGTCCCGATGCTTTGGGCAGTTGAGCTCGAATGCAGATACGGCGGCACAAGTTGAAGCAAGGCAGGGCAACTTAGGGGATTGTTTGTTACCGAGCAACCCTACCTTTCTACTGCCTAGGTATTGTATCCAGTTGGATGCAAGTAGAGTAAGTAGTAGTAAGTAACAGAAGACCGGCTGGTCGCCACAGGCATTGCTGCCCGATTGGTTCCCGGGCCTTTTGTCTGAACGGCATCACCTCAACATCATCCCACCTCCTTCCATGCATCGCTCTCTTGCTGACGACCTGAACGCAGTGGAAAATCAGCACCACGCGCCTGTGAGATTTGCGATGTGACATGATAGTAGTGGAGAGTTAGGTCTGGCCTTTACCTATGCGTCTATTGAACTACTACCGTAGTACACAGTTTCTCAATCTCCTGTCGGCGGGCAGGACCCGGGTTCGAGAGACATTCACTGCCGCTAAAAGGCTGCAGGATTCATGCACGCGATCCACTCAATTAGTACCATCGTCCCCAGAGCCAAAGTGAGGCCCGTCCCAATGCACGAAACGCACGGGTCTGGGGCTATCTGCAGCGGAGACAATCGGACTGGGCTTCGTGGCAGTCTCTGACTCCCTGCTGTCACCCCGCGCTTGCTGTGTTGCTGCACCTTCCATTCGACGCTTTGACGGCCGTCCTCGCACCCTGCTGCTCATTCGCAGGATGTTCGGTTCATCGCCTGGGTGCAACCTCGTCGGCACCAAGGGATTCCTGTCTTCAAGTGCACTAGGCCTGCCCAATCTACGGCCGTAGCACTCTCCTACCGACGGACATTTGACGGGGACCGTTAGTTAACTATCTCGGCACTATCTCCTTCTATTCTTCCACGGGGTGAGGTGGCTGTCTGTCTGTCTGTCTGTCGGATCGTGGGAAGCGGCCTGCAGCTCACGTCACGTCAGGTTTCGGCTGGTTGAGCCTGGCGTCGACGCTGGTCCGATATACCCTCCGGCATGCGCTGTGCACCCTGTTTTCTCATTCGAGAGAATCGAAACACAGGGGAGTCCAGTTGGAAGCTTCTTTTCTCTCCGCTTCAATAGCCGCATCCCGACGACAATTCCCCCAGGGCTAGCGCATTTGTCTATTCGAACACTTCCCGCGCTCCCTCTGCCAGGGCTCAGGAGAACCCTTCGGTTTATCGCCAGTCGATAATAAGCTAACTTCAGACGGCCCCGACCGGAAACGGGGCACAGCCATGGTGCCAGAGATGCGCAATGGGCCGGCACCGTCAATGTGACCAGTTGTCCCGGATCTGACACCACGGTCTTGACTCTTGACCTATATCTTCCAACCCCCCTTGAGGGAGAAGTCGCAGAGAATGGAGCAGTCTGTCGCCATCAACGTCCCTGTCGAGACGCACCTCCTCCTCGGCTGTTGCCGCGAGGCAGACCGAGCCGATGTCGTTGCCCAGGGGTTGGACCAACTGCGCGCGGCGCTCGCCGAGTCCTTCCATAGCCATCTCATAGCCCTGGCCGGCGAGATACGAGGCTCGAGCAGACTCCTCCGGGGCCTCGCCGATCGCTCACAGATGCACATCGCGCGTGTCCCCATCATAGCCAGCTATTTGAACGTCGTCTTGCCCTGCCTGTCCCGGACGTTGACGGACATCACCGCGTATTATGAGGACAAGACGATGCACCGAGAGATAAGATGGCGTAAAATGTACAATAAGATGACCGAGCAAGCCGGGGGCCTTCCGCTACCGCAGCGTTTCGTGCTCTTCAACCACTTCCTATCGCTACTCAAGCAGCTGCTGACCAGGTCACCGAGCTTCGACCTGAACACGCTCGAGACACTTCGCGCGCGGATTGTCACACTCTGTGAACAGATTGGACTATGTAAGTGCAGCTTTCTCGATGAGCCCAACGAACATACAAGACCAGAGAGGTATGGAGAAATAACTGCATGTACAGTGCCCACTGACATGCTTCGCAGCCGCCCCCCAGGACAAGTTGGCACTTCTGTGGTCCGCCAGGATCTGATGTCTCTAGCAGTCGTGCAAGACCGCGTTCGTGTTTTCCGGGTGCCGCATGCCTCGGGGCTGTTGTTCTCTAACTTCTTAGCAGAATTCGCATTGGGCGGAGCTGATATTCTCTCTCCCTCTTCCGTCGCGGACGGCGTTGAAACACCTAAGACCGTGAATATTACCTGTTCTGTCCCACGTATCGGATCCGAGTTCTCACTGGTGCCCTGCTAGGTCCAAGTCATTCGGTCCATTCTACCCATGGGGTCATCTAACCGTACCCCAAGATTCAAAGGTCCTCTTCAGGCGGTAAGTGCCCGCCGAGAACTTGCAGACTTGAAGCATTGCAGGCTGTGTTGGTCCGCGGCCGCTCCGTCCGCTTGTTGTTTCTCCGCATCACGAGGAGTGCGCCACAGTGTTCTAATGATTCGATACAACAGACCGTTCGACAATGACAGGATCTCCATCGTGGTCTTCCTGAGCTCCGTCGACCAGTGTCCCTACTTTCTGATGAGAACGATACAAGATGACACTCCATGGTACTCCATGTTCGGCGCGCATGAGCTATGTATCGAACGCGAAGGCAGTGCTCTGCAGCTGAAGCGATGGAGCCGCTCGGAGCAGTGCAGCAAGCTCTGGGCAGCATTATACTTTCTGACATGGGAAGGTAGACGCAGATCTAGTCCCGAGATGCCCTCCTGCGGTCAGCTGACGGTGGCCAGAGATGGTGCTCTTCCACTGCACATTCGTTGCCCTGAAAGCACGCAACCTGTTGACCGTCCAGATCCACCCGAACGAGTTCAAGCTGCACAGAGAAAAACGGCTGTTCCAGGCGTAGGTTACCATCCGCTTCCGCCTTGCGGTTCACATGGGCACACCAGTAGACTAACTGGTCGGACTGGCCAGCCAAATCATCGACGACAGCTTCAAACATTCCCTCATCGTGTACGAGGATATACAGACCAGAGGCCTGCGCCTGCATGCTGCGGTATGGGAAGGCGAGCTCAGACAGTGTCCGGTTTGGACCGCCTTTGGCAAGTCTAACGTCTCTCCGCCCTGTCCTTTCTGTCCTTTCCTCCTCTTTGTCGCTCCTTAATCGACGTACTAATACTAGTAACACCGTTCACCAGTGACCCACCAGTCCCAGTCTCCAACATGGCTCAGTCGGCGCTCGCGACATCGTGTTTGGCTCAAGGATGTCCAGCTCTATGTGTTCTGCGGCAAGTATCGACAGGAGAACATGCGCCAGAATAAATCAGGCGCCTTCGAGATCTATTTCGACCGAGAGGAAGGTATGTGGACGGCAGTCCAGGCCCAGTATTGGGTGGATGCCTGCCTGCTGTTCAGCAATCGGCCACTTCTCGCTCCCTTCTTCCCCCATTGCAGTGGGTTACTAACTCAGTATCGAACTCAGGCGCAAAGAGGTTCAAGGAGCTGTTCTCTGTAAGGTCGGCTTCTTCGGAAGCATCAGATATCGAGCCTACGGTTGCCGCCTCTGCATAGGGGGGGTTTGCTGCCTCCTCCTTAGCTACGGCCCGCTCACTGGCAACTACTAGTACTAGTAGTACCTACTAGGTACCCCACAGCTTAGATCTTCCAAAGATCTTCCAAACTAAGCCACCTATCACGGCCGTTTCTCGTTTTCCATCCTATCTTTCGCCAGGATCAAATGCAGCTCGCTCTCCTCCAGATGGTAGGGGCGTAGCTCAAGGCTGTCAAGATACCGACAGTGCCAAATTACCGTCATTTTACTTATATTACCACGTTGTCATCGGGTCGTACTGATGAATTGTCATATGTAGAGTTGGTTACGTCAGGGGTACTAGTAGTTCCGTCGATGACATCACGGTTTGAGGGAGAGTTGGTTGTTCCACAGCCATTCTGTCTGGCCAAAGTTTGGCACACACCCACTCGAGTTGAACCTCCCTCTACATGCTCCGAGACAGCTTTTGTAATAAGTGCTGCAAATCTAGGTCCGATATGATGTTCTGGAAATGCCACGTACTTACTAAGTACCTGGTAGCTATTACTATGGCAAGAAAGTCTAAGTCTGTGGGATGGACAGGGCAACGGAAGATTCAAATCCGCCGCATCAAGACTGGACTCGTTGACATTGCGGCGTACAATACATAGTACGGAGTACATACTATGTTGACCCTCCAATAAGAGCCTCAACTCCATGCACCACCACCCACTCGGGCACTGATACTGGCGAGACCCAGCGAGCGCCGCAACACGCCGCAGACAAAAGAAGCATTGAGAAGCGCCAGGTTGGCGTTGGTGGGGCCACTTAGCTGCACCCTGGAAAAGCAACTTTCAAGACAGCGCCGCTCTTGATTCTGACTCCTCCCTCACTCCCGTCCAACGCAATATCGGCAGTAAACCATTGTTTGCCAGAGCTTCGTCTTCGAGAGCTGATCCAAGAACCCCGATCCCACGGCAGACATTAGTACAAGATGGACGTCAAGACAGTCGAATTCACGCCTTTCACGGACCAAAAGCCCGGCACGTATGTCACTGATGACCCCGCCCCGCCCCGCCCCGCCCCTGGGCTCCCTGAGCTGAGCTCCTCGGGCTGCCCGCAACCGCAACCAACTGAACCTACCATCATCCATCTACACGCTTGGAATGCCGCAATGCTGACGCGGCCCACCCACCTCCTAGTTCCGGCCTGCGCAAGAAGGTCACGGTCTTCCAGCAGCCTCATTATAGCGAGGCCTTCGTTACAAGCATCCTCCTGTCCATCCCTGAGGGCGCTGAAGGTAAGAAAGCTTGTCCACAACCATACTCCGGCCGCCCGGTATGTTGTAGGACGCAGAGGAGCTCACAAGTAATCTATCCAAGGTGCTTTCCTCGTCATTGGCGGTGATGGCCGGTTCTGGAACCCCGAAGTCATCCAGCTGATCGCCAAGATTGGTGCGGCGTACGGCGTGAAGAAGCTGCTGGTCGGCCAGAATGGCATCCTGTCGACGCCCGCCGCCAGCCATGTAATCCGCAAGCGCAAGGCCACTGGTGGTATTCTGCTGACTGCCAGCCACAATCCCGGAGGCAAGTGACCTTCTGTCGTGACAACTATGTTAGGCTGTAGCGTCTAACCTGCCGGTGCAGGACCGCAAAACGACTTCGGCATCAAGTACAACCTTGCGAACGGCGGCCCTGCGCCCGAATCGGTCACCAACAAGATCTTCGAGACCTCCAAGACGCTGAAGTCGTACAAGATCGCAGATCTCCCCGACATCGACATCTCCAACATCGGCACCAAGACATATGGGGATCTTGAGGTCGAGGTGGTGGATAGCACGGCCGATTACGTTGACATGCTCAAGGACATCTTCGACTTCGACCTGATTAAGAAGTTCTTCGCCACTCACACCGATTTCAAGGTTCTCTTCGATGGCCTCTCTGGCGTTACCGGGCCATATGGCAAGGCCATCTTCGAGAAGGAGCTCGGCCTAGGTCCCGAGTCGACCCAGAATTGCGAGCCATCGCCCGATTTCAACGGCGGCCACCCCGACCCAAACCTCACCTACGCGCATGATCTGGTTAAGGTGGTTGAGAAGAAGAAGATCCCCTTCGGCGCCGCCTCCGACGGGGACGGTGACCGTAACATGATCTACGGTGCCGGGGCATTCGTCTCACCCGGTGACAGTCTGGCCATCATCGCTCACCATGCCCAGCTTATTCCCTACTTCAAGAGGAACGGAGTTTACGGCTTGGCTCGCAGCATGCCGACGTCAGGTGCCGTGGACCTTGTGGCGAAGAAGCAGGGCCTTGACTGCTACGAAGTGCCGACCGGATGGAAGTTCTTCTGTGCTCTGTTTGATGCCGACAAGCTGTCCATCTGCGGCGAGGAGTCGTTCGGTACCGGCAGCAACCACATCCGGGAGAAGGATGGCCTCTGGGCCATCGTAGCCTGGCTCAACATCATCGCTGGCTTGGGCATGGCCAACCCGGGTGTTACGCCGAGCATCAAGCAGATCCAAAAGGACTTCTGGAACGAGTATGGTCGAACCTTCTTCACCCGCTATGACTACGAGAATGTCGACGCGGAGGGTGCCAACAAGGTCGTCGGCGTTCTGAAGGATCTAGTGGCCGATCCGAAGTTCGTTGGCAGCAAAGTCGGAGGTATGTATAGGCCCAAGTAGGCCGCCATCTCTGCCTCCCCGCCTTTCCTCTCCGTCTAGGTTGGGAGATTGTCTTTTGTCAGCCGTTACTAACCTCATTCCTTCTTTTTCTTCTCTCTTTCCGTTAGATCGCACGGTGACCAAGGCTGGCAATTTCTCTTATACCGATCTGGATGGCTCTGTATCGTCAAACCAGGGTCTTTACGCTTGCTTCTCCTCTGGAAGCCGTATCGTCGTCAGACTCTCCGGAACCGGCTCTTCGGGCGCGACTATCCGCCTGTACATCGAACAACACAGCAGCGACCCTGCCACTTATGATATGGACGCCCAGGACTTCCTTGGTCCCGAGATCAAGATGGCGACGGAACTCCTGAAGTTCAAGGAATTCGTCGGCCGGGACGAGCCGGATGTGAGAACTTAGTTGTATCGCGCAAGGTTCGTGTGCAGTTCAAGATAATAAACTGCTAGAGGCGCAGTTACACTCGGAATCTCATGTGAATAAAGTGATTGCTTGCTTTTCTGTCCCGGCGGACAGTGGCCACAGGATGAAACGTCGAGGCGGGTGTCCCATGGTCGGCTCAAGACCTGGAGACCCGGAAAATAGCGTCCTTGTAATACTTGGCCTCCTCAATGCTCTCGAGTATGTCTTCCCTTGCCTGGTGTAAGCCTCTCTTGCGGGGGGCTGCCGAGGCGACTTCTGGGCTGTTGCTCAACAAAGTCAGTGTAGGATGCCCAGGGAGGACGGAGTGTACTGAAGGTCATTACGCTACGTACCACCATCTTCGTGCCGCTTCTTTGATGCTGCTCACGTCCAAAATACGATAGTGCAGGTAATCGAGAACTTTCCGGTATGGCTCCTTCCGGAGAAAAGCCCGGTCGGCGTGCACGCTGTTCCCGGCCAGAAGTGCTACACCTTTCTCGGGAATATGCTTCTGAACGTACGCCAACAGGCCGTCGGCCGCCTGCTCTGGAGTCACGGTGGACTCGATGACAGCGGCGGTGAGGCCGCTGTCGCCGTCTGCTCTTCGTAGGATGACTTCGTCAGCCCTCCGACTTCCCCACCAGGTGCCGCCAGTATAGATGGGCCAGAAAAGGGGGGAGGAGTGGTGTTTCGAGACTCCGGGGGAGGGCACCTACGAACGCGGGTGCACCATTCGTCCATCATTGCCATCCGCTCTGGCGTCTGGTGGATGACAGTGCCCCAACCGGAGTCGTCGAGCAGATCAAGCTGGCCATTGGTGATGAGGCAGTAGATCTCAATGATGGAGTCTGTGTCAGGGTCAAGGCCGGTCATCTGGAAAACATGAGTTTAGCATATCTGCCAACAGGACAAATGGAACACCTGAGTAGTGGCACACCTCGCAGTCGATCCAGACCAGGGCCTCTCGCCGCTGAATCTCTTCAGCAACTGTGACAACAGACTGAGACATGTCTAAGGTCAGGTAGATACGGTCAATTATGTCGACCACCTAATAGAGTTAATTGCGTTATACTTGATGGTGCACGGCCCTGGGGAAGGCCCCTGGAAAGCGATTAAGTCACTAGCACAGTGCATTATCGGTTATTAATCATACCGTGGCACTAGACTTACTAGCAACGCATGAACGGCCGCTGACCATGGCCTTCCACCTCACTGGACAGTTTCAACCGTACTACCTTACCTGAGTACCTACCCAGTGCTACCTTATTAGGCCTGCAATTGCAGTCGGGGCTCACACGATTCCATTCCTACCCCTGTCATATTCTACATATGTAGCATAGGTAACCCAAGCAAAGGTGAGGAGGTGCATGGGAAGTGCGCCTTCAGCTTGAGGCGGCTCAGGTTTGGTCAAAGAGCTGGCATCCCCTCCAAAAGCAGCCACCCTAGCCGGCTCTGTCCACAAACGGGTTGCTGTCTCGTTCACTCCTCACATCCACACATAGCACCTGACCACAAGAATACCTGCTGGTAATAGTCGACCATGTCGACCACCGGGCAGCCCGCGCAAGTAGGAGTTGGTGAAGTAGTGGATGGTGAACAGCGGCTGCTGCCCTCGGCCAACCTGCCGCGCGTCCTGATCATCGGTGCAGGTTCCCGGGGGCGGACCTATGCCCGCTCTGTGAAATCGTTAGGCAATGGCGTGGTGGCCGCAGTGGCTGAACCGGATGAATACAAGAGAAACCGCTTCGGCGACACCATGATCTGGGGTTCCAAGCCTCCCCCCGAGGGCGCTGCCTTCGCGGACTGGAACGACTTCATCGCCTACGAAACCAGCCGTCGGGCCCGTGTGGAGGCGGGCGAGAAAGACGTCCCGGCCGGTGTCGACGCGGTCTTCGTCTGCGTATTGGACGAGATGCACCGCGAAGTCGTTGTCGCCCTCGCCAAGCTCGGCGGGCTCCATATCATGTGCGAGAAGCCGCTAGCAACGACGCTCCAGGACTGCGTTGCGATGTACAAAGCCCTACAGTCCAACAAGGTTGCCGGTGGCCAGCCAGCCGTTTTCTCCATTGGACACGTTCTGCGCTACAGCCCTCACAACACGCTGCTTCGCAAGCTGCTCCTTCAAGACCGCGTCATTGGCGACATCCTGTCGGTGCTACATACAGAACCGGTGGGATGGTGGCACTTCACCCACAGCTATGTCCGCGGGAACTGGTAGGTGTCCTCGAAGCTCTTATTCTCAAACGCTGCCCGTTCTCCTTGTCGTGGCAGGCAGGCGGTGTCCAGCCATTCTCCCACAAATTTCAACGACATCCGACCGCCTGGGAAGGCAAGAGAAACAAGCTGACGAACGCGGCCCAGGCGTCGTGAGAGCACGTCGGCCCCGAGTCTACTCACCAAGAGTTGCCACGACATTGACATACTCTTGTGGCTGTTGTGCTCGCCACCGGATTGCGCAGCCCAAGACTGCCCTCCTCCTCATTTGCCGTCCACCGTCGCTAGCACTGGCTCGCTGCAGTACTTCAAAAGAAGCCGCAAGCCGGTGGAAGCTGGCACTGCCACCAACTGTCTGTCATGCCCTGCCGAGAGTATCTGCAAATATTCCGCGAAGCGCATCTATGTGGGTGACGAGCTGGCCGGAGTCGAGTCGGGCAACAAGGGGTGGCCTGTGAGCATCGTCCTCCCCGACATTGAGTCGTACAAGAGCCAGGCGCAGGCGAAGGCGGCCATGCTCGACGAGCTTGCCAGGGACTATGACTCCGGCACGCCGGACTCGGAAATTTCTCGCCGGAACTGGTTCGGCAGATGTGTATACGAGAGCGACAACGACGTCTGCGACGAACAGGTGGTCACCATGACCTGGGAGGATGACCCCTTGCCAGCACGCCATGGAGGCAACAGCCGAAACTCGAAGACAGCGGTTTTCCACATGGTGGCACAGACGAGAAGAATCTGCGAGCGGTACACTCACCTATACGGGGTGGACGGCGAGATCTTTGCCGACTCGACCACAATCACCGTCGAGGACTTCCGCACCGGACGAACGACCGTCCACCGTCCTCCGGTCGAAAGCCACGACCATGGGGGCGGCGATATCGGCTTGACCCGCCAGTTTGTCACTGCCGTCGACAAGGTTAAGAACTACGGCTGGTCCACAGACCGCGCGCAACGCGAGCTGATCGGCTGCACTCTGGAGGAGGCCATCCGTAGCCATGCCATGGTATTTTGCGCCGAGTCAGCGCGACGTGACAAGAAGGTGGTTGACTGGCCCGAGTGGTGGGCCGCCGAAGTCCAAGCCAGGTTGGCTTAAAGCCCAGCCTAACAATTCCGCTCTTCTCTCTCCTCCCCCTTTATTGCCGATGGGAATAAGGGCGGTAGCTACGTTACCTTAGGTGTTGTGGCGAAATTGGGAGCGTGGGCGAATCCCACCAAGAGGACAAACCTCATGGTACTATGCGAGCTCCCTTCCTGGTACGGAGTTGATATTTCTAGCCACCCTTGGTCTAAGGTCTCGAAGTGACTCAATCGGCAGCTCGACTGCCCACCAAATCATCCCCAACCATGCCCAAGCGTGGTGCTGCACTCTGTGGCTGACTGAAGTGAAAGGTAAAAAGGACGGAGTACAGAATGTACCCGTTCCAGGGGAAATGTTCGGGGGACATGTTCAGGGGACATGTCAGGGGAAATGTGGCTCGTGCTCTGCATTGCGCACGTGAGAGCCTTCGAGACTCGAGACTCGAGAGAGCCCCATCGCTACATCATTGCCCCGCAACGTGCTATTGCCGCCAACCTTGCAGGGCAGCTGGCACGTTGGCTCCACACTCCAACTTCCGCCCGGCGTCAACACCCATCACCACTGGCATCTTGTCAGAAATCCAGTTCCATTTAGCCTCCCCTCGCACAGGCAGGCCTTATGATATAGTATTACGCCGTCTGAAGCACCCCCTGGTAGCATTCTCGCGTTCTCTATTGCCCCTAATTATCATTTACACAATCGACCTGTCTGCATTAACCCATCCACCCGCTTGCATACCCGTTCGAACCCATTGGGAGCCGCCGCCGACAAGATGGACTCTACAACAGCCCCGCAGCCGGCCGGCGGGATGGGAGCCAGCTGGGGTGCTTTCCTCAAGGTCCGCGACTCTACACCTTGAAACTCTTAGGCTAGATGGCTGTCGCCTCCGTGGCTGCCCACCTCAGCTTGAAGTGACGAGGCACGCGCTAACACTCAATCGCGGTCTAGTCGATTGCGTCCTTCAACGGGGATCTTTCCAGTCTCACGGCGCCGCCTTTCATACTCTCATCGACGAGCCTGACCGAATTCAGTTCGTACTGGTGCGAGCACCCTTCCGTCTTCGCCGCCCCCGCCAAGGAAACCGACGCTGCCAAGAGAGCGCTCCTTGTGCTCAAGTGGTTCTTGACCACTCTCAAGCAGCAGTACGCTAGCAGGAGTGAGCAATATGGCAATGAGAAGAAGCCGCTCAATCCTTTCTTAGGCGAGCTCTTCCTCGGCAAGTGGGAGGACAACGCCGGAACCACGGAGTTGATCAGTGAACAAGTTAGGTCCGTACCAGTTCCAATCACAGCCGTCGGCTCCTGAGCTTTTTGCTGACCAATTTGCAGTCATCATCCGCCGGCTACTGCGTATAACATCACCAACATCCCCAGCGGGGTCAGACTGGAGGGTTACAATGCGCAGAAGGCGTCCTTCTCTAAGACAATCAACATCAAGCAGATAGGGCACGCGGTGCTCACGGTTCCCGTGCCGTCCTCCGAGGAGCACGATACTTTCTTGATTACCTTGCCGGCTCTTCACATTGAAGGTCTCATCTTTGGGTCGCCTTTCATCGAGTTGGAGGGCAGTTCGTACATCACGTCGTCCACCGGCTTCACGGCAAAGATTGACTACAGCGGCAAGGGATGGCTTTCTGGAAAGAAAAACTCGTTTACTGCCGTTCTCTACGCTACCGGGAAGGAGAAGGATGTGCTCTTTAACGTTTCGGGCCAGTGGACCAAGACTTTCGAGATTCATTCCGGCCCTACAAAGCACAACAGCAAAGACAACCTCCTCGAGACCTGGGACCCCGCCGAGTCGCCCGCCAGCCAACTCATTGTTGCGCCGCTGGAGAAGCAACACCCGCTAGAATCCAGGCGGGCGTGGGCCAAGGTGGCTGACGCGATCGCCCAGGGCGATCTCGACAGAGTCAGTCAGGAAAAGGGCAAAATAGAGAATGCTCAGCGCGAGATGCGGGTCAAGGAGAGAGCTGAAGGACGCACGTGGCAACGGCGCTACTTCACCGCTCGGAACGATTCTGCTGATCCTGTTTTGACCAGCCTTGGTCCAGCTGTAAGCCTTGCGCAGGACGGCGATGCCGACAAGACAGGCGGTCTATGGCGATTTGACGCAGCTAAGGCAGAGGCTGCACATAACGAACCTGCACTGAGCGATGAGGATGCTGGCAAGCTGGCAAGGGAGCTGCTGGGACAATGATTCAGCCATGGCTCGCTCTACATGGGGCCGGCAGTACTCCGTGAGCAAAGGGGCAACGCTACAGGCCGAAAGAAAACGGAACCAGTGGCGGAATGAATATGCCGTCTTGCCAATGCGGCTGCGGGGAGTTAGACGTGCGTGGTGGCCAAGGGATACATAGAAGTGGCGGCTTGAGTGTTTCTCTGGCTTTGGGAAAGCGCCTCTTTCTCTTCGTTTCGATTCGCCCTCTACCCGGAGCCAGGAGCAACATCGTTTGGCCGTGTTTCTGTTTCTTAGGATACTAATATGGTCGCACAGAGTTGCGCATGCCGCCCTTGATGTTATTATCCTCCCCTGTTGCAAAGCTGGCTGTTTAAGACTCGGTACATGTCACATTGCCAGAAGCCCATGCAGGCACGCCGTGTTAGAGTTACTAGTGGTGCTAGGCGCCTTAGCTGGCTTGATGTCTAGCTGCCTATGATCATCGCCTTCAAACTGTACAGTGTATATACCTTGCCTGCGTCCATTTCAAGCCGAACGTCTCGCACACGCAAGCCCACCATAGTACCTCTACGAAAGGGGCCGTTCGAGCTCATAAAACAACAGGTATACCTCTCGCTGCATGCTCAGCACATCCCGAGTGCTTACCTCTTTAACTTTGTCGTCGCTGATCCTCCACCAACGTGATTGCTGCTTCCGCTGCTTTGACTTTGCGGCCGCTGATGGCTTGCTTAGTGAAGGCCTGTCAGAGGCGGCCACAGACTTGGGTCTTCCAGCTGGGGAGGGCGCGGGGGAGGAGGCAGCTGAGGGGGAACCAGGAATCGGGGATGCCCCGACCACCTCCCCACTTGCTGAGTTCTTGTCCTGGGCCGGAGAGTCGAGCGCCGCTGCAGGCGGCTCCGGGCCAACCGAGTTTTCTGCTTCGTCCGTGCTGGTACACGAAAGATTCAGCGAACTCATTGCAGGCGTGGAGGCGGCGTAGGGAGAAGGAGGGGTCAGATCGCCACCGGTAGGCTCTTTCAAGGGCTGATCTCGAGCCTTGGCTCGGGGCGTAGGCGCGGGACTGGCCGTCCTGCTATACACCTCCGATGCCTGGAATGTACTCGGGTTGGAAAACGGCCGGTAGGCAACCTGGCGACGGAAGGACTCATAATGGCCACTGTGGTGACTCCCCTTGTGTGTCACCACGGCAAGTAGCCGGTACTTCCTCTGCTGGAGCAAGCCACCCAAGGGCAGCTCCTCTGGAAACACCACCTTGGCTAGATTCTTCAGCGACGAGTGGCTGGCATCGAAGATGGACCTCGAGAGATGGATGGCCAAGACCTTGGGGAACCGCGTCATCCGAATGTGCCGCGCGATCATGCGCTTCGGTGCGTAACGCAGGTCAGGGAGCACGACATCATCTGGCGGGGCCTCGGGATCCGTTGCGATGGCCAGCCGAAGTCTTTCCACGGCGGCCTGAGCTCTCGCCCTCGCTGCCTCCGTTGCGGACCACTGCCGCTCCTGCTCGAACTGGGCCACGGCGTGCAGGAGACGGCACTTTTCACACTTGAAGTCATCAATGTATTCTGTCTTGAACATGCCGTCGAAGCAGGCGGCAAGCGTTGTCGCCGGAAGCTGGGGCACATTGAGTGTCAAGGTGCAAAAGGTCGATATCGTGGGCCGGGGTTTGAATCCGCAAGTCAGGCACTCAATTTGCGACTCAAAACTGCCCTCCATGGGGAAGCCCTCTTCCTCTTCCGGGGCGCTGCCATCCGCGTCACCGTTGGCAGCACCGGCTTTCTCTGCATCAGCCGGGCCATTGCTTACAGCGGCCATACGCCGCCTGGCAAAGTCTCGCGCCCTCCGGCCCGCGTGATACTCGTCGCAGAGCCTCTCGGCCACCACCTGCAGGAATTCTTGCGCATCCTGTTGCTGCCGGCTGATCCGCTGCCGGAAAGCCTCCTCCAACGCTCTTAGGAACGGTGCGGCGGATATGGTCTTCTTGTAGATTGGCCGCTCGTTGAGGGCGTCGAGGATATCCTTCAAGCTCTTGGTCACGCTGCCCTTCTGCAGCCCCTCCAATCTCCAGTCCGGTATATCCTTGGCAAAGCGTGGTACAGCCGCCTTGCTTCCGTCCTCGGCGAGCAAGCCTGGCGGGACGGGTTGCGAATACACGGATTCGTCATCGAGGCTGCGCCGGTGTATCTCGCGTATCAGGTAGAGCCGAAGGTCCCCTAAGCCTGCAAGCGCTTGAAGCACCGAATTGATAAAGCAGTCGTTTGCAGGGTTCACGAGTCCCACAACGCCTTTCTTTCGAGCAGAGAACGCGCCGCCCTGGGATGTCGAAGGTTCACTGTCTAAAAAGTACGTGGGGCCGAACACGTAAATCAGCGTAATCGCCGCTAGGGAGGCACCGGCGGCGTATGTGACGACCTTGAGCGTTTTGTCGGGCATACTCGGGGGCGGGCGCTTGAGGCGTATCCGGTTTGACTGACAGTCAGTCTTTCCAACAACATAGTGGGAGCGAGTGCTTCGCTCTCTATCGACAAGGGACAGAAAGGACGGACCAACAATTGCAGCGGGCAAGGTTCTGGCAAGACGAGCCCCACAGTATATGATATATCCAATACCATCACTGTGGCCGGAAACCACCAAGTCCTCTTGGCATTGCATTTGACGGCACAGGTAAGAACAACAAAGGCCAGGCAGGTAGAACAATAGCCGGGCAGCCAAACAGCTTAATAGAGTCATATATATTATATATGATGAAACTGTAGATATTCCTAAAAAGGCCGTCCAATGCATCTCTCGCAATGTCATGTGACGAAACCACAGGCAGTCCTGCCTCTAAAAGGGTTCGCCGGTCGAAGGTATCTGCTGGTCGGACTGTAGGTCTCGGTGAAGCCAAAAGGTTCACAACACTACAAGTCGCAATGTCTGTACAGTAAGATAGGGGGTACTCTACTGCTTGTATTGCTCACTGAGGAAGCTAGCTATCTGGACGAGTGACAGAATGGTAGAACTATATATAACTTCCTCTCCTAGGTACATTCGTACCTGGATCACCAGTGATCACCTCGGCCCGGTGATCGTAGGTAAGCTGCTTATTGGGATTACCAACTCTCGATTGATCTTGGTAATCCTGCCGTTCTTGACGGCTACTAGCCCGGGCTCCCAGGATCGCGCCCTACCTGGCCGCTATATATGGTTAGTATATAATATAATACTCTAAGTCTTTCGTCCTGAAAGACCTATAGGTTATCCTATATCTTTAACGCTAATACCTTTATAGGTCCCTCCTCTTATTTTCCCAATATATTTTTGCGTTTTCTTAGCTAACCTTTACTATAGCAGGATATATAGAAAAACGCCGCTATAATACTATCTTAGATCGCTATATCTTATTTACTTCGATTAAGAGAGATGGCTCTGAAATTATATCTTATATCTATTATTAGAACTCTATATCTAAGCGCCGGTATATAATATTAGGGAACTTAAGGCGTTATTCGAACTATATTTATAAAGATAAATTATGTAATAGTCTTAGTATTATAAGCTTTTATAGGTAATTTTTTTACTTGTCTTTATTGCTAATATAGCCTTTTCTAGTCCTAAAGAACCAATAGGAATAGGATAATATTATAGCTAGAATTAAAGCTACTAAAGCCCTTTTATAGAAGATATTAAGTCAACTATCTTATCTATATACTTAGCGGAAGAAGCTAAAGGAATATGGTAATAAATTTATTTATTATAATATATAGAGTTTAGATAAAAAGGACAATATTATCCGAATATTAGATAAATAATAACTTATTAGTTAGGCTTAATTATTTAATATAATAGGTATTATTAATTAGAAGGCTTTAAGATTATAGAGTATTTGTGATGAAACCACAGGCAGTCCTGCCTCTAAAAGGGTTCGCCAGTCGAAGGTATCTGCTGGTCGGACTATAGGTCTCGGTAAAGCTAAAAGGTTCACAACAATGCTTGCCGCAATGTCTGCACAGTAGGTAAAGGCTACTGCTTGAATTGCTCACTAGAGAACTTCTCGAGTCCTCCAGAACAAATGACTAGCTAACCTATATACTATAGGCTTCCCATAGATCACTGCTTATCTCTAGTAATCCCTCATACTAGATCACTTTAGATCACTGGTGATCCCCTGTAAGCCTTATAGTTAGATCACCAAGCCTTCCCTATACCAAGCGTGATCCTTTTCTGATTGGTCCGTTTCTAGACCGGAATAATTAGATGCGGGCACCGCCTATAGACTATATAGGTCGGCCCTACCGGCCTCTATAGGTTAATTCATAATACAATACTCCCTCTTTAGGGCTATTCGTCCCGAAAGCCTAAGTCCGTTTCAAATAGCGCTAATATTCTACGTTATAAATATGCTATACTACTTCTCTCTTTCCTCTTCTTAAGAGGTGCTAATATAAAAACAGACTACGTCTATAAGTACTAGTCTAAGAAAGCCTAAGAATATATAGCTTTTGCGTCTTTTATCGAATCCTATAATATAGATACTATACCTTGTTCTTAGTGTTTTAAGCGCAACCTTGCTTGCCGCGTTATATAGAGGTCTTCTCGTTATAGCGAATATATCCGTCGTAGTCGCTTATATATCGATTCTAGTATGGCATTATCCTATAGGTCACACTCTCTCCTCTTTTTATAGTATATCGACTAACTTCTTTTAGTAACGAAGATTATATCTAAGTAGAAATATATAAAATAGGAAGAGGCCGATGCTAAAAAGACACTCTTCGTTCTTTAGGACTTAGTTATAGACCGCTATTAGGCGCCTAGCCCGGTTATATCGCCAGAAGCGTTTTCTAAAGGAGCAGGGTTCCAAGTTATTCCGTCGTGGTATATAGTCGTTAGAGGAGATAGAGGCAGAGGACCGTCAGATCCAGAAGTCCGAGTCCTATATGATTAACAACGTCTAAGCGCTTAGGGCTGACGTTCCTTTCGATTAGAGTTCCTTAGGGCTTGACTTGTCCGATGTTAATTTGGCCGCTTTAGCAGAGCCGCCGCCTAAGGTCGATCCGAGTTCTTCTGATGGGATTCTTCTAGTTTCTTAAGGCAATAGGAGTTTATAGCTGGTAGTTAGGTCTTAGTTGCGCCTGCTATATATATTATATTCGTAGCGTTGCTACCTATAGCCGTTCTTTCCTACCTGGGGTTCCTAATCCAATTCTTGCTGCCTTCTCCTTAACGAATGAAATAGCCTAGTGGTATAGCTTGGTTATTATATCCAAGTAAATGCTCTAGGAGATTATAGGTTCGAATCCTATCTAGGCTCCTGCTAATAGTATAATGGCTTTATATTATAAGTCGTAGAGCTAGAATATAGCTAGGTTTTTGCCCTTCCTCTTCTCCCTAGTCGGTCTGGATTCTACCAATAGAATTCTTTTAGTTTTTCTATATAACTAAGATATTCTGCTAGTTCCTATAAGTTATCTTCTAGCCTAAAGTCGAGCTATTTGATTAAGTATTCTAGCCTTCTATTAGCTATTCGTAAGTCCAAAATTTCCTTAACGTCCTATTCCTCTTCTTCGTCCTTGGCTTTAATATCCTTTATAAGCTATACGTTTTTAGATGCTAGTTCAAGGAGCGAGATATAGAAGATATTAATATATAGCTTTATCGTTAATAGTAACGAAAGTTAGTAGTTGGATATCGAAATTTTTACGTCAATCTTAAACGGTCTAATCTTTTTTAAAGTCGAGTTTCTAACTTGGCCGTGTTATTTTTAAATTTCAAAAAATCAGACAGATTATATCTCCTCTCTTAAGGCGAGGTCCCTCGAGCCGATATTTGTCGTAGTATTCCTTTATCCTAAGTCAAATAAACTCGAGTTCTTCTTTTAGTATCGTATATAATATATATATCTTCTCTACGTTGACTTTTGCTTGAGGTACTATAATATCTAGCCCCTGGTGTAAATCTGCTTTATACCCGAAGTTCGTGAAGAACGGAGTAACCTTTATTATTTCTATTGGTATTATATTATATATAAGCTATACTGCTAGTAATAAATTAACCTAGTTATCCTGCTAGAAGTTAATGAACGTTCTAAGGTATTATTCGACAATCTAGTTAAGCCTTTCTATTTGGCTATCTATTTACAGGTAGTATACTATTGAAAGCTTGCTCTTCGCGTCCAAACGCTTTATAAGTGCTTGCTAAAATTTCGATGTAAACTTAGTATCCCGATCTATGATCTAATCTTTTAGTTATCTATAGATTGATACGATATGCCTATAGATTATATCTATAAGTTGCTCCGCTAACTATAATTCCTTGTACAGAAAGAAGTAGCTCTACTTAGAGTAAGTCGGTCGACTATAGTAAGAATGCTATCATACTTTGTTCCGGTAGTTAAGTCCTTTAAAAGTAGTAGTTTAGTAATAAAGTCTATTGTTACCGAACTCCATGGCCGTTCTACAATTGGCAATAGCTCTAAGAGCTCGTATAGTTTATATCGTGCCGATTTGCTACAATTATAGAGGTTGTATTCCAATATAATAGTTTTGACTCTGGTCCTAAGTCCTAGGAAGTCGTAGTATTGCCGAACCTTGGCGACTATTTTAGCAATTCCTATATATCCTCTGAGTTTCGACTTGTGGATTGTCTTGACCAGTTCCGTCTGATCTTAGGGTGCAATATAGGCCTTATTATTATACTATAACGCTCTATCTCTCTAAGAGGTACCTGCCTTTTTATCTATATTATCCTGCTTCTGGTCCTAGAAGTCTTTTCCTAGCCGTTCTTCACTGAAGACTATGCAATATTCTTCAAGCAGTTGTAGAGGTTATAGGTTAGGATCTCTACCCTATTGTAGAAGTATATCATCATCGAGTTCTTCTACTGGTTGGGGAGTATACTATGAGGAACTATCTGGCTATTGTTAAAGTAATGGTAACAAGGCTTCTAGTTAGCTATTTCTAAAGTGATCTGGCCGTTTGCTCAATATATCTACTTATATGTTTTCTAAGCCTTTCTTATAGTTGATTTTTAAAGTTGAACTCGGAGGAATTCTACCTATCGAGTTTATCGTCCGTTTAGCACCTTTATAGTAATACAGTACTATAGGTTCGTATAGTCTATATAGACCTGAACTTTATATATTATATCGCTAAGGTATAGTCTCTATTCTTAAAATGCTTCGATAATAGCTAATAACTCTTTGTCGTAGAAAGGGTAGTTAAACTATAGTCCTTCGGGTTTCTTTGAAATGAATACGACTAGGTATAGCTTCTTTTGTTCATTGTGCTAACTAAGTTATCATCCGATCATATAGTTAGATATATCGGTTTCGACCTCAAATAGCTTCTATAGGTCTAGCAACTAGAGCACTAGATCGGCGATAATTACGGCGTAGATCCTCTAGAATGCTTGCTTACATTTAGCTTGCTATTGGAACTCGATGTCTTTCTTTA